CCATGCGGTCATGCATACCATCCAGGCAAGCAGAATCTCACCGTACATCACCCATTCACCTCCTTGAGACATCTGCTGAGTCCAAAAGAACCACGAACATGTCCGCAATGTACCATATCCCTTCGCCTAAGCCAAGCTCCATACCTGCTCCCCACGATGCCAGTGCAGGCGAATGTATCATGATATGGCGCCACCTTTTTCTTCCTTCCTTCTTCTTTTCTTTTTTGCCTGCTGCTAAACATAGCCGGAGACATTATTTTCATGTCATATGTGGCAAGATCTGCTTGCTAAAATCCTACTCTACCAGGCTGTGGGAGCGCCTTGCAGGCTGGTCGTACAGAGTCACATCATGTGCATATGTACACTTGCACTTGACAACACGGAGGGTTTACGTTTCAATAATACTGATCCCTCGGGCATGGCGGCCGCTGCGCACGCGAGCCAGCTCTCCTTTGCGGACATAGCAAGCTTGGTAAAGCGAAGCGAAACGAGCAACAAGCTGAATATGGCCTCAAATGCATACTTGCATATACTCAAGCATTGGCATATGTCCTGATTACTCGAATCAAGGCCCGTTTATTTCTTTTCTTGCTCTCCTCTGCTGTTCGGCCATGGCGCCGTGAATGTATGTACGTTCGCCTAAGCCGCCAATAATGCCTTCGCTGAGCGGGTTTGAAGTCTTCTGAGAAGGTTCTTCCTTTTGGGCACTCCGTCCCTTCCCGCTATCTATTCCCGTGCACTGACAGACCATGGTCGAGGCCTGCTTGTTTTCTTTCGCCTGGCAGAGCAGGTAGCCACAGGCCATTTTCTCCTCCATCATGCATATGCCACCACATTCGTCTCGCCGGGCGTCGCTCAGGGCTGACATGCACCAAGAGAGGATACTAAAAGGCCAAAATAGAGCAAACGGGCTGGACCGATAATGTTAAGTATATCAATGTCCACCTCCTTGAGCAACGTTGAAAGCGAAACCTCCGGTGTTCTATAAAAGCCGTCCGGCGAGTTTACCAACTGTCCCTCTGAGAGTTTGCTTATGGTCAATGACTTCCCTGTGGACGCCGAGCCGAGCTGGTTCAGGCACCAGAATTTCGGCCCGAGGGCGCCAACTCGGAACATTTTTGACACTGCAGAGAACAACAGCTTTGTACGACTGCGCCATTTAGCGACGAAGTGGCCGTATCGAAGAGCATATTGAATATTCAGGCATTGGGACCGGACTGGTGCAGAATTTCAAAGTGCATGTTTAGTCGCCGCTGCCATGCAGACGGATGGGGACTGGACTCCTTGCCTTCATTTTACGACGGCTAAAGGAAATTGTTAGCAAACTAATTGGCGGGAAAAAAGTTTAGCCGTCAATTTGGCTCTTTAGGCCGTTTTTTTCGCTTCAATAGTCGCTTTCCTGCATTTACCCCTGTCAACGCTAAACGAGGCAAGCCGACTTAGTCACTGATATCAGCCGTCTCGAGTGGAGTCAAGGGTTGGAGGCCCGGCGACTCTTCCTTTCCTTTAGGAGATTCTGATTGCAAAATTGTCAAAGTGCTCCATACTTACTCCATCGCTAACATTTCAATGGCACTAAAAACTACCCATATTAATATTATAATATAGGAGCTTGATGTGGCAAGCACAAATATCAACTCGTGCTAATAATAAGTAAGCATATGCATGTAACCCGTTGACGACATCCGGAATTATATCCTCTCGTATACGATAGAGCCATTACCTGGTTGATAGCCCGATTTCCGCTTTGTGGATGCACGAAGTAACCCTACATTATCTTCATGGTCGGTTTCAATAGACGGCTTCAAGGCCCTGTCTGCTTCGGAGGTGAATGTGCAGAGTACATGGGCCACCACCTTAAGAGACGATAATCGACACAAACCCCTTCACAAAACCTGAATCTGTTTCGGGGAAGGAGCTTCATGGGACAGGGATCAGGCACTCTTCTCCGACAAATACTGGAGCAGACTTTGGATATATCACGCATATCCCTGTCTGGAAGCTTGGGAGCTCCCTTTGATGCCATGCTTCCTTGAGTCCGGAAAATTATTCCACTTGATCGGTCGCTTGTCGTTGTTACCTAGCAGCGAGAGCTGTTCAACTCACTCAGTTGACAGACAAGCGGCTGACCCTGAACATCTCCCTTGGCCTAGCTTCTTCAACTCTACGGGATTGCGATCAAAGCGGGCAGCAATATATGCACATTTCACAGCTCAACGGGAGTAATCTCCTACCATCTCTAGATACCCTTTACAGCGTGGAATGATAAACCCCCTAAATACTACTCAGAACTTTGTAAGTTCTACAAGCGGGATGTTGTGTCCAAGAGAGCTTCCGAGTGGCCCAGGTCACCTACCAATGGGGCTGTCAGACCATACACCATGGTCAGGTGTCGAGCCTTCGATTATACGAAGTTCTTCTCCGACTTTACATACCGATATATAATTTTCTTTTATCCTAGTAGGCTGGGAAGCATTCCGTCTAAATGCAGACATCGATATCTAGAGGCCCCCACTTGACGGAGCCGGCCCGGCATATCGTCGTGCTTAGAATCACCGATGCTGTCATGCTCGCATCGGCCTGAACTCGGAAAACGAGGTTCCTACCTGGTGCTATATGTGGTGCCTGGTTATAATGCTTGTTGAACCTAACAATGAGCTGCATCCTACATCTCCTTCCAGCACTTCATTCACGACAGTGCATAAAGTATATGATGAGCACCGTGCATATACTTAATTACCCTGATGATTTTTTTTTTTTTTTTTTTTTTTTTTTTTTTTTTTTGGTGAATTGCTCATCCGTCAGGTCTTTATCTCCGCAGATGTTCAACTTTAGGTTCGATTTGGATAGAGGCATGATTCTATCACCTGTAGATCATACTCTTTTACTTCATATGGCTAATGTGGACGGACATCTTCATGCATTTGGCCTAAAAACTCCTCTTTAATAGAGCGTATATGGTAAATTCTCAAAACTGACATTGAAATTGGCGTTTAATCGGAAATTGCGCCGGCAGTCAGGGAGGTAGTAGAAGGAGAATTGAAGATTGAACTGTTTACAGCAACTTGGCGGCGCTGCCATGACTCTCAGCCCTTTGATACCCTTTCTATAAGGCCTATTAAACTTCCTACAGCCCGTCACACCCATAGGCGGTGGCAATAGCAAGTTTCCGATATACAGCTCTTCATCTTATTGTTGTGGTATGGTGGTCTCAAGATCGCACTCGGCATATACTAGGCTATTCTTGGCTGTCACAATTCACTCCCAGTCTGCAATCGTAAATGCTCGTTTTCGCGATTGTTGTCTTGTCTTCCTACTTTGCGAACGACCGGGAGGTGAAGGTTGGATTATGTGCTTCCATCTCGATAGGGGCTTGGTATCCTTCCAGCTCTGACACTGTTCCCAAGCCCTGACTTGTTTCTTCGTCTAGTACCCTCTTCACTATCGCTCCTAGGTCATCAGAAAGGCCATAGACAGGCTTTTGACCCGTTATATCCTCTGCTTTTTCATAAATTATTGCTTGTTCCTGGAATTCTACTTGTCTCCGGCGAGGGCGATAAACGAAACAAAACCACCCTATTATGATGGATGTTGCAATCACAAATAATCCTCCTATTATGCTCCCGACGATTGCACCCGTATAATCGCGAGCCATATTCGGTATTGGTACTCTTGTTTGGCCAGGGGCAGGAGCTGTGCATTCGTCGATACTATACAATACCCATGAGGTATTGTAGCACGTTGCTATGTCAGCAACCTGGGCTACAGATGACGAACAGGGCTGACCGGCAATGTCGTCTCTGCCATATAATGTTACTATGAGACAAAGTGATGAAGGTTAGTGTATGTTGTGGGAAGTAAAACAAAATAAGACGATAATCTGCTGCTTGATTTGGGAGGTCTTTCAGTTCGCAATCAGGGCATATTGAGTGTTTTTTAAAAAAAATGGAAGAAAGTATGAAAAACACGTCTCTTTCCCTACCAGAGCAGCCATCGTCGAGATTGACAACCTGAAAGCTACCATATCCTCCGCTCCTTTCGAGCCTTGAACACGTCCCATTTGGGTACCCGTTAGGCCCGTCAAATGATGATAAGGAGTCCTGACAATTTACATCGGAAAACGTTGCAATGCTTGACGTGGATTCTACAAGGCTCCCATGTTGTAGTAGTACTATCAACATAAATGCTAGAGTAGGAAACCCTGCCGAGGAGGGCCATGAGCAGGATACCAGGCCCACCATCTTGTCCTACTGGAATGTAGGAGACGAAGATCAAAACCTGAGGGAAAGGGAGCAAAATTTCCGGCTTCCAGCAGCCCTGGTAGCAGATAAATAGCGGCTTGTTTAGTCCTCCACAACATGCTCTCATTGAGCAACGTTTGGGCAATCGTGTGGCCAGACAAAGGAAAGGAAAAGCCAGTCAGTGTGCCGTGGTAGACCTGCACTTGCTTGGCCTCAAGTGAGCTATATGCAATTCATGAACAGCCCAATCAATATAGATAATCCCACATTCGAGGCCGGACCAATGATCACCCCAGGTCTTATGTATATAGCACAAGACGGCCGTGGCTATTCTTGTCTTGCCTGAGTTGCATTTTTTTTATTCTTCGTTGGCCCCTTTCCTCCTCTGAGAGGGTGCTTTGGCTCTCTCGCAGCGAGGTAGTGCTGCGCCATCAAAAGTAACCTTCACGCCCCTTAAGCATGAGCGTTTCTTTTTCGCTATGTTAGAATATCTCTGATGTTACTCAGTACTCCGTACCTTCTCAGTAACTAGGCTCTTGGACGCGTGGCTTTTTCTTAGATGGCCCACGATGCAGCGCTCCTGGATAAACCAAGGGAGTGGTAGCTCTCCATCAGGCTGGAGGTGGTTGGGATGCTCAAATACTTTTTTTAGCAACAAGGGCGGTGGCCCAAACAGGGGAAGAGGCTCTTCTTACCCGATGAGCTTATTTGAACGAGCAACTTCAAACATGAAGTTGTTCGTTATTATGCTTGTTAGACAACTACGCAGCACCTTTTACGGCTCGGTGTCGATGATAACTCGGGTCTTTATCTAGCTATGAAGAAACGGATCATATTCATCGGATGAATATGCGAGATGTATACTCTGTTTTTCCACGATAACTATGACTACTGTGATAACGGATATATTCCAAATACAGAACAGTCCAACAGCCAGCATTCTGCTTGTTTCTATCGTACCGAAGGAAGCGATGCCTCAGTGCCCCATCTCAGAGTTAGTGGGCCTGACGAGACCCTCAAAGATATATATGAGCTTGTCAACAGCAAGTTATCATACTTCTCATGCTCCTTTCTATATGCCTTACTCAAATATTCGACGCGAATATTATCAAGTACAGGCAGGTTCACCTTACCAATTGAAAGGAATGGGAATGAAGCCAATAAAATAATTTACTATCCAGTGATATTGTCGCAAGTGCGTGAAACCTTCCGGTGCGGTCTCCCGTACACAAAGATACTTCTCAACAATGCCCGGGATACCCCTAAAGGCTCAACAGCAATGAAAGAGAAGAAATTTGCTGCATACCTAATTATCCGGAGTAGATTGCTGTATATATACACCAGACTACACAATGAGAGGCTCTACCGAGGCTCTCCTAGAATCCACATCCTCGGACCACGGGAGTCTCAGCAATTCAACCAGGTCGTTCCAGCGGCGTCATAGTACCCAGGCGCTTGAACCAAAGGACCCTCACCCGCGGTCATCCCACGTGTTTTTAGCCATCTGAAGAGGCTATATGATGCACGATTGTCCAGAGCGGACAGGACAAGGAGGGCCCTTTGGGAACTAGATGCACGAACTGTCTTGATTTGAAACTCGAGGCTCCAACTCCTGTTATATCGGGAAAAAGGAAGCTCCCACAACATCAAACAACCTATTTTAGCTCCTCATTTGACGGAGTTTCCCACTGCAGAAGGTCCCCAAATGACTCCATGCTGGGTGCTGAAACTCCTATCTGCTGGATATAAATTTATATAAGCAGGTTAGTTACATATATAAGCGAGTATTTGATCTGATTTCGTCATATTCCGTATCCCTCTGATAAATATTTAACAGCTTTTCGTAGGCCAAAAAAAAAAAAAAAGGAGATCATCAAGTGCGGTCAATTCGAGGTTTGTATTACTCAAGTTTAATAATGCCAGTATTGAATGATGCACCTCGGATGATCTGACTGAATAATGTTGGAAGAAGACGCTCATATACGATGATGGCATCTATATGGGGTAATTAGAAAGAGAGACGGGGTCGGATGGGTACTCCATGTTGTTGATAGCGCAGCTAACAGGCTGATATGGAGCATTGCATCTCATCGTCAAACATCGGGCTTCAGATCTACGTAACTCTGTACGCGCTCTCGATATCCACAACGCGACAACCAAAACGATTTTTCGTAAGGCGGACTCCGCTCTCCATATACAAACAAACAAACACCGCGGCCGCGGCCTCGTCGGTTGTCTCAGATGAATAATTAAACTCTCTCGGACCTTGGGCTAAGGGAAACAAGCCTTCCAAAGCCTCGAATTGATAATCCGTCCCTTTACCCGTCTGGTTCCAGCCTCTTTACCTTGTATCCTCTCAAAAGGGACTCTCGCACGGTCGCGCAGGACACACCAATTCTGTGCACGTACTCGAAAGTATGCTGCAATTATGGAGGATGGCCTGGATAATAATAGTGGGACACACGCGGCTCTCGCTGCTACAAAGGGGGTTACGAAAAGTGTGACTGCTGTGTGGCTGGCTTATCCCATCCAGCATCGCCATCGTTGCCGTCTCGCCAATATATGGGAACCGAGGTTTTGGAATCCAACGGCTCTACGGAGTTGGTTCCTACCTTGCCAGCTCTCGCCCTGCATGCGGCTTTGCTTAACGTCCGGTCCGACGGAAATTGCCAGGTCGAAAGGAGAGCCATTCTCCAAGCCAGGCTTTTCTTGTCTCTGAGCCCAACGGCATTGGTTTTAGCGCCGCTTAGTGACCAGTCAGGAATCAGTGAGAGACACACCAGGAGTTTTTCTCCAGGACGCAAGAGTTAGCCGTGTGATGCCCAAAACCTCCAGGTGTGTGCGAGGTGATGGGCGCCAAAAGCCGTGCAGTTGACTTGGCTGTCACACTCACAAAAAGTCAATATCGGGGGCTGGCCGCAGGGAATATACAGCAACTCTGGTTTTGCCCCCTTAACGGCTGGCTGTAATGGAGCCATTTCTTTCAAGCTCAACGACCGTGCAAATCGGAGATGTGGACCAACTAAAAAAGAGGAGAATTCCTTTTGCACGCTTCACCCGCTAACCATCTGATCAACAAAGCCCAGTTGTCTACAACGTAGTTGACTGGGCGAAGGAGTTTTCCTCCTTGTTACTTGCATTCGGATTACTCCTGGGTATGCACAAAGAGTCAAGCTTCTCATTGTCAGGGATCTTGTTCTCCTTTCAATCACCAAAAAAACCACTCTCCTCTCTCAACTCATAGGCCGAACATATCCTTTCTTGACTCGATGGCCGTTTAACCTTGTCATACAAGCGTTACTTATCACGTCCATTCTCGCTTGCCCCTCTGCTTCGACGGGGAGATCGAGCCCCCTGGACGTTCAGTGTTACGTCAAGCCCTCCTTTTCCCATCTACTTATATTCTCGTATCAGCGAAGTGTCGTGGTTCATCTCCTGGCAATGCGTGCATCGGCCTGTTTATAGACTGTGCGTGTTGTCGATGGAGCTTCTAAATTGACAATCACACATAGTTCTGTATAGGCAATGCGTGACTATACTTGACGAACGCATTTCAACACGACATTCAAACATATATTGACGAATGGATGCTCAACCTCCTTCAACCGTCGGTTCTCGAAGGGGAGTGCGGCTTCCCCCAATCCAAACAGCAAACAGGAGCTCAACTGTCCGTGTTAAGCCCCCCCTCCCGGAGGAGCTTGATAGCGAGGAGTCGGGAAATCGAGTTCCTCTTCGTCCCAAACAGCACGGATTCGCTATAAGGAAATGGTTTACGAGGTCAAAATCGCAACCATACATCCCTGGTAGAGATCCTCTGTTATCCGCCACGATAGCTCCTGAAGAACACGGTCTCCCCAGCCATTCTTTAGGATTAGCTTCACCACTTCATAACGCGAATGTCACTCCGATATCAGTCAAATCATCTACACCATTCCCCATTACCAAAGACGACATATCAGCCGCTGTTGGAGAGCCAGGAGCTTTATCAGCATGGGACCCTCCGCCTTTTTTTATGGCGTACCCCAAGGCTGTGAAACATGCCACCCTGCCGTGCCCTATCCTGTCCACTGATGAAATACTGCGTCGTAAGATGCGTCGAGACCTAAAGGCCAGCCACTCTCGCGACAAAACAATGGATGGTGATAGCAATATGGATGGACCTGGGCATAAGGGTGTTATTAAATCGAAAACTTGGAAGAAAGGGAGAAAATCGCAATCCAGGAGCCAGTCTAGCTTCTCGTGCGGTCTCAAATGGTCCCAGAAGATATTCATATTGGCGACAAGCGGGCATCTACTTCAATATGGTATCGACGGAAACTTTGATCGACTCCCTGAGGAAGTACTTGCACTAGGAGGGGATTCAGTTGCATTTGCATGCGATGCAATTCCTGGCAGACATTGGGTTTTACAGATCTCCCAGACTCAAGATGATGTTGAACCAAGCCTAGAGCCGAAGAAGACAATATTAGACCGGTTTAGGCGCACCAGCAATGCAGAGCCACAGAAACCGACGAGCAGTTTCTTACTTATCCTGGATAGCGCTGAAGAACTGACGTCCTGGCTTACCTTCGTCCGGCGTGCAATACAAACTCTTGGAGGCAAAGACTATCCTCCTGAAACGCTTGGAGTCAATCAGCTGCAACCTTCGCCATTGACGTCCGAAACCGTCAAGGGAGTCGTTCGGAAAGGCAGCGTAGACCAGGCCTTGTCGTCTACACCAAGTGTATGGGATGACCAGGTATCTGTACCTGGATTGACCAGGCGCGAAAGCCAGAGATATGTGCAACCACCAGCTGAGAGATCCTCCCCGTCGTCTTTGGCAAGCGTTGTGGAACTAGACAGCCTCAGGCGCAATTCGAGACTATCTTGCGTTTCCATTGGAACTCGAACAATGCCAAGTTCGCAATCCTCGTCTTCATCTGTTACAGTGAAGACTCCAACCCCAAAAAGCCCATGTAGGGAATCACCCGGAACCTCTCGCAGTCCTCGTCGGATGGCAAGTACCGACTTGGGGTTTAGACGCAAGTCTTTTGTCAGGGCCTGTGGTAATTTAGAGGATCTTATCACCGAGACACCGCTGCCACCGCTCCGCGCAGAAAGCCACCTTGTTTGCACTCCGAACTTCAGCCACCCGATTGTCAACAAACGAAATTCGATAGCAATGAGCCCCAAGACAATATCTTTCCCGGTTGAGAGTGGGCCATGTCAAAGTCCTGTTTTACATGTAATTCCAGCTTCCGAGATGTTCCATGGGCCCAGTATAGGGCCCAATATTGCCACAAAAATTAATTCCACTCATGAATCACCTCCGCGAAGAAGGGGAAGTGCTAGTAGTGATCTACTTGATTCTGAAGGGGCTTACAGTACCGCTGGAACTGATAGTAGTGAGACACAAGAGCTGGATGATGATATACCCTCTTTAATACCTATTTCACCCCTTAGACGGACCCATCAGACAAGAAGGTATTCGTCCTCTGATGGTATGCAAAGTTTCAATCGACCTATCTCTGAATACCGACCTGCCCTCTCTACTCTCAGGGATGAACCGGTGGATATTCCCGGTCTATCTTCAGGGTACAATACAATAAGCAACCCACGCAGTCGCCCAAGGCCGCAAAGCCTAGGCCCAAGGGCTTATAGCGAACCTAGAATCAAGGTTTGCCGGAATTCCCGCCATCCAAGCCCCAGCTCAGAGCTCAACCAAGACTCAATTGGACGCCAGCGGTCTAATACTGCAAAGTCTTGCAATAGCAGGAGGTCATCTTTGAACTCCCTCTCAAGCCGGAAAAGCATGCCTCAAATTCCACATGGACCCCCTCCAGCTCCTCCGCCAACTTGCCCTCTACCAGAAGTGCCATCGCTTGCTATTCCCGAGGCATTGCCTCCATACGAGTCAAAACGACTGAGCATTATCGGCTGCCAATGACTACCGCAAAAGAGCGCCGATTAATATCTCGGCAGATGAATGATAATTACCTTCTGCACACATACAGTCATCTTGTTAAAAATAAAACAAAATGCAAAAGGAAGGGGAGAAAGGAACAAAAAGAAAAAGACGATCCTATTCAGATTGTAATGCATACCTTTGCCGTCATTTTTTCACATTGCATCCGTATCCGTTTTATTTTTCGAAAGCATTGCATTTCTTTCTCCTATCGAGTCATGGGTTCAACCCTGCTGGGTATATTCTTATCAAGAATTCTATGCCAATATGCAACCCATGATACCCTCGATGCGTTTATCTTCCTCGGAATTCAAGTGCGTGTCTCACCAACGCGCTATTTGGATTGGACATATAACTCCATGCATGTACCATATAACCCCATATATTGAACTATATACCCTGATGTCTACCAGTGTTCCATCTGTACGCTACCTACGGGGGAATGATTCCGCTGAAAACTGCACACCGGGTACCCCGAGTCCATTCTCTTACCTCTCTTTTTCGACTTTTATATCAGTTCAACCACATCGATATCCAATATCGTCCAAGCATCATTTCATTGCTTCCATTTTCTTTTCTTTCCCTCATTTATTTTCTTATTCTATATAGATACATTCTTTCTATATATGTCTTTCAACCTCTTGTATCCTCTTTTCTTTTCCATTGGATACAACTACTAGGATTACGATATTACCAAACTGGGTCACAGGAGAAGCTGGAGCTGGCTTCACTGCTTCTATCCAAAATTCATGGTTTCTTATGTTTGTTCATTTTCTAATATTTATTCAGGCACTTCGGCACTTTGGTTTTCTTTTGCACTCCTTTTCTTCCCTACTTACCCCTGGGTTTTTTGCATCCAATATCCATAACATTTTGTAAATTGATCTGTGTTATAAAAATAATAACATATTTATTATCAACCCCATGACAAAAAGCATTAGATCCTGATAGCACATGAATACTAAGATACTATAATATAATATAGTTTGGCATGTAATAATATTACAGAAATAAGGTTAACGCCAGATTTATTTTAGGGTAATTATTCATACATCGTGATATATAAACCAAGCCCTTGAGGAAGATGAAGAGTAAAAAGGCGTTGAGGAAGGAAAGGGGAATAGGAAGTTGGAAGATAGAAGAGGCAAAAGTCAGGTGGTTGGAGGCACAAATGAAGCAATAAAGGTAGAATGGTAGTCGGCTATAAAACAATGGTAGGCGTGGGGTATATAGAAAAGGGGTCTTAATTGGATTTTGGCCTACCACCTCGAGACTACTCTTCTTCGGCATCCTCTACGCTAGCTGCAAAGGCATGTTTACCGGGTGACTGCTCAGAAGATTTATTCTGATTTGCCTTTTCATTAGATACGTCTGGTGCGGTGGCGGGTTGATCCGTAGCAGGAGCTTTTTCAGTAGCTGTGGGGGGAGCAGCTGTGGATTTTGAAGGCTTGGACTTTGACGGCTTTGACGATGAGCCATCTGTCTTCTTAGACCTCTTCTTTTTCTTAGTCTATATATAGATACGAGATTAGTCCACGACCATTTGCATGCCAAAGGATAAACGACTTTAACCAGGTAGAGTAGTAAAGATTAACAACGTACCTCTTGCCAACCCCATACGGGTACGAAACTCTCAAAGAACCCAACATCTTCAAACAGGTTCGGGAATAGCCATAATCCGGGCGAAGCAACGAAGAATGTGACTGCGAAGAGAATAAGACGGAAGATGGCCATGGCGAAGAACAGACAGAGCAATCCCATCATGCCAACACTGAGATACCAGACACCCTGTCTAAGCATGATCGGCCACAAAGGGAACATGACAACAGCCATGATGGCAGCTAACACTCCAGCAGCCATTGCCTTCTGCTTCCATTGGGGCCCTTCATATAGCCAGACATAGTGGGACATGGGATCGGTGTCTTGATGCTGTTGTATGCGGACAGTCCACAGGCCCTTGACTCTACCTTTCTTAGATGGCGGTTTCGCGTGGTCATGACCTTCATGGGGATCGATCTTGGTCACCTTCAAGGCCAGAAGGGACATTGGTAGAAGCCTGAATGCGTTTTCGGCAGATGCTAGATCGGTGACCGGTGGCAGGTTGGATTTGGGCTTAGCGGACGCTTTGGCATAGGCAGGAGACTGAAGGGCTCGCAATGCTCGTTTAACTATGAGTCGTTAGTATACATCAGATATAATACTCGGTTATAACATTTGAATGGAACATACCCTTGAACAATTCCTTCCTTCGGCCATCCAAGATGCAGACTCTCGGCTTCAGGTTCTGTGACCTCAAGAACTGCGCAACTGCTATTCCCTTTGGATCTGGCGGGGCGTTAGAATTTACAGGAACTTGTTGTTGCTGCTGCTGAGGGTGCTGGTGCTGGTGCTGGTGCTGGTGTTGTCCTTGCTGGCCCGCCTGTCCCTGTTGCTGTTGCTGCTGCTGCTGCTGCATCTGGTGCTGTCGTAAGGCCTGAGCCTTCAGTCTATGGATAAACTGCTCGGTAGTAAGGCCTTGTCTCGCAGCCTCTGCCGCAATCTGTTCTCGCTGCATCTTGCCAAACTCCTCGACTGTCATTCCACGCCTTTGCGCCTCCGCAGCCATCTGCTGCTGCATCATCGCAATCTGTTCCGGAGTTGGACCCGGAGCGGCCATGGCGACGGTGTCCTCGACTTATGTACTCCCCAAAAACAAGCAAGCGAATGAAGCCAGAGTGTCACAGAGCGTTGTCTCGTTGGTCGGATGAGCGATGGATGGCTGCGGGCAAAAAAAACACTTGGGAAGTTCAACAGTGTCCAGATCGCTGATTAGATAAGCCAAATATCACGTGATATAATATCGCGCCCGGCGCTAAAAAGTAAGAAAACGTTGACGGCGAGCGAACAACAGCAGGTATCAACGACATCCAGATAGACGGCGACGACGGAGTGCGGCTTCAAGAGCCTACAATGGTCAATTGGCGTCTAGACTGGCTGACGAGTTGAGCTGGTCCCAGAGCGGCTAATGCGGGACTTCGACCCTGACAAAAGCGCTTCCCTTTACCCGCCATGGAACACTGTTGAACTGGTACGTCAGGGATGCCGGCTGTTGATATGTAAAGGACTTTGCTAATAGCTGTCCTGTTTACAGTCTCAAAGAGATGCTTCGCTCCAGATACCCCTTGACCATGTGACAGTTCCTGCAGTGTCGCTTTCAGCGGCCTGTTTTGGTGATGGGCGGTACGAAGAGAACCCGACAAAGAAATGCGTGTCCAACCTTCTGTCGGTTGGCTATAGGCGTCTATATGTGGACGTATACTGGTCTCATAGGGAAGGACTATGGAGCCTCTGTCCGATAGACACTAAGCGCGTCGACTCAACTCCAAGCACATCAAGTAGGATGTCGCCACAAGAAAGGACTTCAAGTGCAACATCCGCTGCCCCCACTACAACCTCAATAACTGCCAGTATCAGGAAAAGAGACACAATATACCACATGGGGCCGTATTCATGTGCAAAGTCACTCGGCATTTCAATACTTTCTGATATCCTCAAGGATTATTTCAAGACGACTGAGAATACCCTGAATGCCGACATGATGTTTTTGATCATAAACGTGCATGCTTCTGCTTCATCGGATTTCCCGGAGGAGCCTTCCGGAATGCCTAGCTTGGAAGACCTTCCTCCTCCACCGCTATTACTTGGAAATATCATTGGAGAGGCTCTGGGCAGATCCATCTACAGCCCCAAACAATTGATGGAAAATCGTCGGAATCTCCGCGAATCTTGGCTCTCCGTTTCTGCCCCATATCAGCCGATTCCCGAATATTTACAAACCACCGTAGATGGGAAAAACCATCTCGTCACATCTTCCGGGTGGCCATGCACAGGCTACGCTGTTCTATCTCAAGCCACAAGGCTCGTCATGGGCTGGGGTACAATCGACCACCAGATGTCATCTTACAACTTCACAGGCGACGATTTAGTCTTTCCACAAGGCTCTCTTGAATCTCGCATAGACGTGGAATTTACTTCAGCCTCTGATCTCACCAAAGGGTGCCTCTATGACGCAGATACCACAACCCTATCAAAGATTGAGCGCCCTTGGGCAGTGGCAGTACTTCCTTCCCGCAACACATCCAACGAGCTGTCACTATTGACCCGTCAGCTGGCATCTTGTGGAATCTCAGCAATCGTTAACCATACACTCTTCAATGTAACAGCAGATACTGATATCAGTCCTTACCAGAACGTCTCGTTTTCCACTACGTGGTCTTGGGCACAAGATGAGCCTCGCAATTCCACTCGAGCATCCACCCCGAAGACAAAAGATTCATTCCGCTGTGCAGCCATGCATGCAGTATCATCAGGCAGATGGCATACTCATGACTGTAATGATGTATATCGCGTCGCCTGTCGGGTTGGAAGTTCGCCACACGAATGGGTTATTTCTGAGCATGCAACAACCTATTTTAATGCCGAGAAGGCTTGCCCTGATAACTCCTTGTTTTCCGTCCCAAGGACAGCACTAGAGAACACCTATCTCTATGCAAAGCTTGACTCGAAGTCCAATACCACTGCAATAATTTCACCCGATATTGAAGATAATAACAGCACTGAGGTACTCTGGATAGATTTCAACTCTGCTGACGTACCTACCTGCTGGGTTACTCATGGCCCCAAAGCGCAGTGCCCGTATGAGTTGGATAATAACGAGATTGAAAGGAGGGCCATTATCGTACCAACCATTGCTGCTATTATCGTCCTGATTGTAGCTGCCTTGACTTTATTTGTCAAGTGTAATGCAAATAGGCGAAATTCAAGGAGACGGAGAGTCATTGATGGATGGGATTATGAAGGTGTACCTTCATAATGCTGTATTATTATCTTCTGGAGCTTCTGGTTTGATGGAGTTGGTACATCGGTAGTTCACTGATTAAAGTCTAGGGCTGTTGTACATTACATATCTTACATATTCGTCTATACATACTTTCTCTATGCTAAAACTCCAAGCATATCATCGACCAGCGCAAACTTCTCTCTGGGTTTACCCCTGGTCTGTCCACGATCCCTTTCTACCCGATCTATCTCCTCCCAGTCTTTCCAGCTAGTTGGCCATAGACCTCTCTTCTCGGCATCGGGGCGAACGCCATCCCATCCCAGACCCGTACTCTCCTCTCCAGATCTTGAATTGAGAAATTCCATCTTATTACTTCCCCGATCACGATGTACCTCCCAGTCAGCTGCAATGGCATCAGCCGTCGCAAATGCATCTGTCATAGTTGCAGCAATGACCCCTGTCGGACCTCGCTTGACCCATCCTGCACAGTACACGCCGGGTACATGGGTGGGGACACTATCGCCCTCACTGGCTGAAGGGATAGTAGTCAAAACCCTTCCCTGGCCATCGTTTGGTATCAAGCCACGGGAAGCATCAAACGGAACAGCAAGCTCGTCGAGCCCTGGAAGCGGACATGCTTTGTAGCCTATACTTCTAAAGCATAGGCTAGCCGATATATCTATATGAGCTACCTTGCCATCATCCGCCAAATGGGGCGAAATAGATGCCGAGGGTGAGTAAGGATCGGCGGGATCAAGCTGGTTACGGCTGAATGTAATATGTGACAAACGGCCGGGATTTTCTGATGAAGAATGGAACGAACGAGGAGAAAGGAGGAAATCAAGAGACCATTTTTTGGCCGAGCTTTCAAGGCTGGTTGGTGAGCCTTTGGCAAGGAGTTGGGTGATTCTTTTATTCGCTCTGGGAAGCCCAGATATTATCGAGTCGGGAGGAAGTAAGTTACTGGCTATAGGTTCAAATCCAACTAAAGGCAACTGCATAAGCTCTCGAACTTCTTTAATAGTGAAAGCGGCCTATATCCGCATGTTAGCCACACAGCCCCGGATGCTAGCAGCTCAAAGCAAGGCTTACCTGCATCGGACCACGACGTCCAACCACTCTCACCCTTTTCACTCTGCTTTTTGCAAGTTCCTCAAGAGCATATTCTGACATGTCTGTTTTCCGCAGGACATCGACATCAGATAGTAACACTCTAGCAACATCAAGAGCCACATTGCCCTGTCCAATTATGACTGCATCTTCTCCGCTGGCTAAATCGGGCGATAGATTTCTATATTCTGGTAGCCCGTTATACCATCCAACAAAAGCCCTAGCGGAGAAAATTCCTGAAAGCGATCTTTCGTTTGGCAGGCCTAGCTCCCTGTCTTTGGAAGCTCCGTAGGAGAAGAGAACGGCGTCATAGTGTGGTTTCAGAGACCTCAGTGGGAGACTGCCACCCAATTCGATGTTTCCAATGAAATTGAACCGTGGAGATGTCGCAACCTCGGTGAATTTATCTTGACAGTTCTAGAGCCAACTCCGTATTAGCTATTGAATTTTGGTAAAAGGTACCCTCTGAGTCAAATGCGGCCTACCTTTACCTCCGGATGGTCTGGAGCCACACCATAGCGTACTAGACCGAATGGCACTGGTAATTGCTCGTACATATCAACAATGGCTTCCGGAACCTTTCCCATTAACCTATAAGCAGCATAGAACCCGGCTGGCCCAGAGCCAATAACCGCAACACGGAAGGACCGTGGTGCCGCTGCACTGCTGTATTGGAAGCATTGTATCGAGCGATGGAGGCGTCGGCTCAAGCGCTGGCCGAGCCGAGCTTTCGGCCTTTGACGGGCAAAGAATAACATTATTTAATATGAGCTGTGCTCCATTGTTTGTGACTGTCCAATCTTTCTTTCCTTTCACTGTTTTGCGAGTCGTTGAAAAATGACGGAATTATTAATCAGATAAGAAGTGCCAAGGCCAAGACTTTACAGTTAATCTTATCTGATCCGATCCTATCATGTGATATGAAATCCCCAGGTGCGCCTGGCAGTTTGACCCATTAATATTGCATTAGCCGTTCTCGCGATCGGATGTCAGGGTAACTTAATTCCAACCATCTCGGTGTCCTTCACCCCACGGCTTAGCATACATGCCAAGTTATGGACGTCTCCCTCAAACGGTGCAGTACATATTAATAATGCATATGCGGGTGTTCCATAGTTATCCAGCAGGGACGGACAGCTAGCAAACCAGCAACCTGCGTCTCTATCTATCTTCTGACTGCCTGCCTCTCGTCGGCTTTTATCCTCCAGCCCGTATCTGCTCTCTACGCTGTCTATGCATTTCTACAGCCGCACATCCGATAAAGCAGCATGACGTAATAGACTTACATAAGCAGAAGCAACGGAGATCTCGTGACGTTGGTTGCCAAAACGGGAAACTTGCGAGCTTCAACTTCGGCTCTTTTTTTTTTTTTTTCTTTTCTCACTTCACTTCGACTTTTACAGCTCGACGAAGGACGCGAAGAGGACATGAAGCGTTTCGTGTCCTGACAGCGGACGCCTCACTTGACCCACGCCTCGCTACGAGCCCAGCTTCACTAGTTGACATGCCGCCTGATCTAAATTCACTCCCTCCATCCACGTCCTCTTCTCCTTACCAGAATCGCAGAGTCAGCCTGTCAATGGATAGCAGCAACGGCAGCCTCGCGCACTCGCTTTCCCCTCGATCATCGTCGATCTCGCTACAGGCCACAGCAACCATGAATGCGGCAGCAGACTCGTCTCGCCGTTCCTCCTCTGGAGCCCACCGCGGCTCGCCTCAGACAAGACTCTCTGAGCGTCGTCGGTCTGGAGCTGCCAATCTCCACGAAGCCTCCCATTCTGACCCTACCGGCACCGAGTCTCCTCAGAATAGACACAATCGCTCTTCGTTTGGGAGTGTTTTCAGAACTCATAGTCCTACCAGCATTGCTGGAAGCCCTGTGATTGCTACTGGAGACCCCCACCATCAGCGTGCCCCTTCACTTGGCGAGCTGCACCAGGAGCTTGAGCAGGAGCAGGAAGCTCAAGTTGTAAGACATACAGCGTACCTACCTTGTTTATCCGTGATACACGTCATATTTACTCTTTTCTCTTCACATAGAATCGACTCTTGTTGATGATTCGCAACCAGCAAGCCCAGTTGCAGCAGCTTCAATCACAGCAGCAGACCGCAGCAGGCGGCGGGACAGCCATCGATGACTCAACTCCCACCTCTGAGAGATCATTCTCCTTCCCACCTATCCCACCGTTACCTGTTGCTAGCCAGCGAATCCCCATTCCTACTGGGTCTAACCTCTCTGCCCGACGGGGCTCGAACGCTGCCATGTCCCCGCTTACCTCCATTCACCCTGCCGGGACACAGGGAGAGACCGGCACTAGCGCGGGGAGCAACGACTGGCTCCAACTCTCGGATTCTAATGGCCGTCGAGGCAGCAGAGATGAAAACTCTTACTACCAAGCTGAGACAGCTGCTTTGTCTAGAGAGAATCAGATGCTCAAGGTTCGCATTAGGGAACTAGGTATGTTGTTAATTCATATCTTAGCTTATGCATTAAGTCAATATAGTTGCTGATTTTGATCTATAGAGCGACAAGTAGCTGAGTTGACTGCTAATAATAGCCAATCATCACCATCAGCAACCCAGCCAAGTGAGAGTACTCAGCCAACTCCCGCTGCGTCTGCTACCACCTCTGCTGCTACAACTGATGCTGCTACTGAGAGCAACCCGCAGACACCAACAGTCCAGGGCAGCTCCGGGCCATGAAAAAGATAACACCTTGAGTGAAACTAAAGGTAACAAGGTGTTACTACATTAACTACCATAGCACGCATGATGCGCATCCATATAAGCAGCAAGGAGAAATGCGACCCGCCCATAGTATGTTAGGACTGCCAATAGTACAACAAAAAGGCTCTAAACAAGCCCTGTGAATGGGATCTAAAATAACAAAGCAAAAATACCAAAGAAAGAAAAAAAAAGAAAAAAAATTGGGGAAACCACAAGTGAATCATGTAACATTACAGGAATATTTCTTATCTTTTGACCTGTTTTTTTTTTTTTTTTTTTTTTTTTTTTTTTTTTTTTTTTTTTTTTTTTTTTTTTTTTTTTGATTGATGCTGCTGCAACTATGGAAATTGATGATTGGGCCGGAATGGATAACCGAGAGTGGTCTCACGACCTTATCGATATTTTTCCGAGAAAGATATCTGCGTCTTGCAGTTCTCTTCGAAGATTATGACGCGAGCACATGTATTAAATAGAGACCCCCCAACTCGTACGGCAAGCAAAGGAAGCAAAGAAGATTTACTATTTGAAGCCATGAGAATTACGGTCTATCAGGAATTGGATTGACTAACGGTAGAAAAGACTGCTATGTATGTGCTGTGTATAGAGATAAGAAGATCGAGAATAAAGAGCATCTAAATTGTACAGAAGAAATGGCTTATATGTAGAGCCCCCTTTTGTTTTCGTGCCGGAGCCTGAACTCCGCGTATCTCAGGAAATGCACGAAACAATATAAGTCTAAGTGTATGTATACGGCCTTCTCTACAGCTTGGCCTTTTCGCTCTCCTTGAGAAGATCGGGCATCAACATATCTCGGACTTCACAGGCAGCCTCGTTGAGGTAGAAGCTCATCCTCTCTGCGCCGATCTTCTTGCAGACGATGTTGAATTGGAGGCTACGAATCATGTTAGTTCATGTATTAGTAGTAAGTATAGCAGTTAGGAATAAATATTTACCTGTTCTCGTTGATCATATAAGCGATTCCGAAGCCTTCGTCAATGACCTGGCTCCATCCGTATCCATTGAAGTACTCAGAGCTAAGCTGGCTGGTACTTAGGAACCAGGAGCCGCTGTAAGCGTATGTGGGATCTTTGAAGAGCGAAGGAACCTCCTCTCCGTCGCGAATGAGCTTCTTCAACCCGAAGAGGTGTCTGTCAACTCCCTTTCCAACGCTGGCTTCAGCGGTGTACTTGGAGTGGGCTGCAACAGCGGCACGGAACAGTTTAACGAGCTCCTCCCTCGACACAGATGGGTCCGCCTGAGCCTTGCAGAAGGCCACGCTGTCGTCTGATACGGAACGAGTGGTTTCGGTGCGGCCCAGCTTGTACTTGCGGGTCGAGGCGGATTCATAGGTAGGTCTGTTCTTGCCGTACATCTTGAAATAGGCGAGCTGAATGAGCATTTGGACGTAGGCGTCTGGGCTGCACTTGAATTTTTTGATGAGGCCCTTTCCGTAGGCCTGGAAGGCCTGGACACGAAGCTCATGCTTGTTGATGAGGGCTTCGAAGTCCCTGGTAGCCGTGGAGATGTCCTCAAGGATAGCAGGGTTGAGCTCGAAGTTGATGGGCTGGGGTTCGGGGAGGTTGGAGCGGATGGATGGGTTGGAGTAGTCGAGAGCGTTGCTGAAGATGAGCTGGCTGACATAGTCGTTGAGACGGTGAGTAGGGGTGCCGTCCATCATGGAGTGTTCGCCGAGAAATCCGGCTGTACCGTTCTCGTTGATGACGAAGTTGAGTGGCTTGTCATACCAGCGGTTGGCGCCATCTCCGTGCCAGTAGACGTGGGCACGCTCCTCAAGGGTGACTGGAGATGCATCATCGAGACAGACGAAGAACGAGGAGCTCTCGATGGTCTTCAGGGCCTCCTCATTGGCAGGGCTGGCAGCCAGGAGTTTCTTGCGGGCAGCAGTCCAGAAATCACGGTTGGCGGAAGTCAGGGCCCCCACGGCGGGAACTCGCTCGGCCTTCTTGATGATGGTTTCGAATTGTTTCTGGAACTCGGAGGTGTTGAGCTGCTGGCCATTGACTGTGGTTGGAACCTTGAACATCTGATTCTTGCGCATGACAATAATGTGTTCATTCCCCTTGGCCGGGTATTGCTGCGCATAATCTTCGCCTTCGGCTGGGATACGGCAGCAATTGAACATGTACTGATACGAGCTCATGGCCATGGGCTCCTTACGCAGGTACTCTGGCTCAAGAGATCCATCATCGACCTGTCTCTTGAACTCCAGCACGGAGCTGGTGATGGCAGCAGCTCGCTTAGCTGGGTCCCGTCGTTGTCTGTCGTCCCGGTACGAGTAGAAGTAGCTGACGTATGGCACAACCGGGTCACGGTAGGCAAGGTAGGCACTCTGATTCCACCATTCGTATAGCCAGTTGTCGGTCTTGGGGTCCTCACTCCGAGCAATTAGGCGCTTCTGCAGGACCTCGCCTTCACCACCAGGCTTGATGAAGTCTGATACGGCTTTTTCTGTCTTCTTGTACTCCTCAGCGGAGAGCAGCGGGTGCACCGACTTAAGATACCGTCGTCCAGTCTCCTCCAAGGTAGGCACAGGCAGCTTCGGCAGCGAGTCTTCAAAGCGGAGCATCTTCCCCTTTGACAAGTCCTCTTTGTACCCTATCAATGCAATATTAGCCTGGCATCCCTCTCATCTGGCGCAAAGCTGCCTGATCTGCCACTCACCTGCTGGTACAGAGGAGGCAGCACGTCGAGGGGCCATTGTTTGAAGAGACTATAGCCAGCATGTTAGACCATCAAGAATAATCCAAACGACCTGCTTCTTTGTCTGGCAGAAGAATTGCGGCGGACCAGACAGCCAGCAAGACTGGGGGGGGATAACTACATACTGTGAGACGGGGAGAGGGGCGGGTCGCGGAAGCACGTCCAAGAGCTGATAGACGGCCTCTTACAACAGCAGTGAACATTCCCAGGTGATCAAGTGGTCTAGTGGGAAAGATTCAAGTATCAGCACGAGTCTGCCAGCGGAAGAAGAGGCAGAAGTTCGACGGAGCTGAACTCGAGTGTTTTATGAGAAGAGCTGCGACTCTCCCTTCCTTTCATCCTCGGCTCAAGTGCCTTAGGATGGAGAAAAAGGAATTATGTGCAGGGGAAAAGGCGCCTTTGCGCCACGCCAGATGACCAGATAACATGACGGCGGCTTTCTGCATCTTCTACCCAACTACGACTACGTCGTCTTCGGCGTCGATTTCACACCTTTTATCGCCGTTAAAAAAGTACTTTCTTTCCCTCTTTTTACTCGAAAAGAATAGATTTTAATGGCCAACAACTTGCCAGGTCACCTGACTTTTCGCCGAAAAAACTTCCGAACCTCGGCTCGTTGAAAACCTTATTAGTAATACAATTTTTATATACTTCACAAGGAAAAAGGAGGGAAAAAAAAAGAGAAAAGAGACGATGACAACGAGATGTAGAGAAAAATACGGACGGAAAGACAGTAAAAGTAGCTAAATGATGATGAGATAGTAAACAAGATGATGTCGCTTGCAGAATAACGGATATTGATAAGAAATATGAACAAGAAAGGGCAAAGAAAAAAAGAAGAAATTGAAAGAAACGGGTGACATCAAGAAACGGGTTCCACGGCAGTCGATGTTGATGCTTGGACGGCAGGGGGCTCGTCTGCGTCCTTCATAGTCGTGTCGGGATCCCGGTTGGAGGAGAGATGTAACTCGACACCCTTGCGGCCCTTGAGGCCAGCGGGAGTGCAGATACGGCCGGTGCGCATCATGTTTCGCAACCTCTTGCGACGGGCCTCTCCCCCCCTTTCTTCGCCTTTGGATGCGCCCTCGTCTACCCAGGAGATCTCTTCTACCTTGAAGCTCATTCCGTCATGATTTTTGCCCCAGGAACGTGACTTCAGGCCGTACATCACGCTACTCTCATAGCGTTCCAGCGTGGGAAGAATCAGGAGCTTGATGTGAAGGTCTTTGTCTGGCGGCGGTATCGGGGGAAGCTGCTTGCCTTCGACTGGTTCCGCAGCTGTAGGTGGTGGTTGGGGACCCTCTGATTGAGCAGTTGAGGTTGGGTCGGATCTAGTGCTATTGCTATGAACGGATGGAGTTCTGTTGGAGGATGGCGTTGTCTTTCCATTGGCTGCCGTGACATTGCCATTAGCAGTGACAGTTGTGGTGGAAGACTTGCGGTTGTCTTTCAGCTCGAGATTGAGCATTGACACATCGACATCTTCAGCCCACTCGCCTCGAATGAATCCCGAATGGATGGCTGCTGCGACCGGGTCAGAGTCGTCAGTGTACACACCGGTTCCCCATAAGGCACGGCGCGCACAAATTTCTTCACGATGGCTTGCGTCTATCCGAAATCGAGGCACACGGATCGTGAAAGTGCAGTTTTCCTTTCCATCGAACCGTGGGATCGGTACGGGGGTAGAGGTATATCCAAATTTGGATGCTTCGGGTGGTGCGCGGGAAGATGGCATTTCAATGCGTGGGGCATAGAGCGTAGAGCCTAGATGGTAGCGAGGAAGATGTGCAATACTTTTCAACAGCGGTTCAAGGTTCACAGTTGTGTTGTACTCCTTGAGAGGTGCGGCAGGAGCAGGTGGGTGGTGGTGATGCGGGATACCACTGCCAGGAGCTGCCGCTCTTGGGCCGTGGTGATGGTGATGATGATGATGGTGATGGTGTGAGGCGCCAACAGCTCCAGATGCAGCAGGGCCATCTCCGGTGCGCGACTGAGGTCTAAAGGGCGGCGCCAGCTGCGGGCCTTGGCCTCCTGTAAAGAGAGATGGGTCGTCGTCTGCCCGGTGTCTATGATGGTGACTAGTAGCATAGGTTAGCAACAAATACCAATTGAATTTTATATCATTTGGCTAAGCAACACTTACTGATGGCCGCCGTGATGATGATGGTGGTGGTGTACATGCCGTCCTCTTCTTGCAACTCCTCCACGAGCTGCTGCCCCGATGCCCTCTCCGTCTTCCCTGGCTTCTTCCTCCTTCACTTTTCGGCCGCGCCTGACGCTTCCTGGCGCAGACTCTGTGCCTTTTCCGGCACCGAAAGAGCCCTCTCCATTCAGATCTGAATTCATCGGTCGATCGCCATGGTTTCTCTTAAACGGACTCGATGATAACGGTGTTGAAGGGCCGCTTCCCCCCAGCGATGCCGAGCTGGATACTCCAACGCCGCTGCCGATACCAGAGAACACTCGACCTAGTTCGCTTTTTATGCCTGATTCAGTAGCCGGGTCGATAATCTGCGCTTGGGCGCCTTGTACTGCCTGTGGAAGCGGAGATGCCCTCCCACCCCGTTTCGCTTCTGCATTTATATTCAGTACGTTTTTATGATGAGGAGGTTCCTCCGTGCCTCCACGAGCCCGTTCTTCATCCGCAAATGAGCCACCAAACGATGATTGGGGACCAGTAGAACCTGGTGTAGGCGAAAATATGCGCGGTGGATTCGATGGCGGAGGTCGACTCCGACTCATAACTGGTGACGAATCGCTCGAGGGTGTTGCATCTTGGCGTGAAGATATTTGGGGCTGGCCGGGGATGGAGCGTGGAGCCGTTAATTGAGAGCCTAGAGACTTTGTGTAATTCTGAATAGACCCAAAGCCGTAGCCGGAAGAGGGCTCTGCGGTGCTATAACGGGTTGATTCGGGAGAAACACGAGGGTAGTTCAATTCCCAAGATGAGCGGTGAGATCGATCGCTTTCGTGTTCTGGGGCATGGGATCCATATCGTTGTGATTGGTTTTGATGAGGTTGCGACTGGGACTGTGAATTTTGGTTGTGATGGTGGTGGTGATGGTGGTGATGAGTGTGTTCCTGGATACCATGTTGATAGGGTTGCTGGTCTCGAGGTTCCTGCCGATCTTGGGAGGGATTACTAAACCTAGATGACGGTCGCGGAGGGGGTTCTAAACTACCCGGGTACCCATACTGCTCTCGCTGGCCACTTGTCTCCTTCTGCACCCCATCTGAAAATCCAGGCGCCAATCTTACGGGGGGGCTGAACAACGGTGGTCGCGATGGTGGCTCCTCTGATCGGTGATGGGGTCCCGGAGGGTTGGTTCGTGGCACAGGGCCTCCAAGACTCATTCGTCGGTCTTGGTGATATGATGAGTCCGAGTATGTATTTCGGGGGGATCGAGGAGCTGTAAGCTGTGATTGAGGTGCGTTGGAAGTCTGCCGAGGCCCAGAAAACCGTGAATCATCATGTCCTAGCTGGGGATTCCCGGACGAACTGCCTCCGGATCTTGACCGGTAAGGCCGGGGAGTAAGTGTTTTCGAGAATGGACCGCTGTCTGGCGTATGTGATCTTCGGAAAGGCGGATGATCTGACGACAACTGTCGACTAGGACCGGAAGGTGGTGACATGGAAGGCGGTAGGGAAGTAGGCTGTTGTGCCGGCGCGGTGATAGCTGATACCATAGGCCGCGAATAGATCGCGCTCGTCGTACTCTCCCGCGGCTGACGGTCTGTATCTGAACCTAGCATCGACGATATTGACATGCTACTTCCTGGTCGATGTACTGGGTTTATGAGTTCTCGAGAGGCAAAGGACGGCGGTATTGAAGGTGGCTGAGAGGGTTGGGCGGCAGATCCCCTGGAAGGGTAGTGCTGTGGTGAGGACGGAGGAAGCATCTGACGGCTAGAATAAGAGCTTGCGGCGGTGTGTTGTTCCGGATGTCCTTGTGAAGAAGCGGATTAGCTGCCTGCCGTCATCCCCAAAATCCTCCCAAACAGTAACTGTCACTCTCAACATATATAACGAAAGACCGCATCCAGGGGTAGAACTGCAATTCCGGGGCCAATGAATATATGCGACGAGTCCCCGTGGACGCAGAAGCGCGGTGCGGGTATTTCTTCCTCGTCTGGTTGTCTTTCGCTGGGGGAGAGGCGATTTTTTTAGTCGCGTTCGGGTTTCAGGCTTACCTGAATAAGCAGACGAGCTGCTAGCACTGCCCACTGATCTCCTGCGAGCCTGATCGTGTTGCTGCGGCGGAAGAGGCATCTCTCGTGGGATTGATGACGGACCTGGCACGCGGCGAAACCATCAGTGAAAAAACGTCGTGTCAGTTCTTTCGTGCTTTCGACTTGCTACTCCGTCGAGCGGAAGGAAAAAAACAACTTTGGGGAAAGGAAAAGTCCGAGTCACGGGACCAGCGCTAAAATAATGCCAAGCATTGATGCGCCTGAAGCAGACTAGCGAGCTTAAACCTTAAGTGGCTAGCGCGGCCGGCACGGACCATCGGGGGGGGCCGTGCCAAGACTTTCATAGGGGGAAAGAACGAATGGCGGAGAACAAAGAAGGAACAGGGAGGAGCGGAGGGCGGTAAGCAGCATGAAAAAGAGAGAAAAAGGAAAGAACGGAGAGCGGAGGCCTCTCAATCCCCACCGCTCTCCGCTCTCCGCTTTCCGCTGGCAGAAAAAGATTGTTTCTGCCTCCGGGCGTTTCGTCGCTTGTCATTTTTGTCGTTCCAGCGCTAGGAGTGCAAGAAGAAACCAGCAGCCATGGCCTCGCCTGGTATGCAATGCACATCGAGGTAGCCGCCGTCTCGGGAACAAGCCAGAGAGGAGCAAACTCTATGTTAATGCAGAGGGACAGATGGCATAGAATAAAACCAAAAAAATAAAGATGAAACACAGCAAGATATAGATTGCCTTACCTTCTCGACGTACGCTCACCCCGTTAGGTAGTCCTTTTGGCTCCTCCGCTTCAAGCTTACCAGCTGCCTGCTCACGCGTTGGGGCGTCAGGTCTTGGACGTGGCGCATGTTGCTGATGCTGGTGCTGATGCTGATGCTGATACTGGTGCTGCGTACGTGAATGCGGATTGTTATCGTGTGAGTACGGGTATGCCAGCGCGGCTGGAGGCGGTGCAGGGCGTGATATGTGACTGCCTGATTCTCGCCGTGAGCTTGTTATCGGGTCGAAATGCGGCTGTTGGGCATGGCTCGCCGGAGTAGAGGACAGCGGATGGTGTCGAGGTGGGAGAGACGAGCCGTAGGCTTCTCGAGGCCTACCGTACGTCGAATGTCGAAGGCCATACGCTGACTGTGACGGATCCATTGGGAAATTGGGGAGTTGTACATGTTCTTGAGCGTGTTTTTCAACTAACGCCGCTTCAGGTCGAAAGATTTTCAGCGCAGGTTTGTAAGGGACTGCTTTTCTTTTTTCCCTTCTGCCTCCCCTTCTCCTTTCTTTTTCCTCCTATTAAATTCCTTCTCTTCTTCTGCCTTCTCTTCTGTTCTTTTCTTCTCGGTTTTATTTCTTTTTATTGTTGCTCCCCTTTTTTTTTTTTTCCCTTATTTGTTCGACTTTTTCTTAACTTGCGATTCCGTTTGTTTATTTACTCGCGCGCAACATTGGGGATTCAGGTCCTCGTTTGGGTTTTGCTTGCGGACTTGGAACCGTCCGTGTGGTTTGTAACTCGGCTCTTGTTGCAGATTTGCACTAGGCCCTTCGGCCAGTCAAAGAAAATGGAAGTAAAATTCGGACTATGGCGCGAGAGATAGATAACTTCTGGAGTGGACGACGAGAAAGGGAGGGTGAAGAAAAAAGAGTGCGGAGGTTACACACCAGCAGATGCAAGCCGCGGCTGGCAAACTTGTCACTGCTCCCTGGTGGAGTTAGCGATGCGGCAGGGAGTCCACCGCATATTAGCCTTAGCCTATAGTTAGCTATATGCTTGTGCAGGTATCCCTACAACGAATACTCCGTATACTCTGTGCTGTCCTCCACTGTGCTGTTGCGGGCAGCCTCCCCGTGGCCAGAGGAATCGAATGGCAAGTCGAAACCTCACAAGCTACTCTGTGCTCTGTGCGGCATACATATACGCCCGAAGGTTCCTACGACCCGTTCACCCTGGTAGCTAGTATCGTCCGGTGGCCGTCTTGGACTCCTGCTTTAGGTGTATTGCTCCACGCTTGTATCAGGAACTTGCCGCACAGAGAAAAGAGACTGAAAGCGAAGAGTGGTACCAAAGGACGCTCGAGCTGTCAAACTCTCTGCTAACAATGGCCAAACAGGCGGAAAGAAATCATTTTCGAACAAAGCTGGGGACTCTCGGCCAATGGTTTCTTTTCCTCGTCTGTTGCGTTGTCGAGAGCCGGTTGTGGAGCCTGAGCACATCGCCGAAGGACGCTAAATTTAACTAAACGGGTAAACTAGCTTGATCCCTGTCGAATGTTCGTTTCGTATCGGTTCGATAAAGACCCAGCCAGACATGGGCCTGACGCCCCGGTCAGCTTATGCCAGCGATATTATGTATCACCGCATTCCTGCGCGGTGCAATGGGGGTCGGATGGCCTGCTGATGCCCGAGCTGGTGCGGAACCAACTGATTCGCTCCATTATTCGACCTGTTCCAGGGGACGCACACACTTGCATCAAATCCGCGACATGGAACAAGGTGGGATTAATCTTTTTAGCATTGCAGGGCCACCGGATTTAGCGTTTTCTTTTTTTTTTTCTTTTTTTTTTTTCTTTTTCATTTTCATTTTTTTTTTTTTTACTTTTCGATCCCAGAATAGTTCGATGCACCTGCAGATCGCTTGAGAGCTCTTCTTGATGCACGAGCACTGGAGTGATGCGATCCAACAATATATAAACATACACCATATAGGATGTATGTATATATAAAAAATGCAGTGACGGTGCTTAGTAATTTGAATGATAGGGAGCAGGTTGAGTCGTAGTCGTTTACTCCGTACGATTCCTAGCAACAGACCTTGTATTGGTGCAAGGAACCCTTGATCGTTGCGGGACGTTGGAGAACCGGACTTCGCGCCGGGGCGAGGGTGACCGCATGCTGGCATTCCTTGCCCTGTACTCCCATACATCTGCCCTGCATTCACTCTCGCCACGGCATCAACAACACAAGGACGAACCGAGTCTCCCTGTTCCCGTAGTCCAGTGATGCGGAGATAAATAGCGATACGTTCCCCCGCCGGTTGAACTCCCTTGCCCCGGCCGCCTCCCATTTCATCAAGACCTTTAGCGTGCTGCTTCATATCAACTACGCGGTCCGTCCTCCTCTTCCTCGCTATTCTTGCCAGCTTGTTACACACATCAGTGGCAAGCTGCATAGTGTTGCAGAAATACTCGCTGATGTATGATCTCTCTCCATCGGCTAAATTACGTTTAGCTTGATGAACCTGCTACACTGTGCACACACGTCTTACCGCAATTTCGGCTCTCCCTTGAGTGCGGTGACGCGATATCAATGCCTAAAGCGTGGCACTAGCAATATATCCATGACATCCATAGAGTAACTGATTCCGAGCAGCCACCCTTGAAACGCGGTAAAAGCTGAACATAGCACCATGGCCGAGGAAGACTTTCTTTTATTCCTATAGGGTCTATTCCTATCAATTCTAGTCAACATTATAGTAACAATATGTGCTGCCAGGGGTTGTGTCTGTACCTGACGGCTCCCGTAGCGCATTTCACCGCGTTGCGTGGACAGCATAACGACGCCCGATTCCACAGCATGGGTTGTTGGCGTTTGACAGCGTCACGGGAGACGGCATACTGAGGCCCCCTATAGAGCTGCCGTCTCACCTTTTTAGTTGTCCTCTGTTGCTGCATGTAGTTGATGCTGTCGTTGTTGTTGACATGTTGAGATTTAGTTTTCCATCTGACGTCCGAGCCCTCACATGATCACTTGCTGACTCCATTCAACCTCAACTTCGACTTCTGCGGCAAAACCGACGACAAACCAGGTGAGATGACGAGAAGGCGAGGAAAAGAAGCAGAAGACGAGGAGCAGCTGTTGTTATTCGAATAACCTGATACTCTGCACACGCTGGAGCCGCCGATGCTACCTCTGCCATGCGCCCCGGACTCCAGCTGGAGCAGATTCCGGCAGCAGATCGCCGCTGTCTTCAACGGCGTCGACCCTCGAGTCTTCACAGCCTTTTGGCTATTCGGTAAGGATAAATTTGGTGTTTCTTCTTTGGTGGACCGTTATCTTATACCGGTTAATACTGCAGGCTTGATAAATAATGTCCTCTATGTTATTATTCTCTCTGCGGCACTCGATCTCGTCGGTCCCAGCGTACCTAAGGGCGTTGTTCTGCTTGCCGACGTGGTCCCGTCCTTCTTCACCAAGCTATGCGCTCCATACTTCATCCATATTGTCCCTTACCCTATCCGCATCCTCATATTCGTCGCCTTATCCACGCTCGGCATGTTTCTGGTTGCTTTGTCGCCGGCCTATGACGCAACTACTGCCAATAGTTCGATAACAGCCAAGATGATGGGAGTAATGCTGGCAAGCCTCTCTAGCGGTGGTGGAGAGCTCAGCTTTCTCGGTCTTACACATTTTTTTGGGCCGTTTAGTTTGGCTGCATGGGGTAGCGGAACGGGCGCTGCTGGATTGGTGGGAGCTGGTGCCTATGCTTTGGCTACTACATCATTTGGCTTTTCTGTCAAGACCACACTCCTGGCGTCCGCTCTTTTACCAGCAGTGATGGTGATAAGCTTTTTCGGTATACTGCCAAGGGGGCCGATGCTGCAGATTAGAAGTGGGTATCAGACTATTCAAGAAATCGAGAGAGGAGAGCTTACACGAGATGACGAGCGTTTGTCGCATACTAATGCTGGGAGCGATGGCCTACTTGCAGACACTGCTGATGTTGACGACTTGAAACATGCACCTCCTCAGGATAAAGGCCTATCATGGCAGCTTTTCAAGGCGAACCTGAACCGTGCTAAGAGTCTATTCTTCCCATTGTAAGCCCAACCGCCCAGTTTTGCAGTACTGCCTACTAACGAAGCGCCACAGTATGTTTCCCCTGTTGCTTGTCTATATTGCAGAGTATACCATCAACCAAGGTGTCGCGCCTACACTCCTCTTCCCACTTCAGGAGAGTCCCTTTAGGCACTTCCGTGCCTTCTACCCAACATATAATGCCATCTACCAGGTCGGAGTGTTCATCTCGCGGTCCTCAACCCCCTTCTTCCGCATCCACGACCTGTACTTACCATCATTTCTCCAAGTATTCAATCTTGGCCTACTGACTCTGCACGCGCTTTTCAATTTCATCCCAAACGTCTACATTGTTTTCCTGGCTGTTTTTTGGGAGGGTCTCCTAGGCGGATTGGTATACGTCAATACGTTCGCGGAGATCACAGATCGCGTACCAAAGGAGCAACGAGAATTTTCTTTGGGAGCAACCACCGTCAGTGACTCGGCAGGCATTTGCATTGCAGGTATGTTGAGCATGGTTTTTGAAGTCTGGTTATGTAATTGGCAGGTTTCCCACGGGCGAGATTATTGCAAGAAGACATAGACTGGTGTCTATTTTACCTTTTTCGCGGAAGGCCCTGGTTGTGTTTGACTTAGCAACGGCGTCAGTGATATATATTTTCTTGGAATTTATTATTATATGACAATCTCATATTTAATATCGCATCACCAAATATATTTACCATAAATCGGGATATTTTATCCCTCTTTTTGATAATTTGCGATCGCGATGTGACGTAATGTTCGACGTCACATGCCTGGGCAGTTTTCACATGCGCGAGCATGTGAAATCAATCCTTCGACTTTACGACAAAGGAATCGCATTGCAACGATCTTTGGCCTAAGATGGAAAACTTGAGGCTGAAGGAGAAGCGACTGCTATTCTGGAGTTGTTGCGGGTGAGGGAAATCTGGAAACATTTTATATTACTTAATTCTATTATCTTTGTTCAGTCTGTCTACTTCCACGGTCGGTGATGCTTCATTCTCGGAGACTTCAGATTCAAACTACGGTCCTTCATTTTCGGTATCACTTCACTTTTGGATACATTACCCTCTGGTTTTGATGGTTGGTAGAGGTATGTTGAAGTCATGATAGGTCTGTACCCCTTTGTTTCATTCTGGGAATGCTACCAGTATCTAACTCCTCCTTAGACCATGTACTAGGCAGGCCTTCCACTCAGTTCCGAAAGATCCAGGTCTTTGCAGTTGTTGCCTTTTGGCTAGTATACCTTCTAAAGTACGCTGAATAACCCGGCGTCCTGTTTCTTCTATCAGATCTGTACCTAACTATACATCTTATTACATCAGGGGAAACAAGAATGGTCCTCCAGGGGTACGAACTCTATCGTCGCTGCTGCATCGGCGTATGACACCATGGCAAACCACCGTCATGACCATGTTGACGCTATATGTCTCTCGCAACTTTGCTAAACTGGTCGGTCTGGAATCCCCAGAGCCCCTTGCGAATCTATACTCTCGTTCCTACTTCCGGGCAACCTGGATAGTCACTGCGCTCGATGCTGGCTTTTGGACTGCAATGAACATACGCCGGAAATGGCTAAGGGATCTAGCATCGCTGATCTTTTCTATATATTACCTTTTCGCAGCTGAACAGGCGGACGAGAAGGTGCGAAAGGTCAGAGCTACCTTGACCGTAGAGCATCTGCGTGTCTCATGGAATAAGCTGGCTACCCCTTACCTTTCATTTCTCTCACGGCTACTTCGGCCCCGTTTCTGTCGTCGTGACCCAGTTGCCATCCGGATACCACGACCCCGGGAGTCATCGTACAAGGACCCAGTTCACGCATGGCTTTATTTTGATGGCCCTCTGAGCAGCCTTCGGGACCAGACTGATATCGTTCTTGACATCCCTGGAGGCGGATTCGTTGCCATGGGCCCACGGGTCAGTGATGACCGCTTACTTGCTTGGGCTGGCAAGACGGGTGTTCCAATTCTCAGTCTTGATTACAAAAAGGCACCCGAATACCCATATCCATATGCTTTGAATGAGTGTTATGATGTATATCATACGATTGTGATGACTCGAGGGAGATGCTTAGGACTGAGTGGGAAGACATGCCCACGGATTATTGTGACGGGTGATAGCGCTGGTGGAAGTCTTGCAGCAGGGCTGACTCTGATGATTCTTCAATCCGGCAGTACAGACTCTCGGAAGTGGAGAGGTGAAGATTGCCTGCCAGTTCCTGTTGGGCTTGTGCTCGTGTACCCGAATCTAGACCTGAATATTGGAAGCTGGATGACGGACGAGGAGTTATCTTTGATCAGGGAAAGGGGAATGCGGAAAACCAATCGAAATATCCTGAGGCGTAAGAGTGAGGATTACTATAAGCTGACTCCGTCGACTCCTCGTCCCTCAGACGATGATCTTGCAGACGATACTACTAGTCACTCCAAGTCATCCACAAAAGAAGGATCCAAACGTATTTCTGATGTTCCCACGGGATCTTCGACTACTGCGACTGACATGGCCAGTAAGTCTGGGGATGCAAGCCTTGCATCCCAAATGAAAGAACTGGCTGAAACGAAGCCAAAGAAACTGCAGACTCGACTTGCCGTTACCTCTATGATATCCTATGTCAATGATCGCGTCCTCACCCCGGAGATGATGAGGGCTATGATAATTCTATACATTGGTCCCTATAATCGTCCAGACTTCAGCACGGATTTCCTTCTCTCTCCCATGCTTGCTCCAGAGGCTCTTCTAGCCCAATTTCCAAAGACCTACTTTATGACAGGGGAACGAGACCCTCTGGTAGACGATACAGTGATATTCGCTGGGCGCCTTAGACAAGCTAAACTTCATCGGTTCCGTGAACGAAAGGAATTAGGTCTTGAGAAGCCTGGGAAGAGGTTTGACGAAAAGGAGCATGTTGAGGTGACTTTGATACCTGGGATATCTCACGGGTTCATGAGTATCGTTGGGGTTTTCCCCGAGGGTTGGAAACACGTATTCAGGACTGCCAGATGGATAACAGAGATATTCAATTCGACTGATATTTCTAGCTCTGACGAGGCGAGAGACTTTAAGGCCTCCCTTGTGCAGCAACGACGAGCCGTTCAAAGTCTCAACCCATCACTATCGACGGTAGTCGTCGAGACGGAGAAACAGAGCAATGGAAGCATACCGCACCGTCACCACGAACGCTACTTGACAAGTGAATCATCTGGTGATGAAGACGGGCCACTGGAAATTAGCATGTTGAAAATGACCAAGATATCCCCTTCGCCTCCAGCATCACAGTCTAACTCCCAACCCAATGGAGCCTCTGCCACTTCATCACTGAAACTGAAAGCTCCTGCGCCGAAGCGTAATGATATACGGCGACCGAATGCTGCAAAATTATCTCTTTCACCCCTTCCAGCCAAGAAGGAGGAAAGCCTGCGTAGTTCGGATGTAAGCCACGGTGAGAATGACTTGGTGCGGATGAAACAAATGATATCAGGGCTACGCCGTGAAGCAAGTTTGACGAGTTTACCGAGCCATGAAGATTTATTGAATAGACGGATGGACGGGCTGGCTGGTGGGCTTATGGGTAGAGGAGAAGAGGCAAAGACTCCATGATTACTAGTGGTTTTATTTTTTATGTACATATTCCTTCCATGTTAATGATACCTGTAGATGGGCTTTGATGATTAGGTTATTTTGCAATTGGTGGGACATAGATTGATATAGCAAATATTGCGCTTATAAATTGACGTGTCTAAGTGTTCCGATGATCTATCTAAAAAGTGCGAAGAGGAACATAGAATTTGAGAAAGAACAGCATAACTACCGATGATCCATTCACGGAAATATAGTGAAGCAATCCTGTCTACTCCTTGTTCACAACCTCACCCATTGCTTCGTCCAAGATGCCCAATCCAACCTCAATCTCCGCGTCGTTGATGACTAGCGGCGGAACAAAACGAATACAACCTTCTCCAGCAGATATTATGAGCAGCCCCTTATCCCTTGCAGACCCAAGGATATCAGAGACCTTGCTGACGTAGGGAGCGGTAAGTTGCAAGCCAAGGATCAAACCTCGACCTCGAATCTCAGATACAGCATCGGGATACCGCTCCTGAAGCCGTTTCAGCCCCTTAATGAGGGTTTGGGACCTAGAGTTAACAGAATCCTGGAGATCCTTGTTTGCCAGACGGGTCAATACGTGGTTACCCACGGCACAGGCAAGTGGACTCCCACCAAAAGTAGTTCCGTGGTCCCCAACCTTGATATATTTCCCTACTGTATCAGAGGAAATGATCGTGGCACCGATGGGGAAACCGTTCCCAAGTGCCTTGGCGGTGGTGAGGATGTCTGGGTGAGCAGGCTTGGAGCCATTCTTTGGCCTGAGTGAAGGGTGAGCGTGTGCCCAGAGACTGCCTGTGCGAGAGAGACCACATTGGATCTCATCGAAGATCAGCACCGCTCCGACTTGGTCGCATCTTGCACGGAGTGCTGTAAGGAATTCCGCAGAGGCAACGTTCACTCCTCCCTCGCCCTGGATGGGTTCGACGATGACGCCACACGTCTTGTCCGTGATTAGGGTTGGAAGCTGTTCGATGTCGTTGTATTTTCCATACTTGAACCCCGGGACCATGGGAGCAAAAGGAGCTTGGTATTTGGGGTTTGGAGTAGCAGATAAAGCACCAAACGTTCGGCCGTGGAAGGATCCTTGGAAGGAGACAATTTCATGCTTTGCGCCTGTAGTGTCGAGGCTATGGCCTACCTTCCGAGCAAATTTGAGAGCCGCTTCGTTGGCTTCGGTTCCAGAATTGCAAATGAACGCTTGGGTGGCGGTCCGCATTGCACCTGAGGTCAGAGTAGTGCTGACAAGTGCCTGGCTCAGTTTACCGGTGTGCTTATTATGGAAGAGGTTGGAGGCATGTATCAGTATCTCAGACTAGTTTTTTTTTTTTTTTTTTTTTTTTTTTTTTTTTCAATCAGTTTCATGTCCCATCTTATGATTCATATGCTCCAATAGGGGTATTTACCTGCTCTGATAGGACCTGTGATAGTCCCGGGTCTGAATGGCCGAGAGATGTGACCGCAATGCCGGCTGTGAAGTCGAGATACTGCTTATTCTCCATGTCCCACAGGTAACAACCGCTTCCTCTGGCCATCACCGGTGTTGGTCGAGCGTAGGTAGGCACCATGAAAGGCATGATCCCTTCGACGAAGCGGTCACTCCGCTTGGACAGGTTGCCTGGCAGGTCGTCATGCTCCTAGTCATACCTGTCAGCACTCCATATATCAACCACCAGAACAGCCGCAGGACTGAATACAACTCACTATCCGAGTTACTGTGCTAGAGGGCTTGCTCTTGAAAGGATCCACCACCTCCGGACTCGAAGCTGTCGAAGCCCACCGCCGCCGTCGTGACAGGGGGCTGGCCCCATGCTGCAGAGCTCCTCCTACCCGTCGCAGCGCTGCGCGAGAAGCCATCGCGCCGTCAACCCGCACAATTCACCTATACTGTATAGAAGCGGCTTAGAACAGCCTAGAAACAGGACATAAACCACCAGGCGAGAGCAATTCTGCTATTTTGTCTGTCAAAAGGCGAGTTGGTTCTTCTATAAATTAGGTTGCCCGAGCTGGAGATGGTTCGGAAAAACAGGAGATCCCGATTTCGGCGATCCAGGTTGCAGTGCAATTCTATTGCTCCTTCACAGCTTTCACGGCAACATCAACTAACCACACTGTACCACGATCACGCAGAGGCTACCAGCAGTGCTAGAACCATGGCCGGCGTTGCGAGATACCGTCTCCCCTCGGTATTAAGAGCTATATACACTCCCAGCCCGGCTGCACGAAGTTTCACAGTCTCCACAGCGCGATCCTCTAAACACAGCCGCTTCGCTCCCACGCCGTCACCTCCTCGCCTGGCCCCCGAAGAACAAGAGATATTCGAAAATTTGCAGCAGCAGTCGACCGGAGCGTTCAGTACACCGCGACCAACGCCTCGGATAAACCAGTCTCCCCAATCTCAGCCAGAAGAGGTGCTCCAGAGCTCAGCAGATGAAGAGCTACATCCAGATCTCCGCCGGGGTGCCAGGCCGGAGTTTGAGGGAGACAAGAACCCAAAGACCGGCGAGATTGGAGGACCGAAGAATGAGCCGTTGAGATGGGGCGGGAGCGGAGACTGGAGTTATAACGGCAGGGTTACAGATTTTTGATAGGGATTCAGAAGCCATGCATTGGGGAAGCCGGCGGTGGTGAACTCGATACTACCGCCATGTAAACTATTGCGTACTCGAGTCGGAATGAGAAGATGAATAGACTGCATACACTGCAATGGGAATTGTCTGTTCTTAACTATATACAATCTGCTGGCCCAGGACATCATCCGTGAATCATGGAGGGTACTTCAAGTCAAAGTTATGAGAGCAAGGACAAGGATATTTTTCATCGAACAAAAGGGTGGATGGGGGAGATTATGATGACTGGGAATTGCAACTTTAAATAAAAATAAAATCTATCCTTGAAGCCTGCTGACGGTTGCCTTCCCGGCTCTGCTATCGTTCTCACGGCCAAGCTCAGCACTGATCCAAGCTCCAATCTTCGCTACTGCCTCGAGGCTAACGCCAGTCTTCATTCCAAGGCTGTGAAGAGTATGGATCAGATCTTCCGTCGAGACGTTTCCGGTGGCACCCTTAGAGTACGGGCACCCTCCTAGGCCGCCAACACTGCTGTCAAATATCCGTATGCCGTGCTCCAGGCCAACAATGGTGTTTACCAGAGCCTGGCCGTAGGTATCGTGGAAATGCAATGCAAGGTCATTGCTTGCGATTCCAGCAGCAGAGAGAGTCTTCAGTAGCTTCTGTGTCCTTGGAGCGGTTCCCATGCCCGTCGTGTCTGCCACGGAGACCTCGTCGGCACCCATCTCCAGCAACGAGGCAGTGATCTCAGCGACCTTGTGCGGGTCTACATCCGGTCCTTCATATGGACATCCAAGCGCAACAGAGACATAGCCTCGTACACGGATATTCTTCTCCTTGGCCAACGAGACTATCGGGCCGATTCGGGCAAGAGACTCTTCTATTGTGCAATTGGTGTTGGCCTTGGAGAAAGCTTCGGTGGCAGCGGCAAAGAGGGATATCTCGGGCAACTCCGTTGGATGGGCTTGCTCTGGCAGCGCGGCCGTCTCTTTCTCGAGTACTTTAACCAGTGTTTCGAGCCCCTTCACGTTGGGGACCAGGTAGTTGTATGAGATCGGGTGGGGGGCGGAAGGCGGAGTTTTGATGAGATGTGATAGAATGTCAGCTGTGCTGGCCATCTAGCAAAGCGAATTGAATGCATTCCATGATTAGCCTGCCTGTTTCTAGTAGATCTATCATGTAGTAGATATAGCACGCGAGCATGGACTCACCTGGGGCACCCATTTCGCGGGCACAAACGAGCCGGCTTCGATGGTCTGGAGGCCAGTCCCAGCAAGCCTGGAGATCAGCTCCAGCTTCGTCTCGAGCGGGATAGACTTCTTTTCGTTCTGCAGACCATCTCTGGGGCCAACCTCGACGATGCGAACGAAATCGGGAGCAAGTTTGGCTTCGGTAGCCAGGGACCGCACTGCACCGCGTCGACAGGCCAGATGGGATGCTCTGGAGGCAGCTCTGAGTCCGAACATGGTCACTCTCCCTATGCGCATCAAGGCTCTGGTAAACAGTGCAGAGTAACGGTGCTTTTCTTCTGGCTGTTGGTCTGAACTGTCTGCTCGTCTGCTGCTTGTCTGCTTTCTTTTCTTCTTCTGCCTTGCCGGCGCTCGCGGCCGTCAACTTCGGCTATTTTGCTCCGATGTTAAAAACATCCCGGGCGGCCGCCTGGACTAGCCGATCGCGGAAGAACTTGACGCCGCCTTTAGCCATATTAGTAAGATATCACTAATAAGATGACTCATCATTGAGTCAGCCGCGGATAGAGGGGAGATAAGAGAAAAAGTTGAAGACGACGAGGAGAAGGAAGAAGACGAGAGAGAAAGTGAAGTCGCTCAAAAAGGGCGATGAGATGGCGGATAATAAGGATGGAAGTGATGCGCCGGTGGTGCCGCAGACAAACGGCACAAGAGTGCCGAAGAAGCGGTTTGTAGGGCGGAAGACTGCAGAGGCGCAGGCGCAAAGGACCGGAGGGGATGTCGAGCAGTCGCATACTACAGCTATACAGACAGGTATGGGAAACCGGTTGGAAGACAGATTACGCGACTGTGGTGCATTACATATGAGCCTGGCAGCTGATGATTTGTGTAGCATCTACAAGACGAGGCCCTAGAGCTCTGAACCAGATCCCCGCTGAGATCCTCGAAGATGAAGATATCAAAGCCGCCATTTCCCTCCTACCACACAACTACTCCTTTGAAATACCCAAGACTATACACAGGATACGCTCGTCAGGGGCTAAGCGAGTGGCTCTCCAGTTTCCGGAGGGCTTGTTGCTATTCGCCACCACAATTTCAGACATCCTGAACCAGTTCTGCCCCGGCATTGAGACAGTTATCATGGGTGATGTGACATACGGCGCATGCTGCATAGATGATTATACTGCTCGAGCACTGGACTGTGACCTGCTGGTACATTATGCGCACTCGTGTCTTATACCTGTGGACATCACCAAGATAAAAACGCTATATATCTTCGTTGACATTGGCATAGACACGCAGCATCTGATCGACACTCTGAAACGCAACTTCACCTCTGGCCAGCGCATAGCCGTGGTAGGCACAATACAGTTCAACGCTACACTACACGGGTTGAAACCTGTGCTGGAGAAGGAAGGGTTCAACATCACGGTGCCCCAGATAATGCCCCTGAGCAAAGGGGAGATTCTGGGCTGTACATCCCCTCGCATGTCCAGCGAGACAGTAGATCTACTTTTGTACCTAGGTGATGGACGCTTCCATCTTGAATCGGCCATGATTCATAACCCAAGCATCCCAGCGTACAGATATGATCCTTACTCCCGCACCCTAAGCAGAGAGTGGTACGACCATGAAGAAATGCAAGATCTGCGTCGGAAGGCGATAGACGTCGCCAAATCAGCGAAGAGATGGGGTATCATACTGGGCAGCTTAGGGCGTCAGGGAAATCCAAATACCATGAAGATGATTGAGGAACATCTTAACGAGAAAAGCATACCCTATGTGAATTTGCTGTTAAGTGAGATATTTCCCGGGAAGTTGGCGAGTATGCCAGATGTTGACTGCTGGGTGCAAATTGCTTGTCCCAGGCTGAGTATTGATTGGGGGTATGCATTTCCGAAACCACTACTAACACCGTATGAGGCGCTTATTGCCTTGGGTATCAAAGAGGACTGGAATAAGGCGAATGGCGGTATATACCCAATGGACTTTTATGCAAAGGAGGGTTTGGGCAGGATAAAACCTGGTACGACTATTGCATCGTTGGCAGGATAGAAGCCGGATAATTTATGACAATGACATGAAATAAAAAAAAGAGAATAAAAATTTATAGATTCAAACAGGGTAGATAATGATGTGCATGTAGTAGACAAAAAAGTAGAAACTCTCTCAATCATCTGCATCGTTAGAATCCACTGGTGTCCCTCTCTTCAAAGCTAGAAAGGCTTTCCCACCCGCATCATCCATGGGGCGTTCAGCAGAGCGCCAGGTGGAAATTGCCTTTTCGACATCCTCGTACATCTCCAGCGTGTCATTGATGATGCCTCCCTCATCGGGTTCTGCGCTTCGCGTCCCTTCGCGAGAAGAAAAGTCAGTTCGCATGGGAAAGGCTGGGCCAAAAGTATGATCTGGTGTAGGATTGAACATGATTGCGTTTGCGAACATGCGGATCAATTCCTTTTCTAGCTGCGAGGAATTTACTATTCCCTTCGGCGGCATTAATTCTGCTGACTTGGTAGCTAGCAGTACGTTACTCTTTGCTGATGGGCCCGCTCCTGAAGCTGCTGCTGCCGCTGCCGCTGCTGAGGCTGATGCGCTTGCTGTTGTCGATGGTGGAGTTTCCTCCGTTATCTGGGAAGCCTCTGAAGCTGCAGCAACGGCACGACTGCCTTGATGTATGGCAGACTTGATGGATTTTATATCCTGAGGGCGGTATATGAGATCCTTGTACCCGGGCGCATCGCGGTTCGTCAATGGCTTGGCAAATATGGACGCATACTTATGAGCAGCTACGTCGTTCATTATCGGCCCGCAGGTACGGCCAAATGTCCGTGAGCACATCACGTATTGGCTGTCTTTCAGCCAATCTGACGGCTGTTGCTCGTGAGCTAGGGAGAAAGACCCACTGGGACTCCTTTTCCGCTTTGCACGATAGTGACCACTATCCATGTCATCTCCGGTGATACCTCCAGGAGTGCTTGGAAGCTCGTTTTTGATATGACGGGTATCCTCTCCGCGCGAAGCAATGGACTGACCGCGTGTTCGAGGACGCCCCGAAGGTGGATTGCTGGGCGAAGAAGCATCCCCCGCATGCTTGGGGCTTTCACGAGGAGCTGCGCCACCAAGGTCCAGTTTACGACGCGACCCCTGTTCCGTCCACTGTTCTACATCTTCTTGTCCTGAGGGTGACAGAGCTCGCTCACTAATAGGGCTAATATCGGCAGATTTTGGTCGTTCAGGAGAACCGGGCTCGTTAGGTAGAGATATAGGACCAGGTATCTTCCATGGTGTATTACCACTCGGGGTGACTAACGAAGGCCGTGGTGGTCTCTTGCCTATTGAGTGCGCAAAAGACGGGAGCTGAGTCCTGAGTTTTTCAAGGGCCGCAGCATCTGGAGTAACAGTAGGTTGTGTGGTTGTCGGTAGAGGAGTAAGGGTGCTGACCCCACCAGCCAGGGGCGGAGCTATTGCCAGTGGTGCTGAAAGTGGGGGATTCTGGGTAAGAGGAATGCTAGGTTTATCGATGCTAGGAGCAAGGGGTTTAGGTGCGGGTGTTGCCTTGTTACGAGCCTGGTTGCTTGGTTTCGGGGTAGAGCGAGCAGATCCGTGGCCGTAAGAAGACTGGGGAATTGTTTGGGGAGTTAAAAGAGGCTGAAACTTGACGGTTTGAGGGACTGTTTTAGATGGTATCTGGGGCGTTCTATTCCAAGTTGTATTCGGTGGTGGCGGTGGTGGAGGTGGAGGTTGTTGGGCTGCTCTGTTAAGAGGTATAGGCGGGGCTACATTTTGATATGCGGGCTGTGATGCGGCTGAGGTTGACGTCGGATGAGCAGGTGGGGGAAATGGCTGGATATTGGGGTATATATTGGGCCCTGGGGTGCTGACAGGTGGAGATGCTTGGGAAGGAAGTTGTGGTTGTTGTGGTTGTTGTTGCTGCTGTAGTTGCTGGCCCTGGTTGGCCAACAGCACCGATTGAAGTTATATGTAGAATTGATCGGAGCTTCTTGAGGGGCAGTTGCTGCGGGTGGTCCCGCCGTGGGTTGTACAGGCCGTACCTCCTTGCGGTGAGCCTGCAGTAGTGGGTGTCTGAGCAGGTGTCTGCACTGCTTCTTGTGGGATCCTGCCGACCACCTTTTCCCGCGCAGCCTCCGGCTTCGGTGGTGGAGTAGCAGTAGTAGCCGGGGGAGCACCAACACTTGTGCTGGGTGCAACGTTCGAACCATCAGCAGTGACAGGCTGTTTCTGCAGGTCCTCTCCAGCCTCTAGCCGCCGTATCTCGTCCTTGATCTCAGCGTACCGCTGTTCCTCTCGCCGTATCTCCCTCGTCACGCGTGCCTTGTACCTAGCGTAGAGCTTATCGACCAGGTCCGGCATGGCCGCGGAGTGTGACCTGGCCGTTCCATCCTGTGCGGCCTGGGCATGTTTCCTCTTCTTCAGATTGGCCGCATCCTGCGCACTGTGACTGTGGTCCGAAGCCTCGTCGTCTGAAGACCGGACGCCGTCGACGAGGAGGGTGGTGTACAGCTCCTCGAGGGCCTGCGGGCTCAGTCGGTTCGCGTCGTACTTGACATCCTGCTGGATAAAGGGATTGTTCCGTAGGAGCTCTGAGACTGGCACAAAGCTATCCGGACGACACTTCAGCGTCGCCAGAGACTGGAAGAAGAGCAGGGACTCGAAGGGGGTGTATGACGAAAGAGAAGGCATCCCATTGCATTCCCGCGGCTGGTCTCTTTTTAAAACCCCTGGTTTTTCCTCTCGCCTTTTTTGCCCATGTATCGGCGTCAATGGCTGTCCGTAGTGCCTCTCGAGCGTCGCGTCTCTCGTGTATATCGCCAGCCGTGTTGTCGTCCTCGCCGTCGCCGTCGTTGTCGCTTCGCCCTGCGCGTTCGCCAGCATTTTTTTCCGTGACGTTGAAAAAGGCATATCACGTGATTTATCCTTCTATTCACGTGATACTCCTCTCTATTCACGTGATCAATACCAAGTCACATGACGATCAACTGGCCTCCTTCCTTGAAAGGAAATTTTTTTTCTTTCGACGTCAAGAAAAAAACAACAAAAATAAAGAATAAAAAATAATAAAAGCCGATGATAATAAATGAAAAACTCCACCTCTTTTCAAGTTCAGGGGGGAGGCAGAGACGGCGGCAGCAGACGCAAGAGTTGGGTCAACAACGGCGCGGAGTAAACAAGAAGCAAAAAAAGGGATAGGAGGCGGCGCCAGGGCGAGTGACGCAGTTTTGGCTAGCGTTCCGCCTCCCCCCTTCTGACCCTTCTTGGGCTCTTGCGGCTTAACACTGCAAACTCGGGACTAGACGACTAGCTGGGCGGGCTACTTGTTAACTAAACCGCTAACTCGCAATTAATACAACTATATCATCATCGACCGCGACCTCCTGGTGACTTCTGGTGACTCTCCAGCCTGACCGTTGCTGCGACTCCGCCGTTTTTGCCCTGCATCGCCCGTTTTCTCCTTCGCCTCCGCGTGAGCAAACGACCGCCCGTCCCCCCCCAGCTGGCTCTGGTTTCGAAGGACAAAAGCTATATAAACCCTCAGGGGGGCTCCTCGTCGCTCCTCTGCTCGCCCTGGATCATCCACCACTCAGACTGGCTGTGCAAACCACCTGAAACCTGATCTCCAGTTAATTACTACCCGAGCTCGTTCTCCGTCCATCCATAAAACACACCCCTCCCTGTTTCTCGATCTCGAACAACCGCGAAGATGTCTCAGGAGAGGACAGACGTGGAGCTTGATAAAGAGTGGAAGCCCAACGGCAGACGGCCTCAATCGTCAGTCTTCCTTCTCTCTTTCCACTTCATTCATCCATCCATCTCGTCTCTATTCAAGTTCGAATCGTTGTTTGTTGACTTGTTTTTGCTGCAGAACCATGGCTCGCTCTCTTGCTGCTGCGCTTGATAACGCTTTCATGCTCGACTCGGAGGTTGACAACCTCACCAACTCCATCCACTATAAGTATGTCTATGTCGTCAATGAACAAAGAACGCAAAGAAAAGGGTAAAAAAGAAGAATCCGCTGCTAATGGCCCGATGTATAGACAAACATTGGTATCAATGCAGAGTCGCGAACTCGAGGCGCTGGAAGCTAGACTTCGAGCCGCCGAGAATCGTCTAAGAATGCAGAAGGGGGAGACCCCCCTTGAGCCCGTCAAAGCCAACGACGGTGCTAATAATGATAATGTTACCTCCCAGAACGGCTCGCTCAAGGGCAGAACGCCTCTGGAGGTCTCTACCGCGGATAAGCAGCGCGGTCTCCCACCGCTATCCACGCCCAACCAGTCCGACGATGGCTTTACCACCAACGCTTCCACCTCTCCAGCAACCACAGACCAGGACGATGAGGCTGCTGACCATGCTGGCGTTCATGGTCGAGGCGACGCGCAAGGTCATTCTGAGGGCAAGCAGAGATGGTCTTGAGTCATTCATTCATCACCGCCCTTTTTATTAAAGCCTTCAAATGCATTTATTGGGACAGCAATAGCCTTTTGCCTCGTTTCTTTCTTGATTTTTTATGTTTTGGTTATATCTACCTTTATACCCGAGCTCAAGACCTCCCATGACTTTTTATATTCTTCCCAACCAAACCGTCATACAACGACACCCCGGGCTTAAAATCATGTTCGACGTTGCTATGCATGTCCTTTACTTTTGGGGCATTTCACTTAATTAAACCCAACTCACTCAATGCCTGGCTGCTGCGTCTATACATGTCGGAACGGTATATGACAGGTCTCGGGAACACGACTCCCCCATCCCTCTCTTTGGTCCCCCCCCCCATATCTTTCTCTTGCCACATCCTTCTTATCCTTCTTTTACAACACACTTATCATCCTGACGCTGTCGGATATATATAGTTTAATTATCTCATTTGCTTGCCCTCACCCATTCGCTTGGTTGAATATGTTTACTTTGTTCTTATGTCTTTAATACCTTCATTCCTCCCCTTTCCCGCTTCGTTGTAAGATTACTTGTCGGGTTCTGACTGCATGTTGTATGCTTTTTTTCTTCTTTTTTATTTGGAAATACTATTAGTTGCTACAATAGATGCGTTGGTTGATTGCATTGGGATGTATATCAGGCGTCCTCAACTAACATCTGGAGAGAAGTTTTGGGGACTTTGACTGCTACTTAGGTGACGGAACAAGATACATAAAGAAATCAATAATACAAAAGTTCTATTGTTGCAGATCTTGCGGTAGTGTTTATAATGTTAGAGCACAATACTTATTTACAGAGCGTCGGTGAGAGCCTTGTTGAGCTTAGTGAGCTTAGAGGAGACGCTGAGGTCGATTGTTCGGCCATCGAACTCGACAATGAGTCCACCAACGATTTCTGGGTCGACCTGTAGCAGACTACGTTAGTATATATTGACAAAATAGAAGGGCAAAAATAAACACATGGATAATGCTCACCTTGGTGACGACCTTGAGCTTCTTGCCCTGGCTGTACTCAGACTTGGCGATGGCAGTCTCTAGACGCTGGATGGTCTTCTGGTCAAGTTTCTAACTCGGGGAATCAGTACCAAGATCAACAATCCTTGCAAATGTGGACATGAACACATACCTGAGCACTGGTGATGTTCAGCTCAATCTCACCCCGATAAGCGCCCATCAAAGTCTCGAACTTCTCGCAAACACCCTGAAGGACACCCAATCGGTTGTTCTCAGCAAGGGTCGAGAAGAAGTTACCCAAAAGCTCGTTCTTGCCAGTAAGCTTCTGCAGTTCCTGGACAATCTGAGACTTGTCCTGTGCAGTCAAGGTGGGAGTGTGCAGGATAGGACCCAACTTGGCGTCCTTCTTGAACACCTCGGCCAAAGCATTGAGAGCCTTGGAGGTCTGCTCTAGGCTGCCGGTCTTTGCGGAGGCAGTATACTGCTCACGAGAAAAAATGACGTTAGCGGGTGAGTTTTTTTCCTTTGCGTATCGGCTGCCTGTCGTCCGCGACGGCTAATTGTCATCCACCACCATCGGAAACCAAGTATATACGCACCAGGGCATTGGCGTAAGTGCCGTCGACGCCGAAGAGGGCGACTGGAGGCTTTGGGTCTTGGGCTGCGGCGGCATAGGTTCTGGCTCCGTTGACGACGGATCGTCGGGAGAACTGCTGGGCGGAAGCGCGAAGGCTCGCCTGGGCGACGCGGGAGGAGAGCATGGCGAGAAGAGAGGGGCTCGGGCCGTCGAATTGAGCTGCTGTTGGGCGGTGCGAGATGGACAGCCGGAGATGCTGCTGGTTGCTGGCGGTTTGCAAGTCGTCGTTCGTGGTTTGGAGGTCGAACTTCGCAGTGGGTTTGAGGTTGCTCGGCGGAAAACAGAGTCACGTGATATAAAAATTCGGAAGACTTTGGGGGATTGAGGACTACGATATTATATACGGAGTATATAACACTGGCGTCGCTGGACTTCGAACTGCATGTCATCGCATAAAACGAGATGCGGTTGAAGAGGCCGTGTTAGCTCTTTAATTATGTATCACTATTATACGTTATGCTATTTATCATGACTCGTTTGACGAGAGGACGCCGTGGACACCAGGTCCGGTAATGCTCAGTAAAACAGGCAGCAGAGAGGGCCGCCGAGAAGAGGACAATAATGAACGAGAGTGAGAGGATACAGCTGGATCCGCCGGGAAGCAGTATGCAGACTCTTCGATGTGCCGTTTAGTCACTTTTGAGCATGCTGTCAACCAGATCGCCCAGCGGTCCCCAGAAGTCTTTCCCGCTGGCCAGGTTGTGTTCCTCGATAAACAGGACATAATGCTTGAAGCTGGTGTTCAGATGCGGTTCTAGCCCAAGATGGACGACGACTGGGTAGTGGTGGCAGTATATGTGTGCATATACACGGTACATGCGCTTGAACAGCTGTCTTAACAGAGAAGGGAATGTTTTTGGGAAAGGCACCCCTAGAATGATTATTGTCAAGTTTAGTCTCAAACCCGCCTCCGACCATGACAAGGAATATCGGTTCAGTTGACTTCATACCTATATGGCTGGGGAACATCTGCTCGTTGTCAATGTTTGCCTGTACCCAAGTCATGAGATGCTCTACGTATTCGGGTGCAGACATCTTCGTAGGACGCTTGAAGTTCTCGTTATCCTGCCATAGATACTCGAATCTGTAATCCGCCAGTTAGGGACGAATAGCATAATACGTAATGGCACTGGCAAACATACTCGTCCGTTGCCTTCATCTCAGGACATGTTTGCGGCGAGCAAAACTCCGTAATTGACCCATACAGCAGGTTGATCTGGTTATAAAAATCGACCACTACCCATCCAGTCAGTCAGTCAGCGCCAGCCCATATGTTCACTCTTTGTGTTTCCTCCTCCGCTCGTGCTCTCCATCAGGGTATAGAGACGTACGGTTAACGGCGAGCCATTCGTTGACATCCTCTCCGTCAGGAAGTTTGACGGCCTTTCGAAGACCCCCACTGCCCAACGTCGCCTCCGCAAATTGTCGAAGCTGGTAACTTCCACTGCCTTTATTCGCTGCTCGCGGCCGGAACGGCCCCCGCGTGCGGGAGTTTCTGTTTGTCGAAGAGAGGTCTGTCAGCGGCGGGGCCATAGCGGTCGCGATAAATGTAGATGTAGGTCCAATATCGAATAAGACAAGCTGAAGCAGAGTCTCAGGCAGGATAAAGTAATAGAAGTCAAGGCCGTAAGAGTCGCAGAGACTGAACGTACATGGTGTTGATAAGAGAACTCGCCATACTGTATGTCGACAGGGATGCGCCGTGGGTCGTTGATTTCCCCTTGATCCGCACCTGATGCAATTTCTCGTCAGCTCGTTGGTTCTCGGAAATATTTCTGGTCGATAAAAAGGCGAACTGATTGGATGACGCAAGAAGATGGAGTCGTTAAGGCGTAAATTAGGGGTTGGTATTTAAACGCCCTTTGCCTTGCTCCATGTTTGATTGTTATCTGGTGGTTGCCGGGGAGACAGCCACGCCTCTACCAATATTATTTAGGGGGATCACAGTCGCGAGTTATTGTCAGCCTGCGGATACTAAGTATACTGCTTTCGCAGCATTTGATACCCGTACAATGGTTCAAGCGAACAGGCTACTAATCTCTAAAAGGTGAGCATGGCTATACCTGGTAGTGGAACCGTTTGTCGTGGTAAATGCCAAAGGGGGTACATTACATCTATTATACCTTGTTATAGAGCGACAACAAGAGAAATCCAATCTGGAAGACATGCAGAATTCATCTAATCAACATATGAACATCGATGGTTACCAAAACCATCCCAAGATTCTAATCCCACTTTCCATTCGGCGTAGCGGTGGTTTTATATAGGTATTCCCTGCAACTCCTCTCGGCTAGGCTCTTGCACCGTCCCACCATAGACCGTAAGAGGGATGCTAACTTCAAAAGATTCACAGGATATATGTTCTGCAGCGGCAAACACAGTCCCTCGTTCATCATGCTCGACGGGTTCTAACAGACCAATCCCAGATGCCGACGTATGAGCATTTTCCGTAGAATCGGGCAAGCTGCTTGTTACGAACTCAAATCGAAGCTGCCATTCAACATTCACACCAGACGTGATTAGAGTAGGTGTGGCGGAGACCGGGATGGCGGGCGTGAAGGCTACTCTGGATGCAAAGAGGGTGTTTTCAAAACACATAGCGTGAACCTTTCGTGTGGCGCGAGTGATACTTGCCGCGGATCGAAGCGCAATTTCGGGATTGATTGTCTCATGAGTTTCTAGAGAGCCACGTAGAGAGTGACAGTGAATAGCTGCGTTTGTAAAATCAGCAGTAGCCACGATAGTTTCACCTATTCGGTGAGATGGTCGATTAAGCACTATCACGGCAACTCGCCGGCCACTGCGAGATATTTCGAAGCGGTTGGCACTCTGATCTGATGCAGTTGACTGGTTGCTACGTAGGATAGCCAAGTCAATGGCGTCCTTGCATGAAAAAGGGGCATCGTGATGAAGGTGTGGCGGCCCGGGACTTATCGGTGATATTAATGAGTCCTGGCGGTCCTTTTGCTTGAGAATTTCGTCTACGTAAGACAGAAACTGAGGTGCTGATGTCCATGCTTTCGCGCTTATGCTTTTTTCCTTTGCTGGTGGCCGTGGGGCTGATGAATCAATACTCTGCACTCGTGCTTCATCCCTCAGTACCACGTATGGCTGCATTAGATCATGTCCGAGAACGCCTCCTTGAGCTGTCATATCATTAGTGAATAGCATATAAAAAAGCGACGAGGGGGTTGCCCTTACCATCCACACCACTGAGAACACGGAATGGCACATTGATCTTGTGAAGTCGCTGGTTCCCCTTTATGGCTGCTGCCTTTTGCGTTCCAATAACCAAATTATATGAAATTTTTATAGCCTTGCCCTTGTGGCTTGAAGGTAGTCCACGGGGTAGAGTAAATGAGAACGAAAACGCCTTTTCCTGCCCTGGCGCCAAACGGAGGTCGACGAAAAGAAGGGATTGCGGAGTTGATAGTAGAGGTATAGAGTTGGATGAAGAGGCGCCTCGCATTTCCCGTAGCCCGTCAAGTTCTCCTGTTGAAGTCAAACTTGCAAGAGAGTTTCCCAGACTGCTGAGCCCTATATTTCCCCAGAACCCGCTTCTAGGCTTCGACTGCCTTGGCGACCGTTCATTGCTGCCGTGATGACCAACAACGCCCTTACGCTTTACTTCCTCGAAGATTGATTGATCCAGTAAGGATCCATCAACGGTGAATGAAGCGTTGATCTGGGCATAGCCCATGAGAAGTGTTTGCGACTCATTAGATCGACCGTTCCTGGCTGGCTCGAGGTTTGATTGATGTCTTCGATGCCTTGGAAGGCCCCTGTTCATAGAAACTAATTTATAGTCTGAATCAAGAGTTTCCGTGGAGTTATTGCTAAGAGAATAAAACTCAGTACTACTTCGGGTACTGCCCTCCATCGCTGATACAGCGGAGAGTTTCGTTGCCGGCGTAAGGCAGCGAGGCTGGTCAGCTGTCAACTTCCCATTGGCAGCAGTTACATTAATATGATCGGGTATTGTAGATTTAGTAGTAGATTCGGTGTATTGACTCTCTGGGGTCGACTGCGTGGATGGATTTGTTTTATTTTCAGGCGAAGGCGGAGCCTGCGGAAACTTGAAATCTCCATGGAAAGCGCTCATTTTGCGTGGTGCTCTGCGCATCGGAGTCCTTCTAGCTGCCGGTGAATTATTGATCGGAGAACGGTAGGGGTCTGCTTCATCCTTGGTGCTCGGAAGGGAGAGGTTGGACTGTGAGGTAATGGGCGAGAATCTCGAGATTGGAGATCGGGGAGACACTAAATCCAGAATTAACACTCTGAGTTTCACACAAAGGGTTGAAAAATCAAGTAGTGAATTAATACCAGCTGGAAACTCGTCTCTGTAAGGGTCATGTCTCCTAGGAGGGGCTTGGAAACTTGCTGATCGTGCATGCCGGCCTGGCTGCGGACTCTTTGGGGACTGAAGCTGTTTACGGTCATGAGAAATATCTGTCTCTAAAGATATTATTGAAACAGATCGTTTATGAGAATGGTCTGGCGTGTTGGAAGCTCCATTAGTGCGTGATGGGGTGGTAGGAGGAAAGCTCTGGCTCAAGATGGGAGAGGAGCCAACGGAAGCCGAGGCCCTGTGATGTGGGTGTCGAGGCCGATACCCCAAGGACTGCGGGCGACGCGGCAAATTATTAAACGAAAATGGGTTAAGCGATTTTGCTGGAGAGTAGTTGGTCCCATCCGTGACGGTGTTAATAGGCCGAGACCCTCCTCGATAATGCTTCGTCGTCCCAACAACCTCGTTTCCTGCCTCTTCTTCTGTCACATTTTTGAATGTGATTGTGCATTCAACGTCTTCTCCGGCGAATATAGTTTGTTCTTTCCATCTCACGAAGACCTGAATGTCCGATAACATAACGGTCGGCTGGTTTTTTGCTGCATGGATGAATGCGTCGTTAAGGGATTGGGGGCATGTCAAGATCGTTCCGGAAAGAATTTCAATGCATGTCTAGCTTGTGAATGTGCATTCTCCGTGTAGCCAGCGTAGGCTTTGATATCGAGTTGTATATAGACTAGAAAAAGGCCGTTACTGCAGCGAACGTGCACTCGGTTACCTGTAAGGACGAAGCATCAACGGTTGTAGATGCGGAGAGTTCGACTTGCGTATTTCTCCAGGACGTTCTTGGCTGATCTTCATGTGGTCTTGGCATGCGCTTGGCGGCTAACTTAAGCGCCGACGGCTACGCTACTCAGTATTCAGACTACCAACATACCCATTAGATATTAAGAAGTGTGAGATGGTATTGTACAGTTAAAGATATGTAAACAGTGTTAGAGTATAGGCTGGAGGAGCTAGTGGGAGGTTGATCTACCAGTCAGGCTTCTCTTTGTAGCTTCGCTTTGTATTCAATTCTCCGCGGATGTCTTTTGAGATCTTACTGCTTCTGGCTTTCGACGAGTCTTCCTTCGACCAGTTATCCCTGGAAGAATCTCTTTTAGTACCAAGAAGATCATCTGCAGTAACCTCCCAAGGATCAAATTTTCGAGAGGAAGTGTCTTCAGGAACAATCCTTTTCTTGGGAATTCCTTCCCGACGTCTGCTTTGAGACAGATAGTCACCAGGAAGGTCTTCGAGAGCGTTTGAGGAATGGTGGCGTTGAGATAACACCTCCTCGGTACTAGGATCGTCTTTAGCAGTTGAATCTGTGTGTCTCAGTCCCAGCTCCATCATTTGCTCTTGGATTCTTATCTTTCGTTTCTCCCAGCGATTTCTCCTATCAATTTCCTCTGCCTCTGTGGCTCGCCATTTGCTTTTCAATATCCTTCGAATAGCTTCAGGGGAGATTTTGAATTCCTCTGCAAGATTCTTTGTCGAGAACTTCACAGAGTCCATGCTATGTAGCTTCCGGATGCTCTCCATGGTGTCGGGAGACACCTTCTTCCGCGGTTTCCATCCTTCTTTAAATTTCTCCTTCAAGGCGTTTTTTTGGACTGCCCATGCGGGTAGAGGTTTCTTAGGCTTATGTTTCGTTGATTTAGATAGACTAGTGTCTTCAGCGGTTTCCTTCTCGGTCTTGGCTGAAGGAGCAGTGGAATAAGATGCTGCAAAATCCCATTGTTTCAGTGCGCCATTTTTTGGGAGGGAGAAGGGAGTGTAGTTCGTCGCGGTGTAATTGTAATAAGTTCGTGAAGGAATTATGTGCAGCGTGATCGAGGATGCGAAGGATGCTGTAGTGACCGACCGGGTCGGATAACAGAGAGATCGAAGATGGCGTAAAACTGGTAATATATTCGCAGCTGTCAATGGTTGCGACGCCATTGCAATCACCGAACACAATCAGGGAACCTTTCGGGATTGTTTTTCTACTATTGAACGGAAATTTGCAAACAACAAGTAGGTCCAAGCTTGCTCACGTGATATATACTTTTTCCCCTTGGCCAATCAGTTACGGGGCATCCATAGCAAGGATGCCGTTGAACATAAGTCGCGGGCGGAATTGAGAATTGATGTAAATGACGATAGAAGCCAATCAATTCTGTTTACTGCATGAAAATTCCTTGATTATATTTTGCATATTTGGTTTGCTATTCCACGGAGGGCCAATTTAATATTTGACCCCATCCTAACTGCCCAGCCAAAGGTTGGAGGTACTATTAAAGTTTGACATTTCCCCAGAAATCAACCAATTGAATAGCGATTAAATCAGCAAATGAGGATATTTTTTCTCACTCCCTTGTCTCCACCTATTTCTGCTCAATGTAATTTTGCTTTATTGTTCAACCCAGGATTGATACTATTGTTGAGAGATGAAAGGATAAGAAAATGACACTACTTGGTGGGAGGATAAGAAGGCTACTGGGGAATTGACCAGGCGGGCTCCCTTCTCTTCTTAACCGACTAGTCCTTGACATCTTCATTACGGAATACCATCAATGTCGGAGCCTGCTGGAACCTCGCCCATGGAGGGGCGATACAAACAGCGCACACAAACACCATATCTGGAATCCGACTATTCCTACGACTCGGAGGATAGCACAGATATGAATGGTGCTAGACGGAAAGTTGACCACTCCAACCTCCCTGGAGGCAACCGATCATTGGCCGGTATCTCTATCAGGTCATTTCTCCTTGGCCAAGCTGCTGGGCTTTGCTCACTGCTCACCTTAACACTGGCCTACCATTCGCACCCTCTATGGAGAGCCCCCTTCTTCGTTACATGTTTAGCTGTTTTCCACTTCCTTGAGTTTTACATTACGGCAGCTTATAGCACTTCGTTTGCTACGGTATCTGCCTTCCTTTTGAGCTCAAATGGTGCCGCGTACAACATTGCTCATAGCTCTGCAATGGCCGAATGTCTCCTGAGTCATCTTTTATTTCCCGAGGGCTATCTCAAATGGACCTCTATGCTTTTTGGTGGGGCCAGAGTTCAGGTCTTTGTTGGCTTGATGATGGTGCTTGTTGGGCAGATCATCCGCAGCTTCGCCATGGTCCAGGCAGGCTCAAACTTCACCCATACCGTTCAGACACAGCGAAGAGACGAGCATGTACTTGTTAAGTCCGGTTTGTACAGCATTCTAAGGCATCCTAGCTATTTCGGATTCTTCTGGTGGGGACTAGGAACCCAATTAGTCCTCGGGAACTTCGTTTGTTTCATCGGATATGCCCTCGTCCTTTGGAAATTCTTCTCATCTCGGATACACCGTAAGTGCATGGCTCATTGGAAGTGATTGGACAGTAACTAATATATGCTAGGCGAGGAAAAGCTTCTAATTGGATTTTTTGGCAACGAGTATGTAGAGTACAAGAGCAAGTCCTGGGTAGGAATTCCATTCATTGGTTAAGCGGTAAACGCCCTCTTCTTTGCTATTCATTATGTATGTATGCCTGATGAGTCAACAACAAAATTCATTGAACGTTCTGGATTCATCATATTGTTTGCTGTCATCAGTGCGGTGAATTGGCACAAAAGAAGTCATAATTTCCCTCTATCTTGTTTGTCTACTTATGTAAGTGACACAATTTTCTGTGAATATATAGCTATCTCTGCTTTCCACTTTCCCTGGTCATTTGAAGCTATTATGCAGACGCTGATTATACCCAGTGATATACTATGCAATGCATCACACTCTTCCACAATATAACACTACTATTACACTGTTTACCCGCAGCTTAAAAAGCAAGACAATAGGAAACATCCCTAGTCTGCTTAACATACCTAACATAACTAACATACCAGACGATACAACCTCAAAGTTGCAGACAAATCTCAAGTACAGACCTTTCTACCATGTGTGGAATTCGAACACACACTCATCGACCCTGTGGTTGTAGGTTACATTATATACGTCTCTGCAGGACATTTAATACCCCTCCGTGCCCATCTGCGCCGAAGGACACATCTCGGTTCATCACGACAGGCAATATATACTTCTCTAAAGCTATGCTCCATCGCTGCCCGAGATTATACATCTTTCCTTGCGAGATGGACCCGTACCCATGTCATTCTCACTGGAAACAGTTTTCCGACCCAATAACGCTTCTTCAACCGCCTGATGATCCCGAGGCAGAGGTCAAATCGGTTCCCAATTCTCGGCAGAATCATTACCTAGAGGGAAAAGATGATGGTATGCAGGCAGACAGTCGGGAAAGAAGTCATTCAATTGTGATCTCTTCCCAAAGTCTCGAGCCTCGTTTGCTACGGGGAAAGTTTCGCGGCCTAAGTTGGAGCTCCTGGAAGAATCCTTAGGTTTACTTAATGCGAGGATAAATGGTGTTATGGATGTGTATGCGTGGAAACGGAGATATTATCTTGGAGTTTATGGCCATACCATGGTCAGAAGAAATAAATCGAGGTACTCTTGATAATAATAATGTGTGTTCAGGGAAAAGCAAGCAGTGAAAAGGCGTTGAGTATATGAATTCTTGATGGAACTAATTTAGCCATCAATAATAGGTATACATCGGATAAAAGTAAAATTAACATCAGCCTAATAATTAAAATTATACAAGATCGTCTATAGCTTGCTCTGTATGGGTTGCATGGCCACACCACCGCTCATGCTATATAGTTGGGTATCCTCTTCTTCGGATTTCCGGAGAAGCATATCTCTCCCTGACCGTGTGCTCCACCATGTCACGCAAAAATTGGCTCGTTCCACATCCATGTCTCCGTTACTTAACGTATCCCAAAACTTCTCTTGACACTTTCTCCTTATCTCTAGGTCATGAATCCGGTTTATCAAGTCAACAGTTAAGTCTAACCAGTCCTCAAGTAGTTCAACTCGGAGATATGGAAGACCATCGATTATGGTCATCGCCAGTACACCTTGTTCTGAAAGGTCCTCAGGTGCTGGGTTTGGATTTGAGTCGGTTGCTGGAGGCAGTAGAGGCGTTGTGGGTGCGTTGATAGCTCTGTCGTACAAGAGTTGGAGGAGAACTGAGGGTAAATATGGTTGGCTGTTGGCAAGAGGTGATGGGGGTGCCGTTATCTTGAGAATGGTTTTGAATGCGAGGCGGAATTGCCTTGCAGACAAGTTTTTCGGGAAAACCTATACGGTGTAAGCATTATCGAATTGATAATAATTTGAATTGAAATACTTCCACTTACGGTAAATAGGGTATCAACATAAGAGGGAAGGTGTTTTGCGGCCATATTGGCACTTTGCGGAGCTGCAAGAACAGCAAGAACCACACTATGAGCAGATTCGAAAATTTCTAGGAGATGGTTATTCCCACCGGCTGCGAGATAAGGTTGTGCTGCTGATAGGAGGAGTCGCTCATTTAGCATGGGTGATACTATCAGACTGAAATGTTCCGCTGTGTTGAGGAAAAAAAGGTCTAGACATCTATCGAGTGGATGGGCGGGAATTTTCGATGACTCGGATGGCCGAATCTCTTCTAAAAAGTCTTCCGACAAGTCAGGATATTGGGCAAGGATATCAATGGCAGTTAAGTTGACGAAGACATATTGTGACGAGCTGCTATATCCGGCTCTTGCGGTAATAAATGCAAGATGGCGAAGGGATTTAAGTGACTTAGAAGCAATAAAAGGGCTACCTGTTCAGTAAAAAAAATAAAAATGTAAGCTACCTAGTAGTTTGCCAGCTAATGAGCTGGAGCGTATACTTACTCCTATCAGAGGCAAGAATAGGATCATTGAGCACCCTTCCGAGTATAGCCCGGAGAATTATGATAAAAGAAAAGAGGGGTATATTTAGTAACTTCCAAAGTGTAGGGATAGTTGTCTGTAATGAGGCCGTATCTAGGAATTCGGACTCCTCGGATTGATCGATTTCTGACAATTTGTTTTGACGCCACTGAACCATCAATGTCCTGGATAGCTCGAATAGTGAGTCTAGCACTTGTATGACCTGGCCACGGTTGCCGGTGCTCTCAACCGCATGAGCAATGAGTCTCGACAGGGGGCCAAATGAAGCCACAAGTGGTCTCATTAATATATCCTTTGCTTGATAGTATGAAGGCGAATCTTCCTTCCAGCAAAACTTGCCCTGGCCAGGAATTTCTTCAATACCCCTGTCAATGGAGCCCAAAAAATAGCCAGATTCAAGGCCCTCTGGAGACATGAAGGCGGCATCAGCTAACACGGGAAGGAAGGCGTCGTATTTGATCCTGCTTCGTTCCCAGTCTGATAATAATTCGAAAGTATAGTTAAGGACGAGTACTATCGTATATGCAGCAATCGTCGGACTAAATCGAAGCTCATCTAGAGCTAGCTGTATCCCGGTGACCAGAGCAGCCTCGAGCTTTTTCCGTAAGGCATATGATAAACCTCGTCGATTTTGTCCTTCGAACCCGAGCAATAGCCCGCCTAGCAAAAGGAGATGTCTCCATCGCGGTGATTTCTCGTCGGCGCCATTCACTACTGCCTTCATCCAATCTTCTCGACCAATTCCCCGACGCTGCAGATTTGGGGAGTGCGGGTCATACGCGGATTCGTAATTAACTATCGTGACCGCGGCGGTGTTGAAAACGCTCAGCATCCGCCGGCAATAGTGCAAATCAAGAGTCGGCAACTCCCATAGCGATTCGGCACAAAGTAGCTGGCTTGACAGAAGAGTAACGTTCAAAGGATTAGTGAGCAGGGTTAGATGGCCGAGAGCTGAGGGTAGAAGACTGGGAATGGAGATCCGTTAGTATCAGTCCAGTTGCTTTAAGTTTGCGGTAATGATCATACTTAATGGCATCTGAAGGAGATGTTGCAGTCTGAATGGATCGCAAAAGCGTCGCAAGGGACCTTTCAGTCCCCATGATGCCCGTTAACAAGTTGCTTGTTGCATCGGGCAGAGGGCCGGATCTCTGTCTGCTCTTGATGTGTTTTGACGTGGAGAGCGAACAGCTTCCTCCCCAGCTTAACTTCTTGCCGAGGCTCAAGCCGTGGGCGAACTAAGCATCACGTGACAAATCTTATCTTCAATTAAGGTTTGCGCGTTCAGGAGTTAAAACATCCCAACACTCAATAGCAGCAACAACAATCAAAGCTCGCGAAGAAACGGCAGAGCCCATGTCCTGTTCCGCCATAATGTGGCCCCGGCGAAAATATGACATCGCACTCGATACCATCCGAATATGTCTCTCCGGAGTTCCCCTCTCTATACTTTCCATTTAGCCCTTTGAATCAAACTCCAAAACACATCTATCATATGGAAGATGCGTGGCGCTTTACCCTATACTGGACATTGGCGTTCTATGGCGGAACTCATATGGCTGTAGCACTGTATGCTATGATATGCCAAAGACACAGTTGGAAGCTTGCATGGGCAATTCCACTTGTATACGCGATCGTTGCTGGGCTGGAGGGCTTGTTAGCTGGTAGCGTTGTTGGTTTAATGTAAGCCTGGGTCTCCATCGGCTAGATCGAGATACCAACTTGGATGATTGGTCCTAATCCATCTCTTCCTCCAGTCTCGGTTTAGTTTACGAAGCGGGAAGCTTTAAAATGTCGACATGGATTCCCTTTGCCTGGGGCTGCATCAACGTCCTCGTTCTTATCTTGTCATCCTTTTCCTTCCATGGTGGACTTTGATCGCATTGTTGGGCTCGGTGGTTATCCCACAAGGCCATATACCTGAGCTATGCATGCGGGTATCTGCGACTACCAGCCCATCAAATATTTACCTCTGCTCACAACGACTCATATCAGCGATGAGAGAGCTGCTCGTCCAGGTTTACAACTTCCGTGTATATATATATATACCTATCCTGGAAGCCTCCCGCAGGCGCATCATTGAGCTGATAGAAGCTTAAATCCGATGTTGTACATCACACCTATTATTGATCGAGGCCTATCTTTCTATAACCTAAGGATGGTATATCACCAAGGTATGTCCTGCAGTATCAAGTAAATACGGACTCTAGATATGTACCTGGCGGCTGACAATATAATTCTTGGAGTGGTTTCTTTCTGAAAAGGACAAACTCTAAGCGATAAAGCTTTACACCCTGCTTTTGACGACCTTTATACCTGGGTTTATCTAGGATTTATCTGGATTATTACATCCTGTCATGTTCTCTATTATAGCGGCCAATCCAGCTGGGTGATCGGGTCTTCGTTGGAAACCCTAGAAGGTATGCTGGCCAAGGAAGCTGGATTCGAATGCGCACACTCGGCATATCCATTGGTTTTGGATTGCAAGGACAAGGTTATTTTTTATCGTCACAAATGGACATTATGACTCTGGCGTCATTTCTCAATAAACGCGTGCGCAATATCATATTTTCCTCTTGTTGAAGCCATAGGAAATGCTAGTAAAATCTTAGTTAGCTGTTAACTTAGCAGACTAATGAGAAGTTGGTCAACGGAGTGGACGAACACATAGACACCAATTCGACATTGTACCTTACATAAATAGAACATATGAATATAGTTGGGACCGAGTATATAATAAAAGTAATGACTTTGAAGAGAAAATGACAAAATTGCGATGTTTCTTATTTCAATCGAACGTGAATGTTAAGTTAAGCTTAAATCTGTTGCCTGTAATTGGTTTAATTTCCGATCCAGCTCCTATCTTCATTTTCATTGGCAGGATTTAAGTCACATATAAATTACCACGTGATCATGATATTCCGTTGACTACGCAATAATTTTGGTCGCTCCCTTTGCCGTCTCTCTTCGCGGACATCGCAACGTTGTTACCACTCTATCCACACAATACTCCACAGAGAAGATGACTACGGGTATGTGATGCTTATAGACTTTGGGAAAGTTCGTTTGCTGACGCACATTTTAGCTCATCGACCAACCTTCGACCCAGTATGTCAACTTGTCACCATTTCCGAGGACGCTTCATTGTACTTACTGTTACAATAGGCCCGGGGCAAAGAAGCCCAGAGAGGACCTGCATATCATCAGCGACTTCTCCCTGCTCATACACATCTCAAAGTCAGGTACGGAGGGTGACCGACTTCGTTTTAGGGAACGCATACTGATTAGATGTTACAGGCAGCCAGGACAAGGAGGAGCAGCAGATGCTCAACCAGAGACTCGAGATTTACGCGCCGAGCTTTTAAAAGCCGAAGCTGCTCATTTTGCCAAACTTAAGGGGGGACCTGGGCCGTCGAATGCTGATGCTGAGCCGTCTGTTCCCAAACGACAGCTGGAATCCGCGCCGGAGCAAGATGATATCGCAGACGAAGATCCGCAAGCGAAGCGGCGAAGAATATTGGAAGAAACGCGAGATATAGATGCAGATTCGGACGGCGGGGACTCGGACAGCAGCGAAGAAGATAGGTGCGTGGGGAGGAATTTTACCTTTTAGCGATCTTTACCATACGGTCTGCTAACGTATCAACGCAGCGATGACGAAGAAGATGAAACTGCAGAATTAATGCGAGAATTAGAGAAAATAAAGCGAGAAAGGGCAGAACAACGGGAGAGAGAGGTAGGCCGAAAATCTCAGGGATGGTGGGGTCCATCAGCTAATAACTTCATAGGAACAAGAACAAGCTGCAAAAGAACAAGAGAAACGGGAAATTGAGATTGCTCGAGGAAATCCATTGCTCAACCCGCAAGATTTTAATATTAAGCGACGATGGGACGACGATGTCATCTTCAAGAACCAAGCTCGAGGCACAGAAAACAAAGGTGACAAGGAATTTGTTAATGTAAGTCTTATACTCTTCTTAGCTTGAACATAGTTGTATGGGTCTTGCTTGGCTAATCTCCTGTCTTTCATCAGGATTTACTACGGTCCGATTTCCACAAGCGATTCATGGTTTGTTACATTTCCGCTGCCCTTTTCTAACCATATAGGCTACTAACTTCTCTCCTCTTCTACCAGTCTAAGTATGTCCGGTAAGCCAGGAGTGGCTTTAGAGGCGCCATGGAGTTTTGCCACTGTCAACTTGTATGCTATTACGGGGTATTTTATTTATAACATCGAAGGGATTATTTTTGGAGGGGCGACGCATAAGGTTTACCGTGTTCCGTCTACCAAAGGTACAACAATTTCTTTTGGAACTGTATTTTGATATTTGATTGATTACTACTCGAATGGCCCTTTTTGTTCCTGTATCCCACATTTACCCGAGAAAAGGCTTGGATATCCCCAACTTTGCGGCCATCAACAGTCCGATGTGGCTGTGTTCAGCCACAGTACAGATCTCATCTTCTCGATAACATCGTTTAGCCCGTCTTCTGCGCATCATTGTGGCAAAAGCTCTGTGCCTAGCTTCCCTGCACAGCCACAGGACGGCCCCCTTCGACCTATCTAGGGAGCATTCAAGCCGAGGTGGCGAGCTCACTAGCACCGGGGTTGTCCCTTTCTCCTGGACTTCCCGTGTGTATTTCCCTCAGGCCATTTTCCCCGCCCAATGGAACTTATCGTGCATTCTTCTCTGGCCTTCTTTGGCGATAGGATGATGCAGTCGTGCATGGGTGTTGGGTGATGAAGCTCGAATCATCAGTGGATCAAAGACGAAACTCATGGCGTTGGATGCGGGGTTCGATCGGAAAGGGATGTAGCATTGCAATTGGCTTGTAGCGGAAGGTCGCCTAAGTTATCGGCGAGAGCTCAGTCTCCATGCTACGCTGCTGTGTACGAAGTGTATGCGAGCAGGAAAAGCAACAACACCACGATACGTATTTTTTGCATGGGGCCATGCCACCCTGCTTAGAGACTACTGATCTTGTCCCCTGTATCAGATTGTTTGTCGACCCAGTTCGATCAATCACATCCCCCCGCCCCCGCTGTCCAGCCCGGCCACGGAGAGCTTGCGTCCTCGCAATTTGCACCGGCGTAAGACTGATACCCACCACCGGCCGTTCTTACCAATGCGTCTCCGAAGTTGGCAGGCGTGACGATCACGGTGCAATGGATTGGGTTTTGGCTGAGTTCCAGCCAGTGTGGAGGGGTAACCCATATCGTCATCATTATCCCCTCTATTGTTGTCGTCATTAAGGGGGTGGCCGTATAAACATAAAAGGCTCCCATTCCCCCCCTTTTCCGTCCACCATATTCCCAAGATCTTTATCCTCCTGTATACACCCAAAGGCATCTTACTCTGTCCTAGATTGTTCTCTCTATCAAGACCCATCGTCACATTATACCCTTTCAAAATGTCTTACAGCAACCGTGATAACGAGAACTATGTATGTTGGCCTAGCCGTGTACTTACCCTGAGCGATCTTTCCTGGCTCTGCTAAGCTAACATTGCATTAATAGTCCGGTAGCGGAAACAATGACAGCTACGGCGTATGTTACCTATGTAGACCTAGCATGTTCTTCTTGAATATGATGTGCTGACATGGGTTGTACTAGTCCTCTGGTCGTTCTGGAAATGATGGCAGCTACGGCTCCAGCAACACCGACAGCTATGGCTCCTCCGGCCGTGGCAATGATTCCTACGGCTCCAAGTCCAGAGACAACGACTCCCACGGCTCCTCCGGCCGTGGCAATGATTCCTATGGCTCCAATTCCAGGGACAACGACTCCCACGGCTCCTCCGGCCGTGGTAACGACTCCTATGGCTCCAAGTCTAGGGACAATGATACCTACAGTTCGTCTGGCCGTTCTGGAAATGACGACAGCTACGGATCGAACAAGTCTTCCAGCACCAGCGGCGCCTATGGATCATCAGGCAACGACTCATATGGATCCAAGTCCAGAGATAACGATACCTACGGTTCGTCTGGCCGTTCTGGGAATGACGACAGCTACGGATCGAACAAGTCTTCCAGCACCAGCGGCGCCTATGGATCATCAGGCAACGACTCCTATGGATCAAAGTCCAGAGATAACGATTCCTATGGCTCTTCTGGCCGTGGCAATGACAGCTATGGCTCTAAGTCCAGAGATGACGACAGCTATGGATCATCTGGCCGTTCTGGCAACACTTATGGCTCTGGCTCTGGCAATGACAATGATTCTTATGGATCCAAGTCTCGCACTTCTGGAAACACCTACGGCTCTAATGACGACAATGACACCTACTCGTCATCCAAGAAGTCTAGCAACACCTACGGCTCTAGCAATGACGACTCTTACGGATCCAAGTCTCGCACCGACAACACCAGCTCTGGCTACTCCCGAAATGACAACAATGACAATGACAATGACAACGAGAATAGTTAGTCAAACCCCACTTCTCCTGCTGGCCGAGTAGATACTAAACATGAAATTATTACAGAGTCCGCTACCTCCAAGGTCCTCAACAAGGTTGGTGAGATGATTGGCAACAAGCTGTCTGGTAGCGGTCACCAAGATTCCAGCTCCAACTACTAAGCTTTTACAAGCGTATCTTGACGCGTGGCACGTTTCAATCTGCTTTCCAGTCACTGTTGTGTCACCCGAGTTATTTCCTTTTCTGAAATGAACTAAATGCCCCTATGATTATTGAATCACAGCAGTACTTATTGTATGGCAACTAGCTATGTATCTTCTCATGTATTCGACATGCTGTCAATTTGAATGAACTCGGCCTTCCTCCCAGAAAACGCGAAAATGCTATTCACGTGATATTTTATCATGTGACTCCTTGATAAGATAAGATTAGCTCTAAACCTTGATTTCATCTTGAGAGATATAACGATTAGATAAGCAATATCAACTTGCAACGCTTTCCAGCGAGAGGCAACGACAGTGAAGCAACAAGGAGTAGACTCCTATAGTAAGTGGAGATGGCTACGCAACAGCCAACGTCTCGCGCTCTCCATGGTAAGCATTAGTACTCCAGTGCTAGCTGAAGTGATTGGTCTGACGGTGTCCTACAGCACGAATCAACGCCGATATAACCCAGCTTCTCCAGAGATTTGAAAATATCATGGCTGCTGCGACGGTATGATTAGTGTATTGCTTGTCGATCTAGCGCCGGTAGCGGTACAATTCTAAGAGGGTTTTGCCTAGGTGGACAACCCCAGTCGCACATCCTCCGCCATTGAGTCGTACCAGCTTGACGTCGAATCGACAGCTCTCGTGAGTATATTGAATATCAATTTGACGTATCACTTGATCTTTCACCCAATACGATTAAATGCGTTGCTATAGCATTACTTCAGGGCTAATCCGTTTCCTTGTGCCTTTAGATTCGCGCTGCCGAGGATATCTTGTCCCTTACGCGTACATTGAAAGAGACATGGCTATTTGGGAAGCTAGAGACGCTTGGAGAAGACGAGAGAGATATTCAACGACGGGAACAGCTGGAGAAAGACGTAGAAGCTGTCAGAGATATGATCCAACAGAGAACGCAAGCAGAATCAGAGAGGCAATGACATGACAGTGCTTTAACAATACCGATTATTATTCTGGTTGGAAGCCGGTTTTTCGGTTTAACATCGGGGGTTGATTAGGAGTTCAGTATGTACTATATAAAGATACCCAAATGTTCTCTGTTTTCTTTGCTATGCCTCTCTTAGAAGGATCCTTATTTCTACCATAGTACTCCGTAGCTCTGTTCGCTGTTCGTATTTGAGTGAGCCCCCGGCGTAGCCACTAACAACACCCCACCACTTTAACTAACTACGCGATGGTAACAGCCGCGTTTCTACCAGCATAGACAGTCATACACACCCATGAAACCACTGCGAATACCACTGAAAAGCCGCGCACTTCTTCGATATGACCACTAGCATCGCCAATCCAAGAATGCCCGCAAAGCTCCCACCCCTCACTCTTGTCGTCGCGACCACACCCATAACAACTCCTACAAATCCCGGCATTCTTAAACTCGGAATTGGCAAAGAAGGCACATTGCCATGGCCCAGAATAAAGAAAGACATGAGCTTTTTTGCTCGCGTAACAACGCGGCCTCCAGCCACAGCCACGGCCTCTGGATCAGCTTCACCAGCTATCAACGCCGTGATCATGGGCCGAAAGACATATGACTCGATACCGGCGAAATTTCGACCACTATCCAAGAGACTTAACGTCATTATAACCCGAGACGAATCTGGGTCAGTAAAGGAGCGAGCAATTGCAGACTGGAACGCATCGAGGAAACGGGAGTTGGAGAAGCAGGCAGACCAGGATACTGACAAGGCTGCGGCTACATCTACGTCTACTGAGGAACCAGAGGTCATAGTCTCGAGTAGTTTGGAGGATGCATTATCTACTCTACAGAGAAATTTCGTGATAAGCTCGTCATCGGATGTACAGGGGGGGAAGAAGCGGTTGGGCAACGTATATATCATGGGAGGGAGTGAGATATACGCTTCTAGTTTGCGCCTGACCGCTGACGCTCTCGGAGAGAACAACCCGCTTCGAATCGTGATGACCGATATTCGAAGGCGTGCGGACGGGAATGCACAGTGTGATGTTGAGGATCTAGTTGATGGGTTTGAGTGTGATACCTGTTTCCCCTTAGATGGAAAGGGTTTGAAAGAAGGGTGGAACAAAGTTCCATCTGAGAAACTTGCAGAATGGGTTGGTGAAGCTGTATCTTCGGATTGGACTTGGGAAGGTGATATTGCCATGAAGATCTCAGGATATGAAAAGTTATGAGGACGTATGGCAGTCCAGGTCAGTTCAAGTCACAGATACTCCCTCCACTAATAAAAATATTTGGGAATAGTTGAAAGCGCAAGCATTCTTTGATAAATAGTCTCATCTATGTGTATATGCAACAGTAGTATGAATATGATAGGGATACATAGAAACATGGAATAAGGAAAAGTAATGGCTAAATGGGCAAATCGCAAGACAACAAACAAAATATCGGCAGAAGAATAAAACGCCTTAGAAATGCTATTCTAAGTCAAAATGAACAGAGTCTTGAAATAACGAAGAACTGCTAGGAAGTGAAATATTGGATGACATGAGTCTCCGGGAACCGGTATTATACCGGGAAATGAGCGACGATATAAAAAGTATAACAATCCAAAGCAGAAACACATATAGTGCGCAGAGTCAATTAATCGACAGTAGCCACGTCCAGAATGTTGTTCATACAGTGGGTACTCTCTGTTTTTGTTTGAGAGATAGGTTTCGGCTTTAATGTATCGCAGCTGAAGCCTTTTCGGTCTCCTTCATGAACTTGACGAAGGACTTTTTGTGAACTAAGCCTGCATACTGGCCATCCCGAAGGACGCACATGTACCGAAGGCCGAGCTTGACGAAACATTGATAAACAAGATTTATAGGGGAATGAATATCCAGGGAAACAGGTGACTGTAATGGACGAACAGGTTAGCACGGGATATATAGCTAAATGACAGCAAGGGGATACCTACCGGGTCAATAAATGGTGTGAAATCAGCGACATTCGTGTCATTTTCTCCCTCGCCTAGGTATGGTGATTGCATAGACATCAAACACATTGTATCCTGTTCTTCTGAAGGCAATTTATCAAGCGCATATTCTAGTTCCGGAGCAGGAATTAGGCCGACAAGGATATTCTTGTTTAGTATTGGCAGTCCACCATCGAGCTCGCCAGCCATCAGGAGCTTGTCAAGCTTTTCGCGTAATTCCATTGCGCTGACCAAGGGCGAGCTCGAGATATCGATGACCCTGTTCTTTCGAACACGAGGCACGATGTCTCCCAGCTCGATGTTGGCAATTGGATGTAGTTTGTTGTCGAGGAATGGGTAAGAATTCATATCCGTTAGCAAGTCATAGATGCTTAGAGGCTCTACTGCGTTGGAAACCCATTTGGCGCAGAGGATGGCGAGGGAGAAAGGGAGAACATGGTCCAGACTGCCAGTGAGCTCGAACAGGATGACGACAAGGGTAAGGCTCAGCCTGGTGACGCCGCACATGGTTGAGCCAGCAGCAATGAGAGCGTACACACCAGGGTTAACACATGATTCTGCGAGCTTGGTGCTAGGGCATTGTCCAAATAGGAAGAAATTCGGGTAATGGACGACGAAGTATTGTGCGACATGGCCAACAATTCTGCCCATAAGACCGCCCACAACCATGGAGGGAACGTAGATACCAGCTGGGACTTTGATGCCAAACGTGATGGTGGTAAGGAAAGATTTGATGATGAACGCGACCAGGAGATATTTGATGACATCCGGAATGTCTTCTCTTTTAGGACAGAGGCCAGTTCCAGTCTCCGTCTGGCCTTCGTAATCACACGGACTTGCGAGTTCGAAGAGTAGCTCAGACACCGCAAGTTTAGTATAACGGTTCCAGAAACTCATGAGGCCGGTGATCAAGGCGACAAGGACAACTTCGAGCATTGGCCACTTCTTGATGACGGGAATACGGCGGAATGTCTGAGCCCAGAGCTTTGAGGCCTTGATAAAGAGTGCACCAAACGCACCACCGAGGACTCCGAGGAGCATGAAAATAGCGAGCTCGAATATTTCCCAGTCGGACACATAGCGGACCTGGAACAGGACAATTTTGCCAGTCTGGTAGGGGTTAAGAAACTTCAACGAAAGGGCAGCGGCCTAGTCACACAAATTAGCATGTCGTTCTAAACATAGCGCGGCAAGGGAGCCTTACAATGCAGCAAAAGAACGTCCTGAAGAGAGTTTTTGGTGGGAAATAATAACTAGTATAGAAGGGTTAGCTTCGTCTGGCCAGTCAATACAGTTTGGATGCAGAAAACATACCTAACTTCCTCCAGACTGAAGAGAACACCTCCAATGGGAGCCCCGAAGGCAACAGCAACACCACTGGCAGCACTGGCGCTTAGCACCTCTCTCCTTTTGCCATCATTGTAGTGGTATTTGGCGAAGAGTCGGCAACAGATGTTACCGATACATGTAGCTATGTGGACATAAGGTCCCTCCTTTCCAACGCTCAAACCGGAGGCTACGCTTAGAACCAAGGCTAATGTCTTGACGACGAGGGTCTGAACTCCAAGATACCCGTGAAGAATGAAGCCGGAGAGAATGACTTTGACCTCGGCAACACCACTACCGGCTGCAGAGTAGTACACCATGGGCGGTGGCACGACATCCTGAGCAGATCGAACATCTAGGTTGGTTTTGGTGGGACGAGAGGACTCATCCGGCGAGGCACTGCCTACCGCACCAAAATCTTCATCCAAGGTGGTGAGAGAAATGGAGGAGGGGACGACGGTCTTGGTGAGGAGGGTAAGGGTACAAGAAGCAGCTGCTAGCAGGACAGCCCAGAAGACGAAGGCACCAAAGTCGATCCACTTGCGGTCGATGGTAGATGATTCAAGTATTTCGGACCATGAACGCCAAGCGAGACAGATGTCCTCGTCTGACGGACAGCAATGCTTTTTGCTCATGAACCAGTTGTTGCTGCAGAACCCTTCCTTCAAGTCATATATGACGATCTCGGTAACATCGACAAAGTATGCGATACACGCGGTAAGGATGCCAATTATAGCGACCAGAACCCACCCCTGAGCTCCATCAACCCAGGCCAGCAACTTTCCACGGATATCACGTCGACTCCGTAGCTCTCTCAGCCGTATGCCATCAGCAATGGTGTCGTGAACCCAGTCTGTAGAGGTGAACTGGTCGTACCAGACTCTATCGTCGGAGTAAGGAGCAGCGTTCAACGGTTTCGTTGGTTCATCGTCCGTCTCTGCAGGTACAAACTCTGCAGCTCTGTTCGAAGGAGTAAATCTCACAACCTGCGAATTTGCACGGCTGTGACTCTTGGACATACGCAGGCTGCCGGCGGTACTGTTGTGTCTGAAGAAGGCATCCGGACGAGGGGAGGCAGGATTGGTGCTGTAGCTTCGCTGGTACTGGCTGCCAGCGTCCAGTAAGCTCGTCCTTTCGTCCATATCTCCTCCTGCTGCCGCTGTAGCTGTAGGCCTTCGTTGGATGCTGAATCGGATCTCGGGGAGACGAGGGGTGCTATCGTGCCGGAAGACCGTCGGCGAGGGGGGTGATGTTACTGGCACCGTTCTCGAGCCAGGGTTATCGCCGTCACCACCAGCGCTGCCGCCTTCGTCCGTCATCGAGCGAGATGGCAATGCGCGAACCATAACTCAGCTGCTAACTCGGGGCTCTCCCAAGAGGGTGTTAAAACAGAAAAAGGAAAAAGAAAAACCGTATACACGTGCGTACGACTAGGGAGCGAGGGTCCTCTAGGGGAGAAATATGGGCGGAATCTGTCAGCAAGAGCTCAATATATTTGAGGCCCGGAGGAAGTTCATGGGACCAGGCGGTTCAGTCAGATGAGTATCCATCAGACGATCAACGAGCAGAGACACCTTGAAAATGCGGCCTGAAACCCCCCCTTTTCCGACCATATTTTGGGATATGACATGACCGAGAGTCTGCAGCCACCCAATGATGCTCGGAATACGGGGTAGTCTATGCAAAGCTTCGATATATTGATGTTTATGCTTCGCAGTGGTACTTACAGATCTCATCCATGGAGCAACTTCCGGCCACCGCGAGACAGAGAGTGACGACAGCGAGCGCAAAAAAGAGATCAGCCGGGGTGCATGCAAGTCGACAGCAGCATCATCTGACCGGCAGCGAACCCCTTTGGCCCAGCAGCGGCAAGACAGTTAAACGAGATGGAGCAAAATAAGGCGAACAAGAAGATCAAAAGATGTTTCGATGCCGCGGGAAGATCCCGGTCACGTGGGGGAGTTTCTTTTCTTTTTTGACGTCCGCTCTTTTTTTGAAAGACGACAAAAGGACACGATTAAACACAGGCAGCAAAAAAGATACTTGGAGAACGACAGTTCAGTTGACGGTCGACAGCATACTACGGACGGGGATGGGAGAGCGTGCGCTAGGCGTGATGTACACGGGAGAGTGTCCAGGGCGCAGGTTGGGCCGCGGACCACGGACTGAGACGACGCCGGGCGCGGCAGGGCTCTTAGTGCAGCAGCTAGCTAGGCCTTGGACCCGCGAGCGTTGAGAAGCCAACCGGCTGATTTTCGAGACAGGCCGACGAATGGGACATATCTACGGAGTATATATACCTGGCTCGATTTCCACCGTGTATAGAGCTGTGTTCAAGACGGTAGGGTGCGCTCGACTGAGGCGATATCAAGCATATCACATTTGGATAAGAAACAATGTGAAGTATGATATAGCTACTGCAGGACGGACACGTTACTCCGTCCCAACCTGCATAAATGCTGCTTGATCTCGTGCAACCAGCAAGGGAAAGAAAAGTCTGAGTTGTCGTGGGCGTGTCCTTTATAGTTACCAGAGGAGAATGTCGACTCGATCAGACGCATGGGATGACATGCAGCATGCCAGACAGCAAAGTCTGGGGAAAGATACAGACTTGGAGAGTCCCAGGGTACGGCCATCAATATACCCCGCCGCTCGAACAGGGAGCCGTGCCGATCATCATGCAGGTGGCCCTGCTGATATTCTCGGATCTGATATCTCGTTGGCAGGGCCATGCTAACAAGCATTTTTCGGGGGTGACTCGCCCTTTCGATAGTTTACCAGATTACCATGCTTTCCATCATATGGCTTGATGGGCACGGGCTGGTCTAGAACTAGACGCCGCCAACACGGGTAGCACTGTTAATCTACCTTATCTCCCTCGAAACGGGGTTCTTCGGCAACGTCTATCGGGCCTACTCATCGGCTCGACAATGGATGGAAAGCTATAGTTAATCAACTGTTGGAAATTGCGGGCTTTCCACCTCGCTCGATACGACGTTGCGTTGAGCAGCTGCATCCGAACAAAGACATTTTGGTCACACTCTTGTTCTCACTCGCCAAGGCATGGAAGCGTGCTCCGGGGAGGCGGTAGAATGGTCCTGGAGGGACTGCACCTCCTTCGGTTGGAGGTCAAGGAGGGGACGCACCCGACTGTGCTTTGCGTCAAGTCTACTGCTCTCCTGGGGGGTAAAGGGTGTGACGGGTTACACGGCAGTGTAGTCTAGCCCTGGGTAGTTTTCTATCTACCACCTCATGGCAAGGAAGGGGGAACTTGGTCTTCGTCCTCCCACAGAACGGGGTATATATTGCGTCTTATCCTGATATCTCACTACTTGGATCTCCTGGATGGCTCCCCACAGAAATGCATATATCAAGTCTATAATAACTGAAGAAAGCTCCTACCTTCGAACATAGTTACCCCCTTCTTATTCTACCACACCATCCTCTACGTACTCGTCAAAATGCTGTATAGTTCTAGCGTCCAGGTAGGCGTGCTCTCTTCTTTGTACCACCTCGCCACAACTTTATAGTAAAGATACAATCCCCTGATCGGGCATCCATCAACAAGCCGTCCCTGGCGGACTTTATTTAACCCGCCAACCTAGTCTGCCAGGAGCAAAAGTCTCCTCGTTCCTTTTTCATCTTTATCTTGTCCATGCCTTTCATGTTCAAACTTGGCTCCAAATATCCACAGGTTGCAGTCGAGTGATGCGATGCCAGTCAGCCCCTTTTCCCCGTCTTCTGGCTCGCCAAACATATAAATGACAATACCACTTGCCACTCGCTCTCTGTCATGCTTGGGTCCTGTCCAGTCTCTTTGCGCGCTGCCTTGCTTTGTGTGTTGATGAATTGAAACTGCCCTAAACATACATCCATATATCAGAGCATCTAAGTCTATAACTGCTGATAGTCGACTTCGGCGACCTTTTTACGTCTCCTCTTGATACTGGGCCTGGTCATGACTTGCGAAATGTCTCTCGCCCAGGGCTACGTCCAGGCGAAATCGTATATTCCATACGACCAAATTCTTCTCTTCGGAGATTCGATTACCCAGTTCTCAGCATACCAGGGCCGTGGTTTTGCCTTTTCACCGCAGATGCAAGATGGTCAGTCTGGTTGTCTTCGTATCTGCTATACACAATGACTCTGACGGTGAACAGATTATGTGCGAAAGCTAGACGTCCTTAACCGTGGCTTTAGGTACGAAAAGAGGATCTACTACAGCTTCTACTCGTTCATCTAGCTTACGTGCTTTGGTGTACAGCGGATATACGTCCTCTCAGGGGCTGAATGTGCTGCCCCAGTTCTTCCCGCCACCACATGTAGCCAAAGTTCGCATGATGGTAGATATGGCCTCTCGATTCTTCTATTTCTGCTGTGTAGACTGGGCTAAAACCTGGATAGACCGTGTTTTTCGGTGCAAACGATGCTGTCCTGCCTCCGGGAGACCAGTACGTTCCCCTGGAGAAATACGTACAAAACCTCAAGGCCATCATCCAGCACCCCGTAGTCCGATATGGAAACACAAAGATTGTCCTTCTCACTCCGCCACCCGTGAACGAGTATCAACTCACGGCATTTGACCTGTCCAAGGGAGTCACCCCCTTGTCTCGCTCGGCCAACAATACCAAGCTGTACGCCGATGCCTGTCGTGACGTCGGCAAGTCTCTCCACGTAGCTATTGCAGATATCTGGTCCGCTTTTATGAGAGAAGCCGGCTGGGTCCAAGGCCAGCCAATTGCTGGATCAAAGGAGATACCCGAGAATCCCAAGCTTGCCTCCTTGCTCGTTGACGGTCAGTCCGGCCGATTCTCCAAAATCTCTTGGTACCTCCTCCAATGCTGATATCAACCTCCTCTAGGCCTCCATTTCTCCGGAGACGGATACAAAGTCATGTACGACGAGGTCCTCAGAGCCATCCGAGAGACCTACCCTGAAGAAGCTCCTGAGAGGCAGCCTGTCCATTTCCCGCCATATCGGTTTGCCGAAGACGCATAGCTGGGTTCGGCTTTCTCGTATAGTTGACTCCATAAGTAACTAAGCATTCCGCACGTAACAAACACATACAAGCAGCATGCCTCTATTCTTTGAAGTTTAGGAGTCTACAGCCCTCCGCAAGCAAGGTTCTTGCCCTGAAACATTCGAGCAGATGCCGAGCTTGTTTGTGTTGGTTTCAGATAAAATAATGTAAATATGCCTAGCAATGCAGCGGTTTGGCCGGCTGTATCTCCCTCCGACCACCAGTTAAGCCCACCAAAGATCATATAAATCCTGCCGAAAAGGACCTGGACAGGACGTGAAGGAGCGAAAAACAGTGAATGTCTTCGTCTTAATACCAAGCAACCCGTTTACGCTGTAGTTGTCTGCTGCGGCGTTCACATGAATAAGTTAATTATCCGGCTAGCAAGAGTTAGTTGACCAAAGATAGTTAAAAGTTGGCTTTTTATCAAGTCTTCACCAACTTCATCCTCTCTGCTTCTACCAAACAACCGACCAGCGACGCTTCTACAGACGAAAAGATCCTCGTTGAACAAGAACTAGAGACGCAGTCTGACCTTGCACCGCCTATCAGTCACACTCTCCCTGTTACACTAAGCTCTGGTCACATCAGCGAAATATTTAACCGGCCAAAAAAGGACCCCTTGAGAGCGCCTTCAACAACCAACCGCTTCCAACGCCCCCCCGAACAACCGGATCAGCTGTCCTCCCGTTCGATCTCTGCGCCCAGCTGCCCCTATAACAAGCATCTCATATCTGTCTACCTCTTTCCGCCGTCCAGCCGCCTCACCATCGAGTTTCGCCGTTTATCTGCCACTGTCGCCACAGCGCAGCTCTTCCCCGAGGGGCTTCACTCGGCCAGCATCAGCCTGTCTGATCGAACGCTTAGCGCGACAAAAAAACACTCTACGAAGGGCCCAACGGACTCAAAGGACTGGTAGACGCCTCCAGCTGTGACTATTCGCTACTTTGGTGCCATATTCTGCGGCTCCTTGAACAGTTCCGGCGGCCGCTGACCCTTCCGCTTCGCACGAACACGAACCAACCTTTGCAGACAAGTAGGCAACCGGCGTGTGGCTACACGACTTGGAGAAGACGCATATTGGCCCCGGTGGGCTGTCCCGCCATCAGGCTGAAATCCCAAGCGAGTACACTGTCCTCGGCTGCGACATCGCCGGCATCTTGGAGGCCTGGGAAACATCCACTTCAGACTTGTCTGGTGAGGTAGAGAGGGGGTCTAAAGGCTTCATTGTCTTTAGAACGGTATACTGAGGTCTATGGTCCGCTGCCAGTACTGGAATCGTGCAGCGTAGTTGCTATACCCGCTGCTCCCAGGGAAGAGAGAAATCCGTGTCATCCGCCTTGTTACATTGCGCGTCATACGCGCCTCCCGGATGGTTGCTGTAGGTTGGCCAGCCTATATTCATTCCTCGACCTTTGACGCCACACTGCCTGTGACAGAAACTTTGGGTCCGAACGTGACGGCGGTGATAGACGGAGGTGGTGTCTTTGGCAGGAAATGGATGCTCAATATCCCTTTGCTACAAGAGAAGATATCTGGCGTGTCCACGAAGAAGTGAAGGACCTGTGTGCCACGCAGGCAGAGCACTCTGAACGGTTGGCCAAGCTTGAGCGAAGGAAGGAAGATGATGCTAAGATGAAAAGCCTCTGGAGTCCGTTTTCACCTATTCCTTCAGGCACTGGCCACGGGAGCCATGGTAAGTTTCTACTCTCGTACACCGTCTGCCTCAAGCCACTCTGAATATTGCTGACATATTGGGTTGCGCATAGACGCCGTCCTCAATGCTACGGCCGAACCTTTCAAAGGGTTTGACCAGGCTCACCATGGGCTAGGAACTCATATTCATATGGACCACGAGGATGAGCCTAGGCGCGGTGCTTCCAGGGCGAATAGCGTGCGTTTCGACGAGAGCGCAATCCATGCATATAACAGCCATGGAAACCGTTCTGCGGCTGAGCTTGCACCGGTCCGAACTGGGAGTGGAATGGGAGCCCATCCACTCACAGAGCTGTCCTACTCCCATCGATCAGACGGGAGACAGAGCTCGTCTGGTCATTCACACCACTCCGCCCGCACATACAGTTTGGAGACGTCTAGGATAGAAAGTTCTTCCACCACAACGACTCCTGCTAGCCAATACCCTCCCCTCGGACCTCCTCCTGGCCTCTTTATCCTTGGTCCTGTTCCTTGCATCATTAGATGCTGGCTCACAACCAGCTTTTCTAACGATTCCTTGCTTTATGCTGCGATTTGCACTGGTGCTTACTCGTCTTCAGTGGCTTCTCCGTTGATACAAAAGCTCGGTCTCGAGGGTGATATCATAGAGGAAGATGGTGCACGCACCATCAAACTACCTGTGTATTTCCCAGAGGCCAGTGTTTGCCAATCTTCATCGCGCAGTTCCAGCCCGGAACCACATCTTCCGGCTTTGACTGTTCGATTCTTTGTCCGTGACATAGACCAGGAAGACCAAAAAGCTATCTCGATTTTCGTAGGGAGTGATGTTCTTCGGACTCACAACGCTGATATCCTCTTTTCCCAAGATAAGATGTTCGTTGTTGATGATGCTAGAAATAGAATTTCTATTCCACTGGTTCGCCCCGAGGACCACGAGTCGTTCCGGAGCCTGACCACCATGCCCAGGAAATCATTGTCCCAGAATCCCCAGCAAAAGCCTATAGAGAAGGACCACAGCACCTCGGACATCGACGACACCCATCCAGAACAATCTGCTGGCGTTATCGGCCGTCTCGGACCCAGCCACAACCAACCGCAGCCATCAAAATCTGCACTTTCCCTCAAAACATCATCTGAGGCGTTGGCCAACCATGATAAGGACCGTTCGTCTCAGGCTATCAGTGACTCGGAGGATAACAGCCTTGACATGGCTAATCCCAAGTCTGCCGCCAGCGAGAAGTCGCATGGTAGGCCGAGCACCAAGAGTGATGAAGGAAGCGGACACTGGGGCTCGTGGCGACGTGATGCAGCTCCTACCACATCATCTTCCACCAAGTCAGACCAACCAGCATCTTATGTCGCTGTCTCCCAACGCCCTGCCACCAGACGTAACATGAAGGTGCTAAAGCCGACCAAGACGTTGACCCGGTCCAACACAGCCAACGCCCCAACCGGCATGGCCCAGCTTTCCATCGCCGACCGCACGTCCAGCGATGCCCCTTCCGCTAACAGACAAACAAGATCAACCAGCGGCGAGAACGGAGACGTTTCGAGCTACGGAGCTATTCATTCCAGCACCCCATGGCCTGGGAAGTCCAGACCAAGTAACAATCCAATCGGCGGAGCATCTGCCTTTGGATGGCTGAATACGCAGCAGAAGCAGAACACCACAACACACGCTGACTGAGCTTTGAAGACCTTAGTAAAAATATGAACTTTATCGATATTGGGAAATGCCGCGAAGGGAGAGCCGGTGTGCTTGGTTGCCTTGTGTGTGTGTGCGGGAGACTTTCTACGCTTATTCTTATAGTGCTGCACTTCAAGTCTAACCGATGCAGATAGTAGCAATGACATGTCTTTGTGAAAACGAGCTGCTCGCTCTATTAAAACCTCGCTTTTGCTTCTTATTATGCTGTAGGTTCGTAATATCCTGCCCCTTTTCTCCTGAATCTTTAAAACACCTAATAGGTTTTATTGTTCTAGCACTTGATACCCCTGATACCCGGCAACGCAGTACATCAATCCACGCTTGACTTTATTCTATGTACTGTTCTTCGAGGGCGTTGGTTTGATAACTGTAATGTTTAATACTATCCAAACCAGGATATACGTCCCTTTGTGCTAGCACCATTCTCTGCACCTCATGGCGCTCCTCATTCCCATACTAGGCAATTGAGAAACCGTACAGGGTATATAGATGTGCTACCAAATTCACTGACAATGACCTCCTTAGTGAGGTTTATAGTAACCGAGTGGTTATTAGAGCAAGAACTCGACTCGACTTATTTCCTCGATGAGGTCATGAATCATTTTATCGGTCATTTATCTTTCCCTTCTCCTTCTCAGCCAGGCCCTTATCTACCCAACCCGTTTACTGCAAAGCAAGCCAGACAATGTCTGTCACTCGGTCCACTACCTCTCTTTCACCCTCGAAGGCTGCTACCAGCAGCCAACTAAACCTCCTGAGAAACCGCATCCAGCGAGAGACGTCAAGTTTCTGGAACAACTGTCGGCTACTTTTTTTACTTCCCTTTCCAACTAGAGTAGACAGTTCAATTAACTCGTTTTATAAGATTCAAGAGATCCTTCAATCCCATATGATAATAGTGACGATGTTGAGCATGTGCAAGGGTGAATGCGGCAAGTCCAAGATATGAAAGACCATTAAGGATCGATGTTACTGTATCTTATACACTAATATCTCTCTGGTGGCCAAAGGCAATTTTCAAACTGCAGGACATCACCCATCACCCTTGCACAGCGATATTTAACCCCCCAAAATTATACCCTCAGTTTTAGCTTAAGCATGGCTACGGATACCATTGGTTCATATTCATTAACTCGATGTACTGGATTGGACTATTAACGATGTTTAACAGACACAGAGATATCTAGATAGATGAGCTCCTGTTCCTTGATGGTTTAATAATCCCAGTCAAACCCCGTACAATGGAATCGTTTATTTCCAAACTTTACGCCTGGGTAGCGCACTTGATGGCCATGTACTTCTCGTCACCTGGCATGAAGGTACGGCAACCCTGCTCCAGAGTTCGGTGGTCTGGGGTGTCAGAGCAGTCGGTGGTCCTACAACACGTTAGAACAAGATGAGCTCTCACCCTCAGAGGATCAGGACAATAACTTACACATGAAGGTCACAGTCAGTGTTCTTGAGGAAGTTGATTGATCTAGGGGGTTATTAGCGAGAAGTTCTGGTTACTTGATTAAACACATAAAGGGGCCAGAACGTACAGGGCGCCGCTAGCGGTGGTACATTCGCCTTCAATGAGATGCAAAGTTGATGAAGCAGTGCAGCTAGCATCACGGTGACGGGTGCCCTGTTCTAAGTTAGATACATTCTCCTGTCATTCTTAACCCGACGTTGATAATGCTCCCCTAACTTACGAGGTCGTCACCTGGAGCAGCGAGCACAAATGGCACCAAAAGGAGGAGAGTGGCAAAGAACTGCATGTTGATTTTCAGAAGGACTTCTGTAATGATTGTATAAAGGCAAATGGTAATTGACAGTTGATGATCACTTGCTGTTTGGTGGTTTGTGAATGAATCCTTTTGGCTCGAGGGAAGAAACTCCAGCTATATATACCCCATCGCCGAGCTCAAATCCGGAACCAGATTCTATCCCATGCGATTCAACTAAAGATATCCGGTCGAGAATACGCAAGGAATAAGCGTGTATCGAGGAAAGGAATGATTCAGGGATACCAAAGTAAAATGGAGAGATTACCCAGCGTACTGCTGAAACGCATGGATGCCAATATCATTAGGCAGATGCATCCCGTTCAGCTAGTTACCGGGGTAAATGGCGCATGCATGAGAGCGAAGGGTGTCTCAGCAGCCGTTTTCTCCCCAGCAAAGAGAGCGGCTGCATTCTCCAACTGCTTGGTGGGTATTCTTTCAAGTTTAGAGCCTAAATAAGTGATGAACTAGTTAGCCAACGGGACGGCCCGAGAAAGTTGTTGCCACAATGGGTCACAGCCGAGCTTATATAAATAACCCAATATCACGATACCTAATAGTGGCCGCGGTATTTGAACCTATGATACAGACGGAGAACCTGGTGGTTACCAAGGCGATAAAGTGTTATGTTAGCTCGGAAATGAATTCGAGTTTTGCCGTGAATCATGAGGCCTGCAGGCGAGTGGCCAGAATAGTATCCTAGCTATAGATCTACATGATATTATGCAGTAATATCCGTAGTAGTTATGCTAAGGAACTGACCAGCAGGGAATATCGCTTTTGGGCTGCATATACTCGGGGTAGATTAACTATGCAGCAGCTGCCTGTTGGCTGATGGGGAAATATCCGTATCCAGTTAAGCCGTGACATATTGACAATCTCCCGCTTGAATTAGCCATAACCAGTTAAAGGTAGAGGGTTTCCTGGCATGTTAAAGACAATGACCTCTATATTGAATGCATAAATATATGCAGCTGGCGGAATCCCCTGGTTCGGTTGATGTACAACGTGGCAGCCCAATTGGCCCTTGACTCCAGCTTTTTCCCAGCTCTTTGGTCCGCACCATGGTTTGACCTGGGAAACCTCCTTGTAAAGATGAGGGCCCCAAGACCGACCGCTCCATTCGGATCTATCCTCTGCGTCCGTGCCGCTGATGTTGCTGACTTTACATGCGTGTTTAACAAGGTGTAGAACTTCCCCGTACGGCCTAGAGCTGTGGTGTCTCAGCTCACTGCTGTGCTCGGAGTCGTTGGGCTGTGGAGTGGATAATAATCGCAGCATGGTAGTGAAACAAATGCTCGAAATCTCCAAGCACCCGTACTGTTCAGAAATCTAGATCCAATGTGAGCGGAGTTGCTGCCTGTCTGTACCCTGTGTATAGATTGCTATATCAGACGTATAGCATACTGCCCTGCTCCCCAGAAGAATCTAAGGCCCTGTATGGCCTCCCACTGTGTAAATAAGAACCAAGAGAGCTACTGTGAACGAATACCCGGATATCCTCCAGTAGCCGTGAATGTCCAGGAAACGGGGTAAAGAAGGTATGTATATTGAGTGGAATAATCCAATATTCGATGAAGTCCGGCCTGATGTTGCCAGTTATTGTATAGTGAGAATGTCAACATGTATTAGTTATGTACTTCTCGACGTGAGTATGCCCTCACAGGGAAGAGAATGAGTAAGGTATATGTATCATCACCTGTATATCGTTCGTAGCTATCAACCGGAGGAGGATTTCGTGGGACTTTGTGTGTCAAATACCCCTAATATCGTTAACTAGGCCCTTGATTGAAGTAGTTAAGCTTTCTCTCCAACGCGTGATTAGTGCAATCCCGAGGTCCCTTCGTTAAATCGCTGCTAACTTGCTATCAATTCACCAAGGAATCAGATGAATATACGATTATTTCACGTTTCCATCAGGCCAGTCATTCGACAATCCAAGGCCACAAATGAAAAAAAAGCCACGATACATTCTCAGCAGGCATAGAGTCAATATTTTCTATATTTTTGACACCTACTAGCGGGTCAGGGAATATTCTATTGCCATTGCTAGCGATGAAGCGACGTTTCGTAGAGTCAGCGAGAGCAAGGAAAATGCGAGCAGTCGCTTGGGCTCTTCGGCAAAATAACTAAAATATCATTGGCCACCTTAAATTCAGATTGTCCAATGGAACGAGGCAATAAATTCTTGGCTTAAGTGAGAAAATTTTTAATTGGTTAATTCTGTATTTATCCAGCGCAGAGTAAAATTAATGCTGACTAATATAACTAATTCTCTAACGTCGCTTCTTCGACCTCGCAATTTTCCTTCTCGCTATCTTCGCCATTTGGATGCTTTGCAGCGCTGATGGGTGGCTTTCAGAAGAAGTACGGAGTACTCTGTACCAAACAATGTTTATGAGATAATGGGCTTTTGATGATACGGAGTACTTTTAAGGCCTCTGCTGTGATCTGCAAGCCACTGCTGTCGTATCTTGATTCCCAACAGAAACCAAATAATTAACCAACAAGTGGTGGTAAAATGAATCTAGCGCTCATTTATTTGTTTATCGTGCGAGTCCTTTGTGCTCTACGACAATTAGGAAATCCTTTTAACTGATAAAAAGCTGATGCGTCCATAGGCACGGGGTACGGAGTATCATACTAGCAGGGGAATAGGAAGGGGTCCGAAAGTCGGGGGATCCTTTGTGTATACTCTGCTGTGGCTGGCTGAGCAAGTTACTTGCTCATTCCATGTGCCATTGCTGGGGTCATCAAAAGGCAAGATGATTCGGAGGTACGCTTTTACAATTCTACTCACTTGCGCAGTTACACGAAAGTCCCTGGGCCTAAATTGGCTTTATTATACTAGGTCTTAGCATTCACTGGCCCGCGATGTGACGGTACCCTGGACCACCCCGTCTCCCCAGAGACATGTGAAGAGCGTTTCATTGAAGATACGTAAGTAGCCTCCTAGCCATAAGCTTACCCAAAACAAACTATTGGCGAAATAGTTGGCTGCTAACATTATATTTCGTCTCTCCGAGTAGAGTCATCAACTCTATCAATATTCCTGATGGAATTACTTGTACTGTTTACGAGTACGTATAAATTTACCCATTACACATCTCACTGAATCCTTTCGGTATTCTTAGCTCGTAAGCGATTACTGGGACTGACCAAGGTTGATTATTAGGGTGTCTGGATGTGATGGACCACGGACGACAATGAGAGGACCTAGTTGCATTCGCTTTACCGATTCTACTTATTCATTCCAATGCATGGCACCTTAGCAAGATTAGAGATCATCCATCAATAGGCTCCAGTTCAATCGGTGGACTGCACTTTTTTGTGTCTATAACGAGTGGAGCTCGCGGATGCAAGCCTTGTTAATGAAATTACACATATGATATTTTCCTCCGAGAATTACCTTTCTTGCTCTACTGAGATTCAGTATATATGGATGTATGAGCGACTGTCCGCCACAGCTACCACCAATCCGGACCGCTTGATAATGAACTGAACCAGCCTTAATAATGCAGGCCTGATTATCGAGAACGTGAGATAGTCAAGTAGTTAGCATGATGTCCAAGAGTTGCGTCCCGAAGTCTAGGTTATGAATAAGTCATCGATGGCTATCCAGTCCCTCATATGATATTCTTCTCATCTCAATACTAGTGGTTGGATGATTTGCTGCTCGATAAGCTCCCCACGGTGACTTGACGATGTAACCATTCAATCAGCTTATGCAGGCTTGATTAACTAGCTATTGATGAATTGCCATGTACATCATTGAAACGAGAGAAGAATCCAATTACAACGTGCAATCTAGAATATCAGTCAACGGAGTCCGCTTGTTGTAGGTAGTTGTAATCTCCAATGCGGGGATACGCACCAAATTCCTTAGCGCGTCCCCAACTCCGGGCTTCCCCTCAGCCTCGGGCCAAAACACCCGCTGCCAACCTAGTTAAACAAGATAGTTAAATATCTTCAGCTTCATATCTTCGTCTTAAGGCCATCGTCTCTAGCACTGTGGCTTTGCCTGGATCATGCTTGCGAAGAAACTACTCACTGTCCCTCTCCAGTCTCGGTTTATACACTCTTCCGCCATGGCAAACGCTAGAACCGCCCGCATCGGTGAGTATCGTGCTGTTGCTCCCGTTGCGCCTCATCCATACTGACTGGCTACCAGGGAACCCAGCATTATTGTACGCCTCTTCTATTCGAGCAGCCATTTAATGATACGATGTACCGCCGAACGGACCGCTAACTGGCTTACGTTTAGTATTTGCGATATCCAAGAGAGGTTCAGAACCATCACATATGAATTCCCGAAGCTGTAAGCCCAGTCATCTCCGTACCATCATTTTAGCCACGAATTAACCCCTGAAATCCTAGGGTATCAACCTCTCTCAAGCTCTTACGGGCTTCTAAACCTCTCAATATCCCGATATACGTTACCACGCAAAACACAGCTCGTCTAGGTCCCACCGTCGCCGAGTTTGATGAGTATCTACAGCCATCAAACCCCAACCTGCGTATCAACTGTGACAAGACCCTTTTCTCCATGATAACGCCCGAAGTCAAGGAGAAACTGCCTAACGCTGCGTCTGAGAAACCACTTGATGCCATCATTGTCGGCCTCGAGTCCCATGTCTGCGTTACTCAGACAGTGTTGGACCTGCTATCGTTGGGCCACCGGGTGTATATCATTGCAGACGGAGTTAGCAGTGCCAATGCCGAGGAGAGGCACGTTGCGCTGGCCCGGCTGCGGGATGCCGGTGCCATCGTCACGACAAGCGAGAGCATTTTGTTTGAGATCATGGGTGACTCTAAGATTGGGGTGTTTAGGGAGATTAGTGGGTTGTTCAAGGAGACTGGAAAGGAGACCAAGGATGCCTTGGAAGCATTCTGTTCGGCTAGTAAGATTTGATTGTTATACATATTCTTCTATCAGTATATACCACGTTTTACGCATAAACAATAAAATTACTTTAGTCATTCATTTTCATTAGTTACTAATTTTCTTTCATTTATTTTTTATTCATACCCCCCCACCCTTTTTTTTTTTTTTTAAAAAAAAAAAAAAAAAGAAGAAGAAGTTAAAAAACAAAAATGCCTTACTCAAGTCTATCTATTCATTCCCCTAGTGATATTCGTGAAAATTCATTTAAAAGTGAATAAAATTCACCTTTGCAGTCTTCTTGAGAGTATCAATTGAAGCAGACTTAGACTCGGTAGCTTGAGTTCTCAGGGAATAGAGCTCGTCCAACAATGCAGGAACAAAACTACCCGGCCCCTTAACGCCGCTGACCACAGCTCGCTCGGCAGCAACTTCGAACATAAGTAAAGCGGATAAAACAGCAAGAAGCTTATCCTGTCTCTCTACAGCAAGAAACGCTGAAGTGACTGTACCAATAACGCATCCGGTCTAGTAGTTTAAGTCTGGTTAGCTCAGTGGTCGGCTACGCTGGGAAAAACGGGTAGAGACTAACGCCGGTAACTTGCCCCAGCAGCGGATGTCCGTTATGAATAGCAATAGTACGGGCACCGTCGCTGAGATAGTCAGTAGGACCGGTAAGAAGAACAATGCATCCTGTAAAGGGATTATTAGCTTGTTGACAAATTAAAATTATTATTTAGGAATGGGATCAACTTACTTTCTCTGAGAGCAAGGTCTCGAACTAGCATTGCCTTTTCTTTGGTATCCAAAGTACTAGGACCACTGTCCACTCCCACTTGGTTTCCAGTATGTCCGTAGATGTGGCCTATTTCACTCTCATTTCCCTTGATGAGGTCAAAGTAGCCACCATGCATTAGAGTCTTGACGGACTGTCTTCGAAGTTGTGTGGCAGCAGCTCCAACAGGGTCAAGAACAACGGGATTACCTGCCTCGTTGTATGCACGGATAGCCTGCATATAGTTATCCAAGCTTTCACTGTTCAAGGTGCCCATGTTAATGAGCAGAGAGCCTTTGTTCTTAGCCAGGTCAGGCGCTTCAAGGCCGTATCCCGACATAATCGGTGAGGCACCACTATCGGCCAGGTCAAAAACAACCCGAATCCTTTTTTCTGCTGGGTGTTATACTTACATCGCAAGAGCAACATTCGCAGCAAAATTAGCCACAACATAGTTGATCATATTGTGGCATAGAGGGTGAACGGTAGCTACTTTTCGAACAAGCCCATCGACCTTACCGAGAAGCAATTCCTCTTCATTTTCACGAGGAGAGATCGGGATAGTAGCGAATGTGGGGTTTTTGCTGACTTTATCTAGGAAAAGGGCAGCTGTGGCACGGGGGTTTTCTGCCGCCATAATGGCACTGACAATGGCTACTCCCTCAAGTCCCTTTTTAGTGTCTTGGGATTGGTAGATGATTCGTTGGACGTTGTCGAGGTTGATGCCTCCGATGGCCACAGTACCAACTCTGGGGTTGAGGGATGCAACACAGCTGAGGATGCGCTTAACTCCTGCAGTACCAATGATGGATTTTGTGTTGGTTTTACTATCACTCTCTTTAGTTTCACTGCGTATGTATTGGCAACTTAGTTGGATGATACATACGTCGGAGTAGCGTAGACGGTCCCAATGCCAAGGTAGTCGGCACCGCTCTCAACGGCAACCTGAGCCTCTTCAACTGAAGAAACCGTGACTCCAATAATAGTTCCTTTGGGTAATATCTTTCTTGCAACAGCAATGTCTACCAAATTCGTTAGCGTAAATATGCAATTGAAACTTCAGGGAAATATAGGAAAATCATACTCATATCATCCTGGCCCAGGTGAACCCCCTCTGCCCCAACAGCAAGGGCAACATCGACTCGATCATTGATAATGAGAGGAATACCATGGTTTAAGGTAATATCATGTAACTTTGCAGCCGTTTTGATCAACTCTTTCGTGTCACTATGTTTGTCCCTGTATTGAACGATAGTGACTCCTATATACGTTGCAAGAAATATATCAGTATTTGAGCTTCAATAGAAAGACCTCAAGTACCCGGCTCACGCACATACCACCCTGAACAGCTTGCTCAACTACAGAGCAGAGGTCTCTATCTCCAAGGATCTTCGGAGTGGAATCGGTGACCAAATATAAGGAGAGATTCACAGGCATCTTGAGAACGTTTCCAGGAAATGGTGTGAGTCCAATAAAGTATGGAAATGGCAGATTTAGAGTATCGACATATGCATAGGAATGAAGGAGGGGGAGGAAAAATCTGAGAGAAGAAGATATATTAAGATATACGGATGCTCCCGTTCCTAGACTTCTGTGTAGTTGATCAAGATAAAGGGAATGTTCAGGAAGAAGGCCTAAATCTTGTCACTTTTCTGAATTGATTAGTGTGGTGACACGAAAATATAAAACAGAGAAGTTGACGGCAGCAAGAAGAACCTCTCAGTATGTGATCCGTGCCTGGTCAACAAACAATCTATAGACTAGAATGGGCCAAAGATGCACTTTTCAGGATGGTTTGTCGCAGTGAGTGGTAACTGGCCAATCACAGCTTGTGAACAGAGATTTCACGTGACTCATAACTTAAAAATTTTTAGCTATAACGTCATGGACCCCTCATTGATTGATATTATTGGCTAATTTCTGAAAATGCTAGCAAATCATAAAATGAAATGATGTTTTAACAGCCAATAGATTAACAATTCTTTGCTTCAGTTGCACCAATAGAATTCTCATGGGTCTGGTTTGCTATAAATAGAAATCAAACCTCCCTACAGAGTATAAACAATCGTTTCAAAATATACGAATTCAACATTACCATCAAAGAATTCCTACAGTAACTGTCAGTAAGTATGAAATCACAAATATCATGTGCTTTAGCATTTATATCCTGTGGTCCAATCCCTGATTTTCCCATTGGAACATGCTGACAATCTGAACAAAGAACCTAGGGCTTGAGAGTCCACTATTTACCGTTTCCTGAGGGAATTTGGGATTAGGATCTAAATGCCTCCTAGGCCTTTTCATATTCCACCCCTCAATCTTTTCGTCTTCAGTTTCAAATCATAAAGGTCAAGCAGATAGACTCGATTCTATGAAATTAGCGACATCTATCTAAAGCTATTTGTTAGTTACGAGTTTAAGGGCGCCAAGGGGAATGGCTGCGTGGGGAGATCTTCTGGTAAATAGTAAGAAGAGAATATCGCAATTAGTCTTCTGCATACCAACCACAAGGTTTTTAACGATAAAAAGTTCATGTGCTTTCTGTCCACGCAGAAAATGTCAGGGTCTGACGCTTACTGCTGATGGACCTAGCTAGAGCTCAGTCGCTTCGGCTGCTATAACTGTATCGCTTTAGTTTTGGAGTAATGGAGTAAATGCCATGTCCAGTTTCCTCATCGACACAGTGTCGTATAGTACTGAATTCCCAACATATTCTTTCAAGGCTGATTGATTAACCAAGGTGGTATCTTCAAGAATGAGGTAGAGAGTAAGGCGAAATGTAGTTAGATAAATGGTGGGCTGTATGGGAGATGATTAAAAATGGTTGGTCATAGTTTTGACACTCCCGAGGTGCAAAGGGAAACAGACAACTCCAGACTCAATTACTTGTATCGAGTCTATCCTTACAGCCCCACCTCCTATAATGTATAGTTATTCTTCACTCTGACAGCTCAATACCGAGGTGCGAATATCGAGAATATCCTTTGTTTATGAGCAAACTCGCTTTCATTATTAAGTTGTTGTTTATCACTCCCTTGTTTCTCCAATGAGAAGAAATAAAATAGTGAATTCGTGTATTTTGCGACTGTCGTTGGGGCTTTCCGGCTGGTGATCAGGTTGATTCGGGATATTCCTGCGGATGAAGTCGAGGGTAGTTGGTTTCGGTGAGATTGGTAAACGCAGCCGGAGTACTCTATGCTCCTCGTTTGGATAACTTTTTAGAGTCTAACGGGGCTATCCCCATATCGCGCTGACTTGGACAAAAGGAGGACGCTGACATTTGGATGCTCGTGTCGTAAAAATGTTCAAGCGACGGCTATTTCTCGTTAGCCGAGCGCATAAATGACTTTTAATTGCGGTGATTGGTCAGGCACGCGTGGCCGCGCTTGGCGTCAGGTGATAACGACGCTTTCTCACATGACGCTTAGTCATGCGGACCTTCTTTCAACCGCGAGATTTTTCAACGTCGAAAAACTTCAAATTCTTCCTGCTTCAGCTTTTTCTCCCCACCAGCCGTTTCGATAATCCCATCGCTCTCGACGCTGCAACATCTACAGATCCGGAGCCCGCAACTCATCCCCAGCTCGCTTACTGCATCTTTCTGACTACGATTGTCTCGCTTACTGCCCCCCTCCACGTCTTCTCGCTGCTCGCTGCCGAGTCGACCTCTTGGTTCTCTTCATCGCTCAGAGAAGCCACTCAGCAGGATTGAACGCCTGTCTATGTATTCGCCCTACGAAAACGCTTTCGAACACTACCTGCCGCTTGCGCTGCAACTTTTTCGCCCTGTGCGAAAACCTTGTAGTGTCCATTCGAGATCCTGTGGTTGAAACCGCCGACACACGTCACCCGTCAACATCGATCCCGATATCAGAAACGAGAATCAGTCTAGGCACTGCCGTTTCGTTCTAGAGACTCCCGCTTCTTCGTCATTACTACGCATGTCGTGTAGTAGTATCCACCTCTTTCTTCATCCTCTCTCCGCGTTTGACTCAACTCGCTTAAGCCTATAAACCAACTATCCTACCGGCAACATGGCTAACATCAATATTCGTCGGGTATGTCATCAAGTTCATCTGCTACATCCTTCAGTTTGAGTGGGAAAACATTACTCTAACACCTCTCCGTCATGGATAGGATATTTCCGATCCCTTCTACCGCTACAAGATGGAGCGTCTCCAAGCCAAAATCGAGGGTAAGGGCAACGGTATCAAAACTGTCGTTGTTAACCTGAACAGCGTTGCCCAATCACTCAGCCGCCCGCCATCCTGTATGTTCCCGCACATTTCTAGCCCCTTTAATTGGTTACACAGATTGAGCTAATGCATATCAGATTTGATCAAGTACTTCGGCTTCGAACTTGGAGCCCAGGCAAATTCTAAACCTACTGATGATCGTTGGATCATCAACGGTGCCCACGATGCCCCGAAGCTTCAGGACTACCTTGACGGTTTCATCACCAAGTTCGTTCTTTGCAAGAAATGCAAGAACCCTGAAACAGATGTCGTCATCAAGGATCAGTCTATCATTCTTGATTGTAAGGCCTGTGGCGAACGCTCAGATGTTGATCCTCGTCTCAAGCTTAGCTCCTTCATCTTGAAGAATCAACCGAAGAAGGGAAAGAAGGATAAGTCAACCAAGAAGTCCCGCCGAGAGAGGAACAAGGAGAAAGGAGAAAAGGCCGATAAGGCTGAAAACGGAGAGAACGGAGAAGCAAACGGTAGCCCAGGAGACAGCAATGGCTCTGATATGGGAGATGAGAATGGTGACGTGGGTATTGACGCTCACAGTGATGACGAGCTAACTCGTCGAATCAAGGCGGAAGCCGAGCAAATTGAACACAACGATGACATCGATGACGAGGAGTGGGCCGTTGATGTTTCTGAAGCCGCCGTTCGAGCTCGTGCCCAGGAACTCCCCGATGATCTAAAGCGTACCCTCGTTTTTAACGATGCTGACGGTGACGATGATGGTGAAAATGCAGTGGCTAGCTCCTATGATCAGTTTGGAAGCTGGATCATTGAAGAAGCCAAGAAGTCCGACAAGGGCGCCGCTGGTGTCAGTGATGTTGACATCTATATGAAGGCCAAGGAATTTGGAATTGAGTCCAAGCACAAGACTCTCTCCGTCCTTGCTCAAACCCTTTTTGACGACAATATTGTCAAGCAAATCCCCGCTCGTGCTGGCCTCTTGAAGAAGGTAAGCTCACCTGTAGCATGGAGTGCCCTATGAATATCTTTGTTCGGTACTAACTTCGTTTCTAGATGATTACTTCTGAGCGCCATGAAAAGGCCCTCCTTGGAGGTACCGAACGCTTCGTCGGCAAGGACCGCCCAAACCTTCTTCCAATGGTGTCTTCCATTCTTCTTACCTACTACCAACATGACTTGGTTTCTGAGGAGCTCCTCAAGAGCTGGGGAACCAAGGCCAGCAAGAAGTACGTTGACATTGCTACCAGCAAGAAGGTCCGCAAGTCTGCCGAGAAGTTCCTTGAGTGGCTTGAGACTGCCGAGAGTGAGGATGAAAGCGAGGAGGACGAGTAAGACATTAAAAATTAGCCGCCGCTCAACTCGATTTCTAGAGTCCAGTAGCAGTGCTGTTCCGCTATCCTCTACGTGCCTCCCCCGATCCCCTCTTGGCAAATTGATTTTCGGTTCTTTTTCGCTTTATTGTTCAGATGCATCCAATTCGTCGCTTACCCTTGAAAACCGTGCTTGGTTACTTGCGATTACTCTTTGGTTGTATGTCTTAAGATTGTATGTTACTTGAAACTTTCATTTCCGATACTACACTCGGTAGTTATCACTATTTCGGGTCTGCCAATGCAAAGACACTCTTCGCTCTATTTGATTATACCTTTGAAACAGTCTTTTTAGTCCCGACGTGAAAGCCCTCAGCCAGGACAATAAAAAATTAGCTAAATGCAGCCACGCATTAGTCTGTGTTTGTCAAAACACAGGTGTAGCAAACCTCAAACGAGCTTCCCTCGCATGATCTCCTATCAGCTGTTCCAGTTCATGGTTCATCTTCTCAGCAATAGGCTGCAGCTCCTGTTGAGCATCAAAGCCAGCATTATGATGCCTTACTCCAGTTTGGACACATGCTAGCCAGGTCAAGTCTGGATTCCAGGAGTTCATAGAACGAAGAGCTCGTTTAGCCTCCTTCAAGGTCCCTTGGCTCCATCTAGTTTCGCTATCGGCATCTTCGTCGTTCATAGCATCGTCGCTATTCCCGTTGTCTTTCCATGTTTCAGAAGAATATAATTCTGGGTGGAAAAAGGTTATCCAATCCGCCAATGTATAACAGATCTCATCTCTTATATCAGCCGGTAGGCTGACGTGCGATAAGATGGTGATATATAGCGTCGTAAGTGCTTTCCAAAGGGAATGATGACGTGTAAACGACTTGGTGATGCTGAAAGATGCCCGAGGCAGCGGTTGGTTGGAGTCATCTAGTACCCGAACAAGCCCTGCAGATGCAGTGCTGCCAGACGACTTCGCTTCTTGTATTTGCTTTTTCGCCATTTGCTGACGGTGTCGTTCTGCAGATTTTTCAGCATCATCCTTAACTTGGTGCCAGAACGATTTATAGAGCCGGTTCCATCGAGGGAATTCGTGCTCGATTCTGGAGGACATGAAGTCACCAGCTCCCTTACACATCGTCCCGATAGCTGTGCAGGAGGCTACCGTAACAAAGGTTTCTTCTTGAATACCAGAATCGTTGAGCTGGGCTTTATTTTCTTTCAATGTTGTTGACAGAGCTTGGGATTGTCTCCCTGTTTGTACTGGTAGTATAATTCTTGCACTCACAGAAGGCCACAGGTCATTGATAAGAGGCAAAAAGGTTTTCTCATTCTGAGATAAGATAGGAAGACCCCGTGTTAGTATGGATAGGAGTGACCGTCGTAAGTATGGGGAAGGAGAGGAAAGATGGGGCGGTATGGATTTTATGATGTTCAATAATAGCGTGTGAGGTTTGCTCAAAGGCTTTTCTTCTGGCTCTAGAGGTTGTTCGAATTGATCGGCTTGAGAGTTAATGTCCATCTCCTTTTCTTCGCCGGCAGACTTCTCAGGAATGGAGGACCATGGCTTCTTTGGATGGGGTTCCAGGGGTTCGGGATTGTTTTCCTCTATTTGTAGTTCTCTTGAATGTTTCTCACGTCTCCCCTTAATCCAAGCTGCTATACTAGAAACAGGTCGAGGTTGTGCCGGCAATCTTCGGTGCTGGGGTACTGCAGTCTCATCCCCAGGTGATATTGCGAGCAGTGCAGGTTGTCTCGCGCCTTCATCAACAACCGCCCCTAGCACACCAAATAGAAGTTCAACTAGCTTGGGGTATCCGTGGAATGCGTCTAAAACAGCAAATATGGAGCCAATGATATCATCCAAATGGGAGATCAAACGAGAACCGGAGAGCTTTATCATCATAAGGAGAACCCTGGGAGCTTGGGGCGAGATGTCGAATGTATTTAGCTTCAAAGCCACAGAGTTTATTAAATAGTCAACATTCTCAATCACCAATGTGCTTGCGTCGGGATAGTTGCATGATGCGGTGATTATATTAAGACAAGTCATTGCATGATTCTGCAAAGCCGGGTTGCCGGATCCCATCAACTGCAGAATTGGGTAAAGTGTATCAATCAATTCAGGTCGAAAAGATTCTTGAAGCTGTCCTGCCTGTAAAGCAACTGCTTCCAGTGCAAGAGCGGGTGTACGCCAATCATCTGAGTCAACATTTTGCATGTCAGTTAAAATTGGCAAGACTAATGAATAAACCTCTTCTATCAGTTGCGGTCGTGACGTCGATGAGAGGTCGGGTTCAACATTCAACACCTCATCTATCATTAGGGTATCAGGAGATGCGCTTTTGAGAAATGATAGCGTTAGCCAGAGAGATGACACGAAAGAATCTCCTGATGACTGATAAAGCTTCTTTAGCATAGATTTGGCCATGTTGAGCGATAAATCAGTATTTGAAAGCCTTGATATCATAGTTTGAAGCTCCATTAACGTCTCCTTCTGGCTTTGACGTTCAAATATCACTGGCTGAAAAGTATTAGAGTGACTCTGGCCAGTAAGACTAAGGGCTTCTGGCCTGGCGTCTATTGGAGGTCCTAAGGGCTGTAGGGGCGTCGGTGAAGACATTAATATAGCAGATATACTATCATGAAGACTTGTTGTCATGGTATCGTCAAGAATATCAGATTTGATTTGAGTATCTGATAATGCCTCGAAAGCGGTGGATATCTGCCTTATGACCCGACTTTTGGCGGCTTCATCGGCAGATTGCATAACCCGTGGAAGCGCAACTATCCAGGAGTACAGACTGGATTTGAGAATGCCTGCGACTGTTTCTGATGACGTTAACAGGTGCTTAAGTAAAACATATGCCTCGTTGTCGTCTTTCTCGACAGGATTATGTGCTAGGACCACAACGGTTTCAACCATCATTGCCAACGAATCGGCAAGAGAATTTGAACAGTCTTCAATTACCATTAGACATAAACCCAAGAGAGAGTGACGGACCTCCTCCCGTTCATGATTTCTGAGTCGGATTACGTTTGAAAGTGCCAGTTTGATCTGTGATGCAGTTGCATTTAGCCATGGCTTATCGAGGACAAGAGGCCCAGTCCCGGTATTGGTTTGCGTCTCATCGGCAGTAGAAGTCACAACCGAATCATTCAGGACAGATCTGATATTGATGGTCAACCCTTCAAAACAGGCGCACAGAACCTTATATGACCGGCGCTGCTGGGCGGTACCACGAAGAACTTTTGTAAGCGAAGAAACCGTACGAGGCAAAAGACTGGCTAGCACCACTCGGTTCGTGATACGGCATTGCAACGACTGCAACGCGACAGCAGCTGATCTCTGGATATCGCTTGAGACCCCATCCACAATGGCTTCAAGCAGTACATAGACTGTTTGGTCTATAATAGTAGATGACCCAACTTCGTTGAAAATAGCTGCTGCTGCCGCTGGACCATGTAGAACATGGCATATGGAAGACACACAATCGAAAGCAGCTACAACGAGCTCCTCTGACTGTGGCCTACTTGGACCCGATGCCTGTGCGGGAGCACCACCTGAAAGAAGGGTCATAAGAATGAGTAGCTGCTTGCCCAGCTCAGCGGAAAGTCTCGAACGCCATCCCCTTTCAATAAGGATCTGTAAGCATTTGAGAGCTAACTCGACACATTGAGCTGAGATACGTTGGCTCTCATTGAAAATTTGGGAGAGCGGAAAGAAGGAGTATTCAGCAAGCTTCTCGTCCAATCCGTTATATGATATGACATCTTGCAGAGTTTGATATAAGGTATCTAAGGCTTTGAGGACTTCACTAGATGACGCAAGGTCCCCCTTAAATTTCAACGTGATGGAGCTAAGCTCTACACAGGGCGGCCGCAGCTACAGAAGAGTCAGCGCTACCAAGTACTCAATTAGCATACAATGCAAGACATACCTTTTGAAATGTTTTCTGGCGTGTATCCCCCATTACTATCTGATTTCACATTATCCTGCCCTTTGCCATTTTCTTTTTGCAGATTATTTAAACTAGTTCCCCCCTCGCCCTTGTTTTCAAGGTCGACGTTTGGTAAGGTTGACTAAGCGTATTGGCACTAATCTTCCACGTGATCTGTATATTTCCTTTATCAGCTAATTATTAGCTTCATTATGTAAAAATATTTCTTGGGCTAGATTATCCTCTACCACGCCGCGACGCAATACATATTTTCCAATCTCAACCATAGCATTAAGGGAACAGCATCTTGCAACATTTTTATTTTGAAAATACAGTTTATCATTAACTGTAGCTTATATATAAATATCTTGTTCAAGAGAGTCAAAACAGATATCCAATAATGTCAAGCTTCGGCACTCAACAAGCACCACCGACTGCGCCCGCTTAGAAATCTGGAGACGAGAGAATTCTTTCCAGGCCACGTTCCCTTGATCGGTGCAGGCGATCCTGGGACAAACACTCTGGTAAATGCACTAGATGGCCCCGCTGAATCCGAACGAACATCATGTATAGTGCACCCGCAATGCTAACCGCAATCAAACTGATAATGGCGGGCCATCTGAATTGAGCTGGACGGGAGAATACGATGGTTGAAATAAACGAGCAAATCTCAAAGAAATTCTGCCATGCAGCCTCAGTTGACGAGAAAGTACCTCGAGATTCAGCTTCAACACCCTATGATATATCACTCTCGGTCAGCTTGAAGCCACGTGCCTTGTTACTGCCCTCCTTTTGTTGTAGTTACAGGGAAACAGTCACAAATGTTCTGACAACCAACTCACCTCTTGAATAATAAGCTCGGCACAAAGCTCAAACCCCCTCAGGCCGATACGGCTAAAAATTGTACCGCCAACAAGACCGGCCGCTGAGATGAAAGAGTAGTCAGCATGTCTCCAGAAGACGGATAATCCAGCCCCTAGGCAAACAATCTGCCAATTAGAAAACCACAGGCCGGCCCGAATAGGTCCAACTCTTCCCATCAGCCAGGGAGCAACCCATGTCGCGAGCACCTCAAATATAACCGACAGTGTTCTCGTAATAGCAATCTGGGCCGAGCTATAGCCCGCGGCCAGAAGCCAAGTGACCATCTGTGCCCCGAATGATAGAACGGTAAGATAGAGTAACGCGCCGGCAAACGATGGAAGGAAGACAGCGTGGCGAAAATAAGAGTTGAAATCCCTTAGGGCTTTCTGGGCTATGTTGCAGCAAGAACACCATATACGTACAATGGCGCTGTGTCGCCCTGGCGCCACGTATGGTGGTATGTGACCATCTGAGCGCTTTGATTTCTGCAGTTCGGGTACATCATAGTATACCTAAGAGTCGAGATGAGATATATCCTGTATCGGTGTTTTGAGGGTAAAATTGAAGTGTCGAATATCGTACCCTGGCGATTGCAAAGTATTCAAAAAATACCGAGCATGTGTTCATCCCGAGATTAAGAAGAATAGCTGTCTCTGTAGATATACCATCTATAAGAGAAATGAACAGAGGCCCAAAAAGTTTGCAGATCAGGTCAATTCGCCTCATCCGGGCATTCATCGCTAATATAAACGATAGTTATATTAGTTAACTAGTTAGGAGCCACCAAAGGTCCTTAAACGACGGTTCATACCTGTCAGAGCGGCGTGATCTTCACCAGCAACAACTACAACCTGTCGAACGTATTAGTAAAACCTTATATTCTATACAGGCTGACATTCATATACCCAGTCTCTCTCTACTGAGATCATATTTATGATGGAGCATAGCTTCTCCACACAGGCTAGAAGGGCTAAAATTGCCAGCAAGTAAAGATCGACTGTCCGCGTTGTTGGTATATTGATTGCTAGCACATAAAAGATGACGCACGATGCGATCACTACAAGCCGCTGCCATACTAGTTATGAGATCTCAGTCACTCAATGGCCCTACATAACCAGTTAACTGACTAGCCGTGGTACCTGAGGCACGCGCTCACCAATGGAAAATCGAACAACCCGGAGCCGATTGCCGATATCAATATAGTGTCCAACCGCTGGCGCGAAAAGGATGGCCACCACACCACAGGAAAGAGCATAGACAGACATAGGTAGTAGTGTATGTGGGTAGATCGATGCTAGGTATAGGACAGCTCCGAACTCGAAGACGCGAGAGTTCCATGTTGACAGGAAATGCGAGATATACAGACGAGAAGAGATCCGTTTATGGACCCAATTCTCTCGATTTCCAGCATCATTGGATCGCGAATCTAAGAAGTCACCAGTTTCCTCACGGGCAATCAGAGCGCTGTCCTCGCCAAGGGGGGCCTGCTCTCTTAATTGTGGTGCCATGGGCTTGATGATCGGTGATAGCAAGACGGTTATTGGTTAACTAACTAGTTAGCCAGTTAATTAGTTAATGGCTGATGGAATATTGGAAACATAACGACTCGAGATCCAACTAACTACAGCAACTCCCGAGGCTCTATCTATAGCCATTTGGTATGTGGAATACGAAGATTGGAGATACTGGTAAATATCTGTTGAGGTTGTGAGTTCGTCCGCGCGCTTGAGCATTAAATATTATTGGTCGATAAGCGAGTTAGATTAACCGGCCTTAAGTTACCCCTTTAGCTCTCATTAATCAGCAGGGCTGATGTAAGCTATGACCCACTATACCGCTGTCACGTGGACTTATACAAGTGGAGATTCGGCTAGTCTAAACCTCCTTGTTTCCTACCCTGGAGCCTTGATTAACCTTCGTTTCCTTGTACTGGATGAAGCTTTTGTGTTAATTTATTAGAAAAGGCAAAGGAAGAGACAAATCGAACGTCTTGCAATTGATAAACTAATAGTAAGATGAGACTATGGCGCAGCCTGCTTAACGAACTAGAGAGCTGTATATCTACCTGCCTATCACAGTGACTCCTTAGCAGTAGAGGTCTGGGTGGTCACACTTGATGGCATCGGCACCCTTCTCGGCAACCATGTAGACTGAATTCTGGATTCGGCAGTCTGGGATGACGGGGATGACCGAGGCGTCGATGACACGCAGATTCTTGATTCCGTGGACCCTGAGTCGGGGATCCACAACACCTTGTTCGATGCACTTTGACAGGCGGGCTGTGCCACATGGGTGGAAGGAAGTCTGAGACCGATCGAGCACGGTTCTCTTCATCGCCTCATCGTCATCCAACGGCATCTCCCAGGGATACTCATCCTCGACAATATCCTTGAAGCCGTCGCCATGCTTGAGAACATCATAGGCGTATCTGATACCTTCACGAATGGCAATGATGTCCAAGTCATTGTTGAAGTAGTTCAGGTTGATGTTGGCCTGCTCCAGTGGGTCAGTGCTGTTGAGTGTAACCTCTCCACCCTCTGAGACAGGTTGAACGAGGTCAACCATGACAGTCATGTAGCTGCCCTTCCTAGGGTGGGGGAAGTGCCACTGGAACGCACTGCCAAACAGGGGGATGAAATCAAGTTCAAAGTGAGGTTGTCCGTACGGGCAGAATGGATCACGTCCACCATTGGCAGCCTTTGCGGCGCAGTACTCGGGAGATTTTTCAAGGTAGCTGTCGATGCGAGGGAAGCCAATCATCTCGAGGAAAGGCGAAGCCATTGGGCCAGACTGGCTTCTGGAGTATTGGTCCCGGGCTTCATCCTGGCAACGGCCGCTGCGTAGGACTTGGCTATCCATGGAGAAAGAATCCTTGACACGAAGGGCAAACGGAACTCCGGGGTGGTCCAGAAGGTGCTGGCCAACGTGGGGGGAATCCACGATGAGCTTGATATTGTGCCGAGCAAGTTCTGCGGCCGGACCGATGCCGCTAAGCATCAGGAGCTTGGGGGTTTCAAAGACACCCTGGGAGACAATGACTTCACGTGTGGCATAGAAGCTCATCTCCTGGCCACAGCCGTTGATGACCGTCACACCCTTTGTGCAACGATCGGCACAGTCAACCATGAGGCATTTGGAGAACACTCCGGAAAGGACGGTGATGTTGGGTTTGCCTACAAGAGCGAGGAAGCTTCCGCATCGCCGGCCCTTGTAGACCGTGTTAACGCTGTGAGTAAGACCGCGCATTTCGCCATTAAAGATGTCCTCGGTGACGGGCTCCCCGGTGGACTTCCAGGCCTGGACAAGACGCTCACGGAAGTCTTTCATCTCGGGTAGCAGCTCGGCATGGGAAATGGGAATCGGCCCGCCGGCACCAATACACTTGAGTTCGGGCGGGAAAAGGCCCTTATCGTCATGGTAGGTAACGCTCTTCCGGAGGTATGGGACAAGGGGATCCCAAGTCCACTCCTTGCCGCCATACTCCTCCCACATATCAAAGGTGCCCTTAGAGCCTGGCACCCAGGAGAAGTAGTTCAGACACGAGCTGCCACCGAGAGCTTTGCCACGAGTGTTGGGCTTCTCGATGCGCTCGTAGTCATCGCGTTTGACCATGGTCGTCTTGAAGCCCCAGTCGTATTTGCTGCCACGGAGGTCCATGGCCATCGCGGGGGTGCGGATATCCTCATTGTCTATCGAGTCGTCAATACCAGCCTCGACGATCAGAACGCGAACGTTGCGGCTCTCCGCCAGTCGCGCGGCTACAATGTTGCCAGCAGTTCCGCCGCCAACGACAATGAAGTCGAATCGAGAGCCGTCCTGGATAGACATGGTTAAGAATAGGAACCGGATAGTTGTATATGGTGGTAAATAAGGAATATAGATGGTATTGAGTAGATAGACATCTGTTGAGCAAACTTCACAACGGTTGAGGCCTCTTATATATTTAGCGACATGTCCGGAAAATGGAGAGAGCTCCCACATATTTGCGCAAATCGGAGGACACTTGGATAACCAGCCGGTGCAATGGCTCGGCGTAGAGGATGAAGTATATTAGATTGCAAATCCGATTATCCGTCTTGGATACTGTTATCCCAAGCAGGCTGCCTACCCTGGTGGATTTGGCCCATCCAGGTGGCGGTCGGTTAACGAACGAGAAAAGCAGGGCATGATCCTAGACTGAGGTAGTAGAAGCAAGCTCTGGTTGCATGTTATGGTCATCATCCTCGTTATCATTGGCGTACCTCAGGGCAAGTGCATGGCTATATAACATGAGACTGTTGGGGGAGCTGATCAAAATGCAAAGTTCTGCAACGACGCACCATGGAGATGGACCGTTACTACACTCTCGCCGAAGGTATAGTAGGCAGTCCGCCGGCCTTCCTCCTCTATGTGATGCATCCGCCAGCTGTTGACTGACTCTTCCCAACTCCCAGGCTGCCCCTATGGCAGCAGCAGCACAACCGTGCAACTGCGCGATGGTCGTGCCGGCCTCTCCCTACTCCAGGACACGCAGCTAATCGAGACGCTGGCTCATTTCTCCCGCGAGAGGATCCCTGAAAGGCACGTTCATGGCGTTCTCCAGTGTTATGTTGCTGAGGCCGGAACTAACCTAGAGCAATAGGGTGGTGCACGCAAAAGCCGCTGGGTATAGTCCTCCTGCCCTTCAGGGAGGGTATTAGCCATGAGCGTAGAATACTAACGGTAGCAGGGCCTATGGTGAATTCACTGTGACCGCAGACTGCTCGGACATCACGTCCGCCAGCTTTTTAAGCAGTGTTGGCAAGACGACCCCTGTGCTCTGGCGTGTGTCAACTGTTGGGCCTGAGTCGGGCTCAGCCGACACTGTACGTGATGTACACGGCTGGGCAATGAAGCTGTACACTGACGAGGGCAATCTGGACTGGGTCTTCAACAACACTGTAAGGTCTCTTGACGTCAATATACTTTGTCCCTGGTACTAAGTGAAGAAAAGCCTGTGTTTTTCATCCGCGACCCGATAAAGTTCCCGTCTCTGAATAGATCGCACAAGAGAAACCCCCGTACGCATCTTCCTGATGCTAACATGGTAAGTTGGCCTTCTGAGTTGTTGGTTGACAGGGGCCCCAATGCTGACAGTTCTATAGTTCTGGGAGTACGTAGGAAAGCCCGTTGGTGGGTGACATGGTATGCTAACAACTCCCACAGCTTCCACAATAGCAGCCCAGAGGGATTCCACCAGCTCCTCCATCTGTTCAGTGACCGAGGGACACCCGCGTCTCTACGCCATATGAATGCATACAGCGGGCATACTTACAAGTTGACAACCGCTGTAAGTAGGGGCCGTTGTTTTCTACTAGTTACCGCTTTTTTTAGCGAGTGCTAACTTTTGGGGGTATCAGGATGGAGGCTTTAGATACGTCAAGTTCCACATAAAGACAGATCAGGGGGTGCGTAACTTCACGCGAGAGGAGGCTGAAACGATGGCTGGCAAGAATCCAGATTTCCTGATCCAGGACATGTTCGATGCCATTGAGAGAGGAGAGTACCCGACATGGACTGTCTTCGCGCAGGTAATGGAGCCCGCGCAGGCAGAGAATTACCGCTGGAACATCTTTGATATGACCAAGGTCTGGCCGCATAAGGACTTCCCCCTGCGGGAGCTCGGAAAGCTCACCTTGAACCGCAATGTGAGTTTCGTGTATATGCATGGCGGTACCTTTTATGCCTGGTTAACTGATTCTGGTCCAGCCCAACAACTACTTCACGGACATTGAGCAGGCTGCGTTCTCTCCGTCGACAATGGTGCCTGGAATAGCCCCGTCTGCTGATCCAAGTTAGCATAACCTAAGTCATATTTGTTGATGCATGTACTTACACAAGCTCTAGTGCTTCAAGCTCGCATGTTTGCCTACCCTGATGCAGCCCGTTATCGCCTTGGAGCCAACTATCAGCAACTTCCGACTAACGCGGCCAAATCCCCCGTCTACTGTCCTTTCCAGCGTGACGGCAAAATGAATTTCTCCGACAACTACGGCGCGGATCCAAACTATGTCGGATCCTCGCTGCAACCCACCAAATTTTATCCCCAGCTCAAAAGAATGGCGCCGAGTACCATCAGTACTCTGACTGAGCACGAGAAGTGGATGGGAGAAGTCTGCACCTTCACCTCCCAAGTCACCGACGATGACTTTGTGCAGCCCGCAGCTCTCTGGGAGGTGATCAAGAGGGAGCCTGGCCATGAGCAGCGATTCTATGGAAACGTAGCTGCGCACCTTTCTGGGGTCACCTGCGAGCGGCTGCGTAGTGATATATACGGTAGGGATCCCTCCATTATATAGCATCCAAAAGTGTATTTGAGTGAAGCTGACAGACCAAAGCATGGTTTGCTCGGATCAGTCCCGACCTGGGCGCTGGTGTCCATCAAGCCACTGAGGAGCTCATTGCTTCCTCGGCCCAGTGATGGAACCAGGCTGTTTCTGGAGCAGGCTCAAAGGATAATTATTACTGGACAAAACATCTCGCATGTGATGTAGGGTATAATCGGACGAGCATCCGTCCAGTCCAGCTGAAACTGAGCAACGCTCCCAGCTAACTGCTAGGAAAAATCAAGTGGAAAAAAGCGAAATGTTTTTTGATCTCAACTTTTCGTGTTTATTTATATTTTAATGTCTTAGTCAGCCATAGTCAACAATTCATAGTCATGTGACATGGATATTCCGTCAACAGTTCAACAACCAAAATATCAAAAAACTTCCAAGATCAACAACAAAGATGACGACGAAAACTGATCACATCAACCGCTGCAATGTGAATGCTAGCATCCATACTCTGTGCCATGGGTAAGACTTACGTCTTCTATCCCGATTTTGCCGTCCCCGTGCCACCGTTAGAGCCCTGTTTTATCGAGGCGAGGGGTTAAAGCGCCATCGCGTATGGTTTATGGTCTTCCTTCAGCCCGGCGAGCGGCAAGGCCAGCCTGAACAATGCTGGGCGAGTTTCTAACATACTTGTTTGCCGTATTGTTTGCTCGCTATGAAGCTGCGAGGTGGGACATGTTTTGGCTACTGTTCCATCGATGACTGCACTGCCATTGTACTGTTTCACCTACAACCCTCCAGGGGAGTTGAGAAATGCGGCTAGCCGACCTCAAAGAATGTGCCATGGGTGTGTACTATGGAATATATATCAACGCTTTAACTATTGCTCTAGTGAAAGCCATAACATGATACCCAAAATAGAGCTATTAAGCTTATGACCCCAGCTAGAGCTTTGGAAATGGAACGAAGGCCTCTCGCAACTCTTCGATCCCTTCCATACGCTATCAAGACAGTCAAGCTACAGTCTTGCTCGTGATGATGTTTAAACTCGCTAAGTTTAAACGATTTTTTACTAAGCTATAGTTATCTTTCAGCTTCACATGAACGAACGGTAATTCCGAGTTTGATTTCCCCTGAAGAGAGATCTGGTTTCGACGAACTACCTAGCTGTTAAACCTCGAAAATAATGAAAGCTTTTATCGCTGAATATTGCTTATTCAGGTCAAAAAAAAAAAATTCTAGCCCATTCATAGGCGCGGCAGAGGACCGAGGGACGATGGGCCTTGATCTGGAAATTCGCTATGTCTAGGCCCCAACCACTGAATCGTGTGACTGTGATGCTCGCATGACAGCTGTACACTGCTGGGCGGAATACTCGGTCTTCTCCATACTATGGAGTATACCCCGGAGAAATTCATGGCATGAACTCAAATGCCCATAGTCGGTGGACTAGCAAAGGTCGTGGCAAGTCAAGGTGGCATTAAATTGCTTTTTACCCCGATATGCCCTCCATAAACATCCAGCTATGGCTTGGCGGGCTGTCAACCAGTCAATCCATGATTGATAGTTAGTTGACGGTCTTAGCCATTATGCAATGAACTAATGCTACCCCTTCTCTATATAGGTTCCCTTGTTATTGTTCGCGTGCAACCCCATTGCGCTACGGAATCCACCCCCTTTCGCGATTTCCACCCGCTCCACCGATGTGACGATCATGATCGATGTGACCTTCGTGGGCATTCTGGGGAAATATGAGAGATGGTCAATTACTGCCTCAGATCATCTGTGTCCCTGACAAATATAAATATCACTGCCTTTCCTTTCTTCTGTTGCTCTCTTTTTATCGTTTAAATATAATCTCTAGGCCTCAGCTATCTCTCTATCTCCCTGTCTATCCCTTTAATATTGACACCTTGATTCATTTGCAACAAAGCTTGCTACCAGCACCATGAAGCTCTCAATCTTTCTTCCAGTAACCATGATGGCGGCCGCAGCCCTAGCTATCGACCTTGGTCCCATCAACAATCTTCCACCATGCCCTGTATGCTGCAAACTTTCCGACCAGAGCCTTACGTACCATCGTTGCTGATTTTATATACTTCAGAAAAATTGCGTCTATAGTGGGATAAGCAAGTCCAGGGAATATGGCTGCCCGTTCCCCAGCCCACAATGCCTGTGCCGCAATCGTGGATATCAGCAATACCTGCATAACTGCTCGCAGAAATGCACCCCTGCAGAGCGTGACCAGATGCGTCAAGCCGGAACCAAATTATGCGTGGACGCTGGTTAGAATCTCATTGGGACTGATCGATAATCCCCATCTCAAAAACTTACAAAATTTTCTAGGAGTGCCACCTAATTTCAGGCGCCGCAACGCCCGCCCGGAATCTGTTGCAGAGGAAGATGCCGAGGTACAACAATTTCCTACCAATATTCCCGGGGTCCCAGGTCTTCCCAGCTTGCCCATTCCATCTGTTCCACTTCCGTCCTGGGTTCCAACGGCTATCCCTACTGGATTACCGACTGGCCTACCAAATATACCAGTACCCACGGCCATTCCCACTTTCGTTCCAACTGCCATTCCTACCTTGATTCCTACTGCTATCCCTACTGTTATCCCTCCTATCCCAAGTCTTCCATCCATCCCAGGCCTCCCATCTCTGCCAAGACTCCCCTCAATCCCAGGTATCCCGCCTATTCCAACCCCAGCAGCTAACGAAAAGACCAACCAGGCCAAAGCCACACCTAACTCTAGGGTCATGAGAGTAAAGCAGGAAGCCTAATCGCTCGCAGTACGGGACGGCCATAGCTCACCTATCGAGCGGTACAACAACGCTGAGGTCCTTCTAGGCTCACGGGGAATTTGAATATTTGATGGAATCTATCTTTGCTGGAGTCTGCTTTTGCTATTTCTAAGGTTTATTTTTTCAGGGTGCTTTGAAATCCAAATTGATCTAACACGGGCTTTGTTCACATCAACTCGCTACATCCAATATGTATGCAGTTGCAACTCATTTAACATGATTTCATGTCATATACTATAAACTCTTAATCAACATACTCATCTCAAGCTAGAAATACACGAACTCAAGCTCTCTACCTCATGATAGAAGCAACAGCCCCTTTTCTCGTATTCGCCAGGCAGCAGGTCACGTGCAAATTAACGCGACGCGCTTGTTCTAACTTTAGCGCGTGTAAAACAAGACTTTAACATCACTTCAGCTTCGCCTATAACACGGCGGAATATCCCATTCTCCAACAACCATATCCCGGTCTCTTGCCAACAGGCAACAGTTCACCCCTGGACGATCTTGTCAAAGGTGTCAACGGGGCCCACATTGCACTAGGCACCAGTCGAATGTTGGTTGTCTTACAATAAATACTGCGCGACGCCCTTGCGCCAACATGCAGTATCGGCTCAGCCTTTGACGTCGCTCCCTCAACTTCTGCGTCACGCCAGCCATCAACTACAGTATCGCTTCGTCAGCTCGTCCTCATCGTCTGCTGTTAGCCTCTTTCCCTTTTCTCATTCAAATTTATCCCTGGTTCTATGAGTTTCTCGGCCTCAATTTGCTCCCGAAACATCGCGCGAACTCGTCCTTTACTATTCTTTCATCAATTTCAAAGGAATTCACACCACATTCGAACATTATATACCAATATAAGCTCTGTGTCTGCTGTCATGGCTCAAAAATCAGGTGGCTCAAAACAGTCAACCCTAGGGTACGTGAAGGACCCTCAATCGACACTTTGGTGCGTAGGGTTGGATAGCTATATGCTCTGACATGCTGCGCCTTTGTGATTCTTGGGAAGATAATACCTATCATATGCTCTCCTATAATTCATTTAGCTGATATTATGACACACTTTGTGAAAATAGGAAATTTTTTGGCTCCAATAGCAACCCAGCCCCGAAGAAGCAATCTACGCTTGCGTTTTCATCAAAGTCAAGCAGTAGTAAGAATGATGAGGCCAAGGAAAGAGATGATGAGACCGTGGAAGAGGCCCCTCAAACACCCCAGAAGCAAGTTGGCCGTGTGGGGAGCAAGCGTACTCCACCACCAGTTGATGACGCGGATGTAGATGGGGAAATATTGTCTGGTGGTGAGAAAAGCGAGTCTGTTTCTCCTGTGACTAGGAGGCAAAAGCGAAAGGAGGCCGTCGCAACCAAGGGTGACGAGGAGTCAGATGAGCAACCCGTCACGAAGCGCCGAAGGAGATCACCAAAATCAAATACCAAGGCCAAGAGCCCTGTTAATGGTGGTCGTAGTAAGGTGGCTGCTACCGATGAGCCATCGCCAACTAATATTAAATCAGATGCCGAACCAGAGCTATCCTCCGCCGAGGAGAACTCAGCTTCGGAGATTGAGGAAGATGATATAGACGATAAGCCGGCTAAGGTGCAACAGAAGAAGAAGGCCGCAGCTAAACAACGGAAACAAGTCCAAAGCACTCTCACGTCCAAACCCAAAGACCTGTACCCAGATTGGAAAGCTGGAGACCCCGTTCCCTATGCCGCGCTCTGCACCACCTTCTCACATATCGAAATGACCACAAAACGCCTCATTATATTGTCACACTGCGCGCTCTTCTTGCGCCAAGTACTCCGTCTTACCCCGGATGACTTACTTTCTACCGTCCAGTTGATGATAAATAAGCTAGCTGCAGACTATGCTGGAATTGAACTCGGAATTGGTGAATCTCTAATCATGAAAGCTATTGGTGAATCGACCGGACGCAGCCTTGCAGTCATCAAAGCAGATCAAAATGAAATCGGCGATCTAGGACTTGTTGCCGCAAAGAGTCGATCAAACCAGCCTACCATGTTTAAGCCTAGAGCACTGACTGTACGGGGTGTGCACGAAGGGCTGTTGGCTATTGCTAAGACGCATGGTACCGGGTCTCAAGAGAAAAAGATTGCGGGCATCAAAAAACTACTCTCAGCTGCCGATGCTGACAAGACAGGAAAGGGGTCCAAAACCATTGATATCACCAAAAATAGGGGTGGTGCTAGTGAGGCCAAGTTCATTGTACGATTTTTGGAAGGTAAACTTCGACTTGGACTGGCTGAGAGGACTGTGCTTGTCGCTTTAGCCCATGCAATGGTAGCACACGAGGCTGAGATGGATGGAGGAAAACCTCCAAGCACAGATCAGCTTGCCAAGGGTGAAGACATTCTTAAAACTGTCTATAGGTATGCTCTACTTCTGAACAGTGTTGGTGTTGTATCCGAATTAACGTTGTGTGACAGTGAACTTCCATCATACGAAGTGATCATTCCAGCCATGCTTAAACACGGAATCTTCAATTTGCCAGACAACTGTAAATTACAGCCTGGTGTCCCATTGAAACCTATGCTTGCTAAACCTACCAAATCCATTAGTGAAGTTCTTGACCGCTTTGAAGGGAAGCATTTCACATGCGAATACAAGTATGATGGCGAGAGAGCACAGATCCATTACATCTCTCGGGACACGATCAAGGAATACCCAGCGGCTTCTACGACACTTCAAAAAGACGGCGAGGGCCTTTGCGCTGTCTTTTCTCGCAACTCTGAAGACTTATCCAAGAAATACCCTGATATACTCGAAAAACTGGAGGCCTGGGTAAAGCCTGGCACCCAGAGTTTTGTTGTGGACTGTGAAACAGTTGCTTGGGACACTGTTAATAAAAAGGTCCTTCCCTTTCAACAACTCATGACTAGGAAGCGAAAGGACGTGAAATCGGAAGATGTCAAGGTTAAAGTCTGCGTTTTTGCATTTGACTTGCTCTTCCTGAATGGAGAGGTCAGTTTTACTTGCACCTCCTTAGAAGGATGATACTGATTATACACAGCCCACCGTTAAGAAGACGCTGAGGGAACGACGTGCCCTTTTACATGATGCGTTTATGCCAGTTGAGGGAGAGTTTGCTTTTGCTCAACACGGAAATACTAGTGACTTGGAAGAAATACAGACCATGCTTGACGAGAGCGTCAAAGCCTCCTGTGAAGGCCTCATGGTGAAGATGTTGGATACAGAGGACAGTGGCTATGAACCAAGCAAGAGAAGTAGAAACTGGCTAAAGGTATGCATAAAAATCCCATAAATTTAGAAACAATTCACTAACCTATCAAATCTATAGGTTAAGAAAGACTATCTTGCTGGCATTGGTGATTCCCTCGACCTTGTCGTCTTAGGCGCATATTTCGGCCGTGGAAAACGTACATCAGTGTATGGTGCTTTCTTACTCGCTGCATATAACCCCAAGACTCAGAACTACGAAACAATCTGCAATATTGGCACAGGTTTCTCAGAAGCTTTGCTAGAGGAACTTCATGAAACCCTCAGCCCGCTTGTTATCGATAAACCAAAGCCGTTTTACTCTCACTCAACAGTCCCCAAGGACCAGCCGGACGTCTGGTTCGAGCCCAAGTTCGTATGGGAAGTCAAGGCTGCTGATCTCACTCTCAGCCCCAGGTATAGCGCTGCCAGTGATGAAGTGATGGGCAATACTGGTGGCTCCGCAGCTAAGGGTATCTCACTACGATTCCCCCGATACATTAAGGCGAGAGACGACAAAAAGCCAGATCAAGCTACGACCACAAAAGCTGTTGCGGAGATGTATCGAAAACAAGAGAGCGTGGCAATGGACAAGACCAAGGGAGCCGTGGACGATGATTTTGAATATTGAAGCCAATTCAGTATTTAGAGTACCTAATCCATGTTGTTGTCGTCCCGCTCTGCTTCCGCTCGCTGCCCGGCCAACTTGTGAAGTCAAAGGAAGGTCAAAAGGAAAAGATAGAAGAAATAAGTATGAAATTTGACACCCTCTCCTCCCCCTACTTTTCCAGCATACAACACCTGAAATGAGCGGAAACCAAAAGTAGAACCAGTTGAATATAAACAGCCTGGTTACGTGTACAGAATTTGAATATAAAAATAAATAAACGAATCGCGCCGTAACAGACGTATTGTACAAGTTCTAAGAAACCAAGTGAGAAGACCACCACGCCTAGGATACTTTGAGCAAAGCAAAGACTGCATATAAATACTCAGCCAGGAGCTCCAAAAAAAAAAAAAAGGGGGGATTCGTAAACACAGAACCTAGTATTGGAGGAAGAGGCTTGCAGAGAAGAGGAGATTATATTACTCTCCGTATTTCCTCTTTGCTCCGGCTCCGTTGGGAATGCCGTTATGCATCCCCCTCCGTCTGGCAGCCTCTTCATCCGCAGCCTGAGCCTGTCTCCTCTTCCACGCTGCTTTAATAGCGGGCGCGGAGTTGATCAGCTCCTCTTCACTTACCCGATCCTGGATACTCTGAAGCACTTTCTCCACGGTTGAGATATGATTCGCATCTGACTTGTCGTCTCTGAACCGCATGTATCTCCATCTCCCTTGTTCGTCCTGTATGCATTCGACGATGGTATCGTCCAGTGGCTTTTGCAGTGCTTTCATCCCTTCCCATTCCGTCTCAGTGATGTACATGAGTCCGAAATGGCGGTACTCTCCTCTATTATGTAGAACGAAGAGATGACATGTCGGTAGGGCGTCGTAGTCTGGATACACCTCAGTGATACCGTCCGCCTCGTCCTCTGAGTCCGGCTCTATAGAAGGGAACTCCAGCCTTAGACGGAAATCAATGCTGTTTTCCTCGGGAGGTTTCCATTTTAACGTATGCTCGTCCGTTCCGATCTTGTATGGTGTACTGCGGCAGGTAAAGATCAAGCCGTCATTCCCATGTATCTTCTTGACCTTTGGAATGATTTCTCGGAACATCATTTCAATACCGTAGCTGAACTGGGTGGACTTGTCCTCCACGGCGAAAATCCGGTGTTTCTTCTCCTCGGGGAATTTCCTGTACATGGCGTTATACGGCTTAAGCACTTTTTCCTTGAAATATGCCAGCCTCTTGTCCAGCGTACGGTGCATCAGGCTCGTACCATCTAGCACCAAGCAGTCGAATACCAGGTACTTCAGCTGCTCAGTACCGTCCTCGTATGTGTCATTAACCAGCTCGCCGTCCACCAGTGTGTCAACATGGAAGCTCTGGAAGGTATCGTCGTCCGGCATGGGGAAATGTAGGCCTGGTATGAACCTGTACTCGTTCTTGCGATTGATCAGGTAGTGAATCTCCGGCGTATCCGAGTCCGGATCTCCTCGCGCAAAGTACATCAGACATCGTATCCCGTCCGTCTTCTCGCATACGTAATAGTCCTTCTCCTGGAGCTCGCGGATATGATGGGATGCGAAACTGACGGGTTGCGCGCCGGGGAACGATAGCGACGAACGGCCCAGCAGATGGGCCACTTCGCGCCGGAACTGGTCTGCCAGGTGCGGCTCTGCTTTTATCCCGATCGCATCGATGTCAGGAACGGAATTCCCCATGGTCTTTGGGGCAAAGGGATGCGCGGGCGAGGATCGAAGGGAGGATTTGAGGCCAGCGTCTCGCGACGTGGCGTCGAGTAGAGGTGTAGTTCACGGGCGAGCTGGACGGTACGACTACTCTTGGGCTGCTTTGGCGAGATGAGAAGCTCTCGAGAGGCCGTAGGATGCAGGGAGGTCTTGCTTTGCTGCGGTTCGGGGTGTCTGTCCTGTGTGTTTGTGGTGACGAAGGTGTTGGTGACGGTTGAGGTAGCTTGGAAGAAAGATGGCGCAGGCAGCAAAGCTCGTTTTCTTATTTACGCTGGAGTCGCCTTTTTTTTTTTTTTTAATTTTTTTTTTTTTTTTTTTTTTTTTTTTTTTTTTCACTACCAGCAGAACGAAGAGTATTATTAGGCAGAGGTAGATAAGATGATATAGAGTGTTGTTATACTATGGCTACCGAGAGTAGTATTCAGCTATATTGCATTCATGGATATTCATACATCGAGCGTCTCTGGGGGTATCATAAAGCCTTCGTCCAAGAAAAAGTACACCAAAGTCCCAGTAAAGATGAAATATATCCCGTCGCCGTCCAAAGTGCTCCCAGTGATGATAAACCAAACCGATGCAGCCCTAACGCCGGGTAGAAAGAAGGAGAGGTCAAGAATGTAGTCTTGGGGATGGATCGAGTCGGTCAAGACGCTGTCACAGGTTTGGCTGGGACTGCTGCCACTGCTGCTGCGGCAGACTGGGCTGCCCGGTTCTGAACCGCTTGCTGCGAGAGCGAAGACTTCCTCGAGCTGTCCTGGGGCTGTTGTATAGAGCTATCTGTAGGGTTGCCCGCTGCGGAAGACGGAAAGGGAGGGGACTCTGAGCGTGAAAATATGCTGCGGCTCAAAAAGATAGAGTCTCCAGAGAGCAGCCCCCCGCCTACTCCTCCGCCGCCCCCGAGAGCCTGAGAGAACATCTCCTTCATGCGTATCAGGTGGTATTTGCGCTGGGTGGACATGAGCGGGTGAGTGACCAGCGGTTGAGGGCGAGATCGAGCCAGGCCAGCCATGACCGCATCTTTTTCTTCGTCCGAGTCGATGGGGCCGTTGCCGTCGATGTCGTCGTGAATAGGTGCGTTTGCATCGATAGCCGCTTCTACAAAGTAGTTAGCACCATGCCATATATATATATATATATATATATATATAAGTAAAAGACACATACTCTGCTGGCGGGCCTGGTTCTTCTTCTGGTATGCCTGCAGCAGCATGTCATAGGGCAGAGATCGTCCCGGAACAGCTCTCTTTGCGCCCATAGAATGGCTCTTGCAGGTCAGTGACCTTGCACACTGAGCACCGTTCGGAAGAATAACACCACACTGCTTCTCAACGTCGACCGGTCCCTTAGGCTTCGGCACCTTTGGCTTCGGCTCGTCCTTCTTTTTCTTCTTCTTCGGTTCCTTGTCTTCGTCCGCGTCGACTTTCCGCTTCTTCCCCTTCTTCGCATCGTCTCCGGCACTCTTCTTCGCGCTCTTCTGCCCCTTCATAGCAACGACTTCTCCTTCGGCGTCTTCAGTGCCCTCCTTATCCACGGGCTTGTCCTTCGTCAACTTTGCCTCTCGGGCTTCCTTCTTCTTTCGAGCCTTCTCTTGCTTTGCTTTGAGGCATGCGCGTATATGTTCCGCCGCCGCCTGCTTGAGGGCTGGTTTCTTACAGTGCTTGCATATTACGGTCTCGAGCTTAGTTTCTCTTGGTTTGCCGGTGGGAAAGGCTACCATCGTTTGGGCGTCCATCTCGGGTAGGATAGGCGACGACGAGCCCCGGGGATCTTGTTCATCTTTGGAATCTAGCAGTAGTCATTAGAATAAGACCTCATTTCGAGTTGAAGCGTAAGTGATATCAAGGCGATACACGTACTCGGCTCTGCAAGGCCATTCAGCAGCTTCGCGGCGGCCTTCTTCACCTTGACCTTGCCGGACTTGAAGTCCTTCTCTTTAAACTTGTATCCGGAGGCATCGACGAAGCTCGGGTTGGTGCTCGCAGGTAGATTCAGCACTGCATCATAAACTGTCAGTCCTATATCCCTCGCAAGCAGCCGCCGCGATGACGCAGTTGGTGATGAGTCCATACCTTTCGTTCCAGCGCCGTTCGAAGCCATCTTAAATAACAAACTCGCAGAAGCCCGACAGCTTCCGTCGACTATCGTCTTCGTCCCTGTTTCGCTTATATCGAGCTCGATCACAGTCTCGTTTCCTCTTGATATTTCTTCTTCTTGTCGCTCTGCTGTGTCGATTCTGCTTCTTCCTCGATCTTTTTGGTTGGAATTGGAAAGCAGATTGCGTCACGTGAATACATATATTTGTCATCAGGAGGCATAAAAGAGGTAGAAAAGACGGAGAAAGAGATGGAAGATGGTATAAGCCGGTTAGATATAAATCGTATTCGCTGGGGTTTACAGCATATGTTACTACGGAGGGGGATGCCGGCGATACGGAGTAGTTCGTTGAAGTTTTTGTCCATTGTATGAACGATCTGCGTAGTTACATTCAGTTCATAACCATTTGAACTGGTTTAACTAACTATTTCTTTTCCATCTGGTCAAAGTACTTTTCCCATCCAATCTCCCTCATCTTCACTCCCTTGACGTCAAGGTTCTCGGTCTTCGCGGCCTTTGCATACTCTTCGACTTTCTCACGCAGGATCGGGTTGAAAGCACCCAGTATTCTTACTGCAAGAAGAGCAGCGTTTATGCTATTGTTGATTCCAACAGTGGCAACAGGGACACCTGATACATATCAGTATTATTCATCGGTACTGTAGAGAATATTAAACTTACCTCGAGGCATTTGTACGATGCTGTACAGACTGTCAACACCGTCAAGAGCACTACCTTTGACAGGAACACCAATAACAGGCAGAGAGGTATGGGCAGCGGCCATTCCAGGAAGATGAGCGGCGCCACCGGCAGCAGCAATGATTACCTTGATGCCGCGAGATGCAGCTGAGGCCGCATACTCTGCCATATATTCAGGGGTACGGTGAGCAGAGGTAATGTCGACCTCCGGCACGATGCCAAAGTACTCCTGGAGCAGCTTCAACCCGGGAACAAGGGTTTTCAAATCACTATCAGATCCCATGATAACTCCCACTGTTTGCCGGGGCTTTGGTGTGGCTAAAGGTGCAGATGCTGTTGATTTGCCGTTGACATACTCAACCAGCGGTTGGATTATAGCCTCGGCTTCATGCATCGTCGATGCTGTCACAGTTACATGACCCATCTTGCGTCCTGGTCTGGCATTCCCTTTGCTGTACAGGTGGATGCTTGCATTCGGTATCGACAGGGCCCGTCGTGCAATATCCATATGTGAGTCTGGAGCAGACCCACCTAATATATTCAGCATAATCGACGGTTGTCGTAGCTGCAGGCTCTGTGGTGGAATAGGTAGGTCGAGAATGGCCCGTAGATGTGTATCAAATTGCGACAGGCCGCAACCTTCAATTGTGTAGTGTCCCGAATTATGGATCCGGCTGGCTAGTTCACACAGTAACAGCGAGTCATCTTCTAGGAGGAACATCTCGACTCCAAAGACTCCTTTACCCTCGAACGCAGCAACGGCATTTCTGGCTAGCTCCTGAGCCTTTTCATTGATTCTTTCCGAGACGCCCCGAGCCGGTGCATACACAAGCTTACATATAGAGTCTTCTTGGACAGTTTCGACAGTGGGATACGACAGAACAGTATCCTTTGTCTTAACCACAATAACAGCTAGTTCCTATACAATCTTAGCCCGCGTTATAGATAATCAAAAACGGTTCAGCCTACCATCCTGAACTTAGCCCATTTCTCAGCATAGAGGGGTCTGCCTTTCAAAGCTTCCAGAGCAGGAGATATATCTGATTCTCCCTTTACCGTATAATTCCCTAACCACAGTAAGTCAGAAATTAACAATATATATATTGAAGCGGAAACTAAGTATCAAATATCATCCTACCTCTCCCGTCATAAGCACCAGTTTTGGACTTCAACATAAACGGGTATCCAAATTCCTGTCCAACCTTAGCCAATTCCTCAGGCCGATTCTCTCGTATCTCCCTATATTCTGCCTGGGGAATATTGAACTTGGCCAGATGCTCCTTTTGCGCGTATTTATCCTGGATAATCCGGATACTCTTCCAGCTAGGCTCGACCTTGGCCAGGGATTGTACCTCTTCCAGAGCAAAAGTGTCGACATGTTCGATCTCAGCTGTTAGCACATCACTAACCTCAGCCAGCTTACGGACTGCCTCTGGGTTCATGAATGAGCCTGTTACATGGGTATCATGCGCGCTGATCTGCTTTGCTGGTGCCGCCTCCGCGTCGAGTATATTCATCTGGATGTTCAGGCGGTTTGCGGACTCCACCAGCATACGACCGAGCTGGCCGCCACCGAGGACACCAACTCTTGCAGAGTGCACCATTGTCTATGTCTATGAGGACTTCTAAACACTCAAAGCGAACAATTGCTATTGATTGAGTCACACAATGAATTGATCACTTCGTATTTCCTTTTTTTTTTTCTTTACCTTTAGACGTTGAGATTTCATGTCAGTCACGTGATGTGATTTTTCTCTGTAAGTATAAAAATCGTCCTTTTCACGACAACCAAGTTGTAGTTGATAGACTGTGATGATAGACTGGTGAAGCCACCTGCTTTTGGATCGTACTCAAAGGAAAATGGTACGCCATGGGTACTTGCAGGATGATTGAGTCATCTTCGGTCTTGGTGGATCTCCAGCCAGTCAAGCGGCTGAGCCGCTGCAGCCTGGCGTCCCCCCATAACATATAAATAAATGTTAACGGGGAGCATCTGGACTCGGTCATCAAGATTGTTACTTCTGTCTAAAACGCTTGATAAATATGCCTCCAGCGACCATCGACAGCCTTCCATACGAGATAATCAGTTTGGTGCTCTCATATGTACCTGTTGTTGAGTACAACAACATCAAGCTTGCTGGGAGCCGTCATCTTGTTAGAGCTATTCGCGGGTGGGCTTCTCGCATTCCATACCAGAAATACGTTGAACTGCTTCAGCAGCAGGACACAGGAGGTTGTGGATTGCCCAGTGGCACAGTTCGAACTGCACTTGCAATCACCATCGACCAAGGAGATGAATTCATTGTTAGGCGGTACATACACAGATATGGAGGTGCCAAAACCCGACCCGTGAACCGTGAGAACCGGACGTTCGTTTCTGCATTTCATATTGCAGCATTTCATGGTTCCACGGCCATTCTTCGGCTTTTAATGGATAGGAGAAACATTAGATGCCAAAGGACTGGGGCTACAGCTCTTCATATGGCTGCTAAAGGAGGGTCTCTTGAGGCTATCAAGTTGCTGATAGAGAATGGTGCCGATATCAATGCTATTGACTTTGACGAATACACTCCTCTTAGACTAGCGTGGCTAGCAGACGTCCAGGAAGACGTTATGCATTATCTGGAAGAGCAAGGCGGCTGTAGGGATGCCACGGAAGTACTAAAGAAGTACCCCTCTCGAAAGTTTGCAGATCTGGTATGGAGTTGTACGGACGAACCTGCACCGATAGTAAACCTGGGCCCTGACATCATACCATACAGAGATCGGCGCCGAAAGGACGTCATTCGCTCATTTGGTAGATATCTCATCGCAAAACGAAACGAAGGCTCAACACCAAGCCAACAATACCAAAGCCACCTTATGGCCACTGCTGTGGCGCGCCAGATCGATGAAGTGGTCGGGGCCTTGATCGATGATGGATTTCCTGTTGATTCGTGGATCAATTTGACAGGTCAAAACTTGCTGCATAAAGCTATTCTACATGACAATGCAGCATTGGCTGAGTTGCTTGCGAAAAACGGCGTAAACCCTAGCCATGTAGCACTTGGGTTAAGCCCCTTTCATCATGCCGCAACGCTCGGCCACTTACGCTCGCTACAGGGAATGATAGACGCCGGATTTTCTGCGAATATGACAGACCATAATGGCCGCACAGCCCTGCATTGTGCAAGACATGGCTGCGAAAATTTTGTCAGTATCTTGGTCGACAAGAATGGTGCTGATATTGAGGCCAGGGACAACGCTGGTCAAACGCCTCTCCATGCATCTGTTCTCGAGGAGAACGAAACCATTTTTCTTGATCTGCTTGATAGAGGGGCAGATATCAATGCCCGGGATAACAATCAAAATACCCCTCTTATTCTCGCCTGCAAACAAAGGGCCTACATATACTTCCACGAGTTGCTTAGGCGCGGTGCAGATATCACTCTTTTCAATGCTGACGGTCGGAATGCAATGGAAGTATCGTCTACGTTGTCTGTGCTGAAGGATATCATGGAACTTGCCGTTGATCCCCAACTCAGAGTAAAGGCAACAACAGTTCGATATATCCGTCAAACCAAAGTCGATGATGCTGATGATGAGATTCCCCAACATATCAATGATTGCGAATGATGTGATAATGAAAGTTCTGTTTGAATGAGACTTAGCTTCCAGATATCTACACGATCTAGTCAGAATAAACATTTACGATTCCAAGGGGCATAGAAACTTTTATATTTCACTATCAACCTATCTAGGCTGAAGAGAGTACTAAGATATCTAACCGTCTCGTGGATGGCTGAAGGAAGGGAAAAAACAGAGAAGCAGGAAAAAAAAAAATCAAGGTCATACCAGGATTCGAACCAGGGTTACCGGAATGTGAAACTGACTGCGAAGTCATCAGAATCCGATGTGCTAACCAGCTACACTATACGACCGCTTATGGAAGATTCAACTCGCCACTAGGGGTATATGTAGGGACTAGACCTCAGCGAGCACCGGCTGAAATAGTAAAGCCGATATAAAAACCAGAAAAATGCAGCTTTCGGGCTTGCTGAGAGGATTTGCAGCAAGAGGGAAAACGGAGGAAAAAGTGGCAAGATGGAGCGGGTGCTAGTTTATCGAGGCCACCTGGTTTGCTGATGTGATAACTGCACAAAAGTATATATGATTCAACATTACATAATCTAACTAAAGCCGAGGCTAGACTTTAAGGCGGCAAAGCGCAAAAAGGGGGCCCTAGAAGAAAGACGACGAGAGGCAGAGACAACGCAGTTCAAATACTTAAAGATATCACTTCTAAACAAGTTATATATTTTACCGAGATTAAAGCGGTGGCCATGGTCCAACCAACGGAACCCAGTTCTGAAAACCTTACAGAGCGGCAGAAGATGCTCCGGGGAGAGCTGTACACAGCATTCACAGCCGATCTGATAGCAGAGCGGGAGAGAAGCAAAGCTGCCTGTGATAGATTCAATAACGCGGGCGAAGTGACTCGTAGACGCCGTGTGGAGTTATGGAGGGAGTAAGTCAGCTCTTCGTAATAATAAGCATCGCCAAAACGTTTAACGTCTGGTAGTATAGTGTGTGATAAACGTCCTATGCCACCACAAGCTGCCACCCAAGAAGAAGATGATGCCCTCTTTGAGGATGATCCTTGGGTAGAAGCCCCTATACGAACTGATTATGGCTGCAACTTTAAGGTCGGAGAGGGTGCATTTATCAATTTTAACTGTATTGCACTGGATACCTGTCTGATCACCATTGGTGCCAGGACATTGTTTGGGCCTAATGTGAATTTATATGCCGGTAGTCACCCATTAGATCCTGCTGTTAGACGAGGGACGAAGGGACCAGAGTTCGGTAAAGAGATTCATATCGGCGAGGATTGCTGGATAGGTGGAAACGTCACTGTTCTGCCAGGTGTGACCATTGGCGATGGTGCTACTGTCGGCGCTGGAAGCGTGGTGACCAAGGTAAGTACCCTTAAAAATTTTTTATATGTACCTGAAAATTCAAGTGTCTAGTTATGTGCTGACCATAATTCAGGATATCCCGGCCTTTCATGTCGCAGCAGGAAATCCAGCCAGAGTTATCCGCCGAATAGAGACTGACATGGATCCGTCACAAAAAAAAGAATAAATCGACTCAAGAGTAAATTGCTGACACGATCCGTAACTGTTCAGAGTTCTTCTGGGAAGAGATTACCTATAGAATATGCATATTAGATACAAAAGGTGCTAAGGCATGATTCAGACGGTTATATCATTGCAGGTTTGTGTTCAATATATCGGTGGTGGAACGTTGTCTCGTACATAGTCAATTAGGATTCTAGCAGATTGGCACTCCCTGATTCCAATGACACCCAGCCTAGGAATACCTACAGCATCTGCCATCCTCATTTCGGCGTTCTTAGATAGGTAGACTAGTCGAATCCCTTTCGCTCGTTCAAGGTCTGATAATCGCTTGACAGTGAATGAAAGTGACTCAACCAGTGGTATAGGAGCCGTCGACCTGCAGATGAAGACCACTGATAACTTCCTTGATTGTTGGCTTGCTCTGTATTCTTCCTGCACTGCTGGGTTTGTCGTATCATGGTCCGTCTCTCCCAGGGACTCGAGAGATCTCATGGTCGAATTGAACCCGATGGTCAGGTTTTTCAGCACCTCAGGCGCATGAGAAGATGCAGACATATTGCTTGGAGCTTTTGTTTCATCTTTATTTTTGGATGCAGCCTCCTTGCGTAGCTCTAGTTTTTTCCACCTTTTGTATTTTGACGGCTTCGGTTTTTCATCTCTCCATGCTCCAATAGGGTATAATAATCTGCTGAACGAGTAAGCAGTGTCACATTGATAGCACCGGGCACAGACCTACCTGTAAAGGAGATCCTCGATTGTTTCTTGATGTTCGTGAGAGAGCTCTGTTCTTTATACATTATTAGCTTCTGTTAGTGTAACTATCATACTCGATGTCAAGTGAAGATTCTTACGCTGGAGCTGAGGATCGGTATCTACTCATTCCGTACGATGGTACCCGATGGGTTGAGCTGTATCACACTTGAAAGTGTGTTTTCTGCGTCTATATATCGTTCTGGAGTTAACCCAGGTTTTATACGACGGAAGTTATAATTTAATAGTCCTTTTGTAAGAAGTTACTGGTATTAGCAAGCTAGTTAACTATTTTCATGAACTTTCAAACCGAAATATCTTCTGAGATCAGCACAATTACCACTTAACTAACTAGTTAGTTGGCCAACTTGTCGTTCCGCTACACATTTTACCATTATGGGACAAGTATTTGGATCATGACAGTTTATATACAAATTAATGACATTATTACGGTTATTATACAATTGCTATGCATTAAGACTTAGAATTAAACCAATGATAGAACGAGTGTGCGTGAGCATTTATTATTATGAGCAAATGCTTCTAACGGACCCAGCCGGAGGCGCCTCGGCCTTAGAAAGCATTTCTACCCCTTAATAAATGCAACAGTAAAGTAAACAACGCAGACAGAACAACTAAGCCATAAAGCACCGGGGCAAGCGTAAGGACTATTGAAACATTTCCAGGGCTCTGGGCCACTCTGATCTGTCTCTGGATAGAAATAACCTTGAAAACTCGAAAACAAAACTTGACCATGTGAAAATCAACAAGGAAGGCTTTTTCTTCGTGTCATTAATTGATGCTCTCTCCCCCCCTCCCTCTCTCTCTCCTTATATTTTTCCTTTCCTCCCTCCCTTCCGATTTTAACCTGCTTTTCACACGTACAACGGAATGGTGAGGGAAGAAAAACGAAATAACTCCATTATGATGCACCAGAGCGTCCGTCAAGTATCCTGTAGGATGTTGTTCATTCATTGATCTCATTTAATGCGTAGCATAACGTGTGAAACATTCCTTTTATCTCGGTCTCTCTCTCTCTCTCTCTCTTCTTCTTTTTTTTTTCTTTTTCTTTGGGGGAAAGTGTATCGTCAATGTGGTCGTCAAGGGGTCATTGCATAGCAAATAATTTCGTCAATATTCAACCTGAATTTACTGTCAGGATAATTACTGCAGTTGATTTCTTGGGCAGTTTTGGTATTAGGGTGAAACGGAACGTGTTGATCGTAGATCATATAAGGAGAACCCATGCTAACGTGCCGAATAAGCTCCTACGGCGAAGTAGCCAGGCCAATCTCCGAGTCACTGGCGATCACGGAATTATCCTCCCAGGCATCTGAAGGAAAGTCAGGACCTGAATATTGGCAAGACAAAAGCAAAAACAATACAGGTTAATAACAAAACAACGCTTCGGCAACACATAATTCTGAAGTTTAAAGAGCGAGGGCCTCAAGCTTACCGGATCCAACATCCTCTGGCATTTCCACTGTATACTGCTCCAAACTTGCGAGGACAGCTGTTGCATAAGAGTTAGCTTATATCCGCTTTGATTGAAAAGGGATGTAGGAAGGGCTAAACAAACCTCCAGCGCGGTCGATAATAGCTCTGTCACCTTCGATATTTTCCTCATCAAAATACTTTTCAATGCACAATTTAATGACATATTGAATGATTTCAACAGTTGATGCATCTACAACGGTCTGGGTATTTGAGGTAGCGAGGTATGTCGTTTGAAGTTTATCAATGCAGGCTTGTCCCAACTGGCGTCCGGTTTGCTGGTAGAATTGTCGAGTAGTTTCCGTGGCATCATCAAGGTTCTTGAGGAACAGTATTTCTTGCAAATATTCAAACGCTGAGTTTCGGACCAATCGATCGTCATACTGGAGTAATGTTGGAGCCCAATAAGGTGCCATTTCTAACACTAGAGACAAGAAAAATAACTCGTCTTGCTCCAAAATGGCCGCGTTATTAAGCGTTGGAAGTGTTTGGATGAAGGTGATATGATCACGACCACCAGCCTCGTTTATCGAGTCAACTGATTTTGTAGCAAATTCAATGAGACTTCGAACACGGTCAATTTCAGGAACCATGCCACAGAAAAGTAGTGTTATTTCAAGAAATGGACTGGCGAGAGAAGCTGGTTCGACCGCTAGGCCCTCCTCAAGCATGTGTACTATGCTATCCATCAGTCCATCGATGGCTGGAGTCATGCTCAAAAAAGTAGTGAATATTTTCCGTGCTGCATCAACGTTTTCTTGCTGCTCAATGACTTTCTTTAAGAGTGCAAGTTCCCTTTTGTCACCCAACGCCAGAACAAGCTCGCTCTCCGCGTAAGAAAGTGCAAGCTTGCCAGCTTCCGTTCGTCGTGACTGACCGGTTCGTATTGGCTCGGCGACTATGTCAATGTTCTCCAAGAAAATAGCAAGTAGCTCGGTGAGTTTGTAGTGTGAGAATTTTCTTCCTTTCTCTATCAGCCGTACATAAGCGGGATAGACTTCTTTAAGTCTCTTGGAATCATGGCCGTCCAGCCATACCATTTCCAGACATCGTAGAAGGAAGCCATGCTCTACTAATGTTTCAACCTCATACGGTCCAAGGTTGGCAATTTCAACAAGAACTTCAAAATAGTCATCCCAGGCACGGGAGTAGAAGTGAAGTGTGCTCCACATAATCACCATGATTCCCACAACTTTTTCAAGCATATCCATGTATTCTCGATGATATTCACTTTGGAGTTCTCTGTCAGAGTCCGCGTCCCCTAGTCGATCTTGCAGACGGCTTAACGCCGTTACTAGAAGCTTCGAAAAACCAACACGAATGACGCTGTTGGGGCTCTTTGCGATGAGATTCCTCAGAAGCAGCGGTCTTTTACCAGTCCACTGCAAAAGCCAGTATGCAGAGCGAGGGCATTCATCGATAGATCTTTTGATGTCGATAAGAAGGGGTTCAACTTCTGGCAAGTCCTTCGATCTGGCAACGAGCTGTTCTAAAGTATCCAGAGCGACATGCATTGACATTTTTTGAATCTTCGAGGCGATTGCAGTGTTCTCGGTCCGGTTGATTTCTCGTGCTCGATTGAAGAGGCCAACAACGAAGCGTGCATGGTTTGGATCTAAGAGGCAATAAATGCGAATGAACACTTCGTTTTCCAGGGCGATGTGATTTCCTAATTCCAGCGGAAGAGGAATGCGAGCTGGGCAATCGCCAATAGAATCCGCATAAACTACCTTCGCTTTCTCCATACTCGAAACCCGTTGGTAAAAGAGCATGTATGCATTCCACACTTTGCAGCCAAAACGGACATGGCTCAAGCTATGCATATTGTCACCTGTGCCACCAAAACACTGATCTGGAATTTTAGCAGGATCGAATCTTGTCACGTCGGAGTCATTGAATTCCACCCAGGAGTTATTTGGCCCAGGCGATGGCCTTTCCTTGATGTAGGAATAGTAGTGTCCTGATTCAGCTGTGCCACTGTGAACCAGAACTCCGACGAGTTCAAACATATCAGGTTCGATAGGTGCATCAGGGTTGCTAAGATAATCGATGGTGAAAGGAGACATATCTATTCGCTCAGGGAAGTGGAACTCGTCGTTGATCTTACTCCTCATCATTGAAATGACATCAAAGTCGAATCTCTTCAAGTGGAATATGAGGTTATCTGGTATATCTTTCAAACACGCCCTTTTGTAGGTTAGTATTATAGTCTGATGTTGTTTATAATAAGAAATAGTTTACCTTTTAACTGCATCTACGTGTTTTCCGCAGGAGGTACAAGAATACTTGTTATCTGTAACATGATATCAGTGACAATGACCAACAGGACCATAACATGAGCAAAACCTACCTCCTTGCATAATCTCTCCTTCGACATATGCCCTTAAGCTATCCTCAAGGCCGGGTTTGCCTTTGATATCACATTGAATGGCGGAGAACGGCTCCAGGCGCTCAGAAATGTGCTCGCACTCCTTGGACTTGATTTGTTGTACAAGCTGACCGCCATAGAAAGATCGAAATTTTTTCTTATCCTCAGCGGAGCGTATTTGGCTTTCCCATCGATCAAAAAGTAGGTTATAGAATTCGTCGACATCCATCTGAATGTTGATATCAATTGGCTCGTTGTCATACGTTCGAATAGTATCCACAGCATTCTGGGGATCGACACTCTTCTGCCATGTGTCTTGAAGGTATGCAAACACTTTCTTTGTCTCAGTAAGAACTGCTTGGGTGGGATCGTCTTCTGAAGTTTCGACTTCCAGGATGAATTTGCGGAAGTCTAGATTCATAAATAATTGGGTGAATAAGGAATTGAGATAGCACGTGTTGGAGAGGTTGCGGAGGCCAGCATATCCTTCCGCGGAGCGAATTGTTTTCGAACGATCAAATATCCACGTAGGATCATATGTGTAGTCTAGGATGCTGATTAGTATATGAGAACGATTTCAAGGTATGAGAAAGACGTACCATAAGGAATTATGTCTTCGAGCAGTTCGAACATCTCTGCGCAGTTATTCGTACTCCGACAAAGAAGAAGAATGATGCTATAGATCTCCTGGCGAGTGGTAGTGTTCATGATGGGAATACCTGGTTGGATCTTATCATCCTGAGTATCAGATAGGTTGGGGAAGAGGAGAGTGATGAACAAATTCGCCATAAGGTTGCTAGTAATGGTCAAACAAGTTAACGATTGGATGTAAAAGAAAAGAGAAATCCGAATGTCTTACGTAGTACCAGCATCAATGTTCTCTGAAATAGCGAGCTCGATGCACATCTTTAGGAGATAAGCAAAGCCCAAGACAACATGATCAACACGTTCACGACCAACAAACTACATAGGAATTATCAGTTATACACTTCATAGTGAACGGGGTTGGGTAGACAGTTACTTACCTCTGTGCCATTGTGGCTCAAAAGGATATTTCCCCAGTCCTGCACATATTGCTTATATGGGATCTCTGTCGTAGGGAGCATGGCAACAGTATGGAAAGTCACCAAGGCAACCTCGAAGAACTCCTGTGCAAGCTGGGGATGCTCGACAGCCCGAGGCAAAAGTAATGAAATGGCTTGCCAAAAACACTTCACCATATCTGCACCAGTGACAGTCGCGAGATTGCCAGTTAGAATGGCGTTCTTTGAGACTGTGTTTGACCAGTAACCTTTTTGGAGTGGTGATTCGCCGCAGAGACAGAAAATAATCTCTGCAATATCCTTCCGGATACCTGGTCGAGGCTCGGAGAGTAGTAAGCTGTATATGAGATCTGGCATTTGCGTGTAATCCTTCAATGCAGCCCATATATGGTCGTCGTTCATGGAAGCTTCGATGAGTGTTGCGAAGGAGCTTGAGATAAGTCGCTGTAACGTTGGTTCGTTGAGCGGGATAGAGGAATCATTGCGATCCAGTGTAAGCAAGGAAAGAATTAGGGAGATTAAACCGGACGGGTTCGTGAACAGATGCTGTGATGAATCTGATGTTGATTTTGCAAATGCTATATAAAATGTCAGCCAAAAAGTTCGGAAATCTTATCGAACAAACTTTGGGAGCTTGCCTTTCAAAGCCACAAGCAGACAGTTCACGAAGCTGCATGCAATGTTGAGTTTCAAAGCATTCTCGCGCAGGAGCTCAGAAATTCCAGGCTTCATCAGAATAGTATCAATGTTCTTAATAACATGGGAAATAAAACCTTTATCGCGGTTTAGCTGGTAACCATATGTTAGCAAAGATCTAGACGAGAGTTTAAATCACTAGAAATGGGTGCAATATCATACGCTCATGCTCTCTTCCCGCATACACACAATTAGACAATTGAGGATGTAAAGGAGTTTATATGGCTTTTCAATAGGGAACATATCCGATTCACCTATCTCAGGAGATCGGACAAAATCACGAACTGCCTGCTGTGGAGGAAATAGAACAAGGAAGTCGAATATCTATAAAGAGACGTTAGTTACCATTTTCATTCCCACAAGTAGGGTCAATATTAAATTCATTGCTCACCTCCTTTGAAAACCTTTCGTCCAAGCTCAACAGGTCATAGAGGTCATTGAAATGTTTCAACACTTCTGAATCAACAAGTGTCAAACTCTGACGCCTCCCGCCAAACGAAGCCTCATACGCATCTGAATCTTTCCTGACAATAAGCAAGCCTGCAGTCGCGAGTTTCAGATCTCGAATCGTCTGGTTTGCGTTCCCACCACGTAAATCTAGTCTTTGTCCACCGCTGATGGTAGTGAATTTAGAAAAACCGGTAACATGAGCTATTTTATCCGCGAGTTCGGAGGCAGTTGATAAGTCTCCGATGGTAAATGTGCGAATGCGAGATTGTGAACCCGTACTAAACGCCTGATAAGATATGTCTATAGATTCTCCCCTTATTGGCTCTGGATTGAGCGGCATACACGGTGGTGAGCCTTGAGGAGGAGTGTAGTGGGGTCTTGTACGGAGGCCTTGGAGAAGTTGGCGGAGAAAAAGAAGGGAGCGGGCAAAGCGTAGCTCCTCGGCGCGGACTTCCTTATCAGATGGGACTATGACCATAGGTTCGTCTTCGCCGCTTGTGGTTCCATCCATGAATGTTTTTAGTTTGGTGGCTGCAGCTGCAAGTTGGGCTACGCAGCGATCGACGAGGGATACATGCGTTGCTTCAGCAGATGACGGGCTGCTTCCTTTGATTATGGAATGGTCCAAGTATGTATCTATAGCAAAGTTGATAGCATTGATGCCGATTGTTGGATTGGGTGCTGCTAGAATAAAGTGCCAGATCCTGTCCATTCCGGGAATAGTGATTACTTCTCCATCACTAGAGGCGGGTTGGTGATGGAATTTAACATCGTAATTCACTGTTTGCTTTGCAAACGAGAGCACAGACTCTGTGATGTCCTCTGGCAGGATGCGGGGAAGATAATCGTTCATAAACGTTTCCAGGAATGCGTTTCGTTTCAGGCATCGGGAGGCAGATTTGGACAAAATTTCCCACATGTAATTTCGGTTCTGCTCACTTATTACCTTCGATGTAAATACTTTATCCCACAGAATATCAATTAGCTCAGGAGAAATTGTCTCCGGCACTTTGTCGATAATGCGATGGACTAGGTTCAGTCGCGGTACGATGGCGTTGCATAGCTGCTCATCCTCTCCACCGGCTGCCGGTGCCGTAGCTGCATGTGCGAGTTCCGTAATGATGAGGCGGGTGAAGTCGAGGTCTAGAGCTAGACGCCGAATATCCTGGGTATCAAATGTTGGGATTAGGGCATTAAGAGCATGGATACTCCCGAGAGCGAACTCGTTCATATCAGAAACATCCTGGATACATTGCTGATAAAGTTCGGTCTTATCTGATTCGCGTATACCAAGGCTAACAAACTGAGAAAGTTGTTTACTAGCGAATCTCTGGATTTGAGACCTCTGCTCAAGAGGTAGTTCGTTAGAGGACAGTGCTCCTCGAATCAACCTGACACATAGGCGGATGGGCATGATGTCGACGTGTGGGAAATGTCCGAGCTCCTGGTGACGTAAAGATTCCCCATGCTTACTCCTTACAGCGTTCAGCAGCATGTCACAGAATTCAATCATGCGAACGTCGAAGCGTTGTAGGGGTAACTCTATGAGCTTGCTGCAGATGTAAATAAGTGGCTCGGACTCGTGGTGCATACTGAAGGTAGACGAAAGCATGGCAAGGACTTCGGATACGGTTCTGGGGTCGTGGCTCTCGCTGACAGTCTTCCATATGATATCTGTATCTTCATTAGTATATGTCGAAGTTACGACAAGGAAACCGACAATGTTGCTGCCACGGCTAATCAGTTGAGGATGCGATTCGACGCCAACGACATAATCGACAATCTTATGCTCGCGCAAAAAATTGACCAGGTATTTGGTTGTTGCATGGTTAAGCGCACCAGGCACATTTTGAATATGCTGAGACCAGAAGTTTACCAGGTCACCTTGGATAGACTCCATGCCATAGACTCGCAATTCCATGCGGCCACTCATGATATGCTTCTTAAGTATAGTGAATTTCCAACCTAAGCTGACAATGTGGGCAAATTCAAGGGAGTTAACGCCATCTGGGACATTGAGTTCCAGGTCCTTGCCAAGAGCTGTAGCTGACTCTTCATCGAAGCTACAAAGGATCCGGAACGAATTGCCCATAGTACGGATGATTGTCTCGCTGGTGTCACTAGAGAGACAGGATGAGGATTTTTCTATCAGAGATCGGTATACAGGCTCACAAAACCTGAGTAATACATAAATCTGTGTAATCACTTCCTTCGGGTTATGGAGGCCATAATCGGGTTGGTATCTTCTCCCGACGAAGGAGTCTAGGACGTTATGGGCGACAGTGAGAGCCGAAGTAAATAGGGAGGTGAGAATAGGTGATTTGGCAAGGAAAGGCGAAACGGCCCTCATGAAATTAGTGAGCACAAGTCCGTCGTTGACCTGTTGACCAGCAACGCAGTCATTAAGATGGCTGACCAAGTCTATGATCTCAGAACCGTAATCACGCTCCATTGCAGTATATAGGGGAATTTTGCGAAGTTGAAGCATCGAGGCAAGAGGCATCCAGTAAGTCCTTGATATTGGGTCATATTGAGTAGCCCTGTCATCTGGGGATTGTGATAGCTGCTGTGCATCGAGAGAGATGACGTGCATTGCGATATCGACATAGCTGGAGAGAAATTGCTCAACGGGTGACATAGGACTTTCTCCTCTCCCTGCCACAAACTCCGTTCTACATAGCCGAGTTAGCATGGTAATTAGTAAGAGAGAATAAGAAAGCATATCTTACGTCCGCCTCAGGAGGCCTTCAATAATAGAAGGAACCTCTTCCCAAAAATCACGGTCCTCAATAAATGCTTGATATGTGAGAACGCTGATAGTCTCACTGCACAAATCAAACCAAGACCTGAGGGCATCAAACACATTAAGATCACGTATCGTTCCTATGAATGCACAAGTCAGTCTTTACTGCAAAGCAAATAAAAATATAAAGGCCGCACTGACCTCTCTCCATAGCAGCTTTCATATCCAAGACACACTCGCGGATATTATATGCTGCTCTGAAATTTGGGAACGCCTCTGCAAGGGAGGTTTCTTCATGAATCTGGACAACTTCAGGCTCCCTTGGAGCCCGTAGGGCATCGTCTAATGGTCTCCAACTCGTAGTAGAGGGATCCTGGTCCATATCTTCTGGGTCCGCAACCTCGATCTCGACGCTTGCAGCAGAAGAAGGCGAATCAGGAATGACGATGGTAGTTCGTTCCATGGGTATACTAGAGTGGATATCATTGTGCACCGTTGGGTTAGAGTTGTTTTGGAATACAACCGACTCGCCGTCCAACTGTAAAATAGGATCAAGCTCAGGTTTTGAGACATTATTGCCGCTCTCTATGGCGGGATCTTGCTTTTCCGTTGATGAGGCTGTGGCTTCCCCGTCTTCGGGTGTGGCTTGAGATTGTGCTGTTTCCAAACTAGGAGACTTCATATTAATGGTAACTCGACTTGATGGACGAGGAGGGACGACAGGACTGCCATTCATTGATTTTTGGGTGCTAGCTGCGGGTAGAGGAGTGATCGGCATTCCGACTTGATCCTCGCCGGCTGTTGGAGGTCCACCATGCACGCTACGTCCATCCGGAGTTCCCACCGCAACTTCTTTTATAGTACCTGGAGTATTGTCAACTTGATCCTGGGGTGTTTGCAGGTCCTGCTGGTTATCCTGTGTATCTTCACTGGTCTCGGCCGGAGTCGTAGGTGTAGTCATCGATGCAGAGTCATGCGTGCAATTGGCACCACTGCCGCTATCAAGCCGGGGACGTTTGCGCGTGGACTCCGAGTTTAGTTCTTCCATGAGTTCGCTGCAGCCGGTTGGCGACGACGACTGGACAGGTGACGAGGGCGAGTCGGAAGTATGGATACCTGCTGGAGAACAGACGACTGGATTGTTTGTGTCGATCGACTGTGGCTGCGGGCTGACGCAGGTGCCAGGGCCGGTACCACTGCTGATGCTCGCGGCGGTGATGTTGCTAGAGTGCTCTAGCGGGGTAGGGCCCATGACATTTTCCGGTATGGCAGCTGTCTGTTGTTTGCTTCGTAAGGAGAGCCTCAAAGGGATATCTCTAGCTGGTAGGCGCTTGAAGTGAGGATTGGGGGAAGCTCTGGGGGGTCGCTGGTTGTTAGGCTGGGGAGAGCTTTAGGTTTGGCTTCGGAGCCGCAGGGATCGGTCGAAGCACCACGGCGGCGAGCTGGTCGAAGGAGTTCTGCAGATGAAGCAGTCAGCTAGAGGTACGTAGCGGCAGCAGAAGAGCAGTTGTATCAGGCCGTCTTTCGGCAGCACTGGTGGCTGGTGATGGATGGTTGGCGGTTGCGGCTGGGACTGAGGTTGTGGTTGTTGGTGTTGTTGTAGAAGTCGACAGGCAGCAGCTGGCAGGCAGCTGGACCAAGAAGGCCTGCCGGCGCCGTGCAGGAGGGAGGTCAACACTCACACTGAGCTTTCTGCAGCACTGTCTGTGTCGTTTTCTGCACTGTTGGTGTCTCCCCAGGCGCAAACTCCATCCCATCAAGATGTCGGTTTCTTCTCTGCTCTGCCTGTCTTTCTTCCGCCGTTGCTTCGCTTTCTTATCGATGACTCCATCACAAACACAAAAAAGAAAGAGGCGGTAATTGTGGTATCGGCTGTACGCACCTGTCGCTGCTTTAGCGCTTTTCCATTGGCCAATCTGCCAGAGCTTGCGTATTTATCGCTTCTCATTGGCTGTCTTTTACTCGGTCGCTGACGTAACAGCACACAACGGCCAAAATTACTGTATTTCCATACAGATGTTTCGATGACTAAGCAGCTGACAGCGTAAGTTTGGGGGAAAAATGACCAATAAATCAAACAAAAAATCACAACGTTTGACTCTTTTACTCCAGTCGATGGACGCTGATGATGTTGATTCTTTTTAGTTGGCTTGTTGAGCGAAGAAAAGACGCGGGCAGCGTGTTTGAAGCCGTCTGCGCAGCGTAAAGTCGATGTGGAGCCAGCGAGCTAGCTTTGGCTTGCTGCTGTGTCCTCCACTCAACTCCATCATATATATCCAAGAGATACCAAATAGCTACCCCCAAAGATGAGCTATGCAAGACAAGAAGAGGTGCTGTTAGGATGCTATCAGTATGGTTTTATTACTGGCTAAACCCTTAGCCGATGTCGTCAACCTCTTGATCGGTTCAATTCAGGCATGCATCGTCTTAGACAACTGCACCACGGAACGAAACAGCAGAAGTCCTTAGCATGGGATTGCCTACTGTTACGTAGGAACTCTGCCTTTGGATATATTGTTTGCCTAGCAAATGGGATACTCTGTGGTAATTTCATTGTGCTACCCCTATTATGGATTTTGATCTCTTATTGATCAACTACCGAATTTTTTTTCGTGCATGGTGAGACAACAAAAGGGGGATTCCGAATGATTGGAAGATGATATACCTGGATATCTAGTGAAAACGAGAGAGGGTGTCACAGCAAGTCATCTGATTGATTATATGAGGTCAAGCTGCTGGGAAATGAACATATTGGGTTATTAATACCCATTATTCACAGGCTCAAGCTTACAACATCCCAACAGTAAATATCCTCGTGTGAATTCTCGAAAAACCATAGGCGGTTTATCTCCCGGCTTATTCCGAGATACGAAATAGCGACAATTGCAAAACAGGGTTAGATATTTCCAGCGCATCTTCCAATCCATCACACGCCGGCGGAGCTTCGGAGAGTCTTCACTGCAACACCTCCGTTCAACTGTATACTTCATATGACAGATGAGACCACTCCGCCTTTCAGCTGAAGACAATACCACATCTATATTTCATCCGGCAAATAGATACGGACATCTTGGGTGTTTCCGTGTTCTGCTTCATGCAAGGTGACATTTATGGAATGTATTCGACTTTTTATTTCTCATACCCTGGCTTCATCCTTGATACCAATCGGCTTGGGTAACAGCCTGGTACAGCCAGCCACACATATATTTATATATGAATAAAACAACACTTCTAGACGATGGTGGAGTCCCTTGTTTAACAATGGACCCGTATGCTCCTGCAAATAGTCTGACTAGCTTTCAACCCGCATAGACCTCACATGTGCCCGCCGGACAAAGGGAGCCGGAGGCACATAGCTACACAATGACCTAATACAACCTCGTGCGGGTACAAGAATAACGATCTGTACTTCTTCTTGATGCCGCAGGTAATCCATTAGACAGCGCCGTTGTCACCTCAATTCTTCGTAACGGTCTCTTTGTATGCACCCCATACGCCGGATAGACTACCCACCTCCCTCCGTCCGCCCTTTTCTGCGAGTGCTAGTGCAGTCATCTACACCAAGGTCAACAGCATTATACCCGGCATCCAGGGCAATGATACCCATTTTTCCCTTGTTGATCTTGACGCGGGCAGACACCGTATTTTACCTGCTCCCGAAATTGTTGAAAACTCACCCATCCCCAACTGCTTGGCTCGTCTTGGACTTGACCCTCTTTATATCCATCAGACCCGCTTTTGCATCCGGCCATCAACCCTTTTTTGAAGCTCTTGTTGTCGGGGTCATCGGGTCGATCTTAATATATTCTTATTCAATTGAATCTCCAAACCTATTCTCGGCACAATCCACAGTGAAGTCTGGTCCTTATGTCGCCTCCCGGTCAGGGCTACTGTGGCAAGCTCGGTGTCTTATGAAGAGCCCTGATCGTTGTTATCAGAGGTCGGCAGCGAGTATCTCATTATCTGGCTTTTCTTTGACATCGATCAGGCATTACTTACCTTCATTCTTGGTAGCAAGAGTCCTTCCACTGTTCAGAACAGCTAGATTTGATCTGGTACACTCCAGCACTATATTGGAATATCCTTGAAATAATTTGTGTCTATCGCGATATTTACACCTGAGCTTGCAGATCTATATGAATTCTTCTGTACGCTTAACACCATATATTTCCCCCGTGAGACACAGAGTTGAGTGCCAATGCATATACTCCTGCCAATACATATCGGCATTCTCATCATCCCGACAGTGCAGAACAATAACCGATGCGGTTGTCCAAGATAGTCGAGTCTGAGTTGGCTATACGAGAGCTTGATGCCCGTACGGCAATGCCAACTTTCCCCCGGGCGGCTATACAGGATACTGAGTGATCTCTGCAGGGCGCATTCACTATTTATTTTGCAAATTTAAGCTTATGCAGCTGCGAGATAACAGACTAGATACAGCAGAATTATCAAAATGGTTAGAATGATACTACGCTTGTTAATAATTTTGCAACCCCCAATGATCGACGTCACGAACAGAGACAATACCCGCTTTTACCGCCGCCACAGGAGAATGATGTTCACGACAAGAACGAACATCACTATCTAGTCTCAGCGAACAGAATCGACTTATGAATTTCACGGGATTTCACGCCCCATCCCCTTTCTCCTGACTAGACTCTTTCCCCCCTAAATCATCCGAGAGAAGAGACGCTGGTATAAGAATTTACCTCTTAGTGGAACTGGGGTATTCTATTCAAGCACTACGAGGCATACAACTATCATGCATGCCTAGAATTGTCTAGCTGGCAAATCGCGGGTATATCCCACGGTCCCTAAACGCTGAAACGAATACATAGTGGTTTCATCGCGATTTCCCGGCCACGATTCACGAGTATTTCCTTTGCTTTTTTGCTACGAGTCAGTCAGACTACTTTCTTTACCCCTGAAAGTAATCGACATCGGCAGACGCAAAGGCGGAAGCTAACAACGACCCTGCGTGTGCGGCTCTTCGACTCTAGGGATATCAAAAACGTCAATTTTCCGACTACAAATCGCAGCAAGATCGCGGGTGAGCTAGTTAACCACCATACATCAGAAACGGAACATTCAGTTTTCTTTTCTAGGGTTAGGTTAGATACCAACGGGGGCTTCAGGAACATGAGAACACAACAAAGCATCCACTCTAAGCCCTTAAGTGGTATGACAGCATACAAGCTCCACAGCTTCTGGGCATGCGTCGAAGCTGCAGTTGAGAGTCAAATGTCAGGGAGAAATGGCTGAGCCACCAGGAATAAAAAGGATCCAATCGGATCCATCGGTCGTCAGCATATGCTGAGGATGGGAACAACAGCGGAACAGATCAGCGACGATCGTTCAAGGATTACACTCATTCCAGCGGCGAAAGGGGCTGTAAGTAAATTGTCACATTTTTGATTTCTTTTTTTTTTCCCTCTTCCTTTTGACCTTCGAAGAACCGAACCGCCTAACGGATAAATTAAATGTTAACTTACGATAGTTACGAAGATCAACCAAAGGATCGAATGTCTAGATCTTTGTCCATTCTTCCAAGAAAGTATTCGTCAGCTCTAACTAGATAATTTTTACACCTTGATCAATCACTGGTTTTTCCTGGGATCCAGCATGAGAACCTCCACCATCGCCTCCAGCGAGACGTTGCCTCCTGTAACGACCACTACCAGCCTCAGCTTGCCATGCTCTGCATTATTGGCTAGTCGTCCCAGCTCTGCCTTGCACTCTTCGGAAAACAGCAAGGCGGCTAGGGGGACTACTCCAGAAGTCTCGGCGAGTGTCTTTGTCTCAGCAACGAAAAACTTAAGTGCTTGTCGGATTTGCTCGTCGTTGACACCAAAGACATCTCTGACATATGTCTTGTTGCTGACGACGGGCCAAGCTCTGGGTGCAACGCAGGATCGCAGCCCATCCGCAATAGTGTTGACTGAGGAGTCCACCATCTCCCTTCTTTTCCCACTCTTCCTGCCAGCCAAAAGATCGGCCGACCCCTTTGCAGGTTCGGTGCCATACACATTAACGCCATGTGGCTGGCAGTAAACGGCTGTTCCTGCAAGCAGCGCGGCACCCGATGTGGGGACAAGAATGGCATCGGGCTTAGTGGCACCGAAGTTCTCTTGCTTCTGCATTTGGTCAATGATTTCAATGCTCACAGAGCCATGACCTCGAATGATATCGTAATCGTCGGCTGGTGCTAGCACAGATGTACCAAGCGATTCTGCAAAAGCTTCGGCAGTGCGCATGCACTCTGTCACTGAATTCCCTGAGAGATGAACCTGTACTCCTTGGGACTCTGCAAGGTAGACTTTGGTTTTGGATGCTGTCGGAGGCATGAATGCGTGCACTGGTATTTGGATGCCACGCATGCGGCTTAGGAGAGAGGCTGCATATCCACTAGCAAAGGCATGGTTTCCTACTCCGTACGAGCCGATGTTAATATTACTTCTAGCTGAAATTCTTAAGCAATCTGAGGGGCATACTAGAAGGGTTTGAAACTTACCCGTACTGAACACCACAATTCCCCTTTTAAGCTTCTCATCGGACATTCGCGATAAGCAGCACATGAGACCACGAATCTTGAAAGAATTTGTGTGCTGCAGGTTCTCGAGCTTGAAATATAGCTCAATCGAAACGTTTGGGACGGCATCGCTAATTCGGGTGTTGAGGAATTTTGCTAAGGCAGAATTGGATTCAACTTTATGAAGCGGCGTGCAATCAACGAAGTCATGAATCTCCTGGTAGGCATGAATGACCTCCTCTGGAGTATAATTGACTCCCGTGATGGGAGTAGTTTCGACAGCGGGCATATCTAGCTAACCGTCTGTTAGTATCCTCAACCCACGAGTAGATGCTCATGTGGGAGCTCCCGGGCGAAGGGGGTGGTTACCAAATGCTGAAATGCACAACCTACTACGAAATGCCTCCTCTGAATGTGTCAATGAGCTGTGGTATGCTCTTTCTGTAATAAACTGTGAGTTTTAGATATCTGAGAATTCACATCTATGGAAATATATATATATGTATATGTATATATGTATTCTATAGATATTTGTCTGACATCTGTCACATCTGCACTGGCTCGCGCCATTTCGGCCTAATCCTGTCCACTACTTGGCACACGGAAACATTGAACTAAAATCCCGTCGAAATCATCTTCTCGACAAATTTTCTACGTCCATGTGGGTTCATTAGTTAGTTGGCTGTTGATCGACTGCGCCAGGGCAGATCGGGTCACCATGATTGCCCTAACCAGACAAACTTACGAAGTACGCATTCAGGAGAACCAGACTCCAAGCTATTTACTCCTCACTACGTCCTCAATCAGTGCCCAAAACTATGGATTATCCCGATGATCTTGGTTTATAGAGCTCTGAAACTAATCTACAGCAACCATGGGCCAATTACAAGCTTGCTAACACCCACTCAGTCCTATTCAGGCTCCAGCTTGAAGTTACTGCATGCCATGCATCCTTCCTCAAAGTGTACTACCTTGGCTTGCATCCTTATCGAGAACTGTGCTCCTTGCACCCGTCATGCTTCTTTTGGCAACGTCGCCCGGGTATCCGGTCGGCATGGATCGATGGACATTCTCCGTAGTTCGGTTGGCAAAAGGTCAAGCGCGCTTATAAATTTAAAAAATTTTAACTTTGCAAGGTGCGGTGGCTGAACTTTAATTAGCCTTTCTCCTTCCGAGAGCTCGGATCCCGGGCCTTAACTTTAAATGACTTAGCTCGGGAGAAGATGAACCGTGCAGACAACAAACAAGTGTGCAATTTTTGCTCGAGATAGCCCAATGCTAGCTACCACTACTACCGCCACGTTCCCACATTTGGCAAGTTAAATTTGCATTACAAATTTTCATACAGGCTGATGGATTTGGGAACCAGAAAGGAGAGCATTTGAATTGACAGAATCCGCCTTGGCCTTTGGCGTCATTCCAGAACCCACCTGAACCCCTTTTTCAAGAAGCACCTTGTTAGGCACCATGCTTAAAACTACCGGTAAATTCGGGCATGAGTTGCGGTAAGATCTACGGCAAGCTCTGATCAAGTAGCAGCTGTGAAACGCTTACGACTCTTCAGGGAGGGAAAATTCATTCCATTTGCCCCTCCGAAGCCACTTTTTTTTATTTCCCCGTGTGAATACGATCTGAGATCTCGCTGATATGGATATATAAGACCGTTATGTCTCCAGTTCTAGCCCAGTTACGACTCTATCAGATGCCCAAGCTCACACTGATACCAGCCCTTGTTATCCCTTATTCATCTGCCTACCCTTAGTCAAGATGCATTCCCCCGATACACATCAAGAATCTTCGGAAAAAAAAGGGTTCACTACCGCAGATACAACCCCCGCTCATACGCCGCTGGAAACAAGCCGTCGTAACTCTGAATGTTATCAGCGCGAAGGAGACTCCGTATCAGATGAGAAGGATCAAGTAGATGGCGGTCTTAGGGCATGGCTTGTTCTTCTCGGTGCCTGGCTGTGCTTTGCCAACTCATGGTACGCAACTACCTTCTTACTTGATTGTCTTTCCTGTCAATTAGTCCAACTAACAGCCTACCTGATAGGGGCATAACCTCTGTCTTTGGTGTATTTCAATCATACTATCTGGAAACCGGCATTCTCGGCCCCTCATACTCAGCGTCATCCATATCATGGATTGGGTCGATACAAGCATTCCTCACTATGTTTGCTGGTGTCTTCTCAGGCCATCTTATGGACACAGGCTACACGCAACAGGTTCTATTTGTTGGCACTGGTTTGATCGTCCTTGGAACCGCGTTACTCTCAGTCTGCAAGGAATACTACCAAGTCCTTCTTACACAGGGTATCTGTGTTGGTATCGGAAGTGGTATGCTGCTTCTTGTATCATTAGCGATGTTATCTATGTGGTTCAAAAAGAAAAAGATGCTTGCTGCAGGTGTGGCGTCAACAGGGAGCGCAATTAGTGAGTGGCTTGTTCTAGTTCACCCACCGGCTACAAACTTTTCAGCCTTGCATTACGGGTGCATAATACTGACGAATCATGACTACTTCCAGCTGCATTCTACGTACCGATCGCCTTAGGTAAACTGTTTGCAACTATTGGTTTTGCCTGGACCGTTCGAGTATACGCGCTTATCATACTTCTCACTGCTGGGACAGCATGTTTGGTGATGACCCCCAAGAAAGTCGCCTTCAAACATGGACCATTGATCAACGTGAACTACTTCAAAGATCCGAAGTTTACCCTGTTTGTCATTGGTAAGATATGTCGCTACCCCTGATAACAGGCTGAAATTGAAAAGCTAACTACTAGTCTTAGCTTTCGGTTTCACTATGGCTGCCAACTATATCCCTTACTTCTATCTAACAGCCTATGCAAAGGCTCTAAACGTCAAGTCGGGAACACTGGGCCTTGTCAGCATTATAAACGCTGTCTCAGCCGTCAGCCGCCTTCCTCCCGCCCTCTTAGCCCATTAGTGAGTACCAGCTACACCCCTAAACGAATACGCCTTGCCTATTAACATAATCCCTAGCATTGGCGGTGCAAACACTCTCATCATCTGCTGTGGACTATCGACTGTGACCCTCTACCTATACACCTTGACAACATCAACATTTGGCGGACTCGTAGCTCTCGCTGCGTGTTATGCCCTAGCCTCTGGTGGAGTTCTTTTCCTGCCACCCATGATATTATCCAACTTCGCTGGCAATGACCGTGCACAGTATGGTACCATGATTGGCATGGGCTATACAATTGGCGCCATAGGCGTGTTGGTCGGTAACCCAATTGCCGGTGCCACGATTAGCGGTTCTGCAACGAATACAGCAGCAGGAGAAATAGGAGACATAGGCAAGGCGCACAGCAAGTACCTGGGCGTCTGGATCGTCGCGGGATCTTCCATGGCAATTGCCACAGCACTACATTTTAGCGCAAGGATGATCTGGGTGAATTGGAAAATCAAGTCTCGGGTATAAGGGGGAAGCTGACGTTTGCATGACGACCGACTGCATCTGGGAAAGCCGGGAAAGGGGAATAAAGGATAAATTTTCGATTTCAACTGGAATCAGTTTATTGAGACTGTTTCAAAAAGTTCATTCTATCATAGACTATTTATATTCACCTTCTAGTGTAAATGTTTTTTAGCTATTACTTGATACAACTTGACTATCTGTCCGAGCTTGTTCTTGCTTATGCCGTTCTCCCGGCAAAACAATCTATAATAAAGTTAGAACACTACCTATTTAGTCTAAGCAAGAGAGTTTGTATTTGTACGTACCGCCCGATCAAGCTCATAGGGTAGGCCACGGTGTCGGCCACGGACCATCATTGCACACATCACTAGCTTACTGATGGTGGTAAACTTACCAGATAACCCAGCATTTATACTTGGATGGCCAAGGGATAGGCCGACATTTCCGCTAATGAACTGTTAACTTTCATTCCTAAATCAATAAAATGGAATCACGTACTAGGCAGAAACAACTTCGAAAAAGATAGCGAAGATCTGGAAGGCCTGAGTGATATAAATTAGTATGCACACATAGACTGATTCTTTCATGATAACTCACAGGGTCAGCCAGGTCCGCGATCTTATCCCCTTCTGCTATAGTTATGAGAAAGACGCCTAGGAAGATGTACCATAGGTCAAAGGCAAGTTGTTTCTTGATATGCTGGCTCAAGTAAGACGAGGAGTCCGAGTTCTCATCGACCTCTTCTTCAGACTCGTATAGACCCAATGATGACTCTTCGTAAGTGTTTGTCCTGTATTGTATTAGTTCAAAATTCTGGTGTCAAATATTTTAGGGGGCTGACATACTTTCTCATACTGATAGCTACCGGAAAGACAGAAATATACATCATCACTACCAAAGATGTTAGCCGCACAGATTCCCAGATAGCAGGACGCAATAACAACTTACCCATCAAACTAAATTGTACAGCAGGATGAATCTTAGACAAGGAAAACGTGGTAGCTCCGGCCGTTCTTGATGCAGTAGACTGAAAAGATGCAGCGCATAATCGATGCCATGTTGTATCTATCGCTGTGACTTCCGGATTCTTCAGGTCCAAAATCATGAAGAGCATGATATCCAATCCGTTGAGCAGCACAAGTGTCCCCAGCAACGTCCACGTTGTTCGACTGGGGAACAGAAGTGTGTAGCACCTTCTGGGGTGGTCAAGAAGGAAGTTCAGTGGTTCCCGGATAGCTGAGGCTTTGGGCGAAATGTGAAACATGCACCATATGATGAACCGGAGCATGCAAGGGTAAGCAGTATTGCCGACGAGGATGAGAAAAGTCATGAGGAGCATTGGAAATGTGCTGGCGCGAAAGTTGACCATAGAGTCTGGGGTGAGAGCAAAACCTAGGTTGTTATACGTTGTCATGGCGGAATAAAAGGCCCTTCGAGAATGTCAGTCTCTCGGTTTAGAAATTTGGATGTGAAGGGAGAACTCACCACCAGACTGGATTTATTCCATTCGTTGCGAGATACTGTCTGTGACTTGAATCCGCAGAATAAATCCAGATTACAAGGCATATAGACCCCAACAGTAGGAATCCAAAGAAATAGCCCCCCACTATTCTAGCTAGCAGCTTCAAGCTCCGATATTCAATACCGCCTAATTCAATTCTCTGCTCTTCGGTTAGGTTGAGGAATTGAGAATTCCGGCCTATGGTAGGAGTATATGATAGATATGGCGCTTGAGAGCCTCTTGAACCAGTCCTGCTGAGGGGCTGTAGAGAACGAGAAACTGATCGAGAGCGAGATCTAGGGCGAGATGCGCTGCCCAGGACAAAAGCTGATGAAGCGGCTTGTTCCACAGATGTTGCGTGAGATAGGATTTTTCCCAGCTTTCCTCTTTCACGTACGCTCGATGCGCCTGCAATTGACGGATCGACAGATGTTGCTTTGGTGAGTTCATCTCCTGCACTGTATTAGAATAGCTAGGCAGAATAAGAGAATGCTATCTTGAGAACATCTCACCATCAGTTTCTTCATCGACTTCATGGACCCTATGGCCGGCTTCAAACTCTCTGGGACCGGGAATCCTAAGAGCCTTCTCCCTCGGTCTGAAGGTATCTGTCGAGAATGAAACGTGTCCAGGTCCAGCATTTGGCAGTTGTTTTTCAACAGTGGCCCGCTTGGGGTCATCCTGCACCTTTTCATCTGGAGGGTGAGCGTTTCTATGCTTCAACCCTTCAGGCTCTCCGGCTTCTGCTGGCTCCGATGAAATGGCGGGTATCTCTGTGGCTGTGGCCGAAGCAGTCGCCCTGTGGCTTCTTGGGCCATGCTCAATATGATGAGACCGTTCCGTAGATGGTAGACGAGAGAAACGCACTTGGTATTCAGTTAATATCGCGTTCGCCGTCGTATTAAGCACAATAATATATTAAGTCTGCATACCTATTTCTTTGAACTTGGACTCAAACCAGTACAACCGCACTAGGACGACAATGAAGTTGACGAAGCATATGTTACCAAGTATAGGACTGATATAAAGGACTACCTGCTGGTAGGTAGTCAGTTCCTTGAAGTCGATACTATGTCTCTAGAGTTAGATGCATATATTCCATCTCGTCAGATATATGAAGACATATCAAGACATCACGTACGAGTTCAGTCCTGTCATCGTAGCTGCTCCTACACCTTGGAACAAGGCATCGATCGCAGTCATATTCTTCAGGGGATATATCATCACCATCCCAAGGAGACACAGAAACACGATATAGGCATCTACCTAACCCGTCAGTCCAGCTCAAGATCTGTACAGCATCAGCGACAAGGACAATAACTCACAATGCACCACAATAAAAGACGGCCTGGAAACACGCGGCCACACGATTGAATAAAACATCCTGAACATTCAGCTCCAACCTGCGAGCTGTTTAAGAGGCGAGATAAGCAGAGGGAGGCTTCAAGGCACGTCTGAACAGAGACATCACTATCAAAGCCGCAACGAGCTGATAAATAGGCAGCAGCCGGATACTTATAACGAACAACCAGTTAATGCTCGTTAACCAGTTATTCAAGAGGCGTGAAATGATAGTTTAACGTCCATGAAATGAAACTGAAGGGAAAAAAAGGGCAAGCTATATAAATTTCCCGAGCAGAGACAGGAACGGGGATCCGGGGACAGGGATACCAGGGCCAAAGCAGAGCCAACCGCAGCCCTTGCACGGCTTTCGTTCTTTCTTTCTTGCTCTCGAATTTGCTCCAGTGAAAGGCCAAGGCAGCCCGGCGGTCACTGGGTGGCCATTTAACTAGTTAGCGAGCTCGAAGCTTGTGAGAAAGCGCGGTTTCTTTGCTTCTTTTCCATGTGGAGGCCAGTCGAATTTGATACCGGGAAGTTTTTCTGTGTTGCCGGCAAGGGTTTTAAGGGGGCGGCCGAGCCAGTAGTTGTGAGCTTAGCGTAGGGCTTGTCTCTTTGAGCGGTGAATCATTTCTTGCATCGAACCGGAGAGGCTGGTCATGCCAGATGGAATGGTTGTTGGACAGTGAATGATGGCTTTGATGGATTGGTGATAATTAGACAAGCGGGTTGTTTGCTGCTACATGATCTTGTAATGCTACGGTGGGTGTACTATTCCGATCGAGCAAAGGGTCGCTCATCAAGCTATGGAGTATTAGCCATCAGTTTATGAAGACGGCAGAGTGGTGCAACAATAGGATCTGCTATTACCTTTGCCGTAGATGGATGTGTTGTAATATGGTACACGGTGGTAGAGGAATTCGATAGCAAAAGACGCATGCATCCCCGGACGCCCAGTACATGGCAAGAAAAAGAAACGAAAAGCAATAAAGATGTTAAAGACACGATTAAACGTCCTCAAACTCCTCTTCGTCCTCGTCAGAGCCGGCATCTTCCTCCTTCTTGACCACCGGCTCCGTCTCTGTCTCCGGCTCCAGCTTAACCTTCTTAGCCGCCGGTCCATCCTCCTCTGCGGGCGTGATAGGCGTCCCCGCATTCGTGTTGGGTCCGCTAGTGCCAGATTCAGAGTCAAGCTCTCTCTTGAGGCTGCTGCCGCTGGCGGTGGTGGTGCCATTCGCACTGCCGGCTCCGCTTCCGTTGACTGTGGGGGTCCCGTTGGCCGTGGCTGTGGCGGAGTCCGACTGAGCACCTGCATCGGGAGTGGCACTGACGTCTTCAAATTCCTCCTCGTCTTCGTCATCGTCGTCAGACGACTCCGCGGCCTCAAGCTCCTTCTCCCGTGCCATTTCGGCGTAGTAAGTAGCAATAGTATCGTCCATGTCCTTCTTCTCTTCTTCCTCTTCATCTTTAATGCCGACTTTGCTGTCTTCAGCGGCAGCGTCAGAGGTTGCAGTTGCCGTTGCGGTTGCGGCTGTGGGGGCAGTACCGTTCGGCTCGACCTTGACGGTGGGCAGGTTGCTCGCTTCGGTGGAGACGGTGGAATGAGTATGCCAGACTGGAAGTGCGTTCTGTTTCTCCAGAGCAGCCTTTCGTGCTTCTTTCTGCGCCTGTTCTTCCGCGTTCTTCTCCGCAGACGAAGAAAGACTGACTTCCAACGCCGATGCATCCGTCTTATTGACTCCTTTGACAGTCGACGAACCCTTTTTGTTGACTGCGATCGCAACCTTCGTCGGGTTCGTGTGTTGGTTCCGTATCACGTCTACCTTGTGCTCCCACGCAGTGTCAAAATCGTTGGGAGGGATTTCGGTAGAGTCGATTTGGATCAGGAGTTTCAGAATGGAGTCCAACTGCGCCATAAGCTTGCTGTTCTTCTCGTGGCCGCTCCTGTCCGCAGCAGCCCCCTCGACTTCATCAACTGTCGATAGGGTAGCGTTGCACCGCAGACACTCGAACCCTTCCGGTCCCACGTTGCTGAGCACCTCCAGCTGGGTCCATTCGGCCGAACATCGCTGGCAGATGAACTCCTTCCTTTCCTGGTTGGGCGTGTATTGCGCTTTGATAGACGAGGTCAGGCGAGACACTCGATACTTGATCGCATCGATGACCGGATACAGTGGAATGTAGTAGTATTCGCGAGGGCGAGTCTGGCCTTCTCGCATCTCGGTCCGGTGGTGTCTGATGGGACATCAGTGTTAGCATCCCCGTTTTCTAGCGCATCTCTTTAACAAAGAGACTTACACAGCTATAAGCCTGTCCTCGCGGAGGCGACCACAAAGCTTCCGCACATCTTTCTGTTGCATCCCCAGAAGGAGGGCTAGATCCTCGGCGTTTAAGCTGTAGTATCAAAAAAGGGAGAGATCAAATTAGCTAGGCCTCTCTCAAGTCTCAGAAACCAAGAGGAGGCAAGGCATACACTGAGTGTATGAAGAGTGCATCTATGACGAGGATATGACGGGTCTCGTAAAATGCCCGCGCCGTCATCCGAATAAGAGTTCCTGCGAGATCCATGCTGGCGGTTTCTCCCCAAGACCAGTTCTGCAGTCTGCTGGCGATGCTGGCGGCGTTGTCGGCCTGCTGGTGTGTTGCTTCGGAGGGGGGAGGTGTGTGCCTATCTCATTGCGCCAGGCTGAAGGGGCGCCCTCCGCGCGGCAGCGAGGCTGACCGTGAGCGAGAACCCGATCTACAGACGCAACGACGCTTAGCTATCCGATCAGTAGCAGCCCAGCGAGCTATCTGGCTTGTCCGTGGACGTCGAAGCTGGTGATGTGCCGTCGAATCGAATATTTTATGCCTTTTCCGATATTTGAATCATGGACTTGCTAAGTAAGTACTTAGTAATACGGTGAGTAAGAGAGTCGCGACGAAACGATGAGTAAGCATGACACCGCTTTTCGCTTAGACTTGCATAAAAAGCTCTTCCGACACGAATCCACCACAACAACACGGGCTGGTGGCGCAGCGGTTAGCGCAGGGGATTGCAGCTATGTTTCTCCACAACGAGAAGTGATATGTTATCCCAAGGTCCCCGGTTCAATTCCGGGTCAGCCCTGTTTCTTTTTTATTTATTTATTTTTTTATATCCCTTACCTATGTTCCCTAGTTCTCACTTATATCAGATTATTTACTTGTTCAATCCTATTCTTAAAGGCATTCGAACGTGAACCCCTCAAGAAGGAAAAAGCGACGTCCCCGGGTCGGTGGCGTAGTGGTTATCGCAGACGATTGCAGATCGTAAGGTGCCCAGTTCGATTCTGGGTCGACCCTAACATGTGTCTGTAGTGTTTTTGATATTCTCAACGGCTCCTGCCTGCCTACCTTACAGTCAGGATAATATTCTTTTGCCCCTGTGATGGCTTGTTGGTCTCGCTGTTGTTCTTTTTGAGGCTCTAAAATTAGGTCATGTGATGTATTAGCTAATTGGTTAGGTAATTGTTCTTGACTAAGCTAAAGTCTGACTTCGATCTTGAGAATAACAGAAAAAGTGGAAAATATGAAGCGAAACAAGAGCAGAAGATATCTCGAATACGCCGCAGCATTGATAGATGAAAGTTGCAAGTTCAGTTCTCCCAGCATGGATTCAGCTGTCCAGAACCCCAGTCCGGGCGAGAATCCTGCTAAACAAGACCCTCCTGCCTCTCAGGCGACTGTCGCAGACCAGGCCGGTGAGCAGAAGATGAACTCCAGCGCAACTGGAAGAGGTGGCCGAAATAAACAGAAAGATATGGGAAGGAAGGCTTACCGGTAGGTATCCCCTATCTCAGGAGAGACTTTTGTATTTCTCTGCATAATTCTGCTTGGTCATGACCAACTAACTAAGTCAGAAATAAACACATAGATAGGCGCGCAGCAAACGACCGGCAGGAGGCCAAGCGGAGGAAGCTTGAGCAGGGAGAGAACCCAATGCCAATATACGCCACTCAATTCTCTCAGGAGGATATTGATGCCGATGTGCGGCGGCCAAAAAAGAAGGTTATTGTCATGTTGGGCTACTCTGGCACCGGATACCATGGAATGCAACTGTAAGCACCACACATCTCATAAATGGCCAAGAAAACTCTCTCTCTAACAAATTTGTAGATGTCCTACTGAAAAAACGATTGAAGGAGACTTATTTGCGGCTTTTGTTGCCGCTAACGCCATCTCCAAGGCCAACGCCGTGGACCCTAAGAAATCATCCTTTGTCCGCTGCGCACGAACAGACAAGGGCGTACATGCTGCCGGAAACGTGGTCTCTCTCAAGCTCATCATTGAAGACCCAGATATAGTACAGAAGATCAATGAGAAGCTGAGTCCGCAAATCAGGGTGTGGGGCATCATCCCGGCCACTAAGGGATTCAGTGCCTATCAGTTCTGTGATTCCCGGATGTACGAATATTTGATACCCTCGCATTGCTTCCTCCCTCCCCATCCGAGCACTTTCCTGGCCCAGAAAATGGATGAAATGGCGGAGAAGCATGGTGATATGGAGGCTTTCAAGGAGAGACAGGCCGAGGTGGAGTCTTACTGGGAAGAAACAGACAAGAAGCACATCCAGCCAATAATAGATGCCCTGCCTGAGAAGATCAAGCCCTACGTTCAAGCTGCAGTTGGCTCCGTTGGCGGTGAAGAAGAGAAGGCAACTCCAGCCAACAACGAGTCTGGAGAAGCCTGTGAAGAGCGAACAGAAAGTGATACCAAAAAATCCGACCTTACACCTGACGAACAAGCCCAGGTTAACGTGGCAATCAAGGACATCAGAACGGCCTACTTTAAAGCCAAGAATGAATACCGTATACCCCCTGAACGCCTTGCACGCATCAATGCCGCATTAGCCCTCTACGTTGGCACTAAAAATTTCCACAACTACACCATCCAAAAGACCTTCCGTGATCCCTCCGCAAGACGCTTAATAAAGTCTTTTAAAATCTCCCGAGACCCCGTGGTCATTAACGGAACTGAATGGTTAAGCTTGAAAGTTCATGGCCAAAGCTTCATGATGCATCAGATCAGAAAGATGGTTGCAATGGTTGCTTTGCTCGTTCGTTGCGGAGCAGATATCAAGCGTATTGAAGAAAGTTATCAGAACTCCAGAATACCGATTCCGAAAGCCCCGGGTCTGGGACTGCTTCTTGAACGACCTATTTTCGACGGGTATAATAAGAAAGCCAAAGACCTCGGTAGAGAGCTGCTAGATTTTGACAAATATGAGAAGGAAATGGACGAATTTAAGCTTAAGGAGATATACCAGCGTATATTCACGGAAGAGGCTGAGAAACATGCGTAAGTTCCTCCACACTCCGTTTCTCGCGTTGACGACTACTAACATTTTACTTGCTGCAGTTTTGGAACCTTTTTCAATCATATTGATAGCTATAAAGAAAATACTTTCTTATATGTCACTTCAGGTGGCCTAGCTGCCTGCAGCTCGTCTACTACCCAACCCACCGCTGCTCAAGAGAAAGATGCCAGGAAGGCTGAAAGCAAGGTCCTCGCGGAGGTCGAGTCAGAATCCGAAGCAGAGCTTGTGGATAACGGTGAAGATGGCGGTTAGTAAGTATGGTAGGAGAGCCCCGTGTTAGTCACTTGCCTGCTGTATATAGATAGCTATTCAATATAGGAGTCAAATAAAGCCTCGTTCAAATGACCTTTTTTATATTATTATCATTATAAAGGTCTACTGTATCAAATCTCGCGTTACTATGAAGCTGTATCTGTGAAAAACGGCTATGACTGGGACATCCCATTTTTTCTAACAGTGAATACATAAGAGACAGAGGCAGACTTAGTTTTACTTCGAGCAAAGGAAAATAGGAAAAAGGGAGATATAGGTAAGTAAAAGTGAGCAGAGAAAAAGTAAATTCCTCAGTGTAGACATATAACTTGACCAGTCAATCATCATATCACAGCTGCGTATATTCATTAAGCGTGTCATGACGACCCTCCCCGAAAGATAAAGTAGCAAAGCAAAAAAAAAAAAAAAAAGAGAATAAAAACATAGAGCAGAAGAATGGACATATGAAATAGAGTAAAAAAAAAAAAGAAAGAAAGAAAGAAAGAAAGAAAATTGGAATAGAAAAGAAAATTGACGCGGAGGGAGGGACATTTGCGGGGACATGTGAGGTAGAGACAGTTATCCAGGAAAATCGACGACAAAAGGGACTTGTGCTACGAGGTAACAAGGGGGGAAGAAAAAGCACAGATTGCCTGCCAGAGATTGTGCTATACTACAGTCAGTAGAGTAGAAGAAAATGACCTTTAAAAGATGAGTGATCGGGTCTTTTGGCGTCGAGCCTCTTGGGAATTGATGTTGGGCTGCGATAGCTGTGGTTGATGTCGGGGACGTGGAATAGCCCCTGGAGTTGGCCTAGTTTGACCAATGTGTTGCTCCTTTGGAGGGGGTGGGGGTGCATATGAGTGTCTGACAAGCTTCTTTTCTTCAACAGTTGGTTTCTTATCCTCAACAGGCCGTTTGATGTTGAGGTTCTTTTCACGGCGAAGAACAAGATCGGTCCATGGTTTGGCTTGGCCACTTCCAGAGGAATGGCACTTTCCAACAGTCTCCGAGAGGACTTTCATCCAACCGTCCTTCTCGGCCCTGCTGTCGGCGTAGAAGTCAATAACCTCTCCGTTGCCGAAGCGAATTCGGAAGCCTTCTTCGACAAACATATAACCCTCTTCCTCCTCGGCAAAGGCAGATTTACGTCTTCGGCCACCCTTGGCAGATGTTTCTTTTTGAGTGAGAGATGACCTGTCATCTATCAACTTGACTGCTTTGGCCAAATTAATGGTGGCACGGGGCTGCCGAGTAACCTCGTGGAAGGCAGTTAATTTAGATCCTTGCAGTTTGAATAGACGGCGACGCCAGTACTGGTTGCTTGTTAGCTTGTAGTATTGTATTCATCTTCGAGCAGTAACTTACTGGACAATCGCCTCCTTGCTGGGACAAGAATCCTTCCCAATTTCTAGCAGCCGCATGGTCTGCTTCTCTCATCTCGCGAATACAGGCGTTCATGCTCTTTGGCATATCATCGTCAGTCGCACCTTTGGGCTTTGGAACATACAGCAATTGAAGCTCCAAGGTTCCAATCTTATATGGGGGTCGACGAGAGACAGTGGTGGCAGTGCTGCGTTTGCTCTTAACACTGCTAACAGTCTCGTCGATGGCCCATTCGTTGAAACAAGTTACATCAACAGTAAGTGGACGCCCAAAGGCTTTCTCCTCAAAATCGGCCAGGGATACATAAGCGCGTGCAAAGTTGCCATCCTTGTCAACAATCTTTCTGACTTTCTCCCAAGGATCGATGATATTGGCCAGGGCCTTTTCTTCTGCCTGTCTTTTCTGAAGTTGCTGTGCCTCCTGCTGCTGGCGAAGTTCCATCTCCCGGCGTTTCTTAGGGGAGGCAAAAACGCGACTGAAAGCAGAGGACTTCTGTGGCTTGGGGGCTTTCGTCGGAGAAGCGGGCCGTACCGGCTGTGGTTTAGGTTTGATTTGATCTGGTTTCATCTGCAAAGTTAACTGGAACTCAAGCTCCTGCATAACAACAAGCTCAAACTCCTGACCAATTGGAGCAGATCTGCCGAGTTCAAGACACGAAGTCGTAACACAATGCAAACCGTTGTCTAGAGTAAGAGAAAAGTAAGATCGTTCACCTAAATAAATGAGGTGAGTACGCATATTTTTTATCAGATTAGCCGAAGAAAACTCACCTCGAGGAAGGGGAAGATCCAAATCTTTGACACCAACAACCTTGACAAACAACCTTCCGCGGTCACCATCTTCTCCGTTATTGTCACAACCATCTCCAGTCTCAACCTCTATAGTCTCCTCAGCCCCATTTACTGCGTCTTTAACTGTACTTTCTTGGCCAGGAAGAGGTGGAACAGGCTCCTCTGCAATCTTCTTTCGAGGAATAGCTCCAGACATCTTAATGCTTTGGCGTCTTGCCTTGGGGGTCCAAGGCTCAGTGGTCCAGGTTTGCTGGCTGGCTTTCCTTGGGGAATTTGGAGCGGTGAGGGATTCTGTGTTAGCGTCATCCTCTGGGCGGCTTGTTGCAACTACCATTTTCGTGTTTTGTCTCATCAGGTAACCTCTCTGTTTTGTTGTAGTGGTGTCAGCTGTATTTCTATCAACGAAAGATGATGAAGCGTCTTGTGCTGAGTTGTCTGCGCCTGATATCTGTGCTGAGAATTGGGAAAAGGGGATGTCGAATGCTACCTTTTGAGCCTCCATAACTCGGTCAAACTCGGCATCAAGGCCAAAGCCGTCGCTGGCAGAGTCCACTTTAATGTCAAGCTTAACCAGCGAGCTAATTCGAGACTTCTCGGGCAGTGGCGCAAGTTCTAAGGGCTTGCGTTCTATCTGTTGTTCAAATTCAGTACTCTCCTCCTCCTTGACCGGTTGCTCCACGCGCTGCAAGGGCTTGAACTCTTCAATGGGTGAAACCGGAACATCTTGACCACTAACTCTACGCCGCGTTGCTGCCATGGTGCTTACATCGGCTGGAGTCAATGACGTGCGTGTCTTGTAAGTGCCTCCCGGGGCTTTTATAGTTGCTATCGGCTCTGGGACGATAAGCGACTGATCAGGGGATTCTGCGGGCGAAATTGGATGACGAATAACAGAATCGGGACTACCGGGGCGGTCAAGGGAATTGTGGACATTTTCCTGGCCAATGCGAGGAGGCTGGGCGAGCCTGTCTTCAGCAGGAGGCGTAGACTGATCAATGTAAGATGTGAACTGAACATCGAAATTAGGGTCTGCATCGGGGCCAGACATAGACGACGCTAATAAGTCATGCTCAGGATATTGAGGAGAATGGACAGACTTAGTGGGAGTCAATTCTCCGGAGCCCACTTCGAAGTTATGGAGAGTGCCTCCTGGAGGGGTGGGCACATCGTCCTTGGAGGTATCAGAGTAGCGGCTGCTTGAATCATCAACAATGTGACCCGGCGCCTCAGCGTGGTCAGTCTCTCCATTCGTATCATTCCCACTGAACATGGGAACAGAGTAGATATCCATATCGTCATCATCATCCTCCTCTTTTATGATCACAGTTTCGTCTTCGAAGGGTTGGTCGGTTTCCAGGGACGGAATTGGTACGTCCGGATCCAGAGGCAAAGAGTTGTAATTTCCAGAGTTGTGCAAAGTATCGTGATATTCACTCAACTCAGAAGACTCTTCCTGGCTCTTCATATTTTTCAGGATTGACTCGCGTGAAATACGGGGAGACTCAATTGCCGGAGACTCATCATTGCCCTCTGACTTTTGGCTATTGTCAAAGTCACGCTCAACACTTCTTTCCTTTGCTCCTGCGCGCCTCATCCGTCGCTCACGCTGTGTTTCTGCATCAGACTGATAGCTATGCTCACCACTCATCATCAACTTAAGTCTATCCTCGAGTGAGAGAGAATTGCGATCAGGGCTGGCGATATCTGATTTGGAGCAAGAGGCAGGACGAAGAGGTTGTGGCATGTCACGCTGAGCACTACTCCCGCGTTCAAATGCAGCATTCAACCCAGGGCTTGGAGAGCTTCTAGAGGTCTGAGGAGATGACTGGGAAGGTGGAAGCGGAGGGAGTGGGCGGCGCTCCCCGTTGGAGTCCAATGATTCAATGCGGTTCTTGAACAGAGTAGAATCCCTGGAGCTTGGTCTGATGTCAGGGCCTGGACTCCCGAAATCGTCATTAAAAGGATCTCCATCGCTTCCAACAGTCTCACCATTCGCGCTGTCCGGACTCATGTAGCGCCATTCGTCGGGGAGTACGACTGGAGTCTTATCAGTGTCTTCAAGCGATGCATCAAAACTGTCCTCGATCTCCATGGAATAGCTTTGATCAAAACTGTCTTCATTGCTTGCATCTTCAAAGCTTCCTTCACGCGAGCTAGAAGCCACGGATGAAGGGACGGGTGTGGTCATTTCATATTCATTGACCTGTGGGGGAGCAGCGTCGAATGTAACACTTTTTGTCTGGCGATGGTAGCTGTATCCTTCGGAGGTCATACTGACCCTACTTTCATCGGCATCGTCAGACCATATTTCATGCCGTGGATCGAATCCGGCTGATCCTCGGCCAAACCGGCTTGCTTTCGATAGCGAGGATTTGCCTGGCGACTGAGAAGTAGGGGATTTTATTAGGGAACTAGCATCCTCGTCTCCGCTTTTGGCCGTGGTTTGCGGTGTCCCCGCTCCCTCGCCGCTATTCCTAAATCCTGCAGTCTGCGATGGGAGTTGACGTCGAGCATCGATCTGACTTGTTCCATCTTGGCTGTTTTGAAACTGACAGCTTAGAGGCCTGCCACTTGCTAGTGGCCTCTCCAAAACCTGAATGTGAGTAGGATCATATTCCTGCTTGTGCTCCCTGGCGAACATGCTGCTGTTTTTGACACGCGAAGCGCGCATTAAATTCTCAATTGACGATCGTTTACTTGCAGAGGATGTCCTTGGGGACCCCTCATAGGGATCGCTATTCTCGTGGCCCAGCCTAAAAGGCGAACCAGCATCACGACCTTGCCAGAAGCGCCGCGGAGAGGTAGCATTGCTCAATGGAGAATTTTCAAATGGTGAAGATTCAGTACTTGCTGGATCCTGTTGGACGTGTCAGATATTTCACTCGGTATAGGCCAGGAGGGGAGAAAAGCAGTTTTAGTGTACCTTCCAGCTGGGAGAGTTGCGCTTCTGAGCCACTGGGCTGAGTTCAGAGAGTGGGCGCTGACTCGAACCCATTTTTCAATAGTAGATATTGAAATCTATACATGAAACAGGTCAGTATAGACATGATATCAAGATGGCCGATCCCGCCTCTCCGGGGAAAATCAATATGACACTCATACCTCAAACAAGTAGACGACACAAAGGCTCACCGCGAGCTAGTAAATGTAATATCTGTTGATATGATCTGCTGCGACTGCAATATCAAAGAATTTATTACCGGACAATGGGGAATAAAAATGGCTTCCACAAAGGATTGGAAAGAGTAGAATCGAGTCGCGAACAACAACGAATAACAAAAACAGGGCAAGTTGCGCAGCGCGCAAAGCGCTAACGAATGAGGGAACAGAAAGAGGACTGCGAGAGCAGTGTACCCCTGCAGGACGAAGAAGAGACTGTGCCTGAAGAAAAGGAGAAGAAGAAGAGGGGAAGAAGAAGGTGATGGTTTTGATGTCTGATGATGGGGTTGAAGTTGGAGTTGAGGAGTTGATATAAAGTGTTGACAAATAAAACGCAAAAGCCTATTTGTTGCCATGACAACAGCTTAGTAAGAAGGTTATTCAACAGCTGAGTCATGGCTGAGTCACTCGGTGCGGCAAAATATTCAGCCGAAGCCTATCCGGGCCCGGCCCAGGCAAACTCAAAAGTAAAAAAAAAAATATTGAAGAAAGCAAAAGGGAATCAACGACGACGACAGCGACGTCAACATTTTAGCGAAGTCATTGAAGCGGCAGCTGGGATATCAGAGATGCTGTCGGTAAGGGCCCCTTTGGGGCCTAAGACGATGTGTCTGTACTGTCAGATCACTCGCGCGAGTCTGCTGCCCGTCGGCGAGGCATTACAGCCATGGAGACAGCTCTCTCGTGCAGCTTCGACAGCCCATGCTCGACGGAAGCCCTCACGGATGAGGCTGTCGCCGAATGTAGCAAAGTCCGTGCTACCAGATGAGAAGTCCAAGAAGTCCGACCGGTTTGAGAACAGCCCGTTTGGAGCCATGAACCGGACCAGCGTTCGTCTACGGGATAACACCCGCCCCAGATCGGACGCCGAGCTCAGGCGAGCAGCCAAACCGAAGTTCAGAGATCAAGGAAAGGAAAAGGAAAAGAGCGAAGAATCGTGGATGAAGCCTCTGAAGATGCAGATTGCCCTAACTCCTGTGCCGTACAATCGACGTATGGCGATTAAGGAGAAGATTGCCGACATAACTTCATTCGACCAATTCCCGCTTCTCGACGTTGTGCGCGAGGCAGTGTATAAGAATGCGCTGGTGGGGATGGAGGATATTACTCCTACGCCCATTCAGCGTGTTGCCATACCGACACTGTTGGGCAACAATAACAAGACTCCCGACCCCGCTGCCCAAACAGACGACCTTGCGCCCAAGTACGACCAGTTCCTGCTCGCGGCGGAAACTGGCTCAGGCAAGACTTTGGCCTATCTTGTTCCTGTTCTTGATGCTCTCAAGCATGCTGAGGCCTTCCAGAAGGAACAGGACAAGATCGAGGCCGATGAAAAGGCGAAGAAAGAGCAGGAGGAAAAAGAGCGGCGAGAAAAGAACAACATATTTGAGTTGGAGTCCCCTGAGCTTACAACACCAGATACATACCAGGATGTTGCAAAGCCCCGAGTTATTATTCTGGTCCCTACATCCGAACTGGTGAACCAAGTAGGGCACTTAGTCAAGCAGCTCTCACACACGATCAAATTCCGTTCTGCTCTTATCAGCTCCTCGCAGACCCCGCGTAGGATTCGAAATAGTTTATTCAACCCCGCAGGTTTAGACGTGCTCATCAGTACGCCGCACCTGGTTAGCTCAATCGCAGAGTCTAATCCATACATTCTGAGTCGTGTAACTCACATCATTGCGGACGAGGCTGATTCCCTCTTTGACCGGTCTTTCTCACCAATCACCAACTCTATAATCGAACGAGCAGCATCAACGCTGAAGCAGCTCATTCTCTGCTCTGCTACAATTCCTCGACACTTGGATAATCGTCTTCGTGAACTATACCCTAATATTCGAAGACTCGTCACTCCAAATCTCCACGCTATTCCTCGAAGAGTCCAACTCGGTGTTGTCGATGTCGACAAAGAGCCCTACCATGGCAAAAAGTCCCTTGCATGCGCCGACGTCGTATGGTCCCTGGGCAAAGCTGGAAGCGGTGACGATGGGGACGCCTTTGCCCGTATCACCGGCACTCCAGAGACAAAACATATCATCGTATTTGTCAATGAACGCGAATCAGCCGAAGAGGTTGCTGGCTTCCTGGCTTCAAAAGGAATTGACGCTGTTGCCCTGACCCGTGACACTTCGGAGAAACGACAAGCTGAGATCCTCAATGAATTTACTCAGGCAAAGCCACAGCTCTCTGAAGAAGACAAGAAATTGCTTATGAAGAGCAAGCAACTTGACTCAGGCTCAATACCCTTCCTGCGAAATGACGAGCCCAAAAAGCCCAACTCAACAAAGTCACTGGACAACACTAAAGTCCTTGTCATTACTGACTTGGGATCCAGAGGAATCGATACTGTAGCTGTTCGAAACGTCATCTTGTACGATGTTCCTCACTCGACTATCGACTTCATTCATCGTCTGGGTCGTTTGGGTCGCATGGGCAGAAGAGGACGAGGTATTGTTCTTGTCAACAAGAAAGACCGAAAGGACGTCGTCAAGGGTGTCCGTGAAGCAATGTTTAGGGGACAAGCACTGATCTAACACTCATCTCCCCATTTCCACCATCTCTCTTTCCATACATGCATTTGTCTCCTTATATACCGTTCTGTATTATATACCATCTACATTGCATTGAATTCCCGGCGCCGGTTAAAATTGCATGATAGTGGGTAACTGATTGGAAGCAATATGAATGCAGGTTGGAAATAGTTATAGAAATACAATAAAATTATGACCTCCAGAGCTTCTTTTAGCTGACAAGTTTATAAACTTCAGAAATACAGATAGAATTGTGAACATTTGCTACTGAGAAAGTATTTGGCCAAATACCAATTAACTAAGATCACCATTAGTCAAACATCCTGTGAGTGGTTCTGTAGTAACAAATCTCTTCTCTCTACACTATTATGATCTAATATACATATCTTACAGCTTCTATCTCGCACTATACACAAACAAACAACTCCACCCTCTAGCAAGCGAGGAAATGTATCCTCTCGCAGCAAAAATCTACGTAGGTTGAAAGGAAGAAAATATCCAAGTTCTCACAAGAAACAAAGCGCTGCAGGTCTGTCACCACCATCTACCTTTGCATCCTATCATTACAACAAGCCAGTAATCAACGATGGTATCGGATACTTCTACCACATCCGATTCCTTCTCGGAAAGAGGTATTCACGCAGACACAAGAAACGTCATCGGATTCGGAAAAGTGGTCGACGACAGCGATCTGCCCGCAATACAGACAGAACATTAGATGTGCTGATTCTAGTTTTTGTGGAGTATTTGAAGATCGAGATCGAGAATGCGAAGATACGGTTGTCAAATGCGAAGGAATCACAGTCTAGGAAGGAAAAGTGGACTCCGCCGTTGCAATCACCGAGAAAAAAGGGATATGGTGAGTGGCCATTGGCATAGGGGTATCTTTTGGTCATTACACGGGCTCCGGCTGACGCCTTGCAAATATGCAGAAGATCCAATGCCCATAGACAGTTTCGACAGAGTGAACGGTCCCAACGTACCGAGTTATCGTCATACGCCCGATTCTGAAACTCAGCTCGACATGCATGAATGCCACCGCACGTCAAGTAGAGGATCTTGATATAGTTGGGTGGTGGAAAAGACCAGGAAAATCTTTTTAGCACCATCGTTCGGATGGTCATGCAAGACGGGAACAGGCAGGCCATTGGGTTTGATTGATAGCCTATAACACCAATTAAGAAAACTGAGAACCGCAGGAAGTTAACGATCTCCCGTAGGTAACCTGCATCTCTCCGCATTAGTATAGTTCAAACTGATACTGAAAGTGAAGCTGTGAATGACAGGGGTGTACAGTCGCAAAGATACAAACAAGAAACCGCAATAGCAAACACACAAAGCAAACAAAGTTGTGGTAACAATATAAAAGATAGCAAGTAAATCTAATAGACATACCTGTAAAAAAAATTTCGGGTATACTCACTCAATAACTCAATTCACAGCTCAGTATTAAACCCGATTCACAGTCATGGGATTCCTCAGCTGGTGGAGCAACCTTCGCGACTCCATGCACTCGGTCAAGGAAACCGAAACACGAACAGCTCATCGGCTTGCCCACTCACCTCCGGAACTGTGGTCCAGTAGGGATCACATTGCATCGCGACGACTTCGTTTTCGGCGAGAGCTAGCGCTCAAGAAGGCCAAGAAAGAGAACAGAAGCATTGTGCCCGTCGTGATGCGGTATCCCGAAGGTCCATACTGGCCATATACCATAGAGGACGACATGGGTGAATACCTCAAAGCATATAAACACAAGAGAAAGATAGACACTTTCCGAGCTCGCCATCCATACTTGCAAGTCCATCAGACGGATGAAAACACTTTCCATGCGTATAATCCCTGGAATGGCGAGACATTTCTTCTTTATTGACTTTTTTGATATTGCGATGGAGGGCAGTCAAAATAGCAATATCCCCGAACGAAATCATGCACAGAATCCCGACCTAAACACAGCTCTCCTCTAACCTTCGGGACGCCCGTCGACATGAGCGAGTAACACGTCTTCCTTCTCCAATCTCGCTTGCATCGGTCTCCGTCCTTGTTTCAGAAACATCTGGCGTAGGACTAGTAGTACTCACACCGAGTCCCCGACCCCGTCGATCAAGCCGCGATTCATCGTCATTTGTTAAGAAACGATGAATGGTACGGTGGTCCATTACCCGTTCTTCTTTGTCACGCCTACCCTCCTTATCAGTTTTGGGCCATCGATATCCATATAATTTAGAATGCCGTTCACAACGCGGACATTCTTTTCTTGTAAAATAAGCTTCTCCTTGAACAAACCAGTCACCGCATGTTTGGCATTCAACCCATCGATCACAACGCTGTACCAGTAAAACACTAGTCTTGGTATAGTCCCCGGGGACACGAACCTTGAAGATTGGAGGTTCCTCAACGACTGGTAATGGAAGGCCGCGTTTTTTGTATTTCCGTTTGGGTCTGGGGGGATCATTTGTGGCTTCTGATTCAACTGGCTCGGATACTGTGGATAAATCCGATAGATCTGTTTCTGAATCTCCAAGAATTATTTGAGGAAATGGAGGTTTAAGTTGTAGTTCGGATATCTTTTCAGTCTTTCCTGGTTCCTTTGTAGTTGACTCCTCGGTCCCCGGTGTAAGTGATGCCTGGTCGCCAGATCCAGGACAAGATGTTGCAGCAGTCGATTCAGATGATTGACCGCTGCTATTTTCAATAGAAGTATCTCTTGACGCCCGACAAGCCGCTGATACTTCTTCGTCGCAAAGCGGAATATTGGCTGTTCTGCATCTATTCTTAGTGTTATTACCTCCGGGTAGAGTGGAATCATTGGATTTTTCCGCGTTTCCGACGAGTGGCGAGCACAAATTTGTCACTAATGAAGGTGATCCCTGGTTTGATTTTGCATCGACATCCACTGTATCATTTACAGATTCCTGAAGCCGCAAATTCGAAGATTTCCGCTCAACTTTCCTTTTCTTCCCCAGAAAACCATCAGAGGATTCAGAGTCTGTTTCCAGCTCGTGCTTTTCGCATCCATTTGAAGAGCTGGCTGGGTGCTCTGACGCATCAGCAAATTCAGATGAGCTGTGCACCCAGCTGTTGACACGTGAGGCGGTTGGTGACGACCAGCCGTTACGTTGTGCCATCTCGCAGCTATGGCAAAGGCATTCGCAGTTATCCTCACCAAAATAGTTGTCGCCATATGAGACTGTTATTTCATTGCCAATGTCGATATCCTGGGTGGCGACCACTTCCATGCTCTCAAAACCCCTCGTGACCAGTTTCGCATTGGCATTACAGTCGTGGTTCGCAAATCTCGCAGGCCCCAAAAACAGGGAAGCAGTCTTTTTCCTGGTCGACATGACGATGCTAAAATCGCGTTTGGTAAGGTCAAGGTCGTTTTCTTCCTCCTTGGTAATTGAAACTAGTGTGCCGCTGAGATATTTCACTGGATGACCGGACGGTATGAATTTCCTGGCAGAGACTGCCGCCTCATGGGTCAAAACCGTATATCTATTCGTAGTTGTAACCTCAAATGGGCAATCAGGGAGATATATTGATATATATTTGCGAAGATGTCGACGAAACCATTCCCTTTCCCGGTCAGAACAAAGCCTATCGGTGAATTTCTTAAGCCCAGGAAGCGCTAGAAGCTGCTTCTCCGCCTTTGGTACATCTTTGGCCACGATTACATCGTGAAGTAGAATAGACGTAATAGTGTCCTCATTGATGCCCCTGACAGGGAAATATTTGGTCCTGTTTTTGCGAATTGTTGTCCAAAAGAAAGCCTGTAGCATATAGCCGTTAGAATAGGTGTCGACCATCTCCTATGTCTCGTATCAGCGCAGGGCTTACATGGTCCACAAGGGTATCTGTCAAGATATCATCATATGTTGCGAGCTGAGAGAGCGTCAATCTCTCCCTCTTCTCGATGGCAGGCGTGCGTGGCATCGTTATAGGTCATATATCATCACGAAATAACAATAATGAGCCAGAACACCGTAACAATGGGGTCATGAAATAGGTCATCGACGGAAGCTTGCTCTCGGGGGTTTAAGTCTAGGGGCAAACACAACCTCTAAACAGTCGCGTTTCAATACCATTGACCCAGAAGACTCCCGCAAGATCAGCACCGTCTTCTCAGCAACCACAGATCCTCCGCCGTCGACGTTCCAGGAGGACTGCGCACGCGTTGTAAACGCCAGCCTTCTTCGCGCCTTTTTCGAACTTCTTCACGAGTCGCAAAGGGGGCCAAATGCGACAGTCACGTGGTTGTATACTCCATTTAGTCGGAATGCATTTTTAGCTCCAAAAAGGAATTTTCGATACTAACGTTTCTCTGCCATATTCAGTATGAATAGAAAAAGAATTCCGGCTTCTCTCCACTCATTTCATATATAAATTGTTGCGTTTTTGACACTATGTCGCCGGGGTGAATGCTGGAGCCGGAGTATCGGCATCCGGCGTATGATAAATCCCGTCCGGATACAATATTAGGTAATCAAAAAGATTGAAGTCGCAAAAGAAGAAAGGAAGACGATGAAGAAGCGAAACAGAAGAACAAGACGCTGCGCAATGAAGCAAAGATGATACAACTAAAGGTATGCTGCTTGTGTGTTTGCTACATGCAGAATTTTGCACTAACTCTGTTAATAGACTCTCCTCAATTGTATTGACAACTCCGGGGCAGCAGTCGTCGAATGCGCCCAAGTCCTGAAGAAGTCAAAGACAGGGACAATAGGTTCGCCCGGCCCCTTGATATATACATATACTGTTGCTGGTTTGCTTATTTGACACGATTGAAGGTGATCGGATTGTTGTTGTCGTCCAGAAACAACGAAACTTCGGCTCAGACGGCAACGCAAGCACATCTATTGCCAACAAGGTCAAGCGAGGAGATGTCCGCCATGCCGTGATAGTTAGAACGAAGAAGGAGGTCCGACGGCCGGATGGAAGCTATGTCAAGTTCGATGATAATGCCTGTGTTCTGATAAACAAGTCTGGGGACCCAATTGGGTCAAGATTAAACGGTGAGTTTGCAGACTGGTATTAGATACTGGAGACTAGCTGTGACCTGGCTAACGTGCAGTGAATAGGCATTGTTGGAGCGGAACTACGAAATAAGAAATGGTCAAAGATATTGTCATTGGCGCCGATGCATTTGTAATATTATTTGTCGCCTGTATTATACAAGATCTCCTTTGAATGACGGCGTCGTGTACATCATTAAGTTCTTTCACTCTTCTAGAGACAATTTCACCCATACGCCCCCGCCCGTTCCTGCGGCGAAATGCACATATCCGGAACTCCTGGCCATAAAAAAGACAAAATGGAAGTGAATAGCTAGGACGTGTCTGAGCCGTCGGCTTCAAGATCGTGAAGGTTGTAGGGAAAATACCGAGGGCTCGTAGACTGGAAAATTAACAGCAAAAACTGTCGTGAATGCCTCAAACGAACACCTTTCCGCAAGTGCAGCACACATAGTAAAGTTTCTGAAATAGTCCCGAGAGTCAGAAAAGAGTATGCCAAAAGCCAGCAGTAATAACTTCATATATCTCACCATTCCTGTCTCAGCAGATCGTTGCTGTGACTGGAAAAACACCGCCTCGTTCTCGCCGCAGCTAGGACACAATTTATTTGATCGTGGAAGCTAGATGTTTAGTTGTTGTTAGCCAAATGAGTTCTTCAACACCGTTCAACAGCTACTAGCTCTGCTTCTGCTGAGAAGGTCTGTTCCAGGCCATGTATTCTGCAAAATCCCCGTAAGAGTCGCAGCTTATCAGCTCCCCACAGAGGAGACATAATGGTAGACCAACAGTTGGATCATTTCCGATGTCCTGTGTTACTCCTGCAGTGTCGCCAACCTGGCTATGAAGTTTGTTCTGAAAAACGCAGTATGATGTTGCTGGCTCGGCGACGTGGCAGGTTCGGCATGCAAACACTAGGGAATTCGTCGCGCGGTCTTCTTTCGGGTATAACAAGTTGGAGCTACAAAGGCGCATGAGTTAGCCTGTCTTCATTCTCATTTCGAGTGGTTTGAATGTAGAGTGGACTGTAAATACCATTCGCGACAGAATTTGAAATGAATTTGATCGGTTCCTTGCTGCTGTTGCTGGCCGGAGCCATTCTGGGGAGCTGGAGACGCAGACATCGCCGGAGATTAATGATGATATGTAATATTAGTATTCGAATTGATGTATGATGTTAAACAATATTAAGAATGTTGTACGCTCGAGAGAAACTTGAAGCTTGCGAATCCGCGAATTTAACTGCTGGCTAATTTGATGACTAAGCAGTGACAGTCATCGATGTCAAGTGAAGGTTGACAGAGGACTGGTTAAGTGGAGGGTAAATAACTATGATAAAATGATTATAATAGTAGTTACTGAGACGAAGATGAGTCATATTTGCTGTACTAGATCTCTACGTCTAAGCCTCTCTGCTCTTTGGATAGCTTGAAAATAATCATCTTCATCCGAACCATCGACGTCAAACCATTCGTGAGTATATATCGGTCTTTCGCTGGTTGGATATCCTTCAAAGCGTAGCCAGCCGAAGATCATCCGTGTTGCATTCCCTGACACCACATCTTCGTCCCTGAATCCTTCGTAGCTAACAGGTATGTCAGGCACCTCCGGTAGTTCCCGGAAAACTGGCAACAGGCTGCCACGAGGTACTTGGTGAATAAGGCTACCTACTTTAGAGTCCCAACTCCATTTCGCGTATACAAGTCCACCCGTAACCTTTTCGGCATTTGAGCGGATACTAAGTTCAGTGTCTTCAAGTGCAGTTTGGCCAAAGGGATGCCATGGACTCAATGGCAACCTTTCGTGGAACTCATCCTGTATGATGTATAGCAAACGGCACTCATTAGCACGTGAAATATAACCATCTGTAACTAAGGGTTTGGATAAGGGTTCTTGTATAAATGACTGGATTGTTCCAGTCCACGTGGCTGAGTGCAGCTCAATTGGTATTAAACCAGATTGCCCATCCCTTATTACATCGTTGTGGAACCCTGTTATAATGGCACCTAGCCATATAAACGCGAGATGTGGCGACCTTGCTGCCATGACATGAATAATTTGGGTATCGCCAACATGTTTAATGACAGCAATGATCGCCTGAAGCCATGGGCTTGCAAAATTGCAGGCCACTTTAGGGTCGTAAAAGATACTCGACAGGAGACCACATATTCCTTTAGTATTGCAGCTCAGAACCAGAAACTTATCCAGGTATTTGAGCTCATACAGCTGCTCTTGGCTGGCCCGTCCCTTTATCCCAGATACGCAAACCTCGTGGTTGAGTTTTGGTATTGGCAGGGGAACGTTACGGGCCCTAGAGCTAAGCCTTGGAAGGAGTAGAGCAACCGATAACGCTGCATAGCTCTGTTCGGTAAGGCCATGGAGGTTACAGTACTCCTTAATGTATCCGAGAGCTTCAACAGACGATGCGGCCTTAGGCTGTACCAAAGTCTCTCCTAGATAAGACAACCTAAATCGGATGGGAGACTTCAGAGCTATTGACCATGGGGATTTGAACCTAGTCTCATCCGAAGGAATATAAGCTTCCCAGCCATCTTGTGATAGTACAGCAGTCCACCATCTTGCTGCCTCGTCATTTATCGTTCCTGTATTCACTGAAATAACATGATCGCCGTCGACAATCTGACTGTTATTGTTGTATTCGAAAACGGCGCCAGATACCAGCTCAGCCCAGCGAGCCGAGAGAATGTAGGCCCATGCGAGAACAAGGACTGTAATGTGATTGTCCGCACGGCCAAACCAGGAGCAATAGTCCAAGTCCCTGTCAGTCAACGTAATGTTAGTAGGCCCGCGCGTAGAGAGGTAAATATCAAGCTGTTTTTCAATATAAACAGAGTCATCAGAGCCTTCTGTTGCCCAGGTTGAAGTCCCAGTCGCACGTAACCGGCCGTACTCTTCTTTTAAATCTGAACCTGGTGATAGAGACGGTATATCTGCAAGCATCTTCAAGTCAAAGCAGCTATCGGGCAGACTTGTCGCCTTAATAGCGATATCAGCGAGGCCCGACCACGCACGAAAGCCTCTCTCGAACATCGCGCGCCGTGCCGACTTGGCTGGCCGCACAGCGTCTCCCAAGTCACCGTCGTCTCCAGCACCCGCCTCTCCTTCATCGCGACTTATCGTTACCATCTTCTCTGACCATATGAAGATGCTGCGATTTCGATCTATTTCAATTGACGTTGAAAGAAAGTACAGGCAGTGCTGACTCAGCAGTCCCCCGCATTTATCTTCGCCGCAAAGTCGAAAAAGTCGAAAAGAAAACAACAGGAAAACATCGAGATACAAGACGGGCATAGATAGATAGACAGCATGGTGAGTTACTTTTCCGGTGGCTGGAGGGAGACGAGAGGCTAACAGCGATGTAGGCTGAAACAGGACTCCCCTCCGGCTGGGAGGTACGGCACTCGAACTCCAAGAACCTGCCATACTACTTCAACGCGATTTCCAAGGAGTCGCGGTGGGAGCCGCCTGCGAACACGGACACCGAGAAGCTGAAGGTTTACATGGCTGCCCACCACAGCGTGCCAGCAGGTGATCGCCATGGAGCCAGTGGCCAGGGCGAAGGCAAGATCAGGGCGAGCCATCTGCTTATCAAGCACCGTGACAGCAGACGACCAAGCAGCTGGAGAGAGTCGGAGATCACACGATCGAAGGACGAGGCCATTGAGATCCTACGCAACCACAAGCAGCGTATCCAGTCCGGCGAGGCATCACTGGGTGATATTGCGACCTCGGAGTCTGACTGCAGCAGTGCCAGGAAAAGGGGCGATCTGTGAGTTTTTTTGATGCCAATCGCAGGCAGTACAAGCACGGGGTACTGACAAAGTAATACAGCGGATTCTTTGGCCGAGGAGAAATGCAGGCCGAGTTTGAACAGGCCGCTTTTGCACTGAAAGTCGGCGAAGTCAGTGATATCGTGGAGACAGCCTCGGGTGTTCATTTGATTGAGCGGTTAGTTACCTATTGCTACATGAATGGCGCCTCATTTCTAACGGTCATCGTCCTCTAGTGTCCAATGAACTACGCTCTTTTCGTTATATGCCTCGTTCTTTGATGTATTATGATTGTTAAAGCTGCATGAACTCGTTCCGTCACAATATCTTCCCCAATACCACTCGACCTTCACTCTGCCTGATTATCTATATGGCGATAATCAGAGATGCTGTTCTTATTATTATTTCCGGCGCATTCCCTAACTATGTGATGAGAAGTTACGGTTCATGTCGGCAAACGATGCCCAGCGTTCCATGTACGATGTAAAGAGCCCACTCTTTGCTTCGACATAACAATAAAATTACTTTGGCGATAACTGCCCCCCTTTATATCCTCTCCTTTTTTTCTGGACTTCCACAAGATGTCCTCCTGTGCCGCTGTCTACAAAACTCCAACTTTGGTAAAAGCAGGCGGAATCTTCCACCAGGAGTCAAGTACTGATACCTTGACAACAGTCGCTCGGTCATTCTACTTGCTTCTTCTTTGCTATACCATGGCTGAAGTTATTGTACTTGAAGTGAATACTCGGTTCTGACCTGTCCTTCACCTTGTGTCCAGTTCCCTCCCTTTTGTGTACATTTATATCCTCTGTATATACTTGTACGTCATTATCACCACCATGAGCAGCCTCTATACTCTCTTGAATTCCTCTACAAGACCCATCTCCCTCTACAGGCCATGAATATGCCTGGTATCGCCTTCTCTTATCCAGCCGCTTTTCTAGCCAGAGTCTCAATATCCCCCGTAGCCTCAGCCAGAGACCCGAAAGATACGGAAACTCCCTTCATTTACACCTCCATACCTTTTTACCCTGCCACATAAAAGTAAAGGCTGCTGTCCTGACCTGTCCAGTGTTGCTGTGCTGGCTCTGCCTGTAGTCCCCCTTCTCACCCTCCGCGCACAAAGTCAGCACCACCAAAACACTCACTTCTGCCAGCCACCTCACATCATCATGACAAGCTACATGATATCTTCTACCTCCTTCAGCATCCATTCTTTCACTTAAACAAACAACATTACCTGCCTCCTCTTCTTACTTGTCTCTATCACCTAAATCTGCGTCCATCATGACGTTAGATCCAAGACTGCTGTCCATCCCCTCTGCCAGGCCAACGCCGGGCCCAATGATCCCCTATCAACACCAGTACCGGCAAGAAAGCTCACGCAATCGACACGACTCACCCGAGGGAAGCAATGTGTTTCTTCCCCGGCGTATCCTCGCGGCTATCCCCCAGGACATCGTGCACGCCACCAACATCGCTCGCCGCAGAGCAGAAGAGGCCTACAGGGGCTTCCTATTCCTCCAAAACAGCTTCAACCAGCGCTTCTACCGCCTCTGCCCCAACGAGCCCCGCGGGCGTCTCTCGAGACATGCCAGATCCATCGATATGCTGTTCAGCTGGGGCCCAAAGAGCGGATACACTGCCGATCCGCCCAAAATACCTACTTGCGCTGTGAAATTCTACGTTGAAGAGGACGCGTATCTGAAGTACGCGCATCGCTACAGGTCTTGTCGACAGAAATACCTGAATGGGGTATATCTTGCTTGGATTAAATCCGATATCTACCTGCGGAACTTCGCTGATAACACTCCCATGAGCGTTTTTGCCCGTGCCAGGTTCAACCATTGGTGGACTGGATACAGAGATGAGATGCGAACCTGGGAGGAGCAGATTGACAGCCTCGTCCTGCCTAGCTGGGCCTCAATTGTTAGAGAGCTCAGAGAGATTATCGAGGAGCGCTTGGATCTCGATAAAGAATGGGAGCGTTGGGTTTAATGGCAGCACACTTGGATCCTGGTGCCGTTTTTACTTTTCCACCACCAGTCAACATGTTTGGGTCATGGTTGGGACAAAGGCCGGTCTGGCTAATTTCTGAACACGGTCATCTTTCGCATTATGCCTAGGGCAGTTATCATCTCTCTTTGGTGGGCTCGATAGGTATCTTTTGCATGTCACCTTCAGCTTTGTTACTTTGTAGTAGGCCGGCAGCATCGTCTTGCCAGCACGCAACTTGGGGATCATTTGTTACTACAATGGTATTGATTATTTCCAAGTCTCATTCCCTAGTAACCATAATTATAACAAGAAGTAAGGGTATTTATTCAAATGGTTAGAATGGATGAGAAGAAAATAGTCTAAGCGTATCGTTAAAGGTCAGGGAAACTGGATGAAAGTCGTTCGAGTCTGGATGTGATAGCGTCGATGACAGCAGATCTGTGCAATAGTGGTTAGCAGTTATCGGTTCGCGCCGAGCCATGGTTAAAGCTAAACGTTAGTAATAAGGATAAGGACATACTCTCGTTCAACCATACTCATAGCATCTGCGACCTTGGCCTTCTGTAGTCTCTGTGGCACCATGGGATGTGTAGTGTTGGGCGTTGAAGGGGCCGAGTCGACGACATCGGGGATATTCTTCATCTTGGACAGAAGTTCCTTAGCTATGGCAGTTGCCTTCAATGCTGCGTCAGTACAAATTCCACGGACATATATATAGTAACGAAAATAACGTACCGTTTCAAGCCGTTCTGCTAATTCACCCTTGGCCTTTCCATCCTCTTCACTGATCGAGGTAGATAGTGCATCAACTTCCTTCATCCATGCTTTTTCTTTCTCACTTATTGGTCGTCCTCCAGCCTTGATGATTCTAAGACGGATGTTATTGTATCGTTCCGTAAGCTCCACTTGTCTCGATTGGGCCGCACTCAGCCTTGAACTAAGTACTTGTTCACGATCCACGGGAGGTCTCTTCACCGTTCCCCTGACTGTGCCATTTGAGACATCTTGTATTCTCTCGCCAATCTCGACGAGCTGCGTAAGTTGCCCTCGCATCTCGCCCTGTAACCGTTCACAGCGGCGAAAAAGATCAGAGGCTGCAACTTCCAGTGCATGAGTATATGCGCTCAAGATCCTGTGAGCGGATGTGAAGAGTTCCAAAGTTGATGGCGATAGGCGGACGGGCTCTTTAAGGGTATGTCTATGCCCGTGGGGAACATGGTCTGCAACAAAGGACACGAGGGGAGACTGTAAGTATAAGACAGATGGGACCTGGTATGGCGGGCGTGTATGAGCTGGTACGGGTACATGGCTCTCTGGTGCCTCCTCGGAGTCTGAAGGGGCCATGGATGCCCTGAAGTCTTCATACTCAGGGGAGTCAAGCAAGACGGCACACGGCTTGGAAGGCGAGAAAGACAACAATAGATATCCCAAGTCGTAGTCGAATATGGGCAGGCAGCCAGCTAGATGCTCCTCGCTACTGTCAGGAGCTATGTCTGTGGGAGGTAATTGCAGCAACTGCTCTCGTTCCGCAATTTCGCTGTCACAGATAATATTTATACGGAATGCTGAGCCAGCGGTGTCTTCAGATCTTAGTTCAGGCTCCACACGATGAACCCAGGATGACAAGGAGAAAAAGCTGACAGTCCTAGCAGTGGTCACGAAGAAGTCATATCGAGATCCAAAGGCTTCCGAAAACATAGGCCACATGTTTGACTGCCTGTCCTTGGCTCGAACAGTTTCCAGTGATTCTAGGAGTAGTAGGTCAGAGGGTTCGGACATGGGTGTGCTGAATGTATTTTTGCAAGTTCTTGGAAGCCACTGCCCTTTCACTCCGTCCATTTCAAGACACACATGAAGCGTTCCCATAGAGGTCAAAAGACATATGATAGTGCCAGAAAGCCCACTCTGGGCGTTGTCGCTGAGGAGCTCTGGCTCATCCTCTCCAGCCATCAGGTCGTCAATGTCTGCCCGAGGAGCAATGACAAGGATATCTGTGATATCCATGTCTTCCTCGAGCCCCTCGAAGTCAAGCAGGAAAGGGCCTTGAAGTCGCGGTATTGGGCTTGGATTGGTCGGGCGAGCTCGAATTTCCGTAACCATCGTTTCGTCTTCGACCACCGATATATCCTGGTTATCCATTTCTTTGAGCCATTCGTATTGTTGCTGGGTTGCCTTGAGCTCGTCATCAGACTCCATAGCCTCAGCCTGCGCAACAGCAAGTTCGCGAACGATAGAAGATGTAAGAGATGGAACAGTGACCGTGGAGGCCTGCCACTTGGATGGCAAGAGTGGACAGAGGGCATAAACATCGCCTGTCCGCATGGCTACCCAAAGTGTCATAGACGCCCATGCATCTTCTTCTTCATACCCATGACCACCAAACCTAGCAGCGGCAACTTCCATATCAAAAGAATCCGCCGAGAAACCCTTATTTTGGCCAAAGCTCAAGGGGGTAAAGTCTTGGTCCATGGAAGTTCCGTCAACAAGTTTCTTCAGATCAATGGCAAGGGTAGGTCTGTCGAAGGACCAGTGGTTCTTGCGATCTATCTCCCATAACCGCACAGCAGAATCAGCAGTTACAGTAACTATACAGCCACCATTGGTATCGTGTACTCCTAGGGGGTGCCAGAGGACAGCCACAACCGGTGATTCGGGAATAACATGGGTGGTTGGCCCCAGTTGGAACGTTTTGACGCGAATGGGGGAATAATCTGGTCCAGAGAGATGCGAAATGTCTGGCAATATCGCGATATGAACGGTATTGGTAGTTGTAATGGCCAGAAAAGCTCCATTCGGAGATACGGCGAGTTGCTCGATTTTCCCATATACGGTTGTGTTCAGTACCTATGAAACACAAATATTAGTATTGTACCGTCCTGTGAATGTGGGATGTCATTCGTACCCGATAATATGAAGCCTTCGAGGCATCTTTATCTTCCTGTTCCCCTGGTTCTTCCCTAGCAACATTCCGCTCTAAGGAACCATTCTCTTTCTTGTCGTCCCCATTAGTCTCTTCGCTAGGTTCTTCTCTCTTCTGTTTCAGTCCTTTCCTCCATTCATCTTTCAACCTCGCAAGGTCTGCCCATCTGATCTGGTCATCAACGACGGTAAAAACTTCGGTACCCCTTCGAGCAAGTGTTCGAACTGGTCGTGGGTCCTTAGTAGGCTCTTGAATAGCTTTCTGCGCATTGCGAATCGACGACGACGACTTATCCTTTGCCTCAGGACAGAAGAGATCAACACCTGCAGAAGGCCTGGATAGCCATGGAGGAGAATAATCCACGATTCGCGGCATGTTGGCGTTGGATATCGAGGGAGTTGAGGATGCGTGCTCGCCGTCAAATGAAATAGAGAAAACGATGTAGAGAGTTTTGATGGCCGTATTATAGCGCTCTAACCCTCATACTTGGTCGTATCACATCTAACTCGGCATCCTTAACCTCCGTGTGCAAGCTTCCCTGTCGCATAGATCGATGTTTTTTTTCTTCTTGCAAGTCAAGATCATGAAGTTTTGACAACCGCGCGCCAAGCCTCGAAGCTCCTTTTTAGCGCGCTTCAGCCTTCGAGCTTCAAGACGGCGAAAAGAAGGAGAGAAGGACATCTACAGCTATTCCTATCAACAAAAACGGGTGCGAGTTAAGGAGAGATGGCTACTCCCCGATCTACAGTAGAAAGGCTAGACAAGCCCAGCACATATTTCAGCAACAAGGTATGCGCTTGGGCCGGCTGCAGCAGCAAGAGTCGACCGCTAACATACACCTGCAGAACAAACGCCGGAAGTCGTATCATGACCGCGGAGAGCGCGAGGAAGATAAACCTCAGGCGGACTTTGATGCCTCACTGAAAGAGGCCACGACTCTATATGTTGGAAATTTGTATGTTTGCGACCGAATGGTGGCTATTGGATAGGGCCTGACAGCGTTGGATAGGTCATTCTACACGACAGAAGAGCAGATACACGAGTTATTCGCAAAGTACGTTTCCAGTTGAACTGATAATGGCAATCTGTCCTGACTGTTTCAGATGTGGAGAGATAAAGCGGCTGGTGATGGGCCTAGATCGATTTCAGAAGACACCGTGCGGATTCTGTTTTGTTGAGTACTACACGCACCAAGACGCTTTGGACTGTATGAAATATATTGGAGGAACGAAGTTGGATGAGAGAATCATTCGAACCGATCTAGACCCTGGATTTCAAGAAGGGAGGCAGTATGGGTATGTTATGGCCTGGTTACTGTTGCTGTTGAAGACTGGGGCTGACCATTTTTACTAGGCGCGGAAAATCGGGAGGACAAGTTCGTGATGAATTTAGAGACGAATTCGACCCTGGCCGAGGCGGCTACGGGCGCGCAATGGCTGATGATCGTTGAGTGGAGATATATACAATGCGGTAGGTTGGATGATCCAACACTTAAGACATGGACGCAAGTCCTTTATCAGATACCCAAAATAAGCAACCAAAAAAAGTTCAAAATGAAACACCAACCAAAAAAAAAAATCTATATATTTCTTGTCTATCGAACAACCACTTCTGCCTTTTGTAGCTTTGCTGCTGCCTCACTAACCTGACAGAGCCACCACATGTGAATCCTGGCATCGTCTGTTAATTCTGGGTGGAAGCTGGTACCGAACACATTCCCTTGCTTTACTGCCACGATATCGCCGGGCCCACCGCTACCATCAGCCTTGGCTGGTAGCTTGCCTAAGATTTCAACTTTATCGGCCATGGCTTTGCGGGCAACTTCGCTCTCCGGCTTTCTGGAGGGCGCCACCACGGTCCCGTCTATCGCAAGCTCCTCGTCTTGAATCCCCTCCTTGGCCGAAAGAACCTTCTCAACCACGGGAGCGCGGATAAACACCGCTCGGAATGGCCCGGCATCGCCCGGTAAGAATGGCAGATCCAACGGCGCATAAAAGCTCTCGGTCTGTCTTCCGAAGTGGTTCCTGTTGACTCGAACGTCCAATCCGCCGATGAGCTCTTGGCCTCCACGCTTCGTCCGGTTTGCCGATTCAGCAAGCAGTATCAATCCGGCGCAGGTACCCCAGGTAGGCTTCCTATGGAGTCTGCATACCCGTCAATATACATGCATATATTTAACCGTCAGCACAAGCGGATAAACCTACTTGACAAAGTCTCTCAGTGGCTCCAGCAGGTTGGAGCGAGCAGCCACCAAAGCCATGGCAGTGCTCTCACCGCCCGGGATGATCAGCCCGTCGCATCTCGCCAGCTCAGCCGGCCTACGGACCTCGATGAACTCCCATTGCTCCTTGGTGAACGTCTTGCTGCTGCCCCTCAGCTTTTCCGCGGCAACCTTCAGCTGCTGGATGTGCTCATGAAACGCGCCCTGCAAGGCGAGGACCCCCACGGTGATCGTCATTGCATTATCCTGTGTCTTCTCGGTCCCGTCAACTGTTTTCTCCCGTTCATCTTCTTCGTTTCTTCGTCGTTTCTTCGTCTTTTCGTTCCTTTTTGAGTCAAAAAAAGCTATCGATAACTGCTTAGTAATCCGGCTCTTTCGGTTATAAATTGTTCCGGTTCGGGCCGAGGTGAACCTTATTTCTGTGGGGAAAAATAGAGGGCAAATAATGGAAGAAAAATCAATAACAATTGATTGCATTGATGAATATTAATATAAATACGAGGAAGATAGCTGTATAGGTGACTTTGACACTGTTATACAAATATCAACAGCATAAAGATGTATGTGGTCATTGGGTGTTGTAGCCAGCTGGTGTTGTGGACCTTAAAAGGAACAACAACCTTGTTGGACAATAAATTGATATCAACTTCTTCGTGCTCAGTACAAGTTACTGATAAACGATATGACCAAACTTCATTTGCTCGGAATTGATAGTATGGATACTCGCAATATCCAGTCGATCTTGATACTTTATATAGAACTAGCTTTGGATCGTATTGTGGCGCCGATCGACGGGAAGCAGGCCATTGATTAGCTGCCAGGCCTAAACGACTAACGAGATGAGTTATTATTTAACAGGAGCGCGACCAGCGGAGTCCGCCTGATACGATGTCAACGTCTGCTCACGCCAAAAAGATAGCAAGATGAAGCTCCTCGTCCTTGTCGCCGTCGTGATCGTGAGTGTCAGCTCTGTTTGTGCCAACAACCTACACCCCGAGATCACTCCAGCACCCAAGGCCGAGGACTTGCAGAAGCGTCAGGACTACTCAGACCTTATAGGCTGGTACTCGTCAAGCAACTACTGTGCGATCCCCGTGTGTTTGCTGAGTGAATAGATGTTCTGACCTGCTTCTAGGGTACTCCTACACCTGTCCGTCGGGGCAGTACTACGCTGCCGGCCCGAGGTTTGGGGCCTGCTGTCCTACCGGGGAGCCTTACTGCAATCCCCTGGTGGCATGCGAAGGGAACGTCGGCGTATTCTCCAACGGTGTCCGGGGTGACTGGTAATATCATTTTATTTCTTCTCGTCTTATATACATGTATTTCGGACAATACCTGCTGGCACTTGATACTGATAAGAACACTCCAGCGGGACTGAAATATGCGATACTGTCACCATATTCAACTCACAGAATGTTGCAGCCACCGGAATCCACAGTCTAGTCGCATGTTTCTCGCCTGATCGCTTCTACAGCTTTCCCAGGACTTATTACAGGGCAACTTTTGCACTGACAACCAGCACGACTAACGAGCCCGAGACTTCTACGGCGACGGCGACAAAGACGGTGACCCAGACTGCTACTCCGGGACTAGGAGTGAAACTGTTGCAAGATGGGATGTGGAAGAGACTCTGCATTTTCTCGCTGCTTGCTACGTTCTTAGGCTTTATGCTTTAAGCTGTTCGTAGCTTTCAACTTAGGGTTAATAATGACCAACAAGAATATTTCAAATGCTTGCATATTTTAACTTGCAGTACATTTTTGTCAGTAAACAGAAGCCTTAGAAGTATGCGGGACATCGGATCTAATAAGTTGGCGGGAGTAAAGGTGAGATTTGAATATCTACTGAATACCCAAAGGCTGAACTTATCAAAAGAAACTTGCATAACTAAATTCTCATATTTTCACAAAATCCCTTCAGCAGCCCAACTTTCAATTTATACCAGCCGACCCCAGGACAAATTTACACATCTGCAGACCCTCGACCAAGGTGATATAGACTACGTAACACAAGTCTGAAGCGAATAGACATGGCCTCCGACCCTCGCCTGACAAGATGGTACATTGACATGAGCCGCTGGACCGAATCCACCACTCTGCTTCCCCTAATCGACACCCTGCAGCCAGCCGAGCAGAAGAAGGTCAGAGCCTTCTATCATGTAGCAGACCGGCATATGTCTCTGGCATCCTGTCTGCTGAAATATCTGTACATCCATCGCTCTGCCAAAGTGCCCTGGAACCAGGTCATCATCAGCCGCACGCCAAACCCCCACTGCAGACCATGCTATATCAACACCCGCGAGACAGAGACGCTTCGTCTGGAGTTCAACGTCAGCCACCAGGCTAGCATGGTAGCACTGGCGGGATGCATGTACCACAGTGATGCCAAAGCAGACAGTATGAGAAAACTTGACCCGTCTTCAAGCGGTGCTAAGGGACTGCCTCAGGTCGGGGTTGATATCACTTGTACGGATGAGAGGGAGAGACGCAATCCGTCATTGGCACCGAGTACGGACAAGGATCTTTGTGAATTTGTTGACATCTTTACAGAGGCGTTTTCGGCTCGTGAGCTGGAGATTATCAAGGCTGGTGGAGAGGATGGGCAGGCGAGGTCCATAAAGCACCGTACTCGGATGTTCTACACGTACTGGGCACTCAAGGAAGCTTATATCAAGATGATTGGAGAAGGACTGCTGGCATCTTGGTTGCAGAAGCTGGAATTTTCCAATGTTGTTTCCCCCGAGCCTGAGGAAGAGGGCGTCTGGGGTAAACCGTTGTCAGACATAGAGATACGGTTGAAAGGGGAGCCGGTTGACAATGTGCGGATGGAGGTTGTTGCGTTCGGGCAAAGGTATATACTTGCCACTGCTATGAGGGGAGGCTGTGTTGGTCAGGCTCAGGGGTTGGATGCTTGGGATGAGTTTACGGCTATTGATATTGATAAGGAGGTTGGACCATGTGCAAGGGGAGAATGCAAATGTCTTGACTGAGGTGGAAGCAGGTGTAAGAGATTTGGAACTGGATACAGGAGTCATAATTCATAATCTATAAAATCTTTCTTTTTTCTTCTAATGATACAAATACCCCATACTCCTGGTGCAATGCTCGAGGTAATGGAAAAGCCATAGCACTGTGCAATTATTCGGTCAACCAACGGTACTCAATGCCTGTGAATTTCAGGGGAACGCACTGATGTATCGGCAAGTATATTCAGGTTTATTCATGTTCACAGTTTTGGAAGGCCAGCTATAATAGTCGAGTGCTGATTAAGGGTATATAATAACGGTTGGTTGTTCATGCCTCATGTGCTAATAGCAGAGGCACGAGTTGCCCGAGGCGCTTCTTCCACCACAACCTGAGAGTTGGAGATATCTTTGATCTTTCGCATCTTGTCCATCTCGACCATGGCATCAAGCATGGATTGTCTTGTGTTTTGGACCAGAGAGTCAACGTCTGCGGTCGTAAGGCCCTTGGTGCTAATAGGAGGCAGAACTACACAATTGCTGTCAGTATATACCAAATACAATATAGAAAGTCCACAGGGATATCTCACCCTTGACGTTTATAGCACCCGAAGTAAACCACATCTTCTTCACATCCAGAACATGCGAGTAATTCTCCGCCACGATAGGCACGATATCTGCCTCCGCCTTAACGGCCAGATGGAATGCCCCCTTCTTGAACGGCAACATGGTCGGTTCCCGCGCATAACTCCTCGTGCCCTCGGGGAAGATAATCACGCTCTGTCCCTTCGACTTCATCAGACTCGCAGCATTATCAAACGCCTTGAAAGCAGTCTCTCTATTCGCACGGTCGATAAACACCGTCCCTGAAAGCGTCATGAACCAGCCCAGCAGCGGCACGCGCGCAAGGGACCTCTTCGCCGTCACAGCCGAATACTGAGGCAATACCGCGCCGAGGAGGAGCACATCGAGCTCCGTCTGGTGATTTACGAGAAACACCGCGGGCCGTGTCGAGAGGTATTTTTGGCCCTGGATGATGTCGAAATGCACGCCGGTGGTCAGCCACATCGTCCACTTGAAGGCCCTGGCGACTGTCCACTGTGAGATTTGGCCGCGGCCGGCAACTCGAAGGCATATTGAGGCGAGCACGCCGTAGGCAGCGCAGAACAAAAGGGAGGCATATGCGGCGAGACAGCGAGCGAAGAAGCCTGCGCGGGGCACTTTGATGGACAGGCCGAAGAGGCCCAGCGTCAGGGCAGCGTAGGACGTGAGGCCCGAGAAGATGTAGGCGAGGATGGCCATGGTCGGTCGGTCAGTCGTAGATTGGTTTTTCGCTTCCTTTGTTCTGTCTCTAGGACATGCGCGGGAAGATAGTATTTTTGCAGGTTTTTTTTTATTTTTGATATTTTTTTTCTGGGTCAGGGGTTGCCGATGGTTGAAAAACTGGACATCCCCAACAATATCAGCCAGCTACACAGCAATTATGGAGATGCCTAGGATGTATCCATAACGTGGTTAATCCTTTAAAGAGAGGGAGATATTTCTAATTTTATGTTGGGGCTGGATGGTAATGGGAGATTTGGGCAGAGGGCCTATATACACGGGAGATGAATATATACACACTATAAGGAAACCAGAACAAGAAGATATAGTGATATAAAAGAGCTTATAAGATCCATTCGGATTGAAGAAGCCGTCTGAGGTTTTCTTGTCTTAATATTAACGTTGTAGAAGAGTGAAGGAGACAGAAATTAATATATCATATCAGATAAGCTGCAGCAGTTGTCTCACAGGAGAGCTTGACGAGTATGGCACTCGACTAGATATACCACGGATAGAACTGTAGAAAGAAGACAATTACGAGTGTATGGAATATCTATACTGGAACTGTAGTTGTTAGGGGGTGGAAGTCACAGCGGAGAGCCGGCGGAAGTCTTGGCGGGAGGAGCGGAAGTGGAAGGGGAAACAGAGTAACACACGGCGACAGTCAAATGGTTTCTATAATTTTCAGGTTCAGTGAATGATAACAATACTTCAGTCGATTCCAGGGAAGGCAGCAACAAGGAATATTCCCTAGGACCGTCGGAGTCAAGAAGAAACATAGCAACATCCAACCCAAGCAACCCAAGCAGGCAAACAAGCAATCACCCCGTCCATCCCTTTTGTACGTATCCATTGTAAAATGTACATTAACTCCCTGCCTTACTTCGAATTTCTCGGCAGGGAACCGAAAAGTAACGTCTCCTCACCCCCTGTAGCTCCTCCTGTCTGTCTGCCTGTCTTCTTTTCCCACCGTCTTCTGCTTGGCTCCACATGCTATTACCACTGCGTTATGCTCGTTATGCATTATCCCTGACTAAACGAAAACAAAACCAACCGGAACACCAACACCAAGGAAATGAAAGAAACGAACCAAGACCCATCATGCTGGTTGAAGGAGACGGAGGCAGCTGGTTATTATGCTGGCTTGTAGGTAGATAGGTAGGGAGAAAGGTATAAAGAATAAAGAATGCACGTGAGGTGGATCGAACCTATGGAAGGGCGAGTAGGGCTGGCGTGTTGTGTGAAATGAGGAAAGGGGATGATTATGATGGGAACATTTCATCATGTCATGTCATCATCAACGTCATCAGGGTTTTCAAGGGACTCCATGGCTTCCTTGATAAATTGAGCGGCCTATTCGAGGGGGTTAGTTGTGTCTTGGATAACATGGAGAGTCAGCAAGTAGCGTACCTTTGGATCCAAATTCAGGGCGGTGGTAAAGTGTTTTATTGCGTTGCCCTTGTCCTGTATCATTTTATATAACTTGCCCAACAGATAATGCACATTTGGCTCGTCGGGAGCCACATCCTTGAGCACCTTTAGCTCTATGTGAGCGAGATTCACCTCATTGAGCTTCAGTAGCGTTCGTGCTTTGCGTAATCGAGCCAGCACGGAGTGAGGTGATAGTGACGAGGCTCGACTGTACTGCAACAGCGCAGCCTTGAGGTTATTCTGGCGCTCGAGGACGAGGCCAATGCTGCATATCAAGACAACATTGGCAGGATTTATGTTCGAAGCGGTGCGGAGATGTTGTTCGGCGAACTTGAGTTTGCCCATTCGCTCGTAGACCTTGCCGAGGCCGTACCAGGCGCTGTAGTGTCTGGGATTGGCTTTGATGGCCGCGCGGTATGCATCCTGGGCCTTGTCGTATTCCTCGTTCGACATGTATTCGTGTCCCTGGAGGGTGTAGCCGTAAGCGAACGCGGGATCTACCTGTGTTGCTCGCCTGAAGCATTTCAACGCCTGGTCATGATCTGATTGTAGAGAGAAGGAATTTCCAATTGCACACCACGATTCGGGTGCCAGGCGATCGGTATCCATCAACTCGTGAGCAAGGTATGCCAGTTCGACTTCGTTCTTCAAGTGCCAGAGCACCGTCGAGTAAACCTCCATTCCTTCCAACTGCGATGGTGCTATTGTTCGCACCCTGGAGAAGTATTTTTCAGCATCACTGTATAAGGCCTGTTCGTAATACGCCCGACCAATCTGTGACAATACCCAAGGTGTTTCCCGTTGGTTTTGCGGTAAAGAATTGTATATCTGGAGAGCATCCTGGCACCTGTAGTTACACAGTGCCGCGTGCCCGCTCGCCAGCCTTGAAAAGAGATCCAGTGTCCATGCAAGTGCATCGATCTCTTTAGACTTATCCGGCACTTGAGGTCTGGACGGCCCGTTAAGAGACTCTGACGAGGTTCCATTCGACCGGCTTTCCTTGCTGTCGGTTTCTGTTGATTCGCCTCCATGTTTTCGAGACGAGGTTGTTGATCGTCCCAGAGGAGCAGCTGTGGCGGTGCTGCGGCTCTTCGAGCTGGTAGATTTTGCTTTTTTTATCTCTCGTCCTTCACGAGTTCCCAGACTGGCTGCAGATGTAGAGAACTTGCTTGTCGGTCGTATTTGATTGAACAAACGGACGCTTCGTCGCTGGGGGGCACCGGGTTCAACCGGCTGCTGTGCTGTGTTCGTAGGAGCTATATGTCCTGATACTGTTCTTTTGCGCTCCATTGCCGAAGCGTTCTGCTGAGATGATGTAGACTCCTTGCTGGAAACTGGTTCTTCGGCTGATGCTGACTTGGGTTTCGACCTAGATCGAGTGCTGTTCGATTTTAGCCGTGGCGGATCTACACAGCTTTCAACGCCTAGAACTTGCATTGTCCGTGATTTTCGAGCGGGAGCAAAGGGTGGCTCTCCGTAGGTGTCTCCTGTATTAGGGCCGGTCCGGACACGGAAATCATCCGAATCACTTTGGGTGATTGGAGTTTCTAGCCCTTCAGGGAGGACAGCAGATGCCACACTGACACTGCTGCCATTCAATTTCTCCCATAGAGCTGAGCTGCCGTAGCTAGTCCCGTTAGTCGACGAAAAGGGATCAACATTGTGATTAGCACTCGGCTGTGCTTGTAGTGGTTGGCTATTGGCGGTAGATTTCTCAGAGAATGAGCTCTCCGAGGCTGATGGAGTGAGCATCGCCACCATCTCTGGTGTCATCTTGTAGATGTTCGGCACTCTCACATTTGCACCTATACTTGTTAACCACCCATATGCTACAAAAATAACGAGGCAAAACGGCAAAACCTGACGTACCTGTTTCAGAAAGCCCAAGGAAAGCATCCCAAAGGAAAGGGTTCAGTTTGAGAGCTTCGACGTAGCAGTCGACAGCTTTATGTATGTCTTTGTGTGCATGCCATAACTTGCCCTGAAGACAAAGAACCGCAGCTGCGTCAGGTAGATGTTGTCGTCTGCTTTCACTATGTTTATCTATTCCATCTGTTAGATACCAGTAGTAAAACCTAAGACGAAGGGGATGCTTGCTCACTCCAGTTATTCTTCGATGTCCACTGAGGCTTGCTTCGCTCCAAGGCAGTGATTCCCTCCATGTAGTTTCCGAGGTCAAGACATGCCTGAGCATAGACATAGGCACACCCAAGATGCGTGCCTCGCGATCCGGCATTACGACAGACCTCCCAGGCGTGCTTTGGCTGTCCAGACTGCAGCAAACAGTGCGAGAGCAGGTAGGCGGCTTCCGACGACCTGGGCTCGAACGCATGCAGCCTGCCGGCCAGGAACAGGGCGTTTCGAAGCAGGTTATTATCGAGATGGTAGTATATGAGCTGCCGTAGCTGGCTGGAGATATGCGGCCCCGAGGGAGCCATGCTGGGTAGTGTTTTCGAGGGCGGCAGTCGAGGTAGAGGGGAGCTGGCTGGCGGCGAGGCGACGTCTTCCGCCCAACTCCCGGTGTGTAGGTAAGTCGAGGTCGTAGAACGAGTTGATTAGGAGATTATATATCGATTTATGCATCCGGTGACAGGTTTTCTTCCGTGGCTCAGCGAAGAGTGTCTGCGCGGGTGTAAGGGTGCCGTCAAAGGGACGACGTAGCGCTGGTGACCAAGGGGCTCTCCAGAAGCCGAAGACTCATAGCAGCCGCAGAGCGCTCTTGACATTAGCCACGGCCTGACAAATCGCTCTATCGATGGCGCGCGAGGGCTGTTTCGGCGTCGTCTTTTCGTCCGGGGCGCGCGGTGCGGGTTTGCGCTGGTGGTTGTGTTTTTGTTGCCTGGGCGATGGGGGAAAAAGGAGCGGACGGCGAGACAGAGCGAGCGAGCGAGCGAAGAGGGTGGGCTGGCTATAAAAGACAGTCTGCTGGACGAGCGGGTGGAAAGGCCCTGCTGCCTCCGGGTCTATCGAGCAGAGCAGCAGAGATCTCGGCTGCGCAGTTGGTGGCTGTAGATAATAACCAATTTCAACGGGCGAACAGTTTGTTGTTCGTCCATAACAAACGCGGGTGCTGGAGGCGACAAGGCCTTTTGCCTGGCGGTGGCTGAAGAGCTTGCATGGAAAAGCACAGCAACAGTAGCTGAACCAACAAACCCGCTGCAGGAACTCGCGAAACACGACATCAACGGCTGAGACGGAGACTGAGATACTGAGGCTACGCTGCCGGGCGGTTATATCGTGGACAGGCCATGGCACAGGTAGAAAAAAACACCCCCCCCCCCCAACACCCCCAGGCTGACGGACGGACGACGGTTGACCAGTTGCTAACAGCTCTGTAGAAAGCAGCAAAGACGCTCGCAGCTCGAAATACATCGCTGCTGCTGCGGACACACATTACCACGGCCTCGCTGCATGCCGTCCTGCTGCTGCTGCACTTTGTCTTTGGCCGGCCGGCGTCGTTGTGGAAGTACCTCCTCCTGACCTCGCCTACGCTGGTGATCGAGTTCTACTTTGAACGGCTGGGACGGCCGCGCTACGATGCGGCCAGCGGCTCGCTGAGGTCGCCGGGAGAGGATTTGGATGCGCCCGGCCTGACGGAGTACTGCTGGGACGTGCTATACTGGACCTGGGGCTGCATGGGGGCCGCCTGCATCTTCGGAGACTACGGATGGTGGATGTGGGTGGTTGTGCCGCTGTATTCGATCTGGCTGGCCTACACGACGTTTATGGGCGTGAAGTCAGGCCTGCCTGGAGCTGCCGGCATGGACATGGGTGCAGATGAGGGTGCCGGACAGGCTGAGAGCAAGAGGCAGAAGAAGCTGGAGAAACGCGGCCAGAGAGTCAAGTACCGGTAGGCAGGCCTTGGTTGTCTATGACCTATTTCTGCTATGGAACGCTTGCTCATATCTACTTCTACAGGTAATTGGTAATTCGCAAGACAGCCCGCCAATTCTTTGGCTGGTGCTATATCGAATGGCATCAAAAAATTTCATATGGTTGTTTGCCATATATACATACTTTGACTGATATTAGGTATATACCGTGTATTACTGAAGATACAGCTAGAGTCAAAGTCGATAAATACATATATATGTCATAAATAATACATTTCGCCCTGATTAATGATAGTACAGCTGAGGCTGTGGAGAAGTGGAATAGTAGAGCATAGCATAGTATAGTGTACTGGGAACAACAAAGCACGCCGTTATAGGAAAAGAGGTATCGTATCATCAACGTTCAAGGAAAAAGCAAAGAAACGGGAATAAAGAGACTCATTTTGATAGTTATGGCGGTATTAATGACCATCATTATACTCGTGAGCGGTTTCAACTGAGGTAGACTCCTGCGGCTGTCCTCGCTCGTCAGATCGATATAGCTCAAGTAAAGCGGCCTGAGCAGCTTCCAGAGCCGCAGTCAACCGGGATATTTCATCCCTAATGTGTTCACGGCGTTGTTCCGGCGCGGAAGATTCAGATGGGGGTGTGGCCTCGAGAGAGCTGATTGAAGACTGGACAGATGAAACGATATCACCAAGCTTGGTGCTTGCATCTTGCATCAGAGTGTTGGCTTCGTTTTTGGGGACGGGTGTTTCCGATAGGCCAGCCTTTGCAGAGTCAACGAGTGAAATTATCTTGTCTGTTGCTGAACCAACCATTTCATGGACATCGATGGGTTCACCTAGAGATATAGATGGGGTGTGTTGAGTATGTTCGGTGGTTTGACTCAAAATATCCTCTGGCGCATTTGGGGTGGTATCTTCAACTACCTGCGTCACAAAGACCGGAGCTTCGGCTTCGGTTTCGGAAGTCGATGAGGTTGGACTGGTGGGTAAAGGTACAGTCTCATCAACTTGAATGGTATCATCCAGCGTTTCGTGGTCAACATGCAGCTGGTCGTGCTCCTGTTCAATAACATCTATAACCTCATCCTGATATGACTCCCCATAATTCGCAGGGTCTGAAGAGACGGGCTCTTCTACCATGGATGTGAATCCAGGAGAAGATCCCTCGGGTATAACTGCAGTTGCAGTCTCCTCTAGAACAACAGGAGCCTCAGGGGTCGGCTGGGGCTCCAGGGTCTCATCTGACTGAATAGTTTCTTCCAGGAGAGCAGACTTTGGTTGTTCGCTGCCATAATCTTCACCTGGTGGAGTTTCGACCTCAGCCTCAAGGCTTTCTGCGACAGGGATCTCTGCCACAGGGCTCTCTGATGGCTCATCAGCCTCCGTTTCGTTGGAGATAAGCATTTTAGACACATCAGATATCTCTGACGGAGTGGGCGCAACGGTAGAAGTCGATGTTACACTGGTAATCATGTACTTCTTCCTGTGTTCTATCATCTCATCGTTGATGTGATCGACGTTAAGTTGTCTAGTGGTATCTCCCGCCTCGATCTTCAGCTTGCCAATAGAGCGTATTTCCGCCAGTTGTCTTGCGGCATCCAGTGCAATATCCATGCCCCGTGCAACAATATTCTCCCCATCATCCTTAGCCAAAACAAAGCTATCATGCTGTAACCCAGCCTGTCGAATATCATTCTTCCATTCACCGAGATCCGATTTGAGCTCATAGTAGCTTTTCCAGTCTTTGTACGTAACACCGTCGATAGCTGTCCAGCGCATTCCAATTTCTTGTAGTCCAAGCTCACGGGCATTCTCAAGAACGTCCAATGTTATGTTAATTGTCTGGGTGACGACATCTGTGAGCGTTTCTTGATACTTATTGAACCAGAGACGAAGGGAATGTGCCATGCCCCTAATGGCGTGGCTAGACTCCCTCAACCGCTGTAGGAATGCATCTTGGGCCCTCTCTTCATCTTCTTGAGTATATTCCTCAGGGATTGCCTGGATGATGGAATATAGATCCTGCGTCAACGTATATAGCTGTTCATTGGCGACAGATTCTAGGCGTGCAAGCATATCCTCTCCGGATGGCTTCTCCTGGCGTGCAACATCTTCGACTACCTGGCGAACCTGTGTTCGGACATGTTCAAGCCCTTTACTGGCTAAATTTGTAGTCCTTTCCTTCCAAGCTTTGAGATCCGTCGAAATCTTTTCTCGCGCAAGCGCAGTTTGCTGGGTAGGTGTCAGCTTGGAAGTAGCAGGAGGTGCCACAGACGATACTCGTGTATCCCTGGATTCAACGGAGCTGCGCGTAGACGACCTAGCTGCCGTGTACTCGTGAACTACTGAGCTAGACAACCATTAGCAAGGAAGGGAGATAGAAACGAAGTCAAAGCTCAAAATATTGCTTACCTGGCAGTTTCTATATTGACTTGCTGAATTGTTCGTCCCTCGCGGTAGCTGGCGAGCTTCTCTCCGATTTTCACAAGCTGCGGCTCCACGTTCTCTGAGTAAAGGGTCCTGATATGCGGTCGAACAGTGCCATTGAGGAAGACTACTGCAGCTGACCATGCTTCCTGTATGTATGGCGCAAGGGTTGTAACGACAAAGTCATATATGGTCGCACAAACGCGGTGAATCGCCGGGCGAGCACGAATATATGCTGGGATAACGTAATTGTTGTTGATGTGAACGCTATATTCAGCAGCTACCCAGAAGTAAGGGATAACAATCGACTGCGCCGACTTGATGTGAGGACTGATAGACGTGGTGTAGTATTCGATAACCTGCGCCTGCAAAGGGTCTGTGTGTGGCGACACTTTCTGGTTCCACTGCGACTTTGCAAGCTCCATAGCCTGCTCCACGTAAATAGATACATGGCCCTGATAAATAGTTTTCGAGAACTGTGCCGTCGGAATGTACAGCTTCTCTGCCGTCTTGTAGGCTGATTGTGTGTATGGCTTAATATGTTCGACGTGTTCTGCGGCGTACTTGTGGTAGTAAGGTGATATGTAAGGCTCGAGGCGAGTTTTTGCGATTATGTATGGCTGGCAGATTCGCGGAGACTCGTCATCGAGCTCGGAGAGAGACGACGGGCATCGGAACAAGGCTATAAAGATCGAATACCAGACGAAGAGCCTGCAGATGAAGTGTCAATGGGCTGATTTTCGCTTCTGCTCCTGGCAGCGAGCTCAAGGTAAACAAGGGTAAACATACCGCAAGAGCACGCTTATTGTGCCTCTGACTGGCCGGAACGGCTTCTTCTTCCTCGCTCTCGTGTACTCCTCTTCTACAGCTGGCTTATCTTGATATGTGTCTTCCTCGATTTCCATGTCTTCCACCTTGACCAGCCTATCCGGATCCATCGTGGCTGCAACTTGGAGGCCACGCTACCTCCAATCAGCGGCGGTGGCACAAGTGGTCGAACGTAACAACCTCAGCAGCCAGCTAATTCATCCAGCCCAGGTATGTATTGCGCCGCTCTCGGTAGAAAAAAAAATCCTTCGTCGTTTGCTGGCGGTGAGGTCTCTGGCTGCTGCCTGTCACTAGCTGTGTTCTCGATGCGAACGTGTCATACGCAGGCAGCTATATAACCTCCCGTCCCAGGATGAAGGCAAAAAAGCAGGCGCAGGCAGCAGATCTGCACGTCCAAGTGCCGGCAGTGGCGTCGAATCGCGTCCTGCTCCTGTCCCTGTCGTATTATTTCGTCGGTTGTCCCGCGCACTTCCCGATCTCACAATCAAGATCTCGTTCTTTATTTATTTTATTTTTTTTTTTTTGCTTTGCTGCAAGTTGAAGTCACGGTTTTTTTGCCCTTTTTTTAACCTTCTTTGCCCTGCGAAACTTTAAAAACGCGCGTGCCGTTTGTTGGCGGATCCACAATCACATGTTCAGCCGCCCGAAGTGGCAAGTTTGCCCGACGGCCTTCCGCATCCATGGAAGCTGCTTAGGTACACATTCAATGTACCTGAAAGGCCGCAGCAAACATGGCGCGAAGTGGGAATGTAGAGGAACAAGAAATGCGGCCGATAGTGAAAAGAACAACTTTTTCGGTTGCTTAAAGGCAAGGTTTTCCAGTGGGCTTTTGGCGGCGGCGATGACGTAGCTGCGGAACAAAGTAAGTCCGAGATTCACACGTGACTGTAATTTAAACTTATCAGATGGCAGCAATATAATCTGAAACGGTAAATAATACCCGCTTAGTCATTCTCAACGCCTTCGAGGAGTCAAAATGGGAAGAAACCGCCTTGAGGACAAACATCATCTTTTCTTTTTTGATATCGAGCTACAGAGCGCTTTTTTTTCACCTTGCTAGACAGTATTTGGTAAGCATCGCGCCCGATGTCCCTCTGCCCTTGCTCGTGCACAATATTGACCTGTATTATAGGCCCCGTCTCGAGCTGTAATTCGCCGTTGGCCTAGCAGCTATTGTTCATGCCACCTCACACCAGGCTCCGTTTCGTCGGCAGTGACGCAGCACTGAGGTGATCGATGGTCGTTACGGTTTAGCGAGATAATATCACCCTCGAGGACGATTGATAACTGAAAGCATAATGGACTGGGAGCCCATGGATGCCGCCGGAGGTCGGTCGCCCACCCCGGACGTGATGAACGATCCGGCCTTCGAAACGAACCATGGGAACAGAGCGGGGGGTCCAGAAGAAGCAGACACATGCCGGATATGCCGTGGGGAAGGGACCGATGAGGAGCAGCTCTTTTACCCCTGCAAGTGCAGTGGGAGTATCAAATTCGTCCACCAGAACTGTCTCATGGAGTGGCTCTCCCATTCGCAAAAGAAGCACTGCGAGCTGTGCAAGACCCCTTTTCGATTTACGAAGCTTTATGACCCAAATATGCCCAGCGAGTTGCCGGTACCAGTATTCTTGAAGGAGCTATTTCTACATGCTTGCCGCGCGATACTTACTTGGCTGCGGTTCGGCCTGGTTGCCTTCGTCTGGCTCGGATTACTCCCATGGTCGATGAGAACAATATGGAGGGGTCTATTTTGGCTGGCAGATGGAAGATGGCCCGCCCCAGATACAATGCAGAGACCTGCTTCATCGGTAGCCAACAGAAGTGTGGCATGGCTTGCTGCTCATGGAACGTCTCCTGCAACGCCAACTCTTGCGTGGGACGCACCTAATATGTCTTCTGCCACTGGAAGCATTATGGAGGCAAACTCTCCATCTCGGAGTTCCCCTTCGATATTCAATTTTTCCACCGGTGAACCTTTGATATACTCTATTGCAAAAACCTTTCTTTCCAATGCCTTCTCCACGCCTCCATCCCCGGGTTTGAATCAATCATCTGCTGCTCCACCAATAAAGCGCATACGACAGCCATCATGGCTCTCCGATATGACCTTCTTAAACAATGCTACCTCCTCACCAACATTGAATAACGTCATCATCGATACCTTGGAAGGACAGCTCATCACCCTACTTGTTGTGATATCCTTCATCCTGGTGTTTTTGATTAGAGAGTGGGTGGTCCAGCAGCAACCTGCAATTAACATTCCCGAGGGCGAGGGAGAAGCCCTGGGCCAGCTTTTTGATCGTGTCATGGAGGAGCACGCGGAGCAAGAGGCACGTCGTCAAGAAGCAGATGAAGAGGAAGAAACAGAAGAGGAGGAGGAGGAGGAGGAAGAAGAAGAGGTAGAAGAGGAGGAAGATGCTGATGCTGGAGTCGAAATCCATGAGACTTACCACCCTCAGGAAGAATTGAGTCATGGAGCTGAAACCGGCCTTGATAGTACTCCTCTGCAAAGAAGAGGCATGTTTGACGAGAACGCCTTGCACGACGCGCAAACATATAATCCTTTTGCTCCTAACTACGCAGGCCCATTTCCCGAGAATTCTCCTTACTATCGTCATGTTCACGCACAGGAACCACCAATATTCCGCGGCAATTTTCACAACCACAACCGGCCGTTCCGGATACCAGCGGATGCTTCGAACCGACCCAGTATGTGGGACGAACCGCAGACAAATTTTACAAGTCGATTAGAAGGCAGTCGGTCCAATTACCCTGAGTTTAGAGCAGGTGAGCGTAGAGAAAAGGCGGACGATAATCCTGATCAAGGCTCTTCCTCTAGAACAGCAATATCCGAGCAGGCAAATGCACCTCCCTTTAACTCATTCACTGGAGAGATAACTCAGTGGAAGTTTCCCGACTTCAACGAAGAAGAGGCATCACTAATCAAGGAGCCAAGCCAACAACAGCCGGCAACAATTCCTGCGGCCTTGGTGAACGACTATGATAATCAAGCTCATGCTCTGGCTCATGGACATAATGAGCCAGACATGGATAAAGACGTGGAAATGCCTACCCCGAATATTCAGCTTCCGGACTCTCCGCCAGAGGACCTGAATTACAATGTATCAAACCCAGAAATTGTTCCTAGTACTCGGAATGCAGAAGTCGAATTACAGAACGAACCAAATTCAGAGGGTAGTACACAAGAGCAAACGGAAAGCCCCTCACCAGCTCAACCCGCTGCGGCTGCTCCCAGAGAAGAACTTCTCTATACTCCAATAATTCCACCTAGAAACTTTTTGGACAGAGCGTTCAACTTCTTTTGGGGCGCCATACCAATAGTGCTTCCAGAGCCGGAAAACGCAGAGGGTGGTGCTGACCGCCAACCAGCCCTTATCCGGCAACACCAACGCCACAGACGTGGCAACGATGCAAATGAAGCTGCTAATCGTGCCCGTGGTGCTGCTGGTGCCAACGACGCTGGGGATGGTAACGATGCCGAAGCGGTTGAAGACGTAGATGACCTTGAAGGCGTTATGGAACTTATCGGTATGCATGGGCCATTATTTGGCTTGCTGCAAAATGCAGTTTTCAGCGCACTTTTAATATCCTTTACAGTCTCTGTTGGAATCTGGCTTCCCTATCTATGGGGTAAGATTGCTCTGGTAATGCTGGTCAATCCTATTGGTTTATTTATCCGAGTGCCCCTAACTGCTGTCTCAATGTTGGCTGATATCACCGTCGACCTTATCCTTGGGTGCTTTGCATATGTGGTCTATCTCATGAACGTCTTGGTTAGGGCAATTCTAGCCCAACTCGGCTTGTTCATCCCCAGTCTCGGGAAGCTCTCCGCAGCTAATTCCATCACCTTCGCATCTCTCTCCTTGATGGAAGGTAGTAGCCAGAGGTTGACGGGAATTCTCACCGCAGTGTTCACATTCCATGAGTCTGATCTCCCCATGTTCTCTGCCATATCACACGAAGCCCTGAAACTACATCAAGCCAGGATTGCTTACTTAGGCAGCGTCCTTTTCAAAGGTGGTAGGGCGCTACTCCATGATATTCCCTTGAGCATAATGCAATCGGAGAATCCTCTCTTAGCAGTTAAAATTTTCATTTTCGTCGACCTTCCTCGGGTTCCTGGCTTAGCGATGAGTGCCATGAAGAATACCAGTGGAATTTCTGGAATCATAAACTGGCTAACGGATTGGTCAACTTCGGATACTCTTATCCAAAGCTCCTCAAACTATGACTTAAGTCGCTGGAGTTCCAAAGATCGACTTATCGCCATAATCTTAGGATACTGCTTTGCTTCCCTTCTTGGTATCGCCTATCTGCGTATATCTGGCATAATATCCGGAACCCGCCGTGACGGACAAAGAAGAGATGGTCCAGTTGCTGAGATACTTCGCCAGGCAGGCGGTGTGATGAAGGTTATCGTTATAATCGGAATCGAAATGATTGTTTTTCCATTATATTGTGGCATCTTGTTGGACATTGCTCTACTGCCTCTTTTTGGAAACGGCTTGTTTGCCTCTCGCGCAGCGTTTACTTTGGAATCACCGTTAACTTCCCTCTTCGTCCATTGGTTTATCGGAACTTGTTATATGTTTCACTTTGCGCTATTCGTCTCCATGTGTCGGAAGATTATGCGCAGCGGTGTTCTGTGTAAGTCATCGTCTACCCTTGAATTTTCTGTTTTATTTTTAATAAATACTAACCCTAGCAGACTTCATTCGAGATCCAGATGACCCTACATTCCATCCAGTGCGTGATGTACTTGAACGAAGTATTACCACCCAACTTCGAAAGATCGCATTCAGCGCCTTAGTATATGGAGCCTTAGTTGTTATCTGTCTAGGTGGGGTTGTTTGGGGTTTATCGCTAACATTCAGTGGAATTCTTCCGGTATACTGGTCTTCGAATGAACCGGTTCTGGAGTTCCCAGTGGACCTTCTCTTTTACAACTTTGTCATGCCTGTCGTCATTCGAGCAATCAAGCCATCGGATGGATTGCATGCGATTTATGACTGGTGGTTCCATGAATGCGCTCGAATGCTTAGACTTACACATTTCCTCTTTGGTGAGAGAAAGCCTGATGAAGAGGGATATCATGAATACCTTTCATGGAGGGACTCTATCCTCAACATGTTTACAAAACAAAAACCCCAACCTAGGCGTTTCCTCCGTAATGGAAGATTCGTTCGAGCACCGGCATCTGACCAAGTGAGGATACCTAAGGGTGAGCAGGTATTCGTTGAAGTCAACGAGAACAATGAACGTATAGATGGAAAGCCAGATAACGACGAGGGCCGCCATGGGAAGAAGAACGCAATGTACTCCGCAGTTTATGTCCCACCCAATTTCCGAGCCAGGATCTTCGCCTTCCTGCTTCTTTTATGGGTCTTTGCTGCAGCTACAGGCGTTGGAATTACAATAATACCACTTATACTTGGGCGTCGGATGCTGTCGTGCATGTTCCCACCTCATATTCGTGTCAACGACATATACGCGCTATCAGCCGGAGTATACGCTATTGGAACGGTATATTATGCATATCTACACTTCAACAAAATATCGGACACCTTCCGTGAAGGTATCCAGCCGTACACAAGATCTCCGAAACAACTATTTTACAAAACCTACTGCCTGGCGCTTCGCGGTCTCCGGGCGATTTACCTAGCCGCTGCGGTTGGGTTGTTCCTCCCCTCCGTTTTTGCTTTGATCACGGAGTTTTACCTGTTGATACCACTACACACGTACCTAAGTCCATCAGAAACCCATGTTATTTACTTCGTGCAGGATTGGACTCTGGGAATCCTATACGTTCGGATGGCAGTTCGATTCCTGCTCAGAAAACCTATGTCTCTACCAGCCATGGCGCTGCGTGGCATCGTTCGGGACGGCTGGACCAATCCTGATATATGGCTAGCAACAAGGGTCTTTTTCATCCCTGTGACCCTCTCTGTATTTGCTGCTACAGTCTGTCCACTCCCCATCGGCTATATCCTAAACTCCACCTTGTTCTCCGAATCATCTTCAACAGTCCACTCTCAGGTCTATCGATACTCCTACCCTGCGTTTTTGGTATTGACTCTTCTTCTCTGGGGATTACATTTGCTTCAACGACAAATTGGTGTTTGGCGGGTTAGCATTAGAGACGATGTATATATGATCGGGGAGCGGCTTCACAATCTCGGCGAAAAACGTGCAAGGAATGTTGGTCCGGCTAGGAGGATGATTACTTCGTGAACATCGAGATTTTTGTATGTATAAATATTACTATTTCCGGTTCTGCAATTACAGACAGCGTTGGTATTTCATTCTGTCTTTCAAGTGTTTTTCTTGGAGACCAATGGCTCTGGGATTTACTTGGATCATGTTGACATGGACAAACTCAAGTGACTAATCAACCTTTTTAGTGTTTCAATTCTAAATTTAACGCACTAAAATAGTTGTATTGATGGCGAATAAGCTTTACAGAAAGTTTATCTTGCTTGCGGCGTTGTGCCCCCCTGGTTTGGTTCTCGTTCTCTTAATTGACATAGAGTTGCAAATACTTGTCGGCAAAAACCCGTATGTTAGTATTTAAACCTATTACTTTGTTTTATGGCACCTAGCTACTTCATCGGCCTCTTTAGCTTCTGCTGTATGGTATCTGGCCGATGCGTCTTTATTCCAACGAGATTGTGTTCGAAGATATGTATAAAGCAAGAAAAGTTCCTTTTCTAGGCGAGTATTTGTAAGAAGCTATAAAATAATAATTTTATTACCATAGCTTTGACTTGGAGTAAGCGAGGAGACCAGCTCCACCCCACGCTGTTGACTACTGAATAAATATAGAGTTGTCCTCCTTTCTCCCATCCCTACGCCTCAGACAAAGTCTCCAGCGACTAGTCTAACTATAAAACCTGCTGAGTTCGTATATTTTGCTGTAGTTACAGCTTGTATTCCGTATCTGGCTCAATCAATATGCGAATGTTATGGTATCAATGGCTCTGAACGACTAGCAACAGGAGTTCTCATGGGCCGAAGATAGATATCTAGTAGAGCTGATATTACTTGAATATGAGATATAAGATACTCCTTATTCAACATTTAGTGCGGAATATATAAACGGTAGTAATAGCAGGTCAACATTTCTCATCGACCGCCCCCAAATGGTCCAAGCGGGAGCAAAACGCACGTGCTTTGAGCTTAATCCCCGGGGTCATACACGTGATGAGGCTGAACCGTAGCTTATCTCTTTATGGAAAGTTCTCCCGGCCCGGCGGGAATTTAGGCTGCATAAATCTCTACGTTGTGATTGGCCGGTGCCAGGCAGCAATGTTCTGGGGCTTTGACGATATATTTAGACGACAACCTTGACATCCCCGACACAGGCACAGCCTCACAAGAAAACGGCTGCTATTCTGGCGATTTAAAACAGATATATATCACTATAAATTACCTACAGCACTGCTATATCTCCTGCTTTACAGACATTCCACTTCACTTTCAGAACTGGGCACTCTAGCTCTAACTCCGACGTTATGTCGGTCCTCAGACATGGAAGCGCCTTTCTGCAGCGGCGGCTGACGAAACTGTATACCGACACGAAATCATCCTGTGAGAGCGTAACAACAGCTGCCAGACCGAATGATGACCCTGAACTTGTCTCTCTTAACCGTCATTTCCGCACTCAAAAGGATAGGCTACTTGCGTGGGGCCTAGATTGGAGTGATGCCAGCGCAGCGCAGCCGAATGATATTGACGAAGCCCTGACCGAAGCTGGATTTAGTGACGTGGTTGCAAGCGTTATGTCGTCTATCCAAAAACTTCTCAACGAAGCAGAACGACTACAGCATCCTAATCCTGCGACTATATCACCGGATGGAATAGCGGGCAAGGCTGCAGATGGGAACTATACTACGGGCACAACTGGTGGTGTGAAGACAACTTGGACAGAAGCAGAGATATCCCGGTCTAAAGTACTGTTGGAAGAGTTAACATCCCATATTGATACCCTTTATGACCTGTCAGCATCAAGGAGGGACATGAGTATGGGCATTAGCTCAGGTACCCCCCAAAGTGAAAAGCACAGTCACCATCGAGGACTGTCGAAACAGTCCAAAGAAACAAAAGAGGCTCTTCGCCCAAAACTGCCAACTTCAAAGTCTGCCCCCAGCAAAGCAACGCATCATCTAGAGGTTTCGCCAACCGTGGCTACTAATGACATGTCTGCGGTCAACCCTTTCCTGAGTATGCATATTGATTCTAGTATGACTATTGAAAATGGTGCATTTCAACACCCGCCCGTGCATATTGAAGAAAATGGAGAATTTTTCCTTGATCGCAACGCTTTAAGCCTCTCTAAAGAGCATGTTTCACATGCGACCACCCCTCCCCCTTACGAAGCAATTGCTGCCTCAACCAGCTCTAGAGCAATGGGATTTATAAACAGGGAAGCAATTCCATCTTGTATGGCTCGAGGCTGTACAAGTATGTCTATCCCGGTGATGGTCGAATTTTTACCAATCCTGATGGAGGCTCAACAATCTCTCGCTCGGCCATTAAAACAACGTTTAAAATCTATCGGTCAAACACTTGACCGTTTGATCGAGAATTCAAGGGTCTCCCACCTTGGTTTGCTGAGGTTTCTAGGTTATTATATTGACATGACTTACTCCCGATATGGTTTCGTCTACCATATACCTATCGATACCTTCCCATTCTTAAAGCAGCCTTCTGATATGATTAAACCAAAGCCATTGGTTTCCTTGCTGCATAACGGCGATGATAAGCAGGAGGGTCCTGTTCCAAATCTCGAAGATCGATTGGCCTTGGCTTACAATCTGTTGTTGTCTGTTCTTCATCTACGCAGCCAAAACCTAGTCCACGGCAGCATAAATAGCAACAACATTATTATATCTTCAGGAGCTCATCTATCTAACACTGGGTCCATTAGCAACGAGAGCCTGGACTATAGGCGGCCTTACTTTACCTCATTTAGTCAGTTTGACGGTGAAGATAAGAATGCCCCGCCAGAACCCTTATCATCGAGTATGTACCGTCATCCAGATGACAGGAGGACCTATTCCGATAAATCAGCCTGGGCATACGACCTATACAGCCTGGGATTGGTGCTACTAGAGATTGGACTTTGGACACCTATCGGAAGGCTGTGGAAGCTGAAATACAACAACTCCATGTTCAAATCCCGAATTGAAAATGTCTATGTCAAGAAACTAGCAGCTAAATGCGGTGGTGCCTATATGCAAGTTGTTCAGCTCTGTCTTGACGCTCCCAACTTCCATCTGTCGACAGAGCCCATGGCAGATTTAGGCCTCAGAATACCGCAGACATATCACTATCCCTGGCATGATCCAAGCAATTCAAACGATTGGAACACATTCTCGAAAAATTTTGTTTATACAATTGGTAAAATCCTTTGGAGATGCTGCGGCATTGACGTTTTCTCTCCGCCTCCTGCGTCTGACCTGGAAGACTCTCTTCCCCCCCCCTTGGGGCTTGAGCCAGGCTTATCGTCGTTTCAACAAGTATCACCAAACGAAAGAGATCTACATATTATAGAGCCCACCATCTCCATCGATATCCCTTATAACGTCTCTGCTAATCCGGACATGAAGTGTATTAGTGAAATGTGTGAAGGGAATGAGAGGAAAGGCCGGAAACGTTCCATGAAGAAGTGGTCGAATGTGGAAATACCCGAAGAACACTTACAAGCTTGGAATAAGACTCTGATGCCGAAAATAAGCAAGCTTTTACAAAAAATTCTGAAAGATTCATCAGAATCATGCAGCGCAACCCTGCTGGTTGCCGGTGAAACTGCAGACACAGCTAAGACCACCATCTGTGTTACTTGTACCAATGTTAGAAAGGTCCGAGCAGCGTTAAAGAAGTACTTTGAGTACGACCGGGAAAACTGGAATCTCATTGTTATTCGTGGAGATATCAAACGATCAAAAGTCCCACGAAAGAAGCGCCGGAAACCGAAGTCCAAGAAGGGTATTATTTCCCCAGAAGTCTCAAATCCTGACTTCAATTCCCATTACCAAACCAAACCAATATGCGGCGCTTCCATCGGCGCCTTTCGCTACGGCGAACATCTGCCACCAGTTTCATACGGTGGTGCGATACTCGTCGATGGTATACCATATGGGATGACGGTTCACCATATGCTCGATACGCCCTGTGACGATGATGATGATTGTGAAGACGATTACGACTATGATGGTGGGGATTATCCTCCACGTTCATCGGAAAACTATCTATACGGATCTGATGATGCTAATCAAGGCCCCTCGTTCTCTTGGGGTGAACCCAACATTCATGAAGATGGTTATCTATTGGAATATTCTGATGACGAGGACGGTGATGATGACCAGTCTATAGCACATAGCCTTGATGAAAGCTTCGATGATCACTGGCTCTCCGATGGCTACTCTAGTGATGAAGGAGATGATTATGGTGGCTTTGACGATGATGATACGGCCTCAATTGGTGATACTCCAGGTGTTGATCCTGGTGAAAAACCTCAGATAATGGTAACGCAACCTGCCCTCGATGATGTACATGAAGACTTCTTCCCCAGCCTAGAAGACAGGGACGATGAGCATCTTGCGTCCCATTCCCTAGGTTTTGTTCATGCTTCTTCCGGAGTCCGAAGGTGGACTAAAGATGGTATCAAACACGAGGTGGATTGGGCGCTTATCAAGGTCGACCGAAACAGAATGGAAGTGAAAAACCTTGTCCCAGTTTCGTCGCCTCAGCCAAATACTTCAAAGCCTAATAGGCAACAACCACAAAGCAACGCAGGCTCGTTCCAAACTCTCACAAAAATTGCCAAATTTGATGACCTAGGCGGCCTCAATGTGCAATGTTGCGGTCGAACGAGCGGTTTTCAGAGTGGCAAGATTTCTAAGGCCCTAACATTAGTAAAAATGTACGGCCGTCAATCCTTTTCGACCAGCTTCAGCGTTGATGGCAATTTTGGAGGTATGAATGTTTCCGTTTACCTTTCTAAAAAGTATATATTAATGTCTTCTGTAGTTCCTGGGGATTCCGGTGCTTGGGTGTTTAACGACAAGGGCCAAGTATGCGGCCATGTCCTTGCATGGTCTGAAAAAAGTCGAAGTGCCTACATTGCACCAATGGAGATTCTTCTCAACGACATCGCTCGTACTCTTTGCGCGTACAGTGTGAAACTTCCCGATGGCGATGAAGAGATATGCTATCGTGATAGCTCGCCGCCACCACCTTTGCAGGGAATTCCTCCTCCAATGTTTTCCGTTCGTGCAACAAAACCTGTTTCGCCAAACCCAGTGATAGCTGAGCATCTTCCAGTCGATTTGCAGAAACTCACCCTCGACCTGGAAGAAACACCCCGTAATAACACTAGAGTAGGGGGTGTGAAGAAGAAAGATGTTTCAGGGACTTATAGAGCTAGCACCCCCCTCATGCGACATGCTCGTATGGAGCGACAGATCGCTTGAATATATGTATGATATTTAGCTGTTTATATGAATTTCGAATATACCCTTTATCATTTAAAGAATAATAACAGTGCATTGGACCTTAATACCTTGAATGAAAGTCTACTCAAAGCCCTAGAGTAACCTAGGAGCAATGCGAGTGTTTTATAGACCAGTGATTACCGGGGAATTGATTGCAAGGCATTTTAGAAGCTATTGTGTTGCTCTAAGCATTTTATTGTTTTAAAAAAACCTATCTAGACTCATGAACTCCACACTTCATCTCATGTTGACATAAACCATTGATCGGGACCAAAAAAACAGAATATACAGATGCAAACATACAAAGGAAGGGGAAGGGAAAAAAAAAAAAAAAAAAAAAAATTCGAACCTGGTTACGCAATGCAGATGCAAAATAATCAAGTACATCGGAATGTGCAGGGAGGATAGCCAACCAGCGCTTCACTTCATTTCCGGGTCATCATTGAAATTAAGATGAGCCCAAGTACTTCAGTACAGCAGCCTTCTCGGTGTCAGGAAGCATGCTGAGAACTTTTTGTACACCGCGTAGGCCACCTTCTTTATTACCCATGAGCAAAGACGCAACCTCTGCGGCAATTCCGTCGGTCTTGAGAGCTTCGATCTTCTCGTAAATGTTCTTCTTGTTTTCTTCATACCAGATCGCGACCTCACGATCATTCGACTCGAATTCATCATCAGAGATTCCAGTCCAGGCCTTGAGTTTGTCCAGGTTCTCGTCGCGCTGTGTGCGTGGAGTAGTGATGCTTGACGCATTGACTCGGGGTGGAGCGTCGGAGTGAGTTGGGATGGGGGATGAGGGAGGGGAGGATGAGGCTTGAGAGCTAGTGGCAGAAGAAACGGTTGCAGCAGCCATGCGTTTAAGGATAATTTCTTCACTTAGGCGACGGCGGAGACGCCAGTAGAAGAAGCGACGTGCGTTTTTCCACTCGAGTGGTTGTCGGATAGTACCCTTGGCTTCCATACGGCCGGCGCGGTCGTGAAGGTCAGCGAATTGCAGGGCAATCTGCATGTAGACAGGGAGGAGCCTCTCTTCGCGCTCGGTCATCTGGGCCTTGATTTCAGAAAGCTTCTCTGGGCTATGAGACTTGTCCTTAAGAGATTCACGGAGAGTACCATATTCGGGATCCAGGCGGGCCATGGTATCAAGCTGCTTATCCCGGCGGTATTTGATGTTGACGATACCTTCAGGCTCGAGGATACCACCACGCGCCTCAACGTCGGCATACATCTCCATCTGATCAGGGTTGATAGTTGGGTCAATAACGACCCAAGAACCACCACGGAGTTCACCGTGTGGTGGAATATAGACGAAGATTGGCTGCTCGTACTTAACAAGGGCATCAACGATGTAAGAACCGTATTTAAGAACCTCGTTGTACATATCGCGTTGGCCACCGGAGAAACCACGCCAGTTAGCGAGGATCATGACGGGTAGCTGCTCACCGTTGTTAAAGTCCTTGAGGGCTTGGGCAGTCTTGAATGCAGAGTTAGGGTACCAGACCCCTCCAGCTTCGGTGGACAGAACTTCCATAGAATCAGGGTTGGCAGGGTCGGCAGGGGTAACACAGTCGACAGAGCGAGTTTCAACAGCAATAACACCCATAGGAATACCACCGAGTCTAGCACGGCCGACAACAACGGTTCTAGCCCAGCCACCGAGAGCTTCCTCGAAGGAGCCCTTGTCGAAGAGACCAGACAAGAATCCTTCATCATCTTCCTTACCGCCAATGATCCAACGGACATCGTATGACTGCCTGGGTGGAGGGCAGTAAGTAATGTCTCGGTTCCAGGGGTCAGAGGAAGGGCGGATTGGGATTGGAGCGCCCTTCTTCTCAGGAACGAAGGACATCCACTCCACAATCTTGGTGATACCAGCAAAGTCATCGTTGGCAGTCATATGCGAGACACCGTTCTTGTACATGATTTGGGTACCGCCGAGTTGTAAGTTGGAGGTATATACTTCACGGCCAAGGAGTTTGTTTATAGCTGGTGCACCAGTAAGGATGATGGGTTGACCCTCAACCTGGATGGCACGGTGACCTAGGCGAACGAGGTATGCACCGATTCCAACGGAACGACAGGTAACAAGAGTGATAGTAAAGATGTCCTCGTATGCCTTGGACGTAGCACCAGCAATCAGTCCTGAACCTCGGAGACATTCAACACCAAGACCATCCTTAGCTCCAATGATAGTGGTGATCTTGTAGCGCTCTTCGCCATCCTCGGTGATCAACTCAGTGATAAGATCCTTCTTCTTTTCCTTCTCGAGACGCTTCTCAACCTCTGGGGTGAGGTAGAGATACTTGAATCCGTTCTCTGGTTTGTCGGGGTTGTTCCAAGCAACATTGAACTGAGACATGAGTTCATCAGCCATACCGATACGTGCACCAGAGTTAGCAGAAAGATAGATTCTAGGGATTCCCAGTTTTCTAGCCAATTCTGTACATTGGTAGAAGAATTTATCCTCTTGTGGTCCGAAAGAACCGATCTGGTAAGTGATATCGTTGGCAACGACAATAAAGCGCCGTCCACGAGGATATTCTGGGGTCTTAGCTGTGATCAACCAGCCGACCATTCCGTGGGTGTTAGTGCCTGGTTCACGCGAGACTTCAGAGAGATTGTCCCTGTCATCAAGAACGAGTTCAGAATATTCGATGCAGGTTCCTAGCGCAGGTCTCTTCTCGGCCAAAGCGGGATGGGCGGCAATAGCAGTAGTCCAGCTGTTCTGGAAAGCTTGACGGAACAGCTCTGGAAAATCGTACACGTACTGAGTCCCCATCAGATGGGCCTTGTAACGCTTGGGCTGGAGCCACTCTTTGGTAGGATAAGGGGTAGAGACAGGACGCAAGTGCATGGATCCAATCTTGGTAGTGCCCCCGATAGAATGGAAAATCCATTCACCCTTTTCAGACTTACGCTCCACGTAAAGTTCAACCTGGATGATATAGCCTGAAGTGTTGGTGATGACAACACGAAGGGGGTAAGGCGTCCCGGTTACTGGGTCAGTACAAAGGATACGGATTTCGGCACCAGTGACACGTAGACGCCAGAGACGACGACCGAACCGTTCAAGGAAACCAGCGAGGGCCTTCTCAACATCAACTGGTTGCAAGGGGAAGACGGGAGTGAAGTTGATAAAGATATGATTGAGGTCAGAGTTATTGTTGCCAATGATCTCAAGAGCGTCAAGAATATCAGTCATCAAGTTGTCAGCTTCAGAAATGAGATATTCTGCGGTGGGAATGTCGTCACGTAGTCGGCCAGGGCGGACGACGGCACGAGTGAAGTAGCGCTTGTCAACTGCATTGTCACTGAGCTCTGGTCCCTTGCCGATAGCCTCATAAACGTGCAAGTTACGATTTTCGGTGAAGACAGGCTTAATCTTGAATTTGGATAGACGGCCAAGTTCAAGCTGGAAAGCAAGTGCTGGCTCGCTGTGACGGATACTCACGTCTTCGGCATAAGTAGGACCACGGAAAGTGAAGTAACCAGGGTAAGTACCGTCCTCATGACCGCAAACAAAAGTGAGTCGGCGGATTCCACGAGCAAGCAATTCACTCTTTGCATCGTTGACAAGAGCAGTGAGACGCGAAGACAGCTCAGAGTCATCCAGATCTTCAACGTCACGGATAGCCACGTTGCAAACACCGGAGAGTTCTTCATCGGATTCAGAGCGTGGCGCAGGTTTGCTACGGTCAGGCAAGGTACCGCTCTTCTTTGGCTTGGCTGCGGCGGGAGCGGAACGCGGGAAGACACTGAGAGCTTTGTATAGAACTTCCTCTGCCTCATCGAGATAGTGAACTGGAATCAAGACACCCTTTCTAGTCGCCTCGTCAGATCCTTTATTGGCGAAGGCCATGTCGCTAATTGATCCGATTTTCTTAAAGGGGTTGATCTCCGAAATCGGTGTTCCTGGAACAGACGAGGTGGTTGATTGAGAAGACAATCCAAATTCAGAGTGAGGAACCTTGCGCAGGATGAAATCCCAAGAGACAAAAAATGGTGCATCGCCAGTATTGTGATATTCAATACCCTTCAAGGCGTAGGCACGATAAGCGCGGCGGACATAGACTTCCAATGCAGCGAGGGATACCCATTGGTCATTGTGGGCGAAGAAGAGAGGCAGAACGTCAAAGACGGTATACTTGGAGTCGACGACTTCCTTGAGAACATTGAGGTCAGGTTCTCTGTGGTCCCAGCCAGTCTCACCATATTTGGATTCGATCACAGAAGAACGCAAGATGTGCTCCATCTGAGCAACTCGCTCCTCGAGAGATGGCAGGGCACACTGAATAAGGACCTCACGAGCCTTGAGAGCAACCTTGGCAGTAGCGCGAGACTCAAGCTCAGCCAATTTACGAAGGATAGCTTTGAGGTAGTTTGCAACATTGCCAACATTAGGCTTGTTAGGACGGTACATGTCAAGGATGGCGAGGATGAGGTTGTTCTTGGATCCTATCTTGCTATGCGAAAGGACGATCTGGATTACCTTTGAGATATCATCCTTGTTCTCATCACGGAGTTTCAGGATGACACTCTCATCACGGGTGTTTCCTTGAGCGAACAGACGCTCAACTTCCCAGTATTGCTCGAGGAGGGAGACAATGATCTTGTACTCCTGGACTTTGAGTCCATCTTTGTATCGCTCAATGATCTGAAGAAGCGGAGCAATGGTGGTTCGCAGAGCTTCGGCATCAGCTGCGGCCTTGACATTCTCATCGATGAAACGGGTGACAGTCTTGAGAAGCTGGGCAGCTGGGAAATCTGCTTTGCGAGCCTTTGCACGGTCAATGACCTGAGTCATTTGAGTATCAAGTTTTTGGGGCATACGAGAGTGCAAAGCAGAGGCATAAGCGTTCCATTCACCATAGGGAAGTTCAGGGTTACGCAAGACCTGAACGAGTTCGTTCAAGGTGCTCCCCATGATAACCTGGTTATCGTATCCGAGAAGGATGTCCTGGAGAATCTTGAGGAGAACCATGAAGCGCTGTGGAGGCTTGTTACCGAGTACCTGTGGTGGACCAAGCTCAGGTAGCTGGCCCGTGAATGGAGAGGCATGCTTAACTCGGGATGGGTCGTCAAGCGCAAGGATACCGAGGATATCACCAGCTTCAAGGGTGGCTCCGGGCTGCTTGATGAATTGGACGACACCATCCTCCTGGGCAATCAAAGGCATGTACATCTTCATGACCTCGACTTCGGCAAAAGCCTCGCCAGCACGGATATGCTCACCGTTCTCGATGGTGAACTTAACCAGCTTACCAGGACTAGGTGTTCGGAGCTGCGTAGGGTCATTTTCTTGCTCAAGGAGACAGGTCTTGCCATCAACAGATAGACGGGTGGCCGCAGCTTCTTCCTTCCAGTAAACATTGTGGCTTCGCCCGTCAAGAAGAATAAGAAGACCACCGTCAGCCAGAGCACGAACACCAACTGTACACTTGCTACCGTTAATATACAGGTGGTAGCTATCGATGCTGGAGCGGGTGGCAGTAAACTTGTAACGCGAACCTTCATAGATGAAGTCAATTGGGAACACGGTGCTCAGAACGTCTTTGGCGGGCACCTGTCCCTTTTCAATACCCTTGCGGTATTCAGACTCGCAGGCTTCACTGGCAAGATGAGCTTTGGTCATGGCACCGCAGATGACGGCAACCATAGGATCAGGCCTCTCAGCAGTGAGCTTCTTGGTGATAAGCTCATCCAGCCATCCAGTAGTGATAGTGTTGTCCTCGAAAGCAGGGGTTTCAAGCAGTTTAATGAGGTACTCAACTGTGGTCCTAAAGTCACCACGAATGCTCAGTTCCTTGAGTGCAACAACCATGTGTTTTCTGGAAGCAGAGCGGTTCTCTCCGTAGGCGAAGATGTGACCAAACTGGGAATCAGAGAAGCTGTGGATGCCGCCAGCGGTACCCACAGAGAAGTAACCCCAAACGTTGGAGGAACTTCGGAAGTTCAGCTCGTGCATAGTACCGCTAGAAGGCTTGAAACCTTCACCTGGGTCTTCGGAGGTGATCCGGCAAGCAGTAGTGTGGCCCTTTGGTTGAGGACGACGCTGGACCATGGTGCTCTCCTCGTTTGAAAAGCCGAAGTCGATAGGAGAGGAGGTGTTGGGATCCACGCCGTAAAGGAGACGAATATCACGGATGCGGTGAAGAGGGAGACCCATGGCAATCTGCAGCTGAGCAGCTGGGAGGTTGACACCGGTGACCATCTCAGTGGTAGGATGCTCGACTTGCAAACGAGGATTGAGCTCAAGGAAGTAAAACTTGTCATCGGCATGGGAATAGAGATATTCCACGGTACCAGCAGAGACGTAACCGACGAGACGACCGAGACGAACAGCAGCCTTCTCCATCTCCTGGAAAGTAGTCTGCTTAGCAACGGTAACAGGAGCTTCCTCGATAATTTTCTGGTGTCTTCGCTGGACGGAACAGTCACGGCCAAAGAGCGAGATGTTGTTGCCATACTGATCAGCGAGAAGCTGGACTTCCAGATGTCTAGCGTTTCCAGCAAGCTTCATGATGAAGATAGGAGAGCCAGGAATTTCGCTAGCAGCGGCATTGTAGAGGGCCTCAAAATTCTCCTCACTGTCGACCTTGCGGATACCCTTACCACCACCACCCTCAGAGGCTTTAACCATAACTGGGAAGCCAATCTCTCGGGCTTTCTTGAGACCTTCCTCGGGAGAGTGGGTGCATCCCTGATCATAAACACTGTCCTCCACGGTAACGATGCCCTCCTCATCGATTTTAACCTCATCTACGCCCGTGCCCGACCACGGAATGCAGGGAACCCCCGCGTGCTGAGCAACTATCGTAGAAGAGATCTTATCTCCGAGAGAGCGCATTGCGTTACCAGGGGGGCCGATGAAGATGATCTTTTTGGGCGAAGCGGCGAGGGATTCAGGGAGCTTGGGGTTTTCAGATGCATGTCCCCTGCAGGCCATCGTTAGTTCAATGATCTCGTATATAAAGCATTTGCAAAGTAGTTTCAGCAAATGCGTAACACGTACCATCCAGCCCAAACTGCATGCACACCCGTTCGTTCCGCAACGTCGACGATCAGCTCGACGTTTGCGTAATTATTATTATTAGTTCCACCAGGGACCTATCCCGAATTAGCTATCCCGCCGTGCCATTGAAAACGAGAAGAGAACTACCCACTTCTACATATTGATCTGCCATACGAATATAGTCTGCATTCGCCCTCAAGTCCTCCGGGGTTGCCATGACGGTGAACTGGATCGCCCGCTCATCGCCAAAGGTCTCGTAGGCCCATTTTCTCACTGATCGGATCTCCTTGACGGCCGCAATACCGTTATTCGCAATCAAAACCTGTATAATTGTTAACCTATGCTCTTGCAAATCAATTGAAATAGCAGCAATTTTAGCGTACCGATGTAATAACGGAATGACCGTCATTCTTAGCCACAAAGTCCTTGACTGCGCCTGGAGGAGCTAAGTCCAACCGATTTCCACCGATAAAATGTGAGGGGAGATTATGTTTGGCAGCGTAGGCGCTGCCGTAGCCGTTAACGGCCGTAGAATTGCTTTCAGGCATGGTGGTTTGGTCGGGTAGGCAAAGGGAATCCGGTGGCCACGAGCTGACTTCTATAAGGAATTCGGAGAGTTTTCACACTCGGATTCGGAGCCTGTCAAGTATCTCGCGTCTCTCAACGATTTGCAGAGCCACTTCAGACAGAGCTGATGCTGTCAATGCTCTATATGTATCTGTATTTATGTGTATGCCGACGACCGACTGCCTGTCTGCTGTCAGTCCGTGTGTCGTATATCTCTAGCTTGAATGACGCAGCTGTCAATGGCTCTGCGGGACGAGGGAGCGTAAGAAGAAGAGGAGAATTAGATAGAAGGAAGAATGCGGTTCTACGCAGCGGACAAAGACAGGGAGAAGAAGCAGAAGAAGCAGAAGAAGAAGAGGGAGAAAATATGGAGCTGAGGAGAGGAAGATATGAAGTTGAAGTTGATGAAGAAGAAAAGTTGCTGTTCTTATTTCCCGATCGGTCGAACCTCGAGCTCCTCGCGGTATTGATGGCGTATCGCGGGCGTCACGAACCTTCCGCCCCCACACTCAACCCACACTGTAAGCATGTAACTTACCGTAACAGCCGTTACCCGCCTTACTATCCACCTGCAAAAGGAGCTTTTTGTTTCGATGTTGAGCGCGCGCTGAAAGTGTCCGCAAAACTGCGACGCTCCATATCTCTCCCAGGAAGACATCGATAAAGCTCGTTCTTTCTCAGTTGAGGCCGTCTGCCTGTCTACTATCTGTCTAAAGATCCAGATCCTCCGACTATGCATACGGTCTGCTTGACCTGCGGCTTTCCAGCTCCCTCGCGTCGTCTCAACCGGGCCTGAGTTTTCCCCCAACAGAAAACGACAACTAATCCGGTTAGAGTAACTGACTAAGCAAGGTTTAGGTAAGGCTCGGAGACACAAGCCGAGGCTGAAAAGCTTAAAACGACGGAGATTAAAAGGAGATAATTTAAGACAGTAGGCGGTACTCCGTAGGGAGGTGAAGGTGGCAGGTAATGGATGTTGCTAGGAGAGACAAACAGAAAAGAGACGCAGAGATAGGTGGTAGAGTAGATGGCGGTGGTGAGTATTTAATGCTCCGAGAAGTCGGGTTTCTCTAGTGGCTACATACATGGTTGGAAACACAGCTTAACTGGACAAGAGGGTATAGGGGGCATGAACAAAAGGATGAAAACACATGCGTCATTATGTATCTAGATGGTAATGCTTGAAAGAATGATAGCTAGTAGTACTAGTGGTTAGGAAGGAAGTAGATGGTAGAATCAAGTTGGTTCATGTTGCTTGGTCGGGTCTCGGGTTTCGGGTTTTGGATAAGGCTGGGCATAGAAACTGTCCGGTCCCGTATTATTCGCCGCGGGTAGATGGCGAGACTGGCATGGAAGGAGAATTATTATGCAAGGTGAGATATAAGAATAGATAGACTCAAAGAAAAGTGGCATAAAGGTTGGTGTTGTTGTTGTTTGTTGTATATTCATTAAATTTAAAGGGTTGGTAGTTTAATATGTCTCGCCTAGGCTACCAAGAGACGAAGACGGTCGAGGCGTCATGCTCGCTTTCTTTCTGCCAGCTGATGGCGGAGGCATATCGCCTTCTCTCCTTCCGATGGCCGAGCTGGTGCGTCGAGGCGTCAGGCCGGCTGGTGTTGGTATAGAAGACATCCCGCCACTAGTTCGTCTCAGCACTGCGGGAGTCGGGATGGAGCTGCCAGACCCGACGCTATCGTACCGTCGGGGTGTGGGTGTGTGCATACTCAGGTCCATCTCAGCGTTATCTTCGTCAATATACGACATACTGGCGGAAGGGTTGTAGTTGCTTAGTGATGAGCGAGGGCGTCGAAGGCCGCCGCCGCTACTAGTGCTGCTAACTGATGGGTGATGCTGATGACTATGGTTATAGTTATGGCTATGATGCTGGTGGTTGTCGGACATGTTGGCCATGCTCATGTTCAGTGAGTTGCTGGTATAATGTCCTGGCGTGCGTGAGCCATTTAGATTCTGGCTGTTTAAGCTTTGGCGAGACTCAGAGCGCGGCTGAGCGATGCTGCTTGACGAGGTCATATTACTGACGGAACAGCGCGATGACATACTAGTGCGACTTTCGGGTCTCGATGGTGCTGACTGAGATGGTGCTGGAAGTCCAAACGAGCCTCGTCCCTGGGAAACTCGGGCCCCAGGTGTCACCGGCGTGTGCGGCATCTCGTTATTGTCCTTGGAGCTGCTGGCCACACTACCGCTCGATCGTTTCCTATTGCTGCGGACTGTTACCGATGAAGGCATGTTGTATGCTGGGCCGCCCATGGCAGAGCCGGTGCGAGGAGATGCTCGGGGTGGCGTATCCACCGGTGCTGGTAGTCGCGATCGTGCAGACTGGACACGCTCCTCTAGCTTTTGCATCTTCCCGATCAGTCCTCGGATTTGATATAGAGAACTCGACTTGGGGAGGCCATTCGAAGTAGGCTGTCGTCCTGCAGATGGGGTAATGCGGCCGGTTGTGCTGCTCATAGATACCGACGGAACTCGAGAGTGCCGTGAAGATCGAGAAGCCGACTTCTGATGCTTTGACATGCCATTTGACTCGGATATAGAGACGCGAGATCGAGACATATTTGGAGTAGCACCCCTGAATGCCCCATTTGTAGACGACTCAGAGAATGGTGGTGACGGCGGTGTAGCGATCTCGGAAGCAACAGAAGATGCAGACTTTGTCAGCGGCGTTGCGATGGGCGAAGAGGTAGTCGTTGCTGGTGAGTGGTCTGCGGCGTCGAGGCGATGGCCGATTCCGTTCGTTGAAGTCGATTCCAGCAACGAAAACTTTGCCTTTCGTTCCAGAGCAGCTTCGGCTTTTCGCAATTTCTCCTGGATGATATGGGTCTCGACCTTGAGATCCGCTAGCTCATCACGCAGGCGCTGCTCCTTGATTCGCAGCATCTCTCGTTCCTGCTCGCCATTCTTGATCTCTTCCTCGAGCAGAACACCTCGCTCAATAGATATGTTGTATTTGGATTCTATGTCTTCCAGCGAAGAGGTCGTGTTGCGAGCCTGTCTCTCAAAGTCATCGTTGGCCACCTCCGTGTCCCGGAGTTTCAGCTGCAGTGTCCGGTTCGAGTCTCGTAGCGTAGTGATCTCTTTCTGCAGTGTGCTTTGCACGGAGTTGGCCTCTGACTTAGCCTGTTTGTACTTGGTCTATCAACCTGTAAGCATCTGCGTATACATTTCGGTGTGCAGATATCATCTTCTCACCTTCCATTCTTCGACCTCATATCCCAGGCTCTCAACCTTCTCCTTCAGCTTCCGTTCCCTCTTCTCCGATGCCTCGATGTCCTTCTCCAACTCGGCCTCCAGTTCGCGACTCGACGACTGGAAATCAGCCAGTTCGGCTTCGAGCAGCTCATACTGCGACTTGTAGTAAGCGATGGCGTCGGCGGTGCTGGTCGATGCGTTGGGCGGCGACGATGGGGGCTCTGCCACCGCCATATTTGCGTTGGTCACCCGAAACCGCCCTCCAGACTATGGACGTTTAGGTGTCTCAGAGGCAGGTATCGAGCTTTTTTCTCGATTTCGCGATAGTCTGTATTCGCTATGGTCCTTTGCACCGCGCTGTCGAGGATAACTGAGTGCGGCCGTCTCTAATTTGCGCCCAAGGGTGTAGTTGACGTAAGAGATGCTGCGTTATCGTCGAAATACTCAGCGTGCCGCACAGAGTATTCACGCAGACAGGCCGGAGAGGAACCAGCCTACTTACCCTGCTACTTACCCGTCCCTCTGCTGACTGTGTCGCCGTTGAAGTCGCTGGTCGTCTCGCTGTCTTCGCCTTCGTCTTCGTCGTCTTTGTTTCTTCATCTCGCTCGTTGTTTTGTTTGATGTTGATGACTTGCTGACTCAGCGAAACCATGACAACCGTCACGTGAATGAAGAGAGAATAGGGGTGTCACGAAGTCATAAAGACAAGGGTTACTTATTTCGATAGGGGGGCCTATTAAGCAGTGCAAGGGCAGAAGGGAGGGATGGATACTCCGTATAGCATAGTACACCATGGTCTGTACGAGATAATATTGTCTATACACAAGCTATCTAGAACAAGAAGCGCCAGAGATGCTACCTATATACAATCCAGTTTTGTATCCAAAGTTTCCAAATAGTAACTAGTTAACTAGTTACTTATTCGAACGTTGATAAGTCGGTCGATAATGAAGTTCATGATTGAGGGTCATTTTTATGCTCCACAGACTTCATGCCTGCTCCTGTAATAGTTTCAATCCTCCCCTTGGTCGTTCCAGCCAGAACACCCACTCCAATTACGCCGCCATCACTAGCCTCCCGTAAGAAAATACTCTTCCCTCCATCCTGCGGCCCACCGCGCAGCAATACCTGATCAATATATCTCTGCACATGCTGCTTGTACATTGGATAATGCTGTATCACACCACCCGAAAATCCAACAACCAGCTCCTCAGGGCTTCGAAGGTCGCTGGGTTGTAAGAAGGAGGTAGCCTCCTTTGTAGGTGTGGGAGCAGCGGAGGCTAGCTCTTCAAGGCTACGTAGGTGGATGTGCCCTGTACATGCAAGCAGTCCTGTGGTGGCAGCGGCTGCTATGGCAGCAGAACGGTTCTGCACTGTGGCTGCAATAGTGCGTAATATTCCTGCACTTTCTTCAGTCCATGTCCATTCGGCTGTTGACTGATGAGGGGGTAGTTTAGTTTGAAGCTCAGAGGCAAGGTCCTTCTTGGTCAGGGAGACAGAGGCAATGGTTAAGGAAAGTAAGTCGGTTGTAAGCCGGTAGGGCTCGATTATTGCCACAGGAAGTGCTTCATCGGGTATCCCGCAAACGGTTTTGAAATAATCATGGGCAATGATACGGACTAATTCGCCTATATATCGGCCACCGACCATATACTCTAGGGGCTGAAAACCAGGTCGACTGCTTCTCATGGTAAGTGTATTATCCCAGTCCGAGGCAATTCTAAGTTCCAGTAAGGGGCGAGAGGAGTCGCGGAGAGTCCATTCTGTGCTGACAAGAACCTCAGAAGCGTCAGGCTGATTAGCTCTAACTGGCAGAGTCTTCTTCTCGTTCAGCGCATCCATGCTCATTAAAATGGTAGCGTTGCATCCTGAGCCGACAATGAGGCCCATTACTGCCTTACTGTTGGGGAGAGATGGTACCGAGTATGCAAGAGACGCCAGCGTCCCAACCGTATCGTTGGTAATGGCTACCACTCTCAGAGTCGGCAGAGTGCGCCGTAGCCGCTTAGCGTCTGCAGCAGACTCGTGGTTGGCGCGGCGTATATGGCGCTCATATCCATCCAGTAACGCCTCACGAAGGTTAAGATCCGAATTTATAGCGAACCCCTTACCAGTGGGCATCAGTATTGCTTCATTGAGATTCCCTTGTCTAGTATATGTTAGCTATGGCAAAATCAGGAGCGATACGTCTTTTAAACATACTTTATCGGGAAACAAAATGAAATGCCCATGTCTACTGATGGCGGAGAACTGCTCCCTTGCGGCTCCAGGCTGTCGGCCACAACCTCAGCAACGCGATCACCTATCCATGCGAACAGGCCTTTAGCATTATCCTTCTTCAGGCGCTCCTCGATAGGCCACGCTTTCTCCAGCGTCCGCCGTACACGCGGTGAAGCCACAACATCATTACTATGGACCCTAGCTGCCGGCACAGAAGAGCCTAGCAGATCAATAAAGGCTACCCGAAGATAGGACAAGCCAACATATGCGGCCAGGTAGTGACCAGTCTCTTGACCCGTGGGGAGACGAGTCACAGCCGTAGGGAAGAACTGCTCCAGAGAATTTGCCGCAACGTCCTTGAAAGTCTTTGAGAATCGGTATGCAAGGTCGTATACCGTTCTATCATCAAGGATCAGGGGCTTTAAAAAGTCGATTATGCTGGCATCCTCGCCACCGTCGCTGTCGCCTTCAATATCTGCGGCGGAGGCAACGATCTCCATGATGGGTATCATCGACGGGGCCTCTCCGTCATACGAACTTGACGGTACAGAAGAAGTAGTCATCCTGTCCCTAGGTGTATATTAGCTAGTATCAGTGAACAGTCAGGTCCTGGGCTTGTTACATCTCGAGATAAGTCCCGGCCATCTTTGTTCAAAAGCTATGCAGGGCTCAGATCTATAAGAGTTGGCTGTTTCGGGCTGCCAGGGATATATCTATGAACCACCACCGTCAAACTTATCCGTCAACCCAGCCTATAGCCTCGATGTCCCACCGATCTAAGCATCAGCCAGGCTATTCATAGGCTGTCAACTAGTCTTTCTGTGATGCCTTTTCCATTCGTTGCTTCATCGTCGTCGGCTGGCTTCGAGATGGATCTGAGTAATCTTCACGTGACCACCTCTTGCTGGAGGCGTGAAAAGTCCATCTAAGAAGTAGAAAAGGGACGAAGACGACGAAGTGAAGACGAGGAAGTGAAGGAGAAGAAAGCAACCTGCATAGAGCATCCTAACAGAAGCCCAAAGAGACGTCCCAGCGAGCTCCTCGTCTTGTCGTATAGGTGAGTTTCTCCCCCGGCTCGCGTCTGCGTCTACTTGGTCCACACCACAGGCTCCGGCATACATCTGGCACCACCACAGCTTTCCGCCGTACCTCCACGCACAGCGACCCTTGGCTATATCCTATCTCTACCGGCTCCATCTCTGCCATCCCCGGCACATCTCTACGTATGCTCTCTCGCAATGGTGCTAACTTCTGGAAAGAAGGGCAGTCCGCTGCACCCGGCCATGCGGTGAGCATGGCGGACCCTACAGACCTAAATCTCGATGCACCAAGCGACCTGCAAGATATCCCCGATCTATCCCCAGTAGACGACCTCGTTCCGCCACCTGAGGGCACGTATCCTGATAAAGCATCGTTAATTGCATCGGTCCATGCTCACGCAAAAGCTCACGGATACAATGTTGTGGTCAAGTCATCGAGCACGCCCACCGAGAAGAAGCCAGGGCGGACCGCGAAGGTTTGGCTGAGATGCGATCGCGGAGGGCAGTACAGGCCCCGAAATGGGCTGACAGAGGAGACTCGTAAGCGGAAACGAACGTCGAGGTTGATGGACTGCCCATTCATGCTAGTGGCGGCTGGCAACCCGGGCATCTGGACGCTTACTGTGTTGAATCCGTCTCATAACCATGGAGCTATAGTGGATAAACCGCGCCAGACGCCTCACCACCGTGTCAAAAAAGGCCAGGTCACTGCTGTACCCTACGACTGGCCTCATGATGCTACTTTTACCCCCTTCACCACGGCTCTGGTAGTCGTGGACATGCAGCGGGATGGTAAGAATCCTTCACTAGCCTTGATCGTCCGGCCTGACATTAACCGTATATAGTATGCTCGCAAGAAGGATACATGGCGTATCAAGGCTATGATGTCACTCCTGCAATGGCTCTAATTCCTAAAATCAGACGGCTGCTAGACGCTTTCCGCGCAGCGGGTTTCCCAGTTTACCATACTCGCGAAGGCCATAGGCCGGATTTGTCTACCCTCTCTACTCGAGAGAACTTCCGCTCCCACAACAATCCCACAGCCACGGGGATCGGGTCCACAGGTCCACTAGGACGTTTTCTCATACGCGGTGAGCCGGGCCATGATATTGTCCCAGACCTCTACCCACTGGAGGGAGAACCTGTTATCGATAAGCCAGGTCGTGGCGCCTTTGCGCACACGGACTTTGAACTCTTGCTACGTAACAAAGGTATCAAGAACCTTGTCGTTGTCGGTATGACAACAGACGGAGCCGTAGCAAGCACTTTGCGAGAAGGCTGTGATAAGGGATTCGACTGCTTGCTACTGGAAGATGGTGCAGTAGCACTCGATCATACTCTTCACCTCGGTGCTTGCAACAGTGTGAAAATGGAAGGTGGCTTACTCGGTGCTACGTCACGTATAGATGACCTCGTTCATGCTGTGGATAATTTCAAGAACCTCCTGGTGAAGAAGATGGCGCCACAGATGATGGTATCCTGAGAAACCGAGATCACAGCAGCTCCGAGTGCTAGCATAATACCCACTTCATCTTCCTTTATTTCCCCGTCATTTACGCTAGTTTTTTCCTACTTATCATTTCACAGCACTCATTGGCGTTGGGTTATGGCGCTGGGGTTATGGATTTGGTCCTGGGTTACCTTTCTAATTGCCCGTTTCCCAGATGGACGCTCTTTTTAGTTACTTTCGGGATGTCATCATGCTCCTAGGAAAGTTGAACCACGCTCATTAGTTGGAGCACCTTGAATCTATTCATTTACTCTATCTAAGGTTCATAAAGAATATGCAGAGATGAATTGTTTCCCAGTTTCCTACATGCTCTCACTTGGTACACATAGAGTTGATGCACTCTAATCCGCGTTGTAGTCTCTTGACTTTTAAACGCTGGATTAGGGTTTCGTTTGGTTTTCTGTTCAGAGCCCGCTAACTGATACTATGCCATTGGAGCCAGTGAAAGGCATTTCACTTGGCCCTGATGCTCAGCAGTTCGAACATCTATGACGGGATTGCTGCTCAGTGGCATCGTATGATGGATTTTGGGAATAAACCCCTGGGCTAGAAAACGGACGAAGGCTAAACTGAGCTTCGCTCAAGACCCCTGTAGGCAGAAACCACTTCTGCTCCGTCCATCCCATCGTTATTTATGCAGTGATTCTCCGCGCTTAGCTTTATAACCACTTCTTTCCTGCAGCCATTACTCTGGAACGGAACACTGGGCTTGTAATCTCCATGCCGCGCCGATAAAATGGACTCATGGCTGTTTTGACCCAATTTTCATAAACTTCATTCATAAACTGCCGAATCGCATCTTCTGTCTGTGGGGAGGTAGGGTTATGCGCTATCGACGATGACGAGCTTCGTGACGAGCTTGAGGCCCCTGAGAGGAAGCCGGAAGCAGATAAGCCACCACCACTACCACTGGCGGATCCCCCTGCACCAGGTTGAGAGGTCGAAGGTGGGGGTTGATGTAGGAGAAGAAACCGCACCCCTGTTCCTGTGAGAAACGCAGAGATATATGCTGAAGCTGGTGGGTAGGTGTCAATATGTTTGAGATACCTAGTAGAGCATTAGAGCCAGTATACCCAGTTAAAGCGGTCTAGATGACAAGCCGGAGACCTACATGGCGCCATTAGTCCATTGGACTTCTTCAACTATATCCAGGCTTGCATGTATAATGAACTGGTTCATATATCTCTCGTTATCGGCATATCGGAATCGAGCAATGCCATCCGCACCCCCTTTCGACGTCCCGAATGCCTGGCTGAAGAGCGGTACGTCTGCTGACGACAAAATAGTGAAATAATATGACATATTACATCCGCTTTCCTCACAGTGTTCCGAGTGATAGATATTCTCCCTGTCCTATCAACACCTCAAAGATGTTCATTTCGCGGTGGCTTGTTGACATGAAAATCGGCCGAAGTGACACTCCAATGTATTACGTAATATAACGCCCAGGCGGCTCTATGTCACGTTGTACATCTTCAAATGAACCTTCGAAGCTTCAGTTTTGCGACATTCGCAGCTTCAATTCTGCAAGTTGCAAATAACAAATTTACAGCACTTCAGATGGCACCGCCAAAGCTCAATTACGGACTTAATTTGTTCGGGACGAACATAAAGAAGTCATCTAGCTCTGTATTTGCGGGCCAGAAACGAAAAAGCTTGTGGGATGACCCAGATTCCGAAGACGAAGGCCAAAAGGATGGCGAGTCGAATGGTGTCGAGATCACAACATTAGGCGGTTTGTCGCCTTTCCCGGAATCAAACCCTTCGCGAACGACGGATGAAGCTCCGTTAAAAAAGAAGACAACATCGTCAAAACCTGGAGAAGTGCCATCGAAACGTGAATACACAAATCTTGCCTCTCTTCATACCAGCAAGAAGCACGGAAACGAAGCCGAGTCCCTCGATCCATCAATATATGACTACGATGGAGTATATGACTCTCTACATGCCCGGTCAAAAACCAAAAACTCCAATTCAGATGGCAATTCAGCGTCGCAGGGACCGAAATATATGACTGCTCTTCTTAAGAGCGCCGACACACGGAAACGAGACCAGTTACGAGCGAGGGATAAGCTGGTAGCTCGCGAACGAGAGGCTGAGGGAGATGAATTTGCTGATAAAGAAAAGTTTGTGACTGCTGCTTACAAGGCGCAACAGGAAGAAGTGAAGCGGATAGAAGCTGAGGAGGCCGAGAAGGAAAAGGAAGAAGCAGAGAAGAGGAAGAAAGGTATTGGGATGGTTGGATTCTACAGGGATTTTCTTAAGCGGGACGAGCAGAGACATGAAGAAGCCGTTAGATTTGCAGAAGAAGCAGTGAAGAACAAAGCGACAGTGGAGAATGACGAAGTGGAGCAAGAGAAGACCACAACACAGATTGCAGAGGAGCTTAATGCCAAGGGGGCAAAAATCGCCGTCAATGACGAAGGAGAAGTGGTTGATAAACGGCAGCTGCTTACTGCGGGATTGAACGTTGTATCGAAACCCAAACCGGCGGCTGCAGCAGCCAACGGTCCCCGGGTCAATGCAGGGGCAAGAGCCCCTGGTGCTGGATTTGACCGCGGTGGTATCCGAGCTGCACGGGAAATGCAACGAGCCCGGCAGACAGAGATGATTACTGAACAGCTTGAGGAGAAACTACGAAAAGAGAAGGAAGAGGAGGAAGCTCGACTACGTGAACTGGCCGAGAAGAATAAGAGCCAGAAATCGAAGGAAGAGGTGATGAGTGCAAAGGAGAGATACCTGGCTCGAAAGAGGGAAAGAGAGAGGCAGAAGGAGAGCAGCGGATAGTAAATTTCGTCATACTTCGTTCTCTTTTCATGGATATGTATATACTGCTGATGGAACTGGATGGGGAGGGATCTATTTCTGGGAGAACGCTCAGCATGGCATCAAATCAACACAAAGCGGCATAATTCTGGCCCAGCCAGGACGGAAGGATGACCATATTGAAAAAAATTTTGATACGGTTTATTTAGCAGTCAATGCAAAACTGAGACCGATAATACCCATGCCAGCAAAGGCGAAACCTATGCACAGTCCTCTCCTGTGGGAGAGCATCATGCTTTCGGCAAAGAGCTGCAGGCCTACGTTCGTCATAACACCAGCTGTGACGGCAAACATACACCCATATACAGCCGCAGAGGGCCCATCAGGGTGTCCATCATTAATAGGTCGGCCGGTGCCAGATGAACCCCAAATCCAGAGGGCCGCTATTCCAGCCCCCGCAGGCTGACTGATACCACCTAGAAGACTGGACCAAATTATAGCTTTGAGCCGTGACTTGAGTGCTAGGTAGAGAGGTAGAGACATGGCGAATCCCTCTGTAATATTGTGAATGGATATTGCGACGAAAACTGACCAACCGAGGGTGGGGTTAGTGTGGTTCGTTGCGTACGTGATGAATCCTTCTGGCAGTTTGTGCAAGGCTATGGCGAGGGACGTTTGGAGACCGATGGATAAGAAGGCATTCTGTGGGACATGGTGATGATGTGCTGAGGGTTGTTCGGAAGGAGGCGAAGGGGCATAAGCGGTGGTTGCAGCACTGGACGATGTACCGAGGACGACTTGTTCGGTGAGATGGCCAGCGTTAGCGTCTTCGGTAGTGGTTGACTGAGGAGCGGCATCTCTGTTATTAGCTGCGGGATGGGTAATGTCGGTAACGTCGGTGATTTCCCCAGATTTGACCTGTACCCTGAGCTTCCTACACTCGAGCCCGCAAGCTTGAGAAACGCCGAAGCATTTGCCGTTTGCACATGAAGGCTTGGAAGAACCGCCCATTATACGGGTTATCTGCTCCGAGAGCTGTGCTGTAACTGACGGCTTGTTCAGTGTTCCCATGTCCGGCTGGGGCAATGCACCGTTATGCTGCTGATGAGGGGCGACCGGGCCACTAGACCTAGAAGCGCAATGACTATGTGGCAAGAGGGGAGTGGTCTCTGTGATTTCAGGGTGCGTATTATTCGCCGCCTCCGCTGCTTGCTCGATATCTTTGGCTTTATGAGGACGTGAATGTGAATGCCCGCAACTGACAACGTGGGAGGGCATCCATCGGTGCAGCAAAGTGGAAAAGATGTTTATAACGATGATACCAGAGAAGAAGAGCGCTATGAGGGTGTATGCCGCTAATTGTGGGGAATATTCGGCTCGAGTCAGGTAGCCCTTGGAGGTAGGCAACATACTATACAAGGCGGTAAAAAGCTGATATCAGTTAGCCCTGGTTTCTCCCAGCTTTGTTCAACTTTGTCCGCAGTATCAGGTACACGTACGACCACGCCGCCACTCAGGCTCAACGATGATGAGAGGAAAACATCACTCTCCGCTATCTTAAAGTCCTTCTTGCCAAGGTATTGCGCAACAACGTCCACGCAGATGAGGCCGGATCCGATGGCACACGCTGTTACATCCAATCATCAGTATGACGTATGTTAAAAAATACTAGATTCGACATACCAATGCCGCTGATGCAGCTCATTATCCAACCCCGAGCATCATTTTCTGACAACATCCTGCTGGCAGAGAGGCGAAACCTCTTGATCCAGGCTCCGTATCGAATGTATCAATTCCTCACCCCGCTCAACCCATACGCCACCGCAGCTTCAGAAGCGTCACGGACGTGAACAGTGCTGATCCAGCTGTAGGTCAACAGCACAGCTGAGGCATGGTACCGATAGAGGAAGAAGAAGGCCAGCAGTAACAAGGCGGACGTCTAAGATTAATAAACGGAGACTTCGAGTGAGCTCAGACCAGCTTTTCTCTTATTTCAACCGCGCGTTTTGTAAGCGACAAGAAATGCATCGAGGCTTCCCAAAGCGGACTAGCTTCACCCCCAAGGTCCCTGCGTCAGGAATAAAGCTTATCACGTGGAGCATAAGGCAGATTAGTAAGCATGTCGCCCGATCCGCCCGATTCGCCCTGCAGGTTGCAGAGTAACATAAAGAGGCTACAGTAAGTACTCCGTAGAAGACGTTTCGTTACGTCAAGGGCTCGATGAAGAAAGGACTTGGAGAGCTGTTCAATATCCGCTAGTTGTTTTCGACAACCCGGCGGATCCTGAAGTCTTAGACATGATCTTCCGCGGGATGGGGCGGCTTCTCCAGCACACGAAAAGGGAGACTCCGTATGACATATAATAAGGGCAGGGGGTAGGCTTGGCTAACCTACTCCATGTTCTTCAGGCAATCTCCCACTTGATGTGTCTCTCCGCCGGGCGCACAGAGTTGAAGGCGATTTCAAAATTACACTGCTCAAAATATATATTCATTCTATCCGTTTCAGCACTGGGCGGAGTTGCGCGGAACCTTGGGCGACTCAACAGGACAATGTCATGTGATATGGAATTTCTCGCCAGGATTCAGAATAAGGTTCCCTTCACGGAATGAGCCCCATATTTCCGCTGATTAATTCAAGCCTTCCCCCAAGGAACGCGCCTTCCGTCCCTATTTGTTGACAATCTGATAGCGGCCTTGGGGGCTGACTCAGCCACTTAATAGGGCAATTTAATCACCTTTCAGGGAAGCTGTTTTGGAGATGTTCATTCTGGATGCATTTTATATATGCAACCAT